GATATGAGCTTTCATTGCCGTGAGCAAGGTGTCCGTATGTCACGGCTACGATTATGCTTCCCGCGTATCTGTCACAAGGATTGATCGTTAGCTGGACCATACATCACAACGACACCAGTGGAATATGTACGAACGCTTCAGCGTAGTGCTGTATGTCAACAGTGCCACCTAAAAGATTGACGACTAGTCTATTTGCATGGCGAGAGTATATCTCGTGGTATGACACCGAGGCTTCGGCCTTGAGGACTTGATGGAAGATCCTGCGATGTTGTCGTAAAGTCTCACCATACGGATACATTGGAGTAAGGAGAGCCACTCCAGCTCTGCGTCATCAGTAGATGAAAAATAAATTGAATGAAGACCGGCAATGCATACTTTTCGTTGGCGTGAAAAACGGGGCGACTAGAGTAATTTGCAGAACGTTTGTCCAGCAAGTCCTGCGCGATGGTTTCGGAGTTTATGATGATCAAGTCGATCCCAAGTACGCGGCAGCGAATGATGTTTCCTATGATTAGGTATGAAATTGAGTACAAGAACTTTGCAAAAAGGCTATTGGCCTGCTACCAACCATATATCTTTCCCCACGCAGTATATGTGAGCCAAGGTCGTTTAGTATCCAATTGTAGCACGTTGCCCAAAAATGGTATCGGACGAGGGCCAGGTGGCAGAGGTAAAGGGTAGACACGTCTACGAATGAGGCCCGAAGCGACACCCAGGGCAATAACGCACGATATCCCTAGAGCGAGAGTAGCAGTGGAGAGCATGGGAAGGGATTATAGTCGCACCCAGACATGTTGGTTGTCTTCATATACTAAGACCGGTAACTTGCTTCTTCGACGAATCTTCGTGTGCTGCCCGCCTTAGCTTAGTGCTAATGATGGATCATGACGTACACTGACAAAGGACGTTCCTCGGTTCCTTATAAGTTATATCTAGATCCATGCGCTGTATTATGTAATAGAGGCTTCCTGACTTCTGTCCGCAATCCCAGATCATCTTAGCTAATCACTTAGTATGTACTAGTATGTAGGATTGTGGGGTGTTCTGTGCTTTCTGCGCTCGATTGCCTAATTGATCTTTTGATTTCAGGGGGCGTGATGTCGCTGAAGATTTTTTCCAATCTTTTCTTGTACGTGCGATTGGTGCGTGAGTGCTGTTGCGATACCTAACAGTACCCCACCCTGATCGGGTTGGTCGAAAAAGCACTCAGTTTTTTTTAGCTAATAGGGCAACGTTCGTTTCAAGCTCAAAGACAAATAAATTCGATAAGAGGAGAAATTTCGGGGCATGGTGCGTAAGTGCTGTTATGATACATAGTACATACATTCCTGTTATTTATTGTAGACAAAGGACATAATAAACGAAAGGAGAGACCCCGTTACTGACTGCGGCGGCAATTGGTGCGATCCTTCGCCAGTGGCTTTCCATTGAACACTTGGCGATAATGGGACAAGCCTAGTTTGCTGTGTCTCCGCAGCCATTGCCAGTGTGCCAAAGTACCTGCAAATTAAATCATCGTAAGTGACAATCCATACCACTGAAATTCTTAGGACCTTTCAACTTCGATACTCCAACAATAATGTCCTCGCACCCAGTTTGCTAGTCCATCAAGGTATTCCTTGACCAGGATATCGGTGGAAGGACCCCATGAAGGAAGATTTGCAAGACCGTTGGTAAATCTTTCCTCGAGTTTAGTGTGATAAGCGGCTGCCCAACCCATCGCACTGCCTATGTCAAGGCCAAGTTCTAGCATGACCGCAGTTATCAGTGAATTGTGGTCGATCCCGCTCGCTTGTTCTTTATTGTACGAGAGCATATCCTGTGAAGGCCGTTAGGATACCGGAAACTAAGTTTTTTGTGTGACTTTACATTATCAACTGTAATCAAATCTGCGGCGCATTCCACTATATCCACGATAGCAGGATGGTAGAATACTTCATCAGGAAGATCGACATCCATTGCACATAGTCCGAGCCAAGGTAATATGCCAGATGTTTCCCGTCGATACTTGAAATTGCCATCGATACTGAGACAACGTCTTTGTTCACGGTCGATGGCCTCGACAGCTACTGCACGAAGGTATGTTGCCAAGCCATCGACAAAGCGGGAATGACAAGTCATGCTCATGGTCTGTACCATACGAGCCGAAGATCTACATAAAATTCAGATGCATCATCAAACAAGCAGGGGGTGCTTACTGTCGCATCATTTCTCCAATGATGTGTTCACCTTTTGGTCTGGTCTTATGCGGATTGTGTGAGGCATCGAGGACGATGTCCACTATTCCTCTGGCGCCCGCTGCAGTGCTTTTATCGGTGGTGTCCTCTATAATTACGGTCATATTCATCATTTCGCAAATGACTTGAAGATGTTCTACATTGCAAGAATAAAATCAAGGGTCAGTCGTGCGCGCCAGGGGTTGAATACGGACCTTTTGACACAGTGGGATAACACAGTGCTACTACGAGAGCTATAAGAATGATACGCGTCAACGATCTTTAGAGGTAGTAACATAGCTCGAACCTGGATCGCACTTGTTGAATTCTTTCAATGTGTCAGGATCCACAGCTTTGAAGCTACGAAACCAAGCCTCAGCTTCAATTTTCACAGCTTCATAATGAGGGCTGATTATGCGAGGCCACGGCCAGTTGGCCATGGTATCTGGGAGGTAAAACATCTTTGGGCGAGTTTCCATGGCCTCCTATTTCTGATGAACAGTGATAGAGCCTATGAACTGCAGGGGGGCTGAGGATAAAAGGCGTGCAGTGTCCCTTTTATACAAAATGTGAGGACAACAATTTATGGAATGCCCCACCTGCGATCCGCATCAGTAAATCGATAAGTCCTTGGTTTCTGTCTCCCGCATTAACACTAGTGGAGGAGTGTCTTGTCAGTTCCGTTATCCATACTATCGGTAACCGGTAACTCACAGTCTAAGCGGTACATTTAGAGTTGAAACTCTCGTCCAACTTTTAAGATTTTACGATCCCTATTTAGTTTAGTCTCGGACAATGTGTTGGTTGCATTCTCGTACGTACGCTATATTGGTTAGTGCTGCGGCAGCACTTTCGATTCTGATTCCTGAATCTGAATCTCGTGTATCTTGATGTCCATCAATACTTCGCAAATTAATGGAGACTTCCTGACTTCTGTACCTCTTGATCACTTACGAGTATGTAGTGCCTCAGTAGCATAATCGGCCAATGGAAATCGTTCAGCGTGCGTAACTCGACCAAAGATTGGTGGGACTCTGAGTAGGTTTCAGGATTCTCTGGCGGCCTAAGCTCAGTTAGAAGCTCAAAAGGCTCAGATAGTAACATTCACACAAAATTCATATCCCATTCTGCCAGTGGTTTGTAATATAGTCTTACCACGTCTCCGAGATGCCCGACCATATGGGACGGAGAGTTCATTGCGAACTGAATACGAACTCAGTCATGCATTGCGAGTATACTAAGACTGAAGGACTGACATCATCAAACTGAGTGGTGGCCTGTAGCGAGGCTGAGCTGCTGGGAGGCAAGGGCGACGTAGCAGGGAACTGAGAAACGGTCAAATCAACTCTAAAAAACGAGATAAGTAGATGTTAGACAAACATTCCATGGATCGCGAGGCTATAGAGGAGGAACTGAATTCGTTCGAGAAGTAAAGTGAAAGAGTTTGCGAACATGGCGAAGGAAAAGAGGTTGTTGATGGTCTACTGCAGGCGAATGGATTTGATGCCTGGGAAAAAAAAGATGATACAATGACAGGCCGTCTCGTTGGGGTTCTGCGTACGACGGCATGACGACGGGTTGTGTCAGACTGTTATAATTCATGTGAATTGGCGTAACGTGATAATAATAGTGGGATACATACCTCAAGGAAATGCTAGAGAGTAGCATCGGTCTTTGAGAGAAGGTTAGTTTACAAAAGATGGATTCATGCGGGCCTATGCGTACTTTGGGGAGGATAGACTGTATAGCAAGTAGAGCGGAGGTCGGTTTGTGTATGTAGACATTGGATTCATCGTAAAACGTGCGAGCCAGTCGAAGTGAGTCAGGTGAGAATATGAGAGCTTCCAGGACAAGGTCGCCGTCAAAGGAGGCAAAGAACTGTCGGAACTAGAAGGCCCAACTTGAAAGCTTCATGGTTTTGTCATAGAAAGCACTGTCGAGGAGAACGTCGTCAAACAAGAGTGCAAGAGCAAGGTCAGTGTGCTCTTGGAAGGGAACTCCGATGGTCTCGACGCGTCGAGTTCGTAGATTGATACAGGGATCGTGGCTCTAAATGTTGAAGTCGATCATTAGCGCGCCTGGCTTAGCATCCATAGCAGTGCATGGCGAAGAATAGTCTGCACAGATCAGCACCAAGTACTATTGGGTGCCATGCTACCGATTTGCCTCCTTGCTCTGTATCCTAATTCAATATCATTCGAATAGCAGGAGAAAAGCCGTTCCTGACCCTTTTCCTGACCCTTTCTACAGAGTATAGACTGCTTGTAGTAGCCTGTACTACACCAGGTGTTGGCGCTGCGCGTAGGTATAAGTCCCGTTTTCCTGGACAGGTTTGGCAGCTTGAAAGCTTGACCGGTCTGACCGGCCGAACTCGGCTAGGACCTAGGTGAACAACCATAAGTACATCTTAGTAACTTGTTCTAGTTTGTTTACTCGCTTGCACGGCAGCACTAACCGAGATAGCGTACGCACAAGATTAATAGCATCCCACACATCCGAGTCGCCCGAGACTACACTAAACAGTGGTACGCACGAGAATAGCATCCAACACATCCGAGTCGCCCGAGACTACATTAAACAAATGATGGGGAGGAACTTCTTGTTTGGAACGCATATTCGGAACTCTAAACACATCCATAACTAAGGCGGTAATGGGTAATGAACGGGTTACGCAGTGTTAATTTCTTACATGTTGAAGAAGCAAACTGACGATTTGAATAATATAAGACGAACTAACACATGTGTTGCGCTCGACTAGCATAATCCTTTCTCATGCTCTCCTCTGCTATTCTCGCTCTAGGGATATCGTGCATTATTGCCCTGGTTGTCCCTTTGGGTCTCATTCGCAGACGCGTCTACCCTATGCCTTTGCCACCTGGCCCTCGTCCCTTACCGTTCTTAGGCAACGCGCTGCAATTGGATACTAAACGACCTTGGCTCACATATACTGCGTGGGGGAAGGCATATGGTTGGTAGCAAGCCAATAACCTTCTTGTATTCGATTTCATACTACCTGATCACAGGAAACATCATTCGCTGCCGCGTACTTGGGATCGACTTGATCATCATAAACTCCGAAACCATCGCGCAGGACTTGCTGGAAAAGCGCTCTGCAAATTACTCTGGTCGCCCCATTTTTCGCATCAACGAATTGTATGCATTGCCGGTCTTCATTCAATTTGTTTTTCATCCACTGATGACGCAGAGCTGGACTGGATTTCAATACTGCACTGCTTCCGTATGGTGAGACTTTACGACAACATCGCAAGATTTTCCATCAAGTCTTCAAGGCCGAAGTCTCGGCCTCATACCACGAGATATACTCTCGCCATGCAAATAGACTGGTCATCAATCTTTTACTAGGTGCCACTGATGACATACAGCACCACGCTGAAGCGTTCGTACCTAATCCACCGGTGCCTGAGTCGTTGTGACGTATGGTCCAGCTAACGATCAATCCTTGTGACAGATACGCGGGAACCGTAATCGTAGCCGTGACATACGGAGACCTTGCTCACGGCAATGAAGGCTCATATCTTGCCCGCGCGCACGAACTCGCTGAGCTTTCACAACAGGTTGTTACTCCTGAAAAGGGTGCCATGTTCACAGCCTTTCCTTTCCGTGAGTGCCTCTGTCGACGACATCATTTTGAATATTTAGCATGAGGTTGCAGTCGAAAAGTTGCCGTCTTGGTGCTTCGGTGGAGCACATTCCCTGATAGGACGCACTAGAGAATTATCTCAACAGCTTTTGAACGAGCCCTTCAACGAAGTGAAGGCACAGATGGTACGTTTGCGCAGTTGTGAATGAAGATTTCGCCTGATCTGTTTGCGTGAAGGCAAATGGCACTGCTTCACGCTCATTAATCAGTGACTTTCTCAGCCAACCTCACGATGACGCTGACGAAGATACGATAAAGCCTGTTGCGTTCACATCATACATGGGTAAAAGACTTTATTTACCAGGACAGAATTCATCTATTGACGGGAATTCGGCTTCTTAGCTGGCATGGAAACCGTGAGTCGCCACTTGAGCAGTCCTGATTTTTACTTTGATGTCCCGCAGAGTGCAACCGTATTGCAGACATTCCTGCTGGCTATGGTGCTCTATCCTGATGTCCAAGCCCGGGCTCGTGCAGAAATTGATCAAGCTGTGAGGCATGATAAAATGCCGTGCCTTAATGACAGGGCGTCCCTGCCATATATTGATGCCATTCTCTGTGAGGTCATGAGGTGGCATCCTCCCGTCCCCCTAGGTTGGCCGACAGTAACATAGCTTTGTGTTTGCATGGCTAACCCTGTGCACAGGAGTTGCACATACAACCGCCAATGATGATGTTTACGGTGGGCACTTTATACCCAAAGGTTCGAAGTCGCATGTGTCAAGGTTGTTGTTGACTCATTCGTAATTCGATCAGGTACAATAGTAATGGTCAATCAGTGGTATGTCAGGGTGGAGTACATGCGATGGTTGAGCTGAACACTGTTCAGGGCACTGTCTCGGGATGAAGACATATTTCCCGATGCGTCGCGCTTTGATCCTAGTCGCCATCTAACTGTTGACGGGAAGCTGAAAAACCCTTTTGTCAACCATCTTGCCTTTGGTCACGGCAGGTGAATATTTCACACTTGTTATCATTTCCAATCATTCATTGATCCTCGCAGGCGTATTTGTCCTGGTAGGCTGATTCATGGTTGATCTGGGAGTGTTGAGGATGACAAATTCCCTTGGCAGGTCGTTGGTTTGTAGAGTACAGTCTGTGGACTGCAGCTGCTTCCATACTCGCTGTTTTGCGCATCGACCATGCCAAAGACCCAGACGGAAACAGGATTGAGGTGAACCCGGAGTTCACTACCGGCTCATTGATGTAAGTGTAGTATATATTCAAGCGCCTGCAGCTGACTCTGCCAAAGTCGCCCCGAACCATTTCACTGCTTGTTTGAAAGCATTAACACAGCGAGAGAAGGACACCTTCGAGCGATGATGAATTCGGAGTAGACTTAGTCTGTACGATGAACAAGAGAATTGATTTCGAATACATTGATTCTTCAGAAACTACTAATAGATCCGTTTCCAAAATCTCGTGAACCGGCGTAACCAGGCTGCATATCGTTGATCGGTTCACGGGCCACCCTTGGCACCACTTGGAAAAGGTACCAAAGGCGTCCACCTCCGCAGGAGTCTCCTCTTGGATCTTATGCAAGACTGGTGTGTTTCGTAGAACCTTCAGCGAGCAGGAGTGAGCATCAGAGATCCGGGTACATGACTTTATTCTGGGGTAGCAATGAAAACAATAACGAAGCAGAGAAACGAACAAAAATAAGACAATAAGAGACGGAGAAGAACGACGAAACCTGGATGATCATGCTGGCAGTGTGTTCATACCGTGTCTAAATCCCAGTGATAGCACTGGTCTGAATTGGTTGTGTTTTATCGTCGCCGCTGCATGTTGCATCTGGCGATAGTCTGAGATCGTGTGAGGTCAATTATCTCTTCCAGGACTCGGAGAGCTGCATGCGATGGGTTGTTTGTCAATGTTTTTCCTGACAGTTTCTGAGGAATCAATGTATTCGAAAGCAATTCTCTTGTTCATCGTAGTACATACTAAGTCTACTCAGAATTCATCATTGCTCGGATCTGTCCTTCTCTTGCTGTGCTCACGCTTTCAAAAGAGCAGTGAAATGGTTCAGGCTGACTTCGACAGAGTCAGCCCGCAGGTTATTGGATGCATACTAGGGCACTTACATCGTCACGCCGGTGGTGAACTTTGGTTTCACTTTAATCCTGTCTCCGTTTGAGTCTTTGGCATGATCGATGCGCAAGACAGCGAGTATGGCAGCAATCGCAGTCCATAGACTGTTCTCTACAAACCAACGACCTACCGAGAGCATTTGTCATTTTCAGCACTGCCAGATCATTGATCAGCCTACCAGGACAAATACGTCTGCAAGGGTCAGTGAATGATTTAAAATGATAGCAAGTGTGGAATATTCACCTGCCGTGACCAAAGGCAAAATGGTTGACGAAAGGGTTCTTCAGCTTCCCGTCAACAGTTAGATGGCGACTGGGATCGAAGCGCGATGCATCGGGAAATATGTCTTCATCCCGAGACAGTGCCCTGAGCAATGTTCAGCTCAAACCGTTGCATGCACTCCACCCTGACATACCACTGATTGACTATTACTGCTGTACCTGATCGAACTACAGATGAGTCAACGGCAACCTTGACTGATACCAATTCGAACCTTTGGGTATAAAATGCCCGTCGTAAACATCATCATCTAAAGTTGTATGTGGAAATCCTATGCAAGGGGTAAGTCATGCAAACACAAAGCTATATTACTGACGACAAACCTATGGGGGCGACAGGATACCATCTCATGACCTCGCGGAGAATGGCATCAAGATAAGGCAGGGACGCCCTGTCGTTGAGGCACGGCATTCTATCATGCCTCACAGCTTGATCAATTTCTGCACGAGCCCGAGCTTGGACGTCAGGATAGAGCACCATAGCCAGCAGGAATGTCTGCAATGCGGATGCAGTCTGCGGGACATCAAAGTAAAAATCAGGACTGCTCAAGTGGCGACTCACGGTTTCCATGCCAGCTAAGATGCCGAATTCCCGTCAATAGATGAATTCTATCCTGGTAAATAAAGACTCTTACCTATGAATCCTGTCAACGCAATAGCCTTCATTATATCTTCGTCAGCGTCATCGTGAGGTTGGCTGAGAAAGTCACTGATTAATGAGTGTGAAGCAGTGCCATTTGCCTTCACGCAAATAGATCAGGCGAGATTTTCATCCACAACTGTGAGCAAACGTACTATCTGTGCCTTCACTTCGTTAAAGGGCTCATTCAAAAGCTGTTGAGATAATTCTCTACTGCGTCCCATCTGGGAATGTGCTCCACCGAAGCACCAAAACGGTAACTTTTCGACTGCAACCTCATGCTAAATATTCATAATGATGTCGTCGACAGAGGCACTCACGGAAAGGAAAGGCTATGAACATGGCAGTCTTCTCGGGAGTAACAATCTGTTTTGCAATATCGATGAGTTCGTGCGCGCGGGTAAGATGTGAGCCGTGAGAAAGGTGTCCGTATGTCACGGCTACGATTAGGGATCCCGTGTATCTGTCATAGGGATTGATCGTCAACTGCACAACGACACCAGTGGATTGGGTACAAACGCTTCAGTATGTTGCTGTAGGTCATAGGTGGCACCTAAGAGATTGATGACCAGTGTATTTGCATGGCGAGAGTACATCCTGTGATATGAAACCGAGATATCGGCCCTGAGGACTTGATGGAAAATCTTACGATGTCGTCGTAAAGTCTCCCCATACGGAAGCACTCCAGTAATGAAATCCAGTCCAGCTCTGCATAATCAGTGGATGAAAATCAAATTGAATGAAAACAGGCAATGCATACAATTCGTTAGTGCGAATAACGGGGCGAGTAGAGTAATTCGCAGAACGTTTTTCCAGCAACTCTTGCGCGATGGTTTGGGAGTTTATGATGATCAAGTCGATTGCAAGTAAGCAGCAGTGAATGATATTTCCTATGATCATCGATCAGGTATGAAATTGAATACAACTTCGCAAAGAGGCCATTAGTTTGCTACTAACCATATGTCTTTCCCCACGCAGTATATGTGAGCCAAGGTCGTTTAGTATCCATTTGTAGCACGTTGCCCAAAAATGGTATCGGACGAGGGCCAGGTGGCAGAGGTAAAGGGTAGACACGTCTGCGAATGAGACCCGAAGCGACACCCAGGGCAATAACGCACGATATCCCTAGAGCGAGAGTAGCAGTGGAGAGCATGGGAAGGGCTTATGGTCACCCAAGACATGTTGGTTCGTCTTTATATAAGATCGGCAGCTTGCTTCTGAGTCGTGTGCTGCCCGCCCTATCTTGAACGATGGACCATATCAATTATGTACATGATGTACACTGACAAAGACCTTCCTCGCTTCCTTCAATCCCTAAGCAAACAAGGTACACATCATTCACACCGACAAGACTCCGGACTCTTCCTTAGATGTTTGGTTCCAAATTCAATAATATTAATCAGACCAGTACTTACTTGGCAACCACACTGCCCGCATGATCATTTAGGTTTTGTCGTTCTTCCCCGTTCTCCTCGTTCTGCGGGACCCACTGAAACCTCAAGGTTTGTCACCCAGTCCTTTTGGGGGTTTGTGTTTGTCGGAATTGATCACGTCAGCCCATGTATGTTGCACTTTTATGTTTCGTCTATTTTTACTTGCTATTACTTGTAGGCGTCGGTCAATTGCATTATTCCACCTTGTGGCATCGCTTTGGGGTGGGTCCTTGATTACACGCTCGCATCGGAGTGCCCAAATCAAGTGGGCTGATTCTGAACCGATGGATTTCGATGTTTGAAGTTTGAAGTTTTCGAAAATCTCGGTCTGGCCAGCTCAGAAAAATCTCAAAAAATTCAAAAAAATTCTCCATTGATTATATGGGCCGCGCGAGCCAGGGCCAGATAGCATACTCGCGAGAGTACAATGACTGTGGTCATCATTGTCACCATCGGGCGCACGCCTTATCAATGACAAGGTTCATCACCCCGGTCGTCGCGTCACGGTGTCTGTCATCAACTTGCCAAAGTAAGATAATCTGTCGATCGCGGACAGAAGTCGTTAATACAGCGTATGGATCTAGATACTAGGTAATCGGTTACTGATAGCATGGAATTGACAAAGTCCCTCCTCCACTAGTATTAACGCGGAAGACCGAAACCAAGGACTTATCAATGTACTGACGCGAACCGCGGCCGCACCCACCAGCACCCACCATTATTCATAGCCCTAAGAAGGCCTTGACGTTCTCGCTCACGCCGGAACCATTGACATACACACACATAGATGACATACGATACAACTAGGTACTGTCCATCATAGGGCTCGGCCCCAACGGACAATAATCAAGGATACCGCGGCCGCAGGTGGGCATTCTATAAATTTCTGTAGAACAGGGACACTGTGCATCATTGATTCTTAGCCCCCTCCTACAATCCATATAGGCTCTTTCAACTTTCGCATTCCTCATCATAAACTATATTTTGCAGGCTATGGATGCTCGTCCAAAGGTGATATACCTCACAGACACTATGATTAACTGGCCCTGGCCTCGTACCATCAATCCTCATTTCGAAGATGTGAAAGCTGAAGTCGATGCTTCGGTCCGTGATATTACTCTGAGTCCTGAGTTCCAGGCGTCACACGTTAAATGCGATATCGGTTCGACTTATGTCGCTAGCTCTCAGTTATAATGATGGTTGACCTTGCTTTGCTTATAGCCCGCCTAGCAGCACTGGCTTATCCAAACGCACCAAGAGGTTCGTACCTTGACAATTAATGTACCACATAACCCTGATTCCGACCTTGAAAAAATAGATTACTTTCGAATCGGCTGTGATTACATGACTGTATCCTGTCTTTTCGAGTGCTGCACCGATACGGAAAATGAGACGGTCACAAAGGAAATGGCAGACATCGTACTCGATGTCCTACACAATCCTCACAAGATACGACCAGAAGGCGAATGCATCGTTGGCGAAAAAGTGCGACTGTAAGTGTTTCCAAAATGTGTGATGATTATCTGACGCCCAAGGGACTTTTGGGTAGGTTTTGGGTCCATGCAATCCAATTCGCAAGCCTGCCTTCTCAACGTCACTTCCTTGAAACCTTTGGTGCACACCTTCGTGCAGTGGTTGTCGAGGCTCGTGATCGTGAACAAGGCCATAGGCGCAGTATTCATGACTACCTGAAGCTCCGGCGGAAAACGATTGGTGTAACACCATGTTTATTGATATACGAAATGGGGATGGACCTTCCTGATGAAGTGTTCCACCATCCCGTCATCAGGGATCTTGTCGAATGCATTACAGACTTAAGTTCAATCGACAATGTGAATTAGTATTAAGGGCATCTTCTTTGCGGTATGCTCACGATTTTCACAGGACATGATCTCGTACAACAAAGAGCAAGCGGCTGGGAACGAAGGCCATAACTTGATCAGTGTTATCATGTTGGAACTTGGCCTCGACGTAGGCGGTGCAATGGCTTGGGCAGCGCATTATCACGCTGGAGTTCAGGAACGATTTATCGACGGTCTTTCCAAGGTTCCTTCATGGGGGCCTTTCGTCGACGTCCTAGTCAACGAGTACCTCGACGGATTAAAAAACTGGCCTCGAGCAAACCATTCTTGGAGCTACGAGAATCGAAGGTAATAAACTTTCTCATTGGTATGAACCATCGCTCAACCCGATTGGAATTGCAGGTACTTTCCCATCGAGAACGTGGAGATAGTACAACAAACCAGGCTTGTCCCGTTGTTGCCAAGGCTCGAGCGCGCGAAGTCGTATGAATAGGTCTGTTCAGATACGAAGCTCTTTCCACAGAATCAGGCGCTAGCTTTTCTTGTACCTCGCATATTTTGTTACCATACCGGTCTCTCATAGATTTCATTCTTGTCCTCTAGCTCTCAGTCGACTAGTACTTTCAGTAATAGTCATTGTTGTTTCAATTTGTATAACAGGTAGCTGTACTCTATTGGTGTTATGACACTAGCATCAGGAAAATCTTGGATGTCTTAAACTATCTTTTTTGAAGTTTTCTCACAATATAAGCCAGAAAAAGAGCCCAATTCTCAGAAGACGTTCAGACTGTTCTCTACAAACCAACGACCTGCCAAGGGCATTTGTCATCCTCGACACTGCCAGATCATGAACCAGCCTACCAGAACAAATGCGCCCGCAAGGGTCAGTGAATGATTGAAAATGATAGCAGATGTGGAATATTCACCTGCCGTGACCAAAGGCAAAATGTTTGACGAAAGTGATCATCGATCAGGTATGAAATTGAATACAACAACTTTGCAAAGAGGCCATTGGTTTGCTACCAACCATATGTCTTTCCCCACGCAGTATATGTGAGCCAAGGTCGTTTAGTAGTATCCAATTGCAGCACGTTCCCAAAAATGGTAAGGGACGAGGGCCAGAGGTAATGGGTAGACATGTGTACGACTCAGACCCGAGGCGACAACCAGGGCAATCATGCACGATAGTGCTAGAGCGAGAATAGCGGTGAAGAGCATTGGAAGGAATTATAGTCGAGCCCAATACATGTTAGTTCGAGACCGGCAGCTTGCTGTTTCGTACAAAATTGACCCTGCCGCACCCGCGGCCTTGAACGTTGAACGTCAAAAAAATCTAAACCCACCTTAGAAGGCTTCTATCATTTTGGCATCTTCATGGAGCGGAGATACACCACGGAAAGGTTGACCCGGATTCTAGTTCTGGACCGGATTCAAGTTTCTAACGGGACCGAGTCCCTCGCTTGCGATGGGTTGTTTGTCAAGGTTTGTGGTGATCTTCTGAATTCAACAACTATAAACAACCACCCCGGAACAATACCTAATGAACGAACACCGGATTTCCCAAGGCTTGCTGGCTAGTTGCGCAGTGCTCCCTGCAGGCAGGCCAATCTGCCAATTATACTACAAATGAATGGCGTTCGAAAACTTTGGGGAGGCGGAAGCTCGTCCACCAGTTCACCAACACCACCAACACCTGTACCAGCAACGCCTGTAACACCTATATCGCCAGCACCGTCAACCCTGCCTTCTTCCGAAGGTTCTCCTCTTACGACAACTCCGGGACTTTTCATCAAGAAAAACAAGAAACAGTCATCAGTAGCATCCGTCACTGACGCTGGGAACGGTAACGACGCCAACGGCTCAGACCGCTCGGCATCGCCTGCTTCATCCCGAGTCACTTCTCCCTTACGAAAACCAGTCCCAACCCCAACCCCAGTCCCAGGTCCCTCATCTCCAAGGATTTTACCCCTACAACCAAGAACGTCTACCGCTTCAGGATGGAAACGCACCTCAGGATTACTCAATATAAGAGACGACCTCCTCATGAGTCTTCTCACAAGCGAAGCAATCGTAGAAAGTCGCGAATGTGAGATCTTAAGCGGGGAAGAAGTCGAAGAACTCAAAAAGGTTCGATTTCCATTCATTCACTCGATCTGCGCCTTTGTATTTAATTTAAACAAACTGTTTCTTTAGGAACACCAAATTCTTAAGATTCGGCTCGCTGCAGCACAGAGGAAGCTCAAGTTAGAAACAAAGATACGCGATGCAGCTCTATCTCTTTCGAAAGTAAACACTGCGCACAAAAAAGTCTCAAAAGCCACAGACGACCAGCTAGATGCTGCAGAACGCAGAGTCAACGCTGCGCAGACGGAACTATGGCGCGTTTCAGAACGAGCAAACGAAGTCGAACGAAAACTTTTGGAACATCGTACAGGCGTGCTTGGTTTCTCTGTCGCCAAGATGGAGAGAAAGATGACGCCTAGTGGGGATGCATCGGGTTTGAACACGCCCAATAGGAGTTCGGCCTTTAGCCCCGTTACGACTACCTCTCCACCACCGAAAGCGCGATTCGACGGTGCACACCTATTCGCGGGCCACGCCGACGCACAAATACCCAAAGCCCCACCATCCGTCAATGATGTCGTCGCGCTCGAGGACAAGCTCCGCGCTGCAACTGAAGCCCTCAGCATTGCGAACCAGAAACAAGCTGAGATGGCACGCGAATTATCTCACCTCCGTCTCGAGAAGGAACAGATTGAGACGACGATGGGTATGGAACTTCAGACTGCCGAGGAAACTGTCGCTGCGCTAGAGCAAGAGTTTCCGCGTCTCGAGGAGCTGAATGCGAAATGTCAGGAATTGCTCGATGAACGTGTGCAGTGGGAAAAGGACAAGACTCAGTTGGCTGCAAGGGAAAAGGAGGTGGAGAGGTTGGAGAGGCGGTTAGAGGTTTTAGAGGAGCAGAGCAGCGAAGCAACTGAAATGGAACGCGCACTCTCAGACATGCAGGCAAAGTGCGATGCGGAACTGCAGAAAAAGGATGAGGAGGTCGCAGCGCTGAGGACGGAGTGGGAGGATGCCAAAGAGGAATGGGAGGCGGAGAAAGCTGTGATGGAGGAAGATAAACTTGCAGAGCTTGGTGCCCTCCAGGATGAGCTCGAGGATGCAAGAGAGGAATGGGAGGCGGAGAGAACTGTGTTGGAGGAGAACAAATTCACAGAGCTTGGTGCGTTGCAGGATGAGTTGGATAATGCGAGGGCTGGTGGTGAAGCACGAGCAGAGTTGGATGAAGCTACCGAGGCACTTCGGACGGTCATGCAACTGCATGGTATCCAGATTTCCCCCGATACGTCCTTGCAGGGTCTACTTGCCTCGGTCGCGTCGCATCTTGAAACGTTAGCAGCTGCGCTGCAGGGGCATAGTGATAGGCATGCACGCCTTGGAGATGAGCTGCGAGTGCATATGGAGAATAACGAAACTCTCTCAAAGGATCTGGACGCCGTTCGCCTGGAAAGGGACAACGCACAACTTGAAGTCCAATCCCTTGAGTCACGAGTCAAGGTAACATTCTATTATTTCACAGTATGAAAAGTGCTCATCCCAACCATAGGAATTCATCGATGCCTCGTCAACACCTTCCGAACCTCCAGTCGAATATACAGGCGAAGCAGCGGACATCATCGCCATTCTCCAACCCATCTGGAACATCCTCCCCGCGCCCGAACTTCGCGCCTCGAAACTCAACAGCAAACGACACCTCCGAAACCCTTCCATGATCTCGAATACTGGCGGATCATCGCCATTGCCATCACCATCCAAATCCACCCTTTCTGACATGGACGTACGCGCGCTTAAAACTCTCTATGACACCCGCCCCCAACCTCCTACTCCTACTTCAGCAACTAGCCGTTCACCCCCAAAACAGAGTAAAGGCACATTCAGCGTCGAAGCATTTGTCTCGCGCGTTCAAGCGCTTGTCACAGATGATCGAGCACTAATCGAAAGACTGATCCGATTCGCTCAAGCACACGACCTACTCAAGAAGAACGCAGAACGCGCTCAAAAACTTGCACAAGAGAGCAATACAGCGCTAGAGACGTATCAGCGGCAGGTATTAACGCTTGAGCGGCAGAATGTTTCTTTGGTGTCGAAGCAGAATGCATTGTGAGTCTCTGTTCGCTTATTTGATTCGAGTGGATTTTTGAACGGTTTCGTTTGGTAGGATGGACGAGATACGTGACCTACAGGACGCTATCGAACGTGCGGTCTGTGAGACCCGTGAGATGGAGATGCATGCTGCGGATCAAGCAGAGACGTGTCGACAGCTCACAGAGGCTAATAGCTCGTTGAGCGCTAAAACGCTTACGCTCGCTGAAGAAGCTGCTGCAGCGCCTGAGAAGGTACGCAAGCAACTTGAAGCTCAACTTGCGGAGTGCACAGAAGCTTTGAGGAAGGCGAGAGAGGAGGTAGATGGGATGAGGATGTTGGAGCAGACGCAGAGGATTGCGTTGTTGGACGAGCTTAATTCGGTTCAGACGGAGAATGGGAATTTGAGGGCGCAGTTGAGGGCGAAGAAGTAAGTGGGTTCGGTTGGCATGCATATCTATGGTAGTGTATGAATCGTTGCGATTTGTTAAATTTCTCGACATAAGTATCTGTAGATATAGTTCCAGTGCTCGTATAAACGAGCCTGAAGTTCGCGCGCTGGCATTTTTTGGCCAATGCGTTACTTATATACCAACATCATTTGTATTACTACACCTTATCGAACCAAACCTCAGCTCGGTCTTTCACAGTCGTGTGCGTTCGCTCCCTCTCCGTGACTTGACCCACCAGCCCGAACAAGCCAAACCCAACAACCTTTCCATCTTCCACAATGAACTCAGCCGTAGCCTCAGACGTCCCTATTTCCGCTGTCTCAAAGGGTGTACTGTCGCGCCCATATCCTTCCGGGAACAACGAGGTGTACTGAATCACGAACGTATTTCCAGACCGATGCACGCCTCGAATATGGGATGTCCATACGCGAGGCCACGCTGCGAACAGCTGAGGCGACTGGGGAGCGCTCGACTTTCCTCCATCTACCGCAGTAAAATCAGAGATCACGTCTTGACAATACAGGGAGCTGCCGGAAGGACTGCAAAAGGTGATGGGTGGGTATCCAGCGCCGGCGTAAGTTCCCGAAAACTCTTCGAGTGCAAGTTCCAAACCAACGACGTTTTCTTGGATTGGTTTCTCCTCGGGCGTGTCGGGTTTACTGGAACGGCGATAGGTAAGTAAAGGGAAAGGAATTTTCATTGAAATAACGAACATCGGTGGTGATGGTTTTGACCGCAGGTTCAAAGCTACGTCCATTATACGGTGTGAGATATTCACTACAGGTGTTGCTTTATCGCCGCCGTTGGCAAAAACGACGACTCCAACATCGTCATTTGGAAGGAACGAGACTCGCGTGGAGAATCCTGGAACCGAACCTGTATGATATACGATCTAATAATCCGGCATCAGTCATTATGCACAATAACGGATGAACGTTTGTTACATCATGGCCCAGGTAAGAGTATCGGAACCAACCCATCCCATACCCTTCAATGGAGAGCTCAGGGTCATCTGAGGCGCTGATGGATAAAGAGTATGACTGCGATGCGTTTCCATACACAGACAGCGGTATGACTGTGACATTGTTGTGCACACCCTTGTTAAGCCACAATGCAACCCATTTCGACTAGATGACAACAAACGTCTTCAGTTGTAAATTGAACGGAGGCGAAAAGCACCTGCCATATCTACGGCGCTCGAAATCACACCGCCTGCACCGGCCATCAGCGCTACCATTTCTTCGGTGAAACACTCGGGCAAGAGTCTCCCAGTGCTGGTCCATCCCTGAGTGAATCTACCAGTGTTTCCAGCCTTTGCGGGTGAGAACGTGGAAGAAGACATTCCGAGTGGCGTGAAAATGCGATCCTCTACAAAAGAGGTGTACGTTTGTGCGGAGTAGGTTTCAATGATGTGTGAGGCTGTCGTGAACATCTGTTCGGAACATTATGAAGATGTGTTTAGCACTTTTGCCAATACCGCGTTACCTTGTTGTTATACGACCACTGTTCCCGGAATTCAAAAGCTGGCCTTAGATAGCGCATGCGCAATACGTCATCTTTCGGGCTGTCGTGTGGTCCATACGAGTAATCATGACTAGCTCAGGCTCAATAGAATCTTGTGCTGGAGCGAAGAATTTGAGTCAAGCTTACCGAGGAAGGCCAGATACATGAGAGAGGATGTCCTTTATATTAGCTTTCTTGGACGCCCATTCATCCATCAATTGCCATTCTCCCGGAAGGATATCTTGTACCAAGGTGTGCCAATTGAACTCCGACAGAGCAGGGGGGAGCGGCGTAACGTTTCTTCCATATTCGTAGTCATCCATCAAAATTCCAAGAGCGCTCACACAGAAAGCCTTGGACACAGACGCCATGTGGAATAACGTCTGGAAAATGCAGCTTCAGAGCTCATACAGGAAGAAGCTTGAACATTTCGCACGTCTTCTGTTGTCTTGTCCCCGTCCTCTGTCATGTTTCCCCATGAACGAAATTCCGGTTCGCCGTACTTTGGGACAATTGCGACAGAAAGTCCAGTGATATTCCAAATATCCAGGGTTTCCTGGATAGAGTTGGAGAGCTCTGAAGTGATGATGTGACCATTGTTTGTCCCAGCAGAATCAGTTAAGAACGATAGCTGGGGAGGATAGATAAATGGCTGGCTCAAGAAGCCTAGTACTACACTCAGCAGTTTGGCCATGATGATGAGAAGGGGGTAGCAGAATGGTTACTCGGTTGGTAAACAGCTTTGCGAGATCTTGCGCTCGCACGAGACTAGAATAGCAAACATTGTGGGAGAGAGCTGAAACAAAAGATAAGAAGAAGCATACCAGCGTATAATTATCTACTTGCCTACCGGACCGTCGTCTTGACTCGAGGTCGCTCAACGATGTGCAATATCTGAGCTTACTGGAGATATTTAGTGATAGCCAAGATAAGAAAGCTGTCAGCCGATCTTGGACCTGTGACTAGGTGGGCATCCCTGTCATGACTAATCTTTCCGTCTAGAAGGTACATACATAGGCACTGAATGATGGATTTCGGCCTCTGCCTGCAGAAATCGTCGTTTTACAGGAGCCAGACTCACCTCAGTCGATCTAGAGATAGGCCTATGCCAAACTGGAACGATGTAAAGAGAAATGAACCTGGTCTCCGTTTCTTTCGCTGAGAGCCAAGAGGGCGTGGCTATTGATAGGGGCCTTGCCGCAGCAGTGCTGGGCTCTGATGTGACGATCACAAGGTCCAGGATGACCATTGTATTATGCCATAGGGTCCCTGCACGGGCTTATCGTCAACGCGAATAGACATTTTCAAAAAGGGCCGGTGCGAGTTGGGAACTTGCATAGCCTTTCCGATTGCAGGGGTGATCTAGATGGCCTTATCTTGAACGTGGTCAGCTCCAAGTACTATGTTCATACGAGTGGGTTGGGTTGAAGTATATATATATCATAGTTGAGTTGGTGAGCGGGAAATATAATTTGACCGAGGAACGTTACTGTAGCGGTGTCACTATGACAGTTCTAGATTAGGCAATCATGACATGCTCCCTACCGGCCAAGTGCCAAGTGCTTGACCTCGGCTCTGAACTTCAAGTTTGTATATCAATCAATCATTTGAGAGGCGCTCGGTTGAGTTGCTCACTCCACTCCTTAAGTCTCTTCACCTTTTCACCCCACCATCGCTTTGCGGGTGCATTGTATCCTTGCCCTTTGTCCTACCTTGGTCCTACTCTTTTTTGTTTTTTCGATTCGGAATCGGTTTGGCCTCTCATTTCCGCCTACAATAATTCGGCTTTACTTTCACCATGCCTATCAATTATCTCCACAAGTATGACAACTTTTTTATCTCTCCTTCTTTGCTCACAAAATTTTACAGGATGTTGGCTGTACCTCGAGCAACTTCAAACTGCGAGCCTGCTGACCCATCCAATACCATTACGGATCGCCTAAACATGCTTCTCAACTCTTCTGGTTCAGGTTATGTCTTGAGCCTCTGTCCCAGCACCCAATATTTCATACAAGCCCCCATTGTTTTCGCTGCTGCCAATCAAGAGATCAGCACCCTCGGTTATCCCACGGATGACACCAGAGCTGTCTTAGTAGTTACCGGCGCTGTCACAAATGGTACTGGTCAGACGACCGCCGTTGATGGCACTTGCGCTAATTGCGACGGTATCATATTACGAAACATCCAGGTAAAATCATCCACACTTCATTATTTTCCCTCGCACTCACTGTTATCCCACAGATCAACGGCACGCGGGCTGGTGGGCCTCCCATCAACGGCGGTGCAAATATTGAAATGGGCGGTCCAAATTCGGGCCAGCTTATCGAATATGTTCATTCTTATGACCCCAGGAGCTGGTCATGTCTCCATGTCAGTGAGGGAACTTTGAATTGCAACAATGCTACCGTCCAGAACAATGATATTGGACCCGCCGGATCCGATGCTTTCCAGCAGTGGGCTGACGGCATTAGTGTGGCATGTTCAAACAGCCTTATTCGTAACAACATGATCAATAATCCGACGGATGGAGGTATTGTACTATTTGGCTCTCCAGGCACTCTCGTTGAGAACAACACGATCTGGGTCGAGAACGTAAGTGAGATCCTTCATGCCTTTTAGTTGGTTTCTCACAGCAATGCAGAACACACTGCTTGGAGGAATCAACATGGTCGACGTAGTGCCCTTTAGTGGTGATTATAAGGGGACTGTGGTCACCAACAATACCATTATGGGTGGGTTCGCTACCAGTCCTGACACAGGGTCGGCCACCGATGGTACAAACAACCAAGATGTCATCATCAAGTACGCGCCACCACTTTTTTTCTCATGTCTCGTCAGGGTGCTGACAAGAATAATTCAGAATCGGAATTGCAATTGGTCCCCGAACTTGGTTCGGGAATGAGTTTCTCAACAACGTCAGCACTGGCGGGACAGTGTTCAACAACAAGCTCACTGGCGCATTCAGCTATGGCATTGCCATATCCTCTGCAACCAATTTTACAGTAGAAAATAATGTCCTCGTTGGAAACACTTCTTTTATTGGGGCACGGGGTCCCAACTGCACCACTGGTGACCCAACACCTTCTCCTGCAGCCTTTGTTATCGATATCAACAACACCGCGCAGAGCACGACTCAGTCAAACTTCCTGGACAACACCAATGGAGACGCGTTAACCTGTGTTCTCCCCCCTGCTGGTGGAGACTACTGGCCATTCGGCGGGAACCCATCATCTTCAAGTTCGCCCACTAGCTCTGAACCGTCGACGAGTAGTCACTCTTCAGCTGGTAAAATAGTCGGTATCGTATTAGGTGTCATCTTTGGTATCCTCTTTGTGGCCTTCGTTGCATGGTATATCCGTAGATGGGCCGTCAAGCGTGCGGATGATCGCACTCACCTCAAAGCTACGCGGCACACTCAGAAGGGATATATTCGAAGCACGGAACAATTCTGAACCTTTCGTACATACCTTGCTGCTTCTATCCACGCTCTCTTCACCTGTTCTGTTCATTGTAACGTGGTACTTTTTCACAAACATTCTTCTGACGATCGATAGGTCGCCGGGTATATCTGTTCCCTACCTGGATCAATCGGGACGCTACTCAACCTTCATATTGTATTGCTTATAGCGTATATCACGTGCATATCGCCAGTACCTTCGAGTTCTGGTAGTACATACCCTACTCCTACATGCTACCCCTTAGGACTTAAGAGCTTAGATTTTTACCCAATTTATGCTTTGATGATGTTGTGCCAATCGAATGCGAATATTTGAGTATGACTAAGCAGGCTGCTGAAATGGTGGCGCGGGTGATTCCAATTCCATTACCCGCAACTCTACACGATCAAGTCGCTCGACACAAGTTCAGCCGCAAGTTTGTTTCTCTCTCAACTTCACGCAATCATGACCACAGAGAAAGGGTAAATACAAGCTTTATCTGTCTAATCATTGAGCTGATAGTCGTTCTAGGTTTCTTGGGGTCACACCACCAATCTCAACGGCCGAATCGACCGAGAGGGAAAAGGAGGTCACAGCGACCTTGATGGAGGAGCTGAGAAGACAGAATACTTTCGAAAGTGTGGAGGAGGCCCGGCTCAGGTAGGATCAATACTTTTTTGCTTTCATTGAATGTCGATGCGCGGACGGCTCTCCGAGAACCTCGTGGGTGCTGCGCTATCGTTGAAGATCATTGGATGCGCATTTCATGGTTCTTGGGTTGTTCTTCGTGTCTGGCTTTTCGAGTGCATCCTCTGGAGAGGCAGGCGATGCTGAGGTCGCTTTCGATTTTCGCAGGGAAACCGTGCTCGGACGTGTAGCTGCCGTCGTCAAAAAATTTGTGTATGAGGTGTCACTGTCTCGTGGACTTTCGGAAGCAGCAGCGAACGCTGCTGGGGGAAAAATATTTACCTTTGGTTCATACCGTCTCGGCGTTCATGGACCTGGGTCTGATATTGATACTCTTTGCGTTGTTCCTAAACATGTATCTCGCGAAGACTTTTTTGAAAAGTTCGAGCCGATGCTTAAAGAACTAGAGGGTGCTACGGAGGTATCGGTGAGTTTGATCTAACAGTACTGGTTTCTGCGACATGGACCGATGATGACGACGACGACGATTAGGGTGTGCCGGAAGCGTACGTTCCGATTATCAAGGCCAAAATCTCGGGAATACCATTAGATCTGCTGATGGCTCGTCTGGCGTTATCATCTATACCAGATGATCTGTCATTGAAGGATGATAACCTTTTACGAAATCTAGACGAGCGATGTGTGCGAAGTCTTGGAGGTAAATTTTATTTTCCGTATTGTTCACTCGTATTCATATGCGCATAGGTTCACGGGTAAATGATGAAGCTCTGCGTCTGGTACCCAATGTTGAGGTCTATCGAGACTCGCTTCGATGCATCAAGCTCTGGGCCCAACGTGAGTTATTCTACTGAGTGACTTTGGGTGAGGTGCCTTGCTGATGCACTGCATTCAGGGAGGGCCATCTACTCGAATGTAAACGGGTTCTTGGGCGGTGTCGCATGGGCAATCCTTGTCGCCCGAATATGTCAATTATATCCCAATGCTACGGCGGGGGCGATCGTCAGCCGATTTTTCATTATCATGTACCAATGGTGCGCCCGTTCATGGAAGTGCTTTGTGTGCGTGTATGCTATTGATATCCAGGTCGTGGCCCCAACCGGTGCTGCTGAAACAAATAGAAGAAGGACCATTACAAGTTCGCGTTTGGAATCCAAAAGTGTGTTTTGTTTATTTTAGAAAATAAGGCACTTTTGTTGATTCGCTTTCTACAGCTTTATCCTGCAGACCGGTCACATAGGATGCCTATCATCACACCCGCATATCCTGCAATGTGCTCAACTCACAATGTAACAGCATCGACACAGATGATTGTCACTGAAGAGTTCAAGAAAGGTGAGTGTCCTCCTTGAAATTCTGTTTTTTGTGGTATTCTCAAGGTTGTATAGGAGCAGACATCGTGGACAAGGTTATTGTCGGGACAGCAAGTTGGTCAGAACTTTTCCAGAAACACGACTTCTTCCACAAGTATCGATATTACCTTCAAGTTATCGCATCAACTGGCACTGCAGATCTGCAGATCAAATGGTAAGAGTTCCTTCTGATGTACGTTCGGCAAGTCTGCAAGTCACATCCAGGGCAGGAACCGTCGAGTCTCGGATACGGCAGTTGGTCATGAAGCTTGAATACGTCGATTCACTGATTCTTGCGCATCCATTCATCAAAGGCTTTGATCAAGTTTCACATTGTATTACCGAAGAGGAAGTGAGACAGGTTGCACAAGGACAGATCTCAGATCTCATCGCCAAGCGAACAAAAGCTGACATCGAAGGCCTCGACGGTGCGAGCACAGTCCATTCGACGACCTTCTACATTGGACTTCTGATCGAACCAAAGCCTCGTGCGTCCTCGATTCCCACATGGTTTCCCTGCGGAATGTCTGCGGCTCATCATATTTTCTGTTTTCAAGTTGGCGCTGTGGGCCCGCGGAGGCTCGATATATCATATCCGACCACCGAGTTTACCAAACTCGTCAAGATGTGGGAGAAGTACGACGAGGATACGATGGGAATTGTGGTGCGGAACATCAAAAGGTCGTGCAATTTGGGCAAGTCATCCCTTCCAATCTCATTCATTTCACTAGTTCTGCTCTTCCCGACTACGTGTTCGACGAAGGCGAGCGACAACCCAAACAGGCCCTGAAACGCCCCAAAACAGGAAAAGTGGGTGGTTTTGGTGGTTCCCTTGAGCATGGCTGACCTGCATCGCGATGTATGTGAAGGGATCGGGCAAGTCAAGCAATACCTCGCCTGATATGCCCAACAAGAAGAGACGGTTGGTACACACTCTTTCACATGTTTTTACCATTGATCTCGCGTGGCTGCGCGCTCAGCAGATCGGAGACAACGCAAGATAACGAGAATGGTATTCCGGGCTTGTCATTCTCAAGCGCAATGCTACATGGCGAAACCAATGGCCTATATGCTCCTATCAACCGGGCCGTCAGCGAAATCAAGTCCCCTCAGCTTCCTCTTGGTGAAAACGCTGTTGTCGCCACGGGAGCGAAATAGAAAGAAGGTCTTCTCGCAACGGTGCTGGTCCCTTGAACAATTCCACCAAGCTCTAGCTCTGCTCCAGCTTGCTCGTTCCGGGGGCCATAGACCAGCTGTCATGGCACAACAGCCCAGTTTTCATTGGCATGACCGTCCTGCAGGTGTTTGGTTTATTTATCCATTTTTCTACAGGGACTGAAGCACACGGCGAGATACATTGGGCAAACCTTCAGACCTCAACAGCGCAATACAGTGGGATGAGTGCTACACTTATGTCCGTTGGCTTTTATTGTACTCCCAGCATTCGCGCTACTTTTCACTTAGTCTCTTCGCCTTCGCACTCAAGTTTGGCAACTTCGATATTTTCCCTTCGTATTTCAGCATTTTAAAAACCAAACACACAATTTTGTATCGTAACTTACGCATGAACTATAAATTTTCTTCGATGTTAAACATGGGATGTAAGTGAATACAGTAAATGAAATAAATATGAACGGCAGAAATGTCGTGAGATGAGAAGCATACATCAAGTTCATAATATAAGTAAAGTCCTGGGATCAACGAATATGGAACATAGAATTTCTTGACGAGCTACCGATTGCATTCGTAGGTGTCCGTGAGCCCCGGCGTCGATTAGGGTTCAAACATGGAAGATCACGCTCTATTCGCGGCGAATCTGGATCGCGGACGCCCATGACGAGTTTTGATCCTAATGCTTCAAAGTTGAGACTAGCACCTATCTTGAAATCGTCTGATTTCCATATGCGCTGGTAGATGTAGGATTCGGACTGGGAGTTTGTGGAAGAAGCAGGGGATTGCGATACGAAGGGTGTGCGGAGCCAGAAGCGGAGGCGGTGAGATGCGCCGGCGGGTGTTGAAGTTACAGGTATGGCGCTGAGGGAAATCGGTGAGATTGTAAATGGATGTTGTGCAAGGGGGACGTACTAGATCAGGAATGTGACGATTTGGGGTTCGCACTCTAGTCTCATGTAGTAGTCATCGAAGAGTGTTCGTCCGGCGCCTCCGGCTTCGTACTCTAGGGAGAGACTGTATAGGCCGACTTCTACGATTTTCCATCTATGTGATTCATGTTGAACTTAAGTCTTATGTTGCGGAGATGGGACGAACCGTATGATGAAGCTAACGTGTGCACGACCTACCATGCCCTGGTATATCAGCATGTCTTGTGTTGCATTCCGCAGTACGGCAAATGAAGCGTCTCCGACAGATCGAAAGTCGGGGTCCCTCCCAACCCAAAGGTCGTTATCGCTAAATACCCGGTGGTCGATGCCTGCAGTCTGGAGCCAAACGCGCAGGTTGTACAGACAGCCAGCCGGTAGACTCGTTCGTGGAGGGAAGATGCTGGTAAGGAGTGAGCTTTCCTATTGAACTTGGCATGTCGTGACTTACAAAACAGAGAAATCCAGCTGCCGGGGGTCTATTGATAGTCTCAGGGTGACTGGAGCACAGAGCGCTCTTTCAACATGACCAGCTTTCATTGAAAGGGACAGTGTATAGTGATTTGGTTGATCTGCTTCAGGTTCAACGCTTCTCATTTCAGGTAAATCATGACGACGGGGAATGTGACAAGACGACGTACAGCACGGAGAATTGCAGGGGAGTAAATGCAGCTTGTAGGTTGTACGTATATACCACCGTCTCTTGTGTGTCCATCTGCAAAAATGACTCTGAGCCTGGACTGAGGACTCTATTAGCAGCTACAAAATTAGAAAGACATATAATACGTACGCACTTTGAAGTACTTGATCTGGCCAGTGCGAGAGGCGGTCCCCGATATCTACTGTTAATGATCGACACCGCATAGATAAACAACGCCACGAAGGATAAGCAGCGGAGCAGAATAATCAGCGATGAAAGAAGCCATTTGGAGCCACAAAGTTACACTTTGCTTCCCACACTAGGGGGTTCGTAAACTGGGAGGAAAGCCTCTTCATCCGATTCATCCCCTCGGACAGTAGTGCTGATGCTATCCTGTCGGATCACCGACCAGAGGTTTGAATGAATATTTGCGGGCATAGCTCAACCGTGATGCAATGATAGATCCGTAGTATGTAAGATGAAGGGAAGTATGTCAGAACTTGAACGAGCGGCCCTTGGCGGCGATGACTAGGATGAGGATATCCGCGCTCCAGCAAGCTGCTATCTAAGGGAGGATCAGCTACGCACAGGTTTGAACAGCCTTGTTAGACGTGGTATATTTAATTCAAGTCGTAACTGACACTGACAAGTCCGATGTGCTGATATGATGATATGATGATAAGCTGCTGATGTGATTGAAGAGCACTTGCCAGAAGTTTTCTTAGAAAGGAAAGTCATAATTTTAATGCTTGTTCGACGCTGTCCATGGCGCTCTATACAACTGCACCAGCTCTGGTGTCCACGACAAATCCATACACGCGAAGCAAACCACGACAAGCGCTGGCCCGGCTGGCAAGTAATTATAGGTATTGAAGTGCATGCCCAGATCAAGTCTCGCCGCAAGCTTTTCTCAGGTGCGTCTCTCCCAGTCTAACGATCGCGTTCTCGCATAATCTAACATGCATAGAATCATCCACATCTCGTCCAGGTGAGATACCCAATACCACTGTGTCCACATTCGATTCCGCATTCCCTGGAACACTACCGGTTAGCCTACCTCGCCCGTTCTCTTGGCGTGCAAGCTGACATCACGTTTCAGACATTGAACCCAAAATGCGTGGAGTTAGCAGTTAGAACGGCGTTAGCACTAAACTCGAAAGTCCATCACCAATCGGCGTTCGATAGGAAACACTACTTTTACTCTGACCTCCCGGCAGGATATCAAATAACTCAGCGTTACTGTAAGCTCAACTCACAATCTTGTAGAGTATGAACGCCGACAATCTGATCTTTTCACAAGCTCCGCTGGCCTCGGGTGGTTATCTAAAGCTCTCCAAAGGCGATGTTTCAGTGGGAATCCAGCAAATCCAGCTTGAGCAGGTAAGACAGATAGAGTTTCGTGCATGAACCGAAGCCGAAATGTACACAGGATACGGCAAAGTCCACGTTTGATGGGCTTAGACGCACGTCACTCATTGACCTAAATCGAGCTGGCTCGGGGTTGATGGAAATAGTTTCAGAGCCTCATATGCGGTGAGCTACTTTGATTCACATCACTTATGTGACAGCTTAGTCCAATTATGTAGATCCCCCGAGGAAGCCGCAGATTATGTTCGGACATTGCAGGCCGTTCTTCGCTGTGTTGGCTCTAGTGATGGCAACATGGAACAAGTGGGGCATCTGTCTCCTCTGAATGTGATTCACTGTTGATTCAATTTATTGCAGGGGTCCTTCCGCTGCGATGTGAATGTGTCTATCAACAAACACGGACAGCCGCATGGTACTCGTTGCGAGATCAAAAATCTCAACAGCGTGAAGTTCATGATGGTAGCAATCAGTTAGTAGACTATCTGCGTAGCCATTTCGAATCACTTCTAATGTTCGAACAGCGTCAGAGGTCTTTCGTCATATCGAGCTGCTCGAAAGTGGCTGCTCTGTGCCGCAGGACACCAGAGGATTTGATGAAAATAAGGCCGAAACTTTCAAGCTCAGAAGCAAGGCGGATTCTCCTGATTATAGATACATGCCGGACCCGAATATCCCTCCATTGCTGTTATCTGAGGTAACAACCTGCTTGTAATCCTGCTCATGTCATCTGAAACTCCATATAGGAGTATATCGAGACCATCCGCAAGACCATGCCGGACCTCCCTGATACGACCCGTGTCCGTTTGCGGAATCTTGGGCTATCTGAGCGTGATACAGATGTCCTCATGGCCGTCGACTCGGGTCACGAGGTTGGATTCGATGGTGAACTTGGAAAAGGCGCTGTGACTTACTTTGACTCCCTCGCGCAACAAAGGGACCCGAGAGTCGTCGTCAACTGGTTTGTCTGGTTTTATCCTTGTTGTAGAAGTTTTATACACAAGTATTTACACCCAGGATGACGCACGAGCTCATTGGGCAGTTGACTGCTCGGAAAGAAACCTTCAGCGATAATCCCGTATCTGTCGAGCAACTAGGCGAACTCATCGACCTAGTGCAGGATGGCAAAATTACTGGTAAGCCTTCTTTTTTGTCCAGCGTTATATTCATCAATTATCACTACCAGGGACTTCGGGAAAGTTGTTATTGAAGCATATCATTGCCAATCGTTCTTCGTTAGCTCCCTCTGTACTCGCACGGGAGCTTTCTCTTGAGGCTGTATCAGAAGATGATAACGCCTCCACTCGAGCATGGTGTGCTGAAGCCATCGAAGCACTTCCTGAAGAGGCGGAAGCTGTGCGCCAAGGTAATCCTCGAGTTCTCAACAAGCTGGTAGGTAAAGTCATGCAGCTCAGCCGCGGACGTGCCGATGCACAAAATGCACGTGTTGTGCTGGAAGATGTTTTACAAAGATAGTTTCCTGATGCTATCAAATGATGTAACTTGTGTGATTCTTCACTCATCAATGTTCAGCATGTTCAAGAGATTATCCAGTGCCCGAAACAACTAAATGGCACTACATAGCTTCTTTTCTTGAATTATGCCGTGATGAGTAGTACAAAACCTGTGTGGTAGCCGAGTATCCCGACTCCCAGTTGGGACTCGACAGAAACAGAAACGTCAAAGGACATGTCATAGGAATATGCTGACGTATCTTGGCTGACGCCCAATTGCCCCGTATTCTTTGATTGCAAAAACACATCAACCTGATGTAATAGACTAAGAGCGTGGTATTTAGAGATACAAGCAGTGGTCGTAGTTTCCATTTTGGTCTGCACCCCACCATTCTGGGAAAAGGTATGATGTTCCAGCAGCCCCTTGAACCGCAAAGGAGAGAATGAATATCATGACCTGCGTTCCACCATCAAGGGCTAATAGCATAGCATTATGTTAGTGGTCGAGATAGAAAGGCCACAGAGCTTACCTGCACCGACCAGATAGTTGTATTCCTTGAACCAACGCGGGTACCTAGTACGAAGCCACCACTGAGACAAGAACGCGATCGTGTAATACGACAAAGCCGAGGAGTTTATTCCAACAGAAAGGCATGCCATGTACGCACTGTGCACATAATGAACTTAGAATATCGATCATTGATGAATTGAAAGCGTACCAGATGATAGGGGTGTAATAGTAATCCATGCGCAGTTTCGGCCAGTAACGGTGAATGATCCAGAAAGGAAGAGGCACAACCAGGCCAATGATATAGGATAAAGGAACCCACTGGTACCTTTGACCAGATGAAAAGAGTTCATGAGCAAGGCCACCCCACGCAATGGCTTGCGAGTTGTATGCTTGAGGTTGCTGGCCAGACCAGATATTTGTTCCTTGTACAGACAACAGGATTTCGCGTTGATTGTCGATGATGGAATTCATCAATTCTAAAAACAAGTCAAATGTGGAGAATGAATAGGCAAGATGGTTCCGAGTCCCTAACCATAGTTGAGAACAGCGCCGAGTAAGGTGCCAAGGATCTGTGCTGTGAATGCAGCGCGGGGAGGCAGCTTGGCGTCTAGGAATCCGCCAGTGAGAGACACCTTTCCCGACAAATAACGCGCACATACATTGAGCGATCTTCAGATCGCGTAGTAGCAGCATTGCTTGAGACACGGTATTCTAGGGAGAAAACGAATCAAAAGGTCGAGGAGGCGATAATGAAGATGCGTACATAGCTGTAAAGAACCTGTGGATATCAACATAAGTGGTGGTCAAAGACTGGAAATGATGGCAAAACGAACAAAGAACATATTCGCCATGGGTCGTCCGGTCTGTAGGTAGCCAGCAATCATCTGGACTAGGGTTTCTTTACTAAAAGATCAACTCGGGGCACCTATAGAGCAAAAACAATACTCGCGGATGGAAAGCGTAATGCCTGTGATAGCGTACAACGCGGTGAAGAACAAGATAGACACAACGGCCAAGAGTACTGCGATAATAAAGCCCCACCTTAAAGGACATGATATAAATTTTCGTCAGATGGAGAGTGAGAATGTTGCTCACCAGGGAAGCGTGGAATCTGTCTTGTATATGACGACCAATCCAAGAATGAAGGAGAGAACGAACGTCAAGAAGTACCAACTATTCGGAGCATCTGGATACTGTATAGTAATATGTTAATAGTAAGGTCCCTATCTCATGTCAGAAGGACTAACCTTCAGCATCTCCCGGTAATGCGGGTCGAGGTCCCCAGTGTTAGTGGGGACTTCCCTTTTTCCACCGTGTTTCCAGAACTTCCAATCGAAATTAGCACGCCAACTCCTCAATGTGTTCATGTTGATCCAACTCCAGGCTGCACGAAGGTCATGTTTATTCCACAGGAGTAAGTGAGTGAACGTTGCACCCAATGACTGTGTTGGATCTATGAGCAATGCATTTTACACCAGCAGTCATTCATCACATACGAGATTGGTTGTCAGCAGGTTAACAACCCAGGTGCCGGCGTAGAATGGCAGTCCCTGTGCTGCCACTAAGGCAGGATCCACCTCATAGTTGGAATCCATAATCAAAGTCTGGTTGTAGACAGTCCCGTTCTCGTAAAAGAGGAGCTGCGCCAACTGATCGATGTATCGTTAGCCTGGATATTGGAAAGCGCAATGAAAGAATATTACTCACAAACGGGAAGTTCTGAGATTTCCAAATATTGTTGTAGAATACGGCGACAAAGACAACTCTTCACCTCCCTCAGTAATATTTTGGGATGTGACTGAAATCACATACATGCAGAGAAGATAACCAATAAAGCTGGAGAGCTAGGGTAGACGTTAGAAACGTCGTACACACTGGCGTGCCAACTAACCTGAGCTTTCAGTGGGATAGTCATCGGGTTCAAACCACCCGAGATGTACTAAACAAATTGAGTTCAACCCAAGTGTAACCCAAATCAAGATGGCGAGCACTACCTGCCAGTCGAAGCACAGGGACAATAAACCGAGGCCCTCGTTTCCATTGGAACCACCAAACACACGAGAGACAACAGCATTGTTAGGAGCGGCGAGGCAGAATATCGAGAGACCGGTAAGCAGTGGGAATATCCATTCGGGAAAAATCTCCCATATAAAGATTCTGAAGTCAAGATGATTAGAAATTGAACATCAGACTATGATTTATTAATGAAGTTTAAACATACGCAGTAAAAACGAAATAGAAGACCTTGAGCTTTCGACGGGCTTCGATGCCATCGCGATAGAAAGCGTCGAGCATGGAGACCAACGGGAGAACGTCGGGGTACAACATCTTCGATGGATAGAGGAGGATCCCTGAGTCAGTGTCATGAGTTGAGATTCCAAAGTATAGCTACTGCCGGATGCAAAAATACCTCGCATCAGACCCCCTATCCCATAGCTGTGGTTCGCGGCTTCAGCGATGGGTGGAGTAAGGAGTACATCAACGCAACGCACCCGAGCAGTTGAGAAGAGAACAACAAAATGATTGATGAGCCAGTGTTCGGTACGATGTTATAATACAAACTGATGAGTCGTCAGTCACCACCGACAGAAGAATTGGATTGAGAGCGCACCGTTGGACGGCGAGGACTTCCGTACCCAATGCAGAGTTCGCGGCTGCACTGGCCATGATGATAATGAACGCATTCTCCTTCTTATTGAAGGGCCCCTAATACGGATGAACTCCAGGGTCAGGGGCTACGTGAAAGACTCGGACGCACTGGATTCAGGTATCGGAACAATCCATGGCGGGGAATGAATGTTTCCATCGCAAGGCCAATCACATAGGATATGATGCCGAGGAACATCAGAGATACAAGGATGGTTTGCTGGAGTGTCAACCAGAATGAGGCCTCCGAATTGATGTTTGATCAAAGGACTCTCACAGGTTTAAAGTAATAAATCTGGGCTAGGAAGCAGTGCACTGAGTGAGTAAAAGCCTCGATTGAATGATCTCGACTGCTTTACCCAGCGAACCACCAAAGGCAGAAAGGCCAAGGCCGATGAAGAAAGCTCGAAAGGTCCAAGGGTTCAGATTAGGATCGTCGTCCACGGAAATGACGTGCGTTGCAATATCTCGCTCGTTCTCAAGGACAACAATCTCGTCTGTGTCTTCTCCGGTGGAGGTCTCAATATCCCCCTTGACGCAGTGAGGTTTCTCCTCCACGTGGAAGGATTTCTCGTCAGTGACACTGGTAATCCTTTCCGTAGTAGCCATGACTAGAGAGAGGGTACGGGATGCCTAGGTAGACCAAGGTGGAATGGCTGATATTCATCGATACGTAAATATGCCTCAAAATAAACAAACAAACCTAGTGGGGAACGGGCCAGTGGGCCGAGAGAGAACCGAAAGAATGATAAGTCCTACTATTCTTGAAAGATAACTTGAACAGGCACATGCACATGATACAAGCACGTAGTTGCAGCATTGGAAGGCGCCAGCAGGGTTGGCAGTGCACCGTCTCTCTCGCATGGTCCATATGGATTCAAAAGATAACGGACTTTGAGTGAGATTAACACTAGACTGAATAAGTCAAGAAGTCATTTGATTTGTGATGATGATACAAAGATCTAGTCAATCTCCCGTCTTCACTCGTACGAGAATACTCAACACTTTACCTGTTTGCTTGCCATTTGATCGACATCGATTGATGGTACCAGACACATCTGCGCAGGCCCTATGACGCTGCACATACTAGTACAAGGACTACAAAGACCTATTTGAAAGTCCAAGTGCCAAAAATAATACTATCAATTTGAAATTAGCTGACTCAGCGACTGTGCATTGTCTGAGAATCACGTGACGTAGCGATCGAACCGCGGCGCGTGGCCGGTATACTCAGTTTGTTCCGTCAACCAGAGGTGGCTTGACGCCATAATATCTGTGCAGTCAGTTTTATTGTATACTGCAGGATAACTGGAGTCATGGGTAAGTCTTTTGCTCACAGTCAGATGATTACTTGACATTGTCTTGCAGACACTACTGTGGCAAAACAGCTTGTAGACAAGATTTATGAGAAGAGAAAGGCAGCCGCTCTCGAATTAGAGAAGTAGTTATACTCGCTTGCAGTTAATATTAATGTGTTGAGCGTTCTCAGGCAGATTCGAGAATGCCACCAGCAAAGTGACCAGCGTCGTATAACCCAGATCATTGAACAGCTGGTGGACATGTTCAGCAATCCGTCAAATCCACTTCACATCAGAAACGGAGGTCTCATTGGCCTAGCTGGTACAGCCATTGCCCTCGGTGTGGACGTCGCCCCTTACATGGAGAAATTCATCGAACCTGTTCTGGCATGCTTTACGGATCCTGAAAACAGAATACGATATTTCTCCGCCGAATGTCTGTACAACATCGCCAAGGTCTCCAAGGGCGAAGTTCTTGTTTATTTCAACCCCATATTTGACGCCCTCAGTAAAGTGCGGTAGCTCCTCGTCAAGTTTTGCATTACGACTGAGCCGAACTTCTCAGCTAGCCGCTGATTCAGAACTATCAGTCAAGAATGGAGCAGAGCTGCTTGATCGACTTTTGAAGGATATTGTGGCAGAGACAGCTTCGGTGTATATTCCGCAGTATCCAGAGACGGAGAGGATTCGTGACCTGTTCGATTCTCAGGAGCAGAGTATACTTGTTACTTACCCCGACGACCGATCCCTGGGAGAAAACGTCTCTGTGCAGAAGAAGGCATTCTCCCTCGCGCGCTTCATTCCACTTCTGCAAGACAGGATATATGTTATTAGTCCATTCACAAGGAGCTACTTAGTATCATGGATAACGGTGCTTGACTCGGTTCCGGAGCTCGAACTTATAACATACCTCCCAGAATTTTTAGACGGCCTCCTGTGAGTCGGAAAGTTTGTGGCTCAAGGTCCTCGCTAATGCATCTGTCCAGGAAGTACTTATCGGACCCAACCGAAGATGTGCGTGTAGCCACGGAAAACATTCTTGCCGATTTCCTACGTGAAATCAGAGACGTCAGCATGGTTCGTCAACGCAAAGAAGAACACGCTGAATCCTCCGATCTACGACGGCCAGATGAGAAGCTTCCTGACATCACGATGTCTCACTCTGAACGCGCACTTTTCATCCCTGAGAGTGACTTTGGTCACGATCATGATGGAGAGTTCAGTTTGAAGGATGAGCACAAATCAGAAGACTATCGCGGCACTGGAGGTAGGTGTTGTTTGTATACCTTCGTTGAAAGTGCTCACTGCTCGCGCAGCCTTGGTTCCGGGGCAGGGTGTGCGGATAGACTATGCAGCCATAATAGAAATTCTCATACAACAACTCGACAACCAACGTGAGCTGTTTCCATCCAAGCTAACATTGCACGGTACTTACCTTGCATGCAGATGACGAAATTCAACAATCTACGGCCCTTCGTTGGCTTGCCGAGTTCTTGACATTTGTGCCCGATGTTATGGTGCCTTTCACGCCTCGTCTTATTCCTGCCATACTCCCGAATTTAGCACACCATGTTCCTATGATCCAGTCGGCTGCGCTCCGGACTAACAAGCTACTTATGAACGTCATCCAAAACCTACCCGGACCAGTGGAGAGCATACCCCGACAGAACACAACGGAGAAGCCAGTTGCGCCAGCAAGTTCACCAGCCCCAAATCCTCAACCTTCACGGCAAATAACCGTCCAGCCACCGTCCAGAGACGCCTCTTCTCCCGAGTCAATGACCGATAACCAGCCGCCGTCTTCATCCGATAAGACCACGATGACACAGCGTCCTCGCTCAGGGACAATGCAAACTTCCGTCACGGATTCTTCGAGCAGGCCTCAATCACGCATGTCATCAAATAGTGTACCGGGTGCTCCACCACCACCAGCTCCAGCTCCAACGCCCCCTTCGCCCGTGCCGGAGGAAGCAGACCAGTTTAATTATCAGGCGACGGTTAATGAACTGACGATACAGTTTTTGAGCGAACATGAGCAAACCAGGGTTACTGCACTGAAGTGGCTTATAATGCTGCACCAGAAAGCACCCAAGAAGGTGTGATTGAATCCGTCTGGAGAACGTACAAACTAAGAAGATTGTCAGATTCTTGCGATGGATGATGGTACTTTTCCGGCGTTGCTGAAGACGTTGTCGGATTCGTCCGAAGAGGTACTCAAATATGCATCGACTTGCATCGCGTGACTCATATTTTATTAGGTTATCAAGCACGACCTGCAGCTCCTCGCGCAAATATCGTCCTCCTCAGAAGAGAGCTATTTCAAGGTTTTCATGATGAACCTTCTCGAACTCTTCAGCACAGATAGGAAGCTTCTTGAGGCCCGCGGCAGTCTCATCATTCGCCAGTTGTGTCTTAATCTCAATACAGAGAGGATATATAAAACGTTTGCAGAAATTTTAGAGAAAGAAGAGGTTGCTTGTTTTTCGTGGTCCCTATAGCAATATCAGCTGACTGTCATTATACAGGATCTGGAGTTTGCAAGCGAGATCGTACAGAAGTTGAATATGATCCTGATCACTTCGCCTGAACTGGCGGAGTTTCGCAAACGGCTGAAGAGCCTTGAGACAAGGGTTGGTTCGTTGCATTCTCGTTTGATTTCTTGACTGATGACATGTGCAGCAAGATGGCCAAGCACTGTTTACCACACTTTACAGGTCATGGTGTCATAATCCAGTTGCAGTGTTTTCGTTGTGCCTGCTTGCGCAGGCTTACGAGCATGCATCAAATTTGCTATCAATCTTGTGGGTTTGTCTTACATGATGTATTTGATTGTTACTAATAAATGTCACGCCAGTGCTGATTTGGAGATCACCGTTCCACTGCTGGTCCAGGTCGACAAATTGGTGCAACTGATTGAATCTCCTGTGTTCACTTGTGAGTTGTCTATTGATAAGATGAATCAGAGATTGATGATGTTCCGGAAGACCTACGCCTTCAACTCCTTGAGCCTGAACGTTATCCCTACTTGTTCAAGTGTCTATATGGGTTACTCATGCTGCTCCCACAATCTACTGCTTTCGTCTCACTCCGTAACCGTCTCAACGCAGTCAACTCTGCCGGCTTCCTTCATATTGCCCCAAAAGCGTGAGTTTACGCATTCTCATTTCATCATGCGCTGATTATAACCAAATCCTAGGATACCCAATCCCATCACCTCGCGCTCCAAGCTGGGCCGCGATGAGATCAAATGGCAAGAACTTCTCAATCATTTCCGCGCACTGCAAAGCAAGCACGAGAAAGCCCGACGTCAGGATCTTGGGAATGCCTCATCTCAGGATGATATCACCATTTCACCGCTCTCGCCGCCCGCATCTGCCAAACCCCCGATGCGGCGGCGAGTAACAGGTGACCTCCCAGTGCCACCGATTATCCCGCAGAAGCCTGCACTGAGTCCGCTCAATCCAAAGGCAAGGCAGAATGGGCTGCTGGCGAGCACGTTGCAGGCTGCGACAACACCAGGGGTGATGCAACAGAGGACGAGGCGAACTCTGGGCTTCCCTGTGGTGCCACCCAGGAAGGGGTGATTAGGTTTGATTTTGATTGGCTTGATTTGCAGCGGACTTCTCAGTACATACTTGCATGCACATGATACTTTAATGGTGGATAACATGATAAATCAATGATGGGCAGTGGTGATGGGCGTCAGTCGTATGACGTAAAGTAAGTGATAAGAGATTAAGATATCTACATCCGAGACTTTGTTGTGACGACGAGGTTTGAACGAATGGTTTTCAGGTCTTGGTCTGTTAGCTCGGTATAGGTCTTGACATACGTCTCTACGCCGCCATACTTCTCCTCCAAGAGATTGAAGAAGGCTCGCATGGTCTCGTATCTAATGGAATGCGTTGAGGATCAGTGTTGGGAGATTTGTATTTTGCATACCGAGATGTCAGCATGCGCATTGCAGCTTCAGAGTTGGCAGCGAACAATGGCTCCTTCGAGAGTCTTCCTAGGACCTTTGCGCGGTCTGGTTCGCGTCCTACTCGTGTAAGGGAATAATCTTGTGAGATAAAGTGATTGTCCACGCCTGCTAGCTAGAAGGAATGAGTTTATGATGCTGAAAGGGACCAACGGTAGCGATTACCTTGAGAAGGATGGCAGCGATGACTCCTGTTCGATCTTTCCCAGCTAACAAAAATTGAGAAACTACCGAGATGAGAGGAAGTATGAACGAACCCGTGCAGTGAAAGATGAAAGGAGACTTTGGTTTGTCCCGGACATGGCGCAGAATGGTACCAAATGCGGGCCCGCCATGTTCTAGTATTTGGGAGTAAAGGATCATAAAAGACTGCAGGAGCTCGATCACATAACAAAATATTTGATCAGGTCGCATACCTCTGTTGTTCCGGTTGCGTAGAGTTCAAACTTCCTTGAGGAAGGTCAGTGATAAATGGGGCGGCACGGTGGCAGCACGTACGCACTTGGCAAGCTTCTCTGGACTGTAATCCTCGTTCTTGAACACAGGCGTGGGGATTACGTCTACACCCTCAATGGTAGGTATCGGAGAGCTATACTTCATCATCTCCGGATCTGATCGTAGATCAAAAACGGTTAAGATTCCGAGCGAGACCATTTTCCGTGCACCTTGCATTGGAGTGAGTTTCATATATTAAGAAGACTTGAAGAATGAACCTTCTTCGGTGATGCTGGAGAGCTCTGCTGAACGATAGGCATAACCAGGCTTTGTGACTACGTCTGGAGTCGCAGTAGGATATGAACCTAGATCGCGAACGTTGCACACGCCTGGGATCTGGACAAAAGGAGGTCTGGAAAGCACATCTGCCACATATGCAGGATCGAGAGGCTCTAGTTCGGAATCCGTGGCGGTCATCTGTGACAGTAATGAAGCGTTCGTTTGAAGCCTTGAGTGAGGACAAATAGAGTATGACTCGCAGTGATATTCGCAAATAAAGGCTAATCTTGCATCATACCAGTTCATACGAAGCTAATACCCCTAATTTACCTGCATTACAACAGTACTGCTGGTAGACTAAGCTAAAAACATAGACTGAGATAGAGTACTGAATTTTACAGAGCTTTCAAGTTCAAGGAGTACAAGACTAATTAGCTGAGTCATGGTCACGCGAGTATTAAGCTTGACTGAATCACGTGTCAGTGTCACAGATGTGACACTTCGCGCTTGAGGGCAGGCAGACTCGTGTTTTAACGCGTCGCGATCAAAGTAATTGTAATCATCAACTTCCGATCGATCTGCCATTTTCTTTCTTCAATTCAATAACATGGATATCGACGAACCACCATCTCCAGCAGCACCTAGGTCGTCGTTGCCACCAAGCAGCGCTCCCATGGCCACCATGTCCTCTTCTAATGGAACACCCAGATCTGCAGGCAGGAGACCAGCCTCTGATGCACTTGCATTTAACGACGATGAAGCTGAGGAGGCAGAAGAAGACGGTGCTACAGCGAGACGGAGAAGGCGACCCAAAAATCAGCAAAACGGTGATGTCCCACTTGTTAGAGATGCTGTTGGCGAGAGCGTGTCTGAGAGCTTCGAGTCTTTCTTAAAGACGTAGGTCACATCAAATATATATTTTGTGTGTTCTGATTTGTTTTTTGCAGGTTTACAGAAGAAGTCGCATTGGCCTCAACGCCGGCATCCGATGGTGACCTTCCAGAGGTCATCGAGGGTGAATTGATCTACATCCAGCAAATCCACACTATGCGTGAATACGAGATAACCACCCTTTATGTCGACTTTACACATCTCCTACAAAAAGATGACGTCCTTGCAGACGCTATTCAGAAGCAGTACTATCGTTTCCTTTCCTACCTCCGTCGCGCCCTGCACAACCTTGTCGCAGAGTATGAGCCTGAGTATCTCAAGATCAATCCTACAGCCGCTACAACCGACTCTGCAAACCTCCAGTCACGAGAATTCAATATCGCATTCTACCATCTACCTCTAGTATCCGGTATCCGCGATCTAAGAACCGATAAGATAGGCACCTTAATGAGTATCAGCGGCACTGTCACTCGCACTAGCGAAGTGAGGCCTGAACTCCTTTACGGTAGCTTCATCTGTGAAGTCTGCGGTGGTCTCGTCAACGAAATAGAGCAGCAATTCAAATACACCGAGGTAAAGTTACGTCCCTCAAAGATACACTGATGTGGGCGCTTATATACGTCCAGCCAAGTCTCTGTCCTAATCCTACATGCGGAAACCGCGTCGCATGGCAACTTCAAATCGATACTTCCAAATTCACGGATTGGCAGAAGGTCCGCATACAGGAGAATCCATCCGAGATACCCACCGGTTCCATGCCTCGATCTCTGGACGTCATCCTTCGTTCTGAGCTTGTCGAACGTGCCAAGGCAGGAGATAAATGTGTTTTCACTGGAACCTTTATTGTTGTCCCGGATGTCAGCCAGCTCGGACTGCCAGGTGGAAACAAAGCGGAGCTAATGCGTGAAGCGAGTAAGGGTGGGGCAAATGCGTCAACAGGTGGTGTAGGTGGAAGTGGTGTAACAGGGCTTAAGAGTCTTGGTGTGCGGGACATGCAGTACAAGACTGCATTCCTAGCATGCATGGTGCATGACGCTGATGGCAGGGTATGTATGTGTGCTTGTGATCACGTTAAAGAATCTCAAATTTCCTTCTAGGGTGGTACTAATGTTCGTGGAGAGGAGGAGGAAGGTGAAGAAGATGGACAGGCATTCCTCCGCTCGCTGACCGAGCCTGAGTTTGATGAGCTCAAGAGCATGATTGACTCGGATCACATATACTCTCGGCTGGTGGAGAGCATTGCACCCACCGTGTACGGTCACGAAATTGTCAAAAAAGGACTCCTTCTGCAGCTGATGGGCGGTGTCCACAAGCAAACAGCTGAGGGCATGCACCTCCGTGGGGACATTAACATCTGCATTGTCGGCGATCCTTCCACCTCAAAATCACAATTCTTGAAGTGCGTTTCAGCTGATGATAAAAGCACACCAAACCAACTACTAATGCACTAATAGATACATTTGCTCTTTTCTCCCTCGAGCAGTCTATACATCTGGCAAAGCCTCGTCGGCAGCAGGTCTGACAGCTGCCGTCGTCAAAGACGAAGAGACCGGTGACTTCACGATCGAAGCTGGTGCACTCATGCTTGCAGACAATGGCATTTGCGCTATCGATGAATTCGACAAGATGGACATTTCCGACCAAGTCGCTATTCACGAGGCGATGGAACAACAGACAATCTCTATTGCGAAGGCGGGCATTCATGCGACCCTCAACGCTCGCACGAGCATCCTCGCTGCAGCTAATCCCATCGGTGGACGCTACGATCGCAAGCGGACGCTACGGGCCAACGTCGCTATGAGCGCTCCGATTATGAGCAGGTTCGATCTGTTCTTTGTTGTACTGGACGAGTGCGATGAGAAGACGGACCTGAACATTGCTAAGCATATTGTAAATGTGCATCGGTTCCAGGATGAAGCTATTAATCCGGAGTTCAGTACGGAGGCTCTGCAGCGGTACATCCGGTATGCCAGGACGTTTAACCCCAAAGTAAGATATAACCTGATGTCTGTTGGATATTACTTATTTGTGTGCAGCTGACTCCAGAGGCCGCCGATATCCTCGTAGAGAAGTACCGCATCCTCCGACAGGATGACGCAACAGGAGCAGGGCGTCATTCCTACAGGATCACCGTTCGTCAACTCGAATCGATGATCCGCTTGAGCGAAGCCATCGCGCGTGCCAACTGCACAGCAGAAATCACGCCAGTTTTCGTGCGAGAAGCATACACTCTTCTGCGCCAAAGTATTATCCACGTCGAACAAGACGATATCGACTTTGATGAGGAAGAATTAGAGGGCGAGCGCGAGGCGCGGAACGCTCCTGCCAATGAGACCTCAGATGCAATTGAAGAGAGCCAAGATATCGAGATGAGTGCAGCAGAAATAGAAGCGATGGACCAGATGGAGGATGAAAGCTCTCTGGGCATGGCCCTGAACCGCACTGCTACGAGCAGTGGTGGTGCTGGACCATCGTCAACGTCGCGCGCGGGCAGCATGGTGCCTGATGTTGCACCACCGCCTGCCCCCGCCCCAAAGAGAAGGATGATCATAACGCACGACAAATACATGACACTACAGAGCCTTGTAGTTTTGCATCTGTCTGCAGTTGAGCGGGAGACTGGGCGGGGCGTTGACCGTGATGAGCTGATTGATTGGTATTTGGAGCTGAAGGAATCGGAGATTCAGGACGTGGATGAACTGGAGTATGAGAAGGAGCTCATTTCAAAGCTACTGAGGAAGTTGGTGAAGGTGAGATATTTCTGGTGGTCTTGCCCTGTCGTTCTATGCTGATAACTTGTAGGACAACTACCTCATCGAGGTGCGTGGCGATGTTCAAGACTCGCTGCCAGAGTCTATGACGGATGACTCTGCGCCGGCTCAGCCATCCAGCACTCAAGATGGAGAAAATGTAAGAGTGTATTATATGGTGCATCCGTCGGTGGACACGGAGGGCACTTCGTCTGTGGCATGATATTGTCGCCATTTTTTTCCGAGTATCTGTTGGGCTCTCTTGTACAGTCTCGCCCACTTGTTGTCTTGCTTGTTGTATTTATTCCATTCCCCTCACTCGGGGTCCGACATTTTATAATACGATGGAAAGATATTGGTTGGGGTAGTGGTGAACTTAGACAAGAAAGTGTCTGTTGCCCGACAGCGAGGATCGATCGAATACGGACTGCTCGCCATGAGCGCTTGAGCACTTTACCCTTGTGCATTATAATAGCAAGTCGCTCCCTCACTCTCCAGACTCAGCCTAGAATGAATGTCTTATTCCCATGACCTGTTTTCCCAGTCCGGAATTCATCGGTGCATCTGCAGAATAGGCAGGACCTGGCAGGCCTAGACTCTATTAAATGAGACGAGCTCAAGTACAGACTTCCACTGACCATCATCGGGCGATCGAACTGGATGAAGTTAGCATTGTCACGATTGTAAAATACGTAAACTGCTATGGCGGACGACTCGCTCATTGTACCTGTCCTGCTGGCCAACGGATCTCTTCACCACCCTAGCGTGGCATCTGATGCACTTGCGCAGGACATTATCGGAGTACTGACTACTCAAGAGGAAGTGATATCTAGTATCCTCGGGGAGCTACAGGATACTGGCTGGGCCCTGCAGCATGTTTGTAGTCAACCGAATGGTCGTAAGTGGGAAGAGGCGGAACTCGAGGCTCTCGGGGATGGTAAGCAATCTTGCGCACATGTATTGCTTGTATTGCTTGGTCTTGGAACTTACCACTTCGTCCTCCGAATGACTTAGGTATAATCGACCCATCGACTCCCATCGCTCCTTTGCTGAAACAATCAAACTATCCAGTGACAAATGCATCTCAGAGGCACTTCTCCACATTTCCCCTGACGTCCCATTTGCATTCCCCAACACTACGCTTGGTTTCGCTACACGCGGCCCTCTCCTTATCTCTCTCGTTTGTGCGCGTGCCCGAGATTCATGACGGGTTTACTTGGACGGTATATTATGCTCGGAGCTCGATCGTGGAGGATGTCATTCGTTTTGTGGTCGAGGACTTGGGTCTTACTAAGAGTTTGCCCATGGCTGGGGGAGGTAACCTTGAATATATCATTCAGGATGGCGGTGAGGCTGATGTGTTGTTTCATAACGTAATGCTCATTCATCTTCTTTATTAGCTTCGAGGATCTCATCCTCGTCAGTATTATCCGACCTCGTCCAGTCATACTTAGCAAATTCCCGCCAAAAGCCTACATTGCAATTCTGCGTACCAGAGGAATGGTACCTTCGCCCGCGAGCTCTTTTACCATTTTCTGTACAGCCTTCCGAGGATACCCTGAAGCGCTTTGAGAACATACAAGCAGAATCGGATGACGCGGAGGGTACTGCAAAGCAGAAGAAATCTACCCTCGATGCACTGATGGCGAATGCTAGCACCGCTCGACCAGCCTCTCCAGATTGGCGTGGTTCAATTACGAGTCTCTTTGCGTGGCAGCAGCCGGCACCTCCTGCCTCGCCACCGCCGTCGTTGTCAAAGAAGCGCATGAGCGTGAGCGATCCGGTCCTTGTCGAGCAACGGACTAGCGGAAGCATCACGCCGGTAACGCAATCGAGTATTCCAGAAGATGAGATATTAGAGGTCGATCAAGCCGAGTTCGAACGTTGCCTCGTAAGAAAGCCTGTACTTATCTGTCTATGACTACGGTTTCATTTCATCAACAGGACCACATGGCATTGAAAGGAGACGCAAGGGACAAGATGCATATATTACCAGCTGCTAAGAAACGGCAAATTATTGACCAAGCACGGGCTTTGCATTCGACTCTCGACGGACGGACTCCTCGACCATCTCAGTCTAGACAATCCACATTGGAAGTTTCTGGCGGGGGAGCTTTCCTTCCTCGTCTAGTCCCACAGCTAACAGGCGACTCCGGAATACTGAAGCGCTTATCAATTTGGGGTACAAGCGCACCGGTTATGTCCCCCGCTCTCAATCGATCTAGTGGCGAATCTGACAAAGCCGCGGAGACGATGCAACCCGTGCAAGCACAGAGTACTGGCAGTATGTTCGGCAACTGGTGGGCGTCTTCAGGTGGAGAGAAGAATGCCGAAGCAGAAAGTATGATATCTGCAAAGCGATATGTTGACGGCTTGCGCAGCATGAAGACGGATGCTAGGCTCGTCAAGCATCTGATTTCCCTCCGAGTACATCTGTCTACTGCAAAGTTACCGTGGATCGAGGAATTTATCACGGAAGATGGCATGAACGCAATAGGTGGCGCGCTTGCAGCACTCGTTGGTAAGGGCGGGAAGAGGACAGTCTTTGCGGACATAGAAAGCACAGTACTGCTAGAGATCATCAAATGCCTCAGGGTACTCCTCAACACTCAGGTAAACGTGATCTTCGTTTGACTAGGCCTCACGATGGGCCTGATCCGTTCTTAGGCCGGATTTGACAGCGTTTTGTCGTCTCCCACAATCATCACTCATATAGCGTATTCTTTCTACGGTGCCTCTCTGAAGACACGCATGCTTTCTGCCGAACTTCTCGCCGCAATATGCGTACTCTCGCCCAATCAGGGTCACAAGGCCGTCATAGCTGCATCATCAGAATATCGCATCGCCTATGATGAAGTGTACCGCTTCGAGTTTCTGGTTGCTGCTTTGCGTATATCAGACCAGAGCGACACTGCAGCCAACAATACATCCTCACAGGATGAGGATGGTATATGGGAGGCACGAACTGCTTTCATGGCCCTCGTAAATGCCCTCACTAACTGTCCTGAATCCCTGGAAGACCGCATTTTATCGCGCGAAGAGTTCGGGCGGCGTGGCTTAAATGAAGTCATAGTGGTAAGAAATGATCTGGCTCATCATCATGCCACTTTGTACGATAACTAGAGCTATCGTCTAGACTCTCCGCTATACAAAACCGCCAGACTCTCTACTGACTCAACTGGATCTTTATACGGAGGAGAAGTACGAAGATGAAGAGGATCTACGAGAGCGAACACGAAATGCCGTGCGAGGCGGTCAGGGGCACGGAAGGGAACGCTCTGAATCGGACATTTTCCTGGATGATCTCCTACAAAGCGCGAACAACGCGGGGCTCGGGTCTATATCGATGAGTATTTTGCACCACTTATCTTCTATCATGAAGAGTGATGCTGAATTGTAAGTCCTCTTTCAGAAAGTTGATGACATGATTTGACAGGAGTAACAGGAACGTCAAAGTCGATCAACTAGCTATAGTGGATACATTTTTGGATCAGATTTTTACTGCCGATGATATGTAAGTGTTGGTTCGTGGCATGTCTTGAAGCGCACTTACCCTCCACGTAGTGACTTGGGCTGGATACCTCTGATTACGAGGTTTCTGGATGCAATCCGGCCCATTACTGGCCAGGATATAAGCATAGATGCCGTCGATGGTGGGACGAAGCGCGAGCTGGAAAGCCTTCGTGTCCAAATAGATGATCTGATCCAGACGGTGCGCGCATCCAAGCTCGATTGTGTTAATAATCTCATATGTACAACAAAGAAATCGGCACTCAAGACAAGGCTTGAACAACGCACAGGATCAAATCACCAGAAGCCGAATACTTCTAGCAAAGGGGGAAATGAGGTGCGAATACTGTTATATCAGTGGTAATGGTCAAACTGATTCCGCGACAGAACAAACTTGTTCAACGGCTGATGCAGAAGGAGAAGGAAGTTCACCCAACTACAGGCAGGAACTTGAGCGCTTGAACTCTCAAATTTCGAACAACGCGCGCGATGTTGTGGGTTATATCAATTCACTTTGCTGAACAATCGTTTATCCATCTGATTCAGGAGGAGCAAGGAAGGAAAGAGCGCGAAAGGGCAAGGCTTCACTCGCTCCATGAAGAAATGAATAAATTGCAGCTTCAGGCATGTTACCCATCCATAACCTATGTTGCGCAGCTGATTATGAATTAGTTGAGTAAAATGAGCGATACTCTTTCCACCAAAGACAAAGAGGTTGTGTACCTCAAACGCGCTCTTGAATCAGTCTACTCACGTTTTCAAACGAGGCAAGAGGAAAGAGCTTCCGATATGGACGCCCAACTAATTGCGACCCGCACCATTGAGAATCTTGCCAAGCGAGACAATGAACTGACAGCACTGAAGACGGAGGTTTCAAACCTCAGGCAGCTATTGGCTGCGAATTCGACATCTATGTCAGAAATCGAGTTCAAGTCAAGGAATGCGCCCCCTCCACCTCCGCCACAGGGCAAATCCAGAGCGATTTTTGTGCGAACGCCCGAAGAAACAGATGCAAGCACATCATTGAACGCGACCGGCGTTCTTCCACCTCCACCTCCACCCCCACCTCCACCACCTCTTTCTCCGTGGGCAGTTCCAAATCGGAAAGAGACCCCCACCATTGAGTCGAAGGACATCAGTCAGATAACCTTTCATTCTCCCCCTCCCCCTCCCCCTCCTCCTCCTCCGCCCCCACCACCCCTATCATTCCCTTCTTCAGGTTCCGCACTCTCGTCACCTCCACCGCCGCCACCACCACCGCCCCCATCATTCCCTTCTTCAGGTTCCGCACTTTCGTCACCTCCACCTCCACCACCACCACCTCCGCTGCCTCCTCCGCTCGATGCTTCACTATTCCAGTTTCCACCAAGACCCCCAGGAGTTCCACCTCCACCCCCACCGAGTGGATCTGCAATCGGGATAGGAAATAAAGCAAAAACGACTGGGCCAAGACTGAAGCCCTTCTTCTGGACCAAAATCAATGATCAGAATTGCGGCGCCACAGTATGGGAGGAATCGTCAAACTCACTGGATTTCAAGCTAGACGATCTTGAAGCAACGTTCACAATCGATAATACACCAACCTCACATTCCAAAGCTGCAAATCCTACTCGGAAACAAAGTGTTACAACTCTTCTTGATATTACTCGCGCTAATAACATCGGTTGGTTCATATCACAACTGTTATAAGGCAACTGATAACTTACGTTCGCTAGCTATCATGCTTTCGCGTTTTAAAATGACGCCTCTTGAAATCAGTCAAGCTCTGCTAAGACTCGATGACAAACTGTCCATCGATGACTTGAAGGCCATCAGCAAGCAGCTACCATCTCCGGAAGAGGTCCGTTATTACTGACTGCCTTCTCTCCTGTGACACTCTGAAATGTCCTTGGAAAGGTTGCTCGTATGAAAGATTTTCAAGATATAAGCAAGCTAGCGAAGGCCGATCAATATCTAAGTGCCGTGAGTGCTGCTCGTGACTTCCTTGACTTGCAACTCAAGTCAGCGTCTTAGATTATGACGATTCCAAGACTCCCGCAGCGGCTGGAGTGCATGATATATCGCCAAAAGCTGGAACTCGAGATCGAGGAAATCCGTCCGGATCTCAAAATGGTTCATGATGCGTGTAAAGAGTTACGAGTATCTGCGCGTTTCAAGCTGACATTACGGGTGCGTTCGCTACCGAATCTATGATTCAGCTGTGATGACAAGGATTTTAGGCAATACTCACAGTTGGGAATGCATTGAATGGGTCTAGCTTTCGTGGAGGTGCCTGTGGGTTTCGCCTGGAGGCGCTCGTGAAGGTAAGTTCGCGACACGCTTTCTTGACGATGTTGTCAATGTGCATTACGTCGCAGATGAAGGAAACGAGGACTGCGAAGGGCACCTCGGAATGCCCTACTCTCTTGCATTATGTTGCACGAGTCCTCATTCGCACTGATCCGTCGCTTACACTTTTTATCGATGAGATGCCTAGTGTGGAATCAGCTGCTCGTAGTAAGTGATGATTTCATTAGATATCCTTTGGAATAATCTTATGCTGTGCCTTAGTCTCCTTCCCTACGTTACAACAGAACGTCCAGTCTTTACTTACGTCGCTGGACAAGGTTAAAGAAGAAATAAGTCTGCTAAAGCAGATTCCGCATACCCTCCGATAATGACCAATTCGTGACAATCATGCAGGTGAATACTACTTGATTCTAAAGGAGCTCGCGTGCTGATGCCCGATAAACGCTAGCCATTTACCCTTGAAGTAGCACAACGCGTTGACGCGCTCAACAACATGGCTGCGCTCGTTGAAACCGACCTACGAGCACTGTTCTCTTACTATGGCGAAGACCTGAATTCACCGGAAGGACCAAAGCCAGACTGACTTCTTTGGGATGATCTGTTCATTTTCATCATCGTTACAGGTACGCGTCGTTTATACATAGTTCCTGTGGAGTTATGATTCAATTTACCGGCCAGAAAGCCGCTTTGGAAATTCACGACGCACAGAAGAAGGTTCCTGCCTTGGCTCAGGGGAAGATGTCATCTTTGACGCAAAGTAACTCCAAAGAGGTAAGAGGACCCAGCTTTGCATTTCCACGGATCATTGCTACGCAGATCGTCAAGGCACAACATGATTCCTCACACGACTTGACCATACCCTCTACCGAGCATTCGGCATCTATTGGTCGCGGTAACTTGGAAGAAGCGATGCGCAGTTTGAGAGAAGGTCGTAAGAGATGTAGACCTCCTCGTTCTATCACGGGTGCGAACAAGATATTTGTTGATGGACGACCCGAGCTTTCGTAATAGTTACCTTGGCGGTTCAAAAGCCGGGCATGATGTCTTCGAAATATATCATTTAATTTATCCGAGCTACTTCTACGCCCCTATTATAGATAAACGAGGTGTAGTTCGATTGTCAAATTGATCGATGTGATGCCAGGCGGAGGGTTCTATTCCCGCTTCCTTTATCAGCAACCGTGGGATGGCTGCATTTTTCAGCCAACTTCATAGTCGGCAAGAGTAAATGAGTCATGCATCAGGTGCATTGAGGCGATGAACAAGGAAGTTGAGACACATCTCCCGTGAGGCCTCGACGTCAATCAATGAGGCGTACGTATCATGCCTGCATGGCGGTACAAGCCCGCAATGAATGACGATTGCTGTGATCAAGGTGATGAGATGGGGAAAAGAAAGTGGACGCGGCCCATAATCTTTGCCACTGGCCGCGAAACCTGCTGAAACGGACGAGGTCACGGATATAGTAGTCCGGCTAGGAACACGAAACGTGACAGTAAATATATAGGAGCCTCATGCACGACCAGTCAGTGACAGCCTGTGAAAAACAGAAAATAATCTCCGTCTCGAGTTTCGACAAAGGACTCCAATATGTGCCAGTCAACCAGTGTCCGTGTACGAGAATCAAAGTCGGATATCTTGGAGGTTGCCCTACTATGGCGACACTGCGGCATCAAGGTAAGGTTATGTCACATCAGGCTGTGATGCGCTCGACAATCACTGAAGCACTGATGTGCTACGGTCGATGATGGCATGATGAACTATTGCCAGCACGACGGTACCGGATTTCATCAATGAGCGTCGAACTAGCTCGGTTCTGGAGCCGGTCTCTTTAGCCCTGGGATGGACCCCAAGGACGTTTGATTGCCAGCGGCTACGTAAGTCGAATACTCTATTTCTTTTTTCCCTCGTTGTCAAACCATGTCCCTTTTACGACTCGGACATCCCGTCGTTTGCGGCTCTGACATCCAAGTACTGCAGCCAACCCCCAGCAACATCCTGCAGTTACAATGTGACGTTGCCATCGACGCAACCACCTGCGCCCTAGCACAACCTCTGCCACCTCACACTATACACGCCAACACAAGACCTTCCCCACCCTTATATCATCTTGCTCCTTGCTCCACATATCCAATCAGGACCTTCCTCGTGCTCCCGCTCACCCGGTGCTGCCGCCACGGCCTGCTACAGTTTTCCAATTCTCACTTTGACCTATTGTACTTCCATGATCCGAGGGCAACGTTATGGACCCTCTCTATATCCTGGCACGCCAACACGGACCCCTCTTCGCCCTTCCATGAACCTGGTGTTGTACACCCGACCATGACTTTCTCGTGCTACCACTCACCTGGCGCTGCCGCCTGCGATATCCCTGGTTGGCATCTTGGTTCTTCATCTCTTCCTTCACACTACCCATACCTATGTACATTTGATCTATTTTATTGCATATCATATGGTTGGACGTTTTTTGTTGGATATAATGATATTGTTAATTCGAGCAATGACTGGAATCGAGTGTTGAACCTCGAACCTTGAGCCCTGGCTTGGTTCATGAGCACCGCCCTCAACTACACGGGTTCTTCACCGAGGGATAGACTAAAATTTATAGTTAGGCAGATACGTATATTTCGTCACTGATGCATAGCAATGCATGACACAAAAGACGGCGGGAGGAAACATTACGGGTGGCGACAGGCGGTAGGAGGAATTCAGCAAAGGTGGGGAGAGGGCCACAGATGTCTATCGAGCTCCTTGGGATGATACATAATAGATGTCGGTGGAGCTTCCTTGCTGCCGGACGATCTGTGACGGATGATAACAAAAGGAAGAATGTTCCTCGTTGGAGTACAGTGTCCTGGGGTCTTGAACCCTGTTAACGCCCATGAGGCAGTGTTCGAACTTTTTCTGCAAAAAAGAACCGAGCTAGCTCAAAGTCAGGGTGCTACGAATTCTATATGAAGGAGAGCGGCTGCGCGCAACGTCTTCACAAATCATCATGCCCCCAGTTACGATAGACACTGATAATTTCAGCCTCGATGTCGGTGGCTTCGCAGGTTTTTTTGGAGGTGAAGAGGCGGTCTCCGCGATGGAGACTGTGCATCTCTATAGAGCAAGGCGGTGGACAGGCTGGTTCAATTCCCCGGGCAGCTACAGTGTCGGGAAGCACTACGGCCGACTTGCCAATTCTCGGTTTTGGAACGGAATGTTTCCAGGACCCAATATAGAGCCCACCACGTACATAGGGCTGGATGGAAAGTCCGGTCCTATGTATGTCGCATCCCAGTCCGGCACATTCCTAAAGCAAACGGGTCACCTCGCATACCTGTTAATGCAGAGATGCAAAGACCAACGAGCCGTGATAGTAGAGGGACGAAAGACAAGGGCAAATAAAGTTACCATCTTGGATATGCCAGACATCAAGTTCGACTCTGACACCGAAAATAGCTTGACCATCCATGCCCGAGATGGCTTCCACAAACACATCGCATTGATCCCTATCGCTACGAGCGTCGTAACATGCGTACTTTGTGCGTGGGGCGATGACTGGTATTGCTTCTCCTTGATCCTCCTCGGCATTCTCGTCAACGGCATCTCGTGTTTTGTCATCGGCTCGGCGTCCATAGTCCTCCAGAGTGGCGCCTCCTCTAAAAACGCACCGCCAGGCGATGGCATGCTCATGGACGGAAATCATGTGATCGTCGTCCGTGGAAAAGAGAAAGACGTTCTTGCCATCACGCAGGGCAAGTTTCACTTGGAGTACCAGCCCTGGGTCCGTAGGCGTGTTAGAAAGGAGAGGAGGACGCGAAGCATTATAGGGGATGGGATCCGTGACTTCCACCACTTATTTGGGAAAAAAGATGCAGAGAGCGGCCCCGGGCCAGAGACAGAGACACAGGATCTTGATGACGACGCCGAGGCCAATGACGAATACGCAGCGATCGGGTTCTGCTCGCTCCTCCTGGTCATTCAATTCCTGACGCAGTTGCTCCTGATACCACAGGGCAAACTGTTTGGGCAGATCATGTTCCTAACGTCCTTTGCTGTGTCATGGGCGTACAATCTCTTCTTGTCGTCTATGGACGGGGAATACCTGCAGGAGGTCCAGCTCGCCCAAGCGTTGAATTTGTCGGACGATCGCATGAAGACGTATAAACTGGGCACAAGAACGGCTGCAGCTGTTTTCGCTTGCCTAACCCTCCAGCCCGACTGCGAGCACAAAGATTGGGGGAACAGAGGGTTTAAACCGCAAGAGATCCTTCGACAATTCATCCCAAACGACACGCACGTATGGGCGGTCTGGAGAGAACAGGTGTTGGAACAGATGAGAAGCAGCAAGCAGGTCTTGCAATCACTTGACCTCGAGGCTTGTGGTAACCGCATAGCCGCGTTCAACGATGTCGATAAGAACTTGTTGAACGATTTGCTCTCGGATGCTCGCACTGCATATCAACAATATTTGGTATTGCAGGTTCGGAGTAGCTTGATTGGCAGCGTTTCGAGTAGTGTAAAAAAGGAGGCATGGTGAGAAGCTTGTTTTACGAGTCATTTCGCTCCTCCGCCGCCGCGTGTACAAGCGGTGCCTCTGTTCTGTCTGTTCCCATGCGTCGTGATGGTCGTGGTTGACGTTGATACGTTATCTTACTTGACAAGGTTCTGGGACCCCCTAATGCCTCGCCTTCCCCTAGTGACCCAAGATTACCAATCAGGAGCAGATGCGGCTTGACAGTCTATCAATTGACTTTTCAACTTGGCATTTTTTTATCACGCTGTATACAGTAGAGTCAAAAACAAGTAATTTGATACGGTACCATAGTTTCATGAATATAGCGTAGAGTTCGTAATCATAGCTGTAAAATATAGACAACACAGTCATAGAGGTATCAGCGAGCAGCGACACAGCAGTGAAGTTTTAGTGCACGATAACATTTTCGGGGGCCCTGAAATTAACGGACCCAGAGGATGCGTGAGCAATGACGCGGATGGTGGTTCCAACCCTCCGCCAAGGCTGCTTATCACCAGGCGAACAAAGCAGCTGAGCAACAAACGGCTCTTGCAGCCGCCGAATAAATGCAGCAGCAGTGCTGTTGGTGACCATGTCGGCCACAAAATCGGCGACGAGCTCCTTGGATCTGCCGACCCAACTTTCTTTTTCCTTATCCTTATCCTTGTCCTTATCCTTCTCTTTTTCTTTGTCCTTCTCTTTTCCCTTCTCTTTTCCCTTCTCCTTTTCCTTCTCCTGCTTCGGGGAGTCCTCTGTCGTAGGCGGCTCCGGAGACTCAGGGTTATCAACAATCGAGGCATCAGCAGCCTCGATGCTCATGCTTCCAATACGTTGAATAAGACTCGCGTCCCACATTCGCACGACGCGGTATTTGTAACTCGGGTTCTTGCCGTATAAAGGAACTAGCCGTTGTGTGACGATGACCTCGAGCTCCGACAGTCCCTCAGCTTTGACGAGATAGCTGAGAGCTCCGGGCTTGTCTTGGTTCGGAATGAGGGTGACCACTTCGTGAACGAAAAAGGGCATGCTCATTCTCCCATTCGCAATGAAACGTCCGTGAGGCGGGTTGCTCAAAACGTCCTTGACAATCTTGAGAGCCGAAGAAGACAAGCCACTGGTGATGCGCTTCGAAGTTTTGAGTAACCTGAATTCGAATTTCGATGAAGTGGAGTCCTGTCGAGCGTCGTAAGATGGGGTCATGAAGCACCTAGGATGCGCAGCAAAGTAACTGTGAAGGGTCGATGACTCTCCCAACCAGTCAAAGAGTGAGAGGTCGTCGGTAAGCGCCATGATCTCCTTCTGAAGCCGCACAAAAGCATTATGTTTCTCCCCATACATTACTGGCATGTGGATGCCGAAAATACCTAGCAAGGGCGTTAGAACAATTCATTAGCTATGGAGACGCTTACCCATGAGGCAATAGGCAATGTCTTCGATCTTCTTAGTCGTCCTGTTGCCCACCCAACTCAACCGCTTCTTGACATTGTCGACGCCGGGTACGAATGCCTTCAAAACATCGACATCGATGCGAGTGATGTCGTGGAGAATAGATAGAAGTTCAACTTTGTGATTCTTATCGGAATCGATGAGCGGCTGCCAATCCTGCTTGTAGAATCGAATAAACTGAGGTGCGAGGAGCTCCTGCAACGTCCAGCCTCTCTTAAACCACTGACTGTCTTTCAACTGCGAGATATCAGAGACGTCTGCAAGGTAAACGATAGTGATTGCCGAATCCTTGTACCAAGCAAACATGGAGATGATGGATTCCTGAAGCTCAGCATTGTTCGTCTTATCGATACAACACGTATCGCTCCACACCCATCGGTAGCCTTCTCTCTTCGAGGTGGTACAGAATTGTTGCAGCTTGCGAATTTCTAATGGGGCATCCATCTCGTAGACGCTGCCCTTGATCTGCCAATACTGGGGCTCGTCCTTCGCACTTGCCCACTTGTGGGAAAGCATGGCATATCGAAAGAATTCGTTAACTCTGCGCTGAAGCTTCGACACGGAGGTGGTCAGAAGATTTTCGTAGAGTCGTTGATACTCCTCCGACTCTTTGAAAATTCCCTCGAGGTCATTGCTGGTGTATAGGATGCCGCTGTGGGTGTCTATCAAGCGAAGAGGTATGTTCGCTAATTTATCGTCGATTATGTTCTGAAAAGTCTCCTGTAAGTTCTTGAGAATAACCTCAGGATCTTCGACAGGGCTGTCGGCTCTGTCAATCTCCGCAATGCTGGTAAAATCTTGGGCGGGGGAGTCAGAAGTTGGGAACATGGATTGCATTTCTGCATCCTCTTGCGGGGATTCTGTCACTACGGGCAAGGAATCTTGGCGAAGCGATTCGTCTTGTAGGGATTCTGTGGATAAGGAATCTTGACCAGGTAAATCGTCTTGTGCGTTTGTTTCGTCTTGCGTGTCTGGTTCATCTTGCAAGTCCCCTGCCTCTTCCCCTTCCGGGGCGGGTGTTGAGTCATCCTCGATGCCGTCTACGGGGGCTTCAAGTTCCTACATGGAAACATTAGCAAGGACACGTACACAAGCAGCAGGGATAACACCTGGGTAGTGCTGTCATCAGCGGTTCGTAATGTCGACTTGCGAATGAACTTGAAGCGACTAGGGGATAACTCAGTATCGCAGTATCTATAGTGCGCGAAACCGTGACAGACCTTGGTTTTTTGCCACTGAAAGTTATTGTCAGTTGAAATAGGCTTGCATGCTGGAACCATGACACTCACGCTTTGTCGATGGCCATAGCGAGTAACACATCTTGCGTGTTTATCTCGTCTTGCGTATTTGTTTCATTTTGCGTGTCTGGTTCATCTTGCAAGTCTCCTGCCTCTTCCCCTTCCGGGGCGGGTGTCGAATCACCCTCGATGTCGTCTACGGAGGCTTCAAGTTCCTACATTGAAACATTAGCAAGGACACGTACACAAGCAGCAGGGATAACACCTGGGTGGTGCTGTCATCAGTGGTTCGTAATGTCGACTTGCGAATGAACTTGAAACGACTAGGGGATAACTTAATATCGCAGTATCTATAGTGCGCGAAACCGTGACAGACCTTGGTTTTTTGCCACTAGAAGTCACTGTCAGTTAAAATAGGCTTGTATGCTGGAACCATGACACTCACGCTTTGTCGACGCCCATAGCGAGTAGCACAAGGCAAATCTGTCAAGGATGAGAGGTGCGTCTGTCTAGTAACAGGGCGTGATGACATGTATTTATACATCGTCTGGCCTAACGGCATCATGCCCCCATCTAGCAGCACCCACGGACGTCAAGGAACAAAGTTTTCAGACAAGGATAATTGTCATGGAGTCGTAATTGGTAACTGAAACCTGTCTGATATTGATGAGAAAATGATGCTCCTGGCTCGGGTGGCAATGACAACATGTTTGCGTAGCGGCCATCATAACAACTAGACAATCTCTTGAAAAAAGACAACCAGCAGATGGGCCACACGATCAATAACTTCGCCCAATTCCTATGAGATGTTGATTTGACATGTATGATTAGAAATTCTGCGACAGACGCCAGGCTGTGATGGTAAGCATGTATGCACAGCATGCGGGACGTAACTACTAACCAAGAATAACCTTATTGAAAGCGCTCGACTGTTATGGTGTCTGCGACTTAATAGGTGCGGCAAAGTCCTGGCAGAAATGGCATCTGTACTGGTCATAAAGCGCATCGTGTTTGAATACACGTAAGTAAAAGAATAAATCTTCAGCAATGGTAGTAGAGCGTGAGTAGATGTAGAGAACGGTCGTAAGTCGATCAGAAGTGTGAAGGTGCTGTAAATTATCATTGTTGTTGTACGTTGAGCGGAGATATGGCATCACATCGGGAGACACATTCCAAAAGCAACTCAAAAAACTGGTCGACCTAGAGACATTGCTATTGTAAGAGAAGGTTTACTGTACATTTGAATACACACCTGAACTGACTGGGCGACAACGCAATTCTTCCCATTAGAGCCCCATGAGTCATCACATACCCGATAATTCCAGACGTCGATGACCGTTTCTCCCGCCGTGTGCTTACCATGTAACTCCACATCCACTCTGAAACGTTGAGCTCTAAAGAACTCGGGATGGGACACATATGTGATGGTCAATGCATCATGGAGAGGAGGACCTTGATCGAAACCAAATGTTGACTTGTACGTTCCTGCAAAGAAACTGATGACAGAAGACAGTGTGCTTCGGAGATTGGTGGATGGATGTGCCAACACGCCATCCAGGAAAGGTAGATGGGGTGATCTCAGGCGGGAATGGATAGCCGAAGTGACAATCGCCGTGTGTGTCACATTTATGGGTATCATGACAGTCTTGACTGGAGCATCGAGGACAATCTGAGCCGCCTCAGCTAATAGAGGATCAAGACAGGCACCGTAACATATTTCAATAAGACACGCACGGTCACACATAATATTGAACTCTGCACTGTCATTGTAAAGATTGGTTCTTCAAGTACCACATGTTACATACCTGCGACGGCAGATCTATTGCCAACGCCCACACCGCCTCCCATAAATACAAACTGCTCCACTGCTTCCATAAGGCTGGGATAGACGCTTACAAATAGGGCAATATTCGTCATTGGTCCCGAAGAAACAACTGATACTTGATGTCCAGTACCATTGCGCCATGCGTCCTTGATGGCTGTTGCCATCCCCTCGATGGCATGGATCAACGACCCATCGACTTTCCGAGCGAATCGTGCCTGAACTTCAGGACTATCAGCTGAAGGGAGCCCTACAACGCCTCCTAGGCCATCTTCTCCATGAATTTCAGGGTCGTGTTTTGTGGGTCGAAGTAACGGCTTGCATGCGCCAGGATATACTAGAACATCGGAAGGTGCAGCAAATGCGTGCAGACACCTTGCGGTGTTATTGGCAGTGCAATCAGCGGACGCATTGCCGTGAACCTAAGCAACTTGCTTGAAAAGGACTTGTGCGGGAGACAGCCGCTTTACACACACTGGATACTCCAAGAAGCTTGATATTCTCTAATTGACAGGCCATCATAAGTGCGGTGGCATCGTCATGTCCCTGAATGAGACGTTTCCTCAGCACATCCCCACCAAACGAGAGCAAATGGTCAATTGCGCACCGGATCTACATCTAACCAGACATATTTCAACATCATTTCTTCTAGTTTCAGTCAGACTGAACTGGACCGATTGTAAGGGCAACAACAGTGATCAGTAATCTGACTGATAAGAAGCAAAGTCAATTGATCTACGTCCATATCCAAAACCCGGACGGAACGAACGTCGTCGATGATGATCTACCATAAATCAGAGGTCGTAACTGGGTGCAGACCTTCCTGTAAGTTGCATAAAACAAACTTGAAACAAACAAGTTGAAAATGGCGCAATTGAAAACTGAGACTTGGATTAAGGATCTTGGTTTGTTCCTTTGTCGGTCCTAACAGTGGCAAACAACGTCTGCAAGTCCGGCTCCGAATCAAAACACCATACGCACAGTCGCATCATCAATATGTCAAGTCAAGTAAACAGCAAGGAAGAAGAAGAAGTAGCGCCCCTTCAACGGCCACCATCTCCCCCTCTTCATACAACATTCGCTGCTCGCGGTCTACATGTACGTATAGAGGACTTGCATACCTCGCATTGTTAATACACTCCATTGAATCAGGCACAAAACTTTCCTGCGCATAAACCGCGTGATCTACGTATACCCTCGCCTCAAGCTATAACTCATGTAGCATGGAGTTGCGATGGGAAGCGTTTAGCTGGCGTTGGTATCGACAAAATCACTCGGATCTGGACTCCAGAAACTAGCGTACGTGCTATATCTTGTATCTCATCAGGAGTCACACACCGTACCCTAATCATAGATGGAATCAAGAGCTGCGACCCACTTCTCTGGTGGTCACTCCGATGATGTTGACTATATATCATGGAATCCCACTCATCCAGAGTTATTTTGCACGTCGAGTCAGAAGGACAGAAGGATTGTATTTTGGGATGCACGACGTAAGTTTTATATGCCTTGCGCACATCTTGAATAACCCTTACAGAACTCAAGAAAGTCGGCACACGCAGCAAATAATTCTAAAAATCTCACCCGTACAGACAAATTATTCCCCAGACGGCCGGGCTTTGATATTTACTTCGGCCGGGCACCAGCTCTTTTTCTTAACATACGGGAAAGATGGTGATGCAACAAAGGCGCAGTGGCATCTCTCAGATAAGGACGGGGTTTGTTCCACATTGTCTCCATCATGTAACAAGTTATTGACATCTTTCGACAGAGCATTGTCGCATCCACCGCCATGTTTAATCATGTCGGCGATGGTATAATTCTGACACATCATTCTGAGCATAGCGTTCGGGTCATGGACTACCCAACGCTAACCCTTAGAGAAAGCCCTGCCGCTCATGTCGGAGGTTGTGTTGCAGTAGCACTCGATCCCCGGGGGAGGTGCGTATTAACTGTCACATGCTCTAATCGACATGCATTAACGTTGTGTTCAGATATCTTGCATCTGGTGGCTATGACTCAATTGTTAACATGTTCGATCTGAGTGAATGGATATGTGCTCGGACAATATCCACTTGCGAGTGAGTGAATCAAAACATGTTACTCTCTCCGCTCACTTGATTCCTTCAGAAATGCGATAAATGCATTGAGCTTCTCGTACGATGGAGAGTACCTCGCTATTGCAAATACAGGACCCTACATCGACATAGTAAGGACTCGGTTTCTAGCTATTTATCTGCTTTTAACACGATCTGGGCACAATAGTGTGCAACAGAGACGGGTGCTCCATTGCATCGTGTTCCTGCATTGGCACCGTCACCTACAGTGACCTGGCACCCCTCAAAATACGTCTTTGCTTATTGCGGTCAAACAAAGCTCCGGGAGGGTGGACCTCCTCCTGTGGCTATTATCAGCCTATTTGGGGGTGGAATTTGATAGGCGAGCTTTGGAATTAGTATCACTCATCGTTAAATCGCCACACTTGTTCGAGTTCCTTCGATTCTGTACGAAAATTCGATGGATTGTGACAACTACAGGTCTGAAAGGCCCATCAGCGTGTTCCAAAAAGTTGGCGTCTAATGGTATCCTGTGGGCGCAATGATTTTCTTCTCCTGAGAAACTTGCGCCCGATCGGATTACTTTCTGATGGATGGTCTTTGTAGTTGCACAATAACTTTCACAAATGGGGCGAGTGTCCTTGGTAATTGTGACAGAACTAGTAATCCATCAAAGATGCGGTGTTTCAACGCTCGGTTATATATCAGTTCGCAGTGCCTTTCGGGGCCCTGGGGTCAGATGATCAATATACTTATTTCGTAAGGCTGCCTCGAGGACGATTCGAGTTCTCCCAGGACCTACAGCTCTTAGTAAGTTAACGCAGGGCTGATATTTGAAGACCTACCCAACATGCTGTAGATTCACCGTTATCTACAACACCCACAACAATGCACCTGCAGACCCCATTTTATGGCTCACCATTCTCACTAGATTCGGCAGGTGTTGCCGGCTTTTTTGGCGGCGATGAAACACTCTCAGCCATGGGTACTGTACATCTGTACCGCGGCCGAAGATGGCTGGGGTGGTACAACTCCCCAGGGAGCTATACGGTCGCCAAAAGATACGGCCAGTTAGCCAACTCCCGATTCTGGGATGGACTATTCCCAGGTCCAAATTCCGAACCAGCTGAAACGTTTGGCCTGGATGGCAAAGCTGGGCCGCGATATGTCGCTTCGCTGTCTGGTACAGATATGACGACGGGGCACCTCGGATACCTCACAATACAGATGAGCAAGGAGGTGGAAGACATGGCGGTTCAGGGAAAAGCCAGCACGGAGACATTACCTGCATCAGTGACTGTCATCCGTGTCGGAGAGGTCATGGATATGGATGAAGTGGGGATGATGAGCACCCATCACGCACTACTAGCCACGATACCTATAACCATCAGCGTCATGACATGCTTCTCATGTGCTATCTTTGACGACTGGTATGCCTTCAGCCTTATCCTTCTCGGCATCATTTCAAGTGGCATAACCTGCTTCGTGATCGGTACTGCGAGGCTCCATCTCCGGGGACCCAAAACTGTGACCCCGGGGGTCCCTCCAGGGGATGGACTGCTTCTGACCCCGCGCGATGTCGTCGTTCTGATAGGTTCGGAGAAAGATGTGAATGTGATAACGAAGGGTCATTTCTTGCTGAGCATGCATGGCAAACCAGAGTACCAGAACGTTGGACTGTGTTCACTCCTTTTGCTAGCACAATTCTTGCTACAGCTCCTCTTGATCCCCCAAGCGACACTCTTCGGTCAAATGATGTTTCTCGCCTCGTGTGCGGCGTCTTGGGTCTACAACTCGTTCCTCTCTTCACTCGAGAGCGAAAAGATACAAGGAGACCTGCTTTGCAAGGCGCTGCAGGTTGAAGGACGCGCGATCCAGAAGTATTGCCTCCATAATAGGAGGAGCCAAGCTGTTTTCGCCTGCTCTATTCTCAGCGATGGAAACGAGACAAACGAAGACTTTGACGCGGAGCGTATGTTGTCGTTGTTCGTGCCGAACAAGACGAGGGTTTGGAATCTTTGGAGAAAAAAGGTTGCAGCGCAGTTGAAATCTACCTGTCCAGACAAAAAATTCCATGTGACAGCAGAGGAGAAGGAAGGTTTATGCGAAGAACACTGCAGATTGCTGAAGACCTTCCTAGATGATGCCGAACTTGCGTTTAAGGCTTACTACGAGCGCGTTCGTTATCCGCGTTCCATAGACAACTGGGAAGAAAAGATTGTATGAATAATCGATATGCATGACTAGAGTTATCGCTTAGAAGGTCTCCTGAATTACGATCGCAATTGACACCCATCATACTGTAAACATCGAAGAATTGACTGAAACAAAATGCGGGCTCGCCGTCAGTCTCAGCAATACCAGGAACGCGCACGGAATGCTATTGCTAAAGCCGAGGCGCCGAAGCGTAGGTTGGAATACCAATATGCCCAGTACGCAGGCGCGCGAAGCTAGATATAAGCAAGGAGGTCCAGGCGGCTTTGAGTATCAGATATCAAGCTAAGCTTTCAAGGTGCGCATATTGTGGTGCGCAAAGACTTTATGGGACCACGTGATGTACGTTCCATTTCTATGCATCGGGCTGCGTATTCAAATTACTGAATAATACCGCACACTGCACAGGTCGTCAGGCTTACGACAAAATAATCAGTTTCATCCAGGATGCGGGAGGGGAGGTTCTTATCGGAGGCACCGGTAAGGCAGATACTACGACTCACCTGCGACTTTTCTCATGATCCTACAGGCGATGACTCCAAGGACTACTTCATACAGCCCACCATCATTCTAACCAAAGATCCTGAATCAATCACGATGAAAGAAGAAATCTTTGGGCCTGTCATCACTGTAATGGTTTTTCGTTCGCAAATACGGATGTACTAACAACTTCTCAGGTTTATGTGTACGACGACGCGAATTATGAGCAGACTTTGGTACTCATCGACAACACCTCGCCTTATGCACTGACCGGCTCTATGTAAGTCGCAAGGTCTCTGTGATATGCGTCGACTGACAACTTCTTTTCCGGCTTTGCCGCAGACCGCAAGGCACTTCTGACTGCCACAAACAAGCTACGCAACGCTGCCGGCAACGTCTATTACAACGAGAATTGCACCGGTGCGGTCGTGGGTCAGCAACCCTTTGGAGGAGGACGAGCGAGTGGGACCAACGACAAAGCTGGGAGTATCAGCATCTTTTACCGGTTCGTTTCGGCGAGAAGCATAAAGGAGAACTTCGTGGGCATGGAGGACTTCCAACACCCGTCGAACTTGATTTGAGATAATTAGAATCAGGATAACAACGCTAGTCATCGATATCGTATCAATCAAAGAATCATGTTGTTACTTCTATTCGACGAGAAATGTTTATGGGAGACAATTTTTAAAGTATCGTGAAGAGCACTTGAACAGCAAACCTTAACGCCCCATGTTACTCTATGGTAATTATGGCGCACACTAGATTTCAAAACGTTGCGCCATGCTGTTGCTAAAGCACCAACTCTGGGACCATGACGATAGCAAACAGCTCCAAATTCAAGCTTGATAGCAGAGATATAATCGACATAGATAAAACCATACACTCGGTATGACTACGACGGGATCATCGGCAAGTAACGCTATAAATATTGATTTAGCACAACGAGAAACAGGCAAGGTTAAGAACTCACACATCTCGGCAATTCGACCAGTCTTCTCCATGAGCCATGCGGCTCAAATCAATGTCTAGCCCACTGGGCATCACAAGTACAGTCCTAGGATTGTAAAATGTTTGTCGGGAAGCGGGAGGTATCCAGAAAAGCAGACGATGATAGGCTCCTACTACCATCCATCCATCATCTGCCGGCTTGGCAGGGGTTGCATGAAGATAAGAGGTGTCCTCAAGTAGCTCAGCAGGGTTTTGCAGTGCATATTCCAAGCTGGATGCGAAGCAAATGCTGGGATTGTTTCGAGTATTGGTAAACATGATAGTCTCCTGTGTGGTGGGACGTCTATCCGAAGGGAATGTAGAGGAGTGGATTTCAGTGTGCTCCTGAAATTGCTGTTCTGTTGCTGCATTCCACAGCCGGACAGTGTCATCCGAAGAACCAGACACGATGCGAGTGCCATCGGGCGAGAACGAGACTGAGTTAACCGAATCAGTGTGCCCTCGGAAGGGCTCACCCAATGGCAGCCCCGTTGCTGCATCCCACACCCGGACAGTGGAATCCGAAGAACCAGACACGATGCGAGTGCCATCGGGCGAGAACGAGACTGACGAAACCGAAGAAGTGTGCCCTCGGAAGGGCTCACCCAATGGCAGCCCCGTTGCTGCATCCCACACCCGGACAGTGGAATCCCAAGAACCAGACACGATGCGAGTGCCATCGGGCGAGAACGAGACTGAGTTAACCAAAGAAGTGTGCCCTCGGAAGGGCTCACCCAATGGCAGCCCCGTTGCTGCATCCCACACCCGGACAGTGGAGTCCTGTGAACCAGACACGATGCGAGTGCCATCGGGCGAGAACGAGACTGACGAAACCGGAGAAGTGTGCCCTCGGAAGGGCTCACCCAATGGCAGCCCCGTTGCTGCATCCCACACCCGGACAGTGGAATCCAAAGAACCAGACACGATGCGAGTGCCATCGGGCGAGAACGAGACTGACCAAACCGAATCAGTGTGCCCGCTGATCACGGTCTGAATAGCGGTCCAGTTCACAAGTCGACCACGCATCAGACGAAGAGTCTTCGGAAACTTTCCGGTAAATTTTGTGGCTATCGTGGACTTGCTGGGGCAAAATGGCAGCGCTGATACATACAGATGTGGTGTGCTGTGCAAAATCATCCCACCAAACACCTGCACGAATCTCTGCACGTCCGTTGCAGCGGACAACACACTTGCATATCCGGATTGGCCCTGTGTTCGCCCGTGAGCACTTCCCCTGACACCACCAGGTCACCCTGTTCTCACCTTCAGCCACTGAGCGATCAGTGGAAGCACAGCAACTGCGCTGCCGAGTCCATTGAGAAGCCCGAGTGCTTCGATCCAGAAGAGCAGTTGTTCGTTGTCGAAGAATGATCCTATTTCCCTGGCGAGCTTCGCGTCAAAATCCGTTGCTCGGACGTGCGTAGCCCAAAATCGACAGGAATACGATAGATGCGACGGAATGCGTGTTGCGACTCTATCCGGCAGCCCAGTATCGTCGCTATTGGGGAGGTATGAAGACTTTAAATCACACATATTGAAGCGAAGGTCGTGCTCCATCACTCGGAGTGACGCAAAAGCAAGATCGCGTTGCGAGTTCGACATCTCCACAAAAAACTCTTCGCTGGATGATTTGTTTGTCAGGAATTCGCGGAAGGATGCGTGAAGGGGTCGGATGGCGCTGGATGAGTTGGTGGTCCCGCTTAGCAGGGATCCCATGTCTCCTACCACGAGTTCCACCTCGTAATGCTCGCTTTCATCTGGAAAATGGCGCCGCATGGCGTTCAGGGCATCTAAAGAGAGCGGTTCGGCCGAGCCAAGTACTTGTCCCATCACCGAATGAAACTTGGCTAGCGCTCGCTGATAACCAGCCTCTGTAATGTGTTTGTCCTTCCGCAGGTTTTCTCCTAGGATGAATTTATACATGCCATATAACAAGTTTTCCTGCTCTCCATGATTGTGGGACACGACATCATTGAAGCGGTCAATTGCGCGTGAGCCGGTAGCGACGCCTCGGATGTAGTTGCATGCAAGACGAGCCCACTCGAATAGTCCACCAGCTCTGTTAGCGAGGACTGCGAACTCTTTGTCTCCGAGACCAGACACATTTTTCAGCTCGTGAGACACAAATGTACGTATGTCTCTCTTCGAGTCTTTTTCCGAAATGTCGTCCATGGATAACCGTTTAATATGTGGAGCATTCTGGAATTCAGAATTGATATCAGGAAGCGCGCGAGAGGTGACGAGAATCCGAAAGTTGGATGGGACTTCGGTGATTTGGGGAAGACCTTCGCCCTCCAGTGTGCCCGCAAGTATGCGGAGAAGGTTGCGCCGTGTCTCGACTTCCCCACTCTCGTCCAGCGCTTCAATCACGATCAAGACAGGCCCCACGCTCGACCCAGAAGACTTATTTAGTGGTTCTATCAACAGCTTGCGCCACTGCTGGACGATATCTGTCGTGTTCTTCAGCGCCTTCGCATGCTCGATTGCATTCGCCAATGTTCGTCTCATCTCCGGATCACGATCAGCGAGGTCACCAGCGATGGTGGAGAAGACTTTTTCATGACGTTTGTCCGTTTGGTTCCGGTCGAAGCAGAAACACGAACCGAGCCCTCCCAAGTCGTTGAACCAGTTGGCTATTGTGTGAGCGATGGCTGATTTGCCTGTGCCCGCAGGGCCAGATAGCCATAGCACTTGCTGAGCAGTATCTCCGCTGTCGTTGATCCATTCAGTGATGTGGGAGAGAATGTCCGTGCGCGTCCCTGGCAGGCATAGTTTCGTGGTATTTAGTCCCGCGCCTGCTGCGTAAGGCATCCCGCTGAGATCCAGTTTGTCGCCCAGTTTGTCGCCTGAAGGGGTATTGTGAGTATACGGAAAGTCAGAAGCATGTCCGAATCCTTACTAGTGCAACGGACAAGATCGGCTATGTCCCGAAGAGTTTGGTCCCGAAATTCTTGCATGAAGTCGTCCAAAGCCTTATTGTACCGTGAAATCAGGTCGTCCGTCTCTGAGATAACATTTTTCTTGAGTCTCTTCCCTGTGATGATGGCATAAGATTCAAATTATGGGAAGCACAATAGCTCGACGACTCACAAAAGTTCTTTTTCTCCGAATAATCCCTGATGAAACACGCGCACTCTAGAGTCTGTTGGGCGATTCGTCCAGCGATGCTGCGCTTGGATGAAATCTCTTCAAGAGTGTCCTTTTGTGACATGAAGCGGTAAACATGTTCCAATTTCTCGAGAAGAGATTGGACCGATTGGTCGCGTTCTGTTTGAGCGAGAATAATCTGCATAGACTCAACAACTGCTGAACAGAAGGGCAAAACCACACGTACTTTGGATGCAGCGGACAGCATGCCTAACACCATCTTCGCATAAGGATGCACCTATACAATTTGATTAGCTCGCTTCCAACCAAGAAGAGCGGCCCATACGCTCGCAAGATTCTCGATGACAGCGTCAAAAATTTTGAGTGGTTGAAGATATGTGGTCTGGAAATCGTCTGCGGCAGCGAGATCTTCTGGGCCATCCTTGACTTTGGATACAAAAGAAGTGACACGTTCCCCGAGTAGTGTCATGTTTTCTGCAGCCTCACGGGCACCCTGAAGTCCAGCATCAACTGATTTGGAATCAGGAATCCCTTTCACGTCAGGAGGTGCGTTGAGGACCTGCACGACCACCAGAATTTAGACATGAAAAGTAGATCGTTTGGCGTAAATACCTTCGAAGCAGGTTCTCCGGACGCTCCTTGATTCCCACGGCCACTGAGGTTCTCAGATGTAACGGGCTTGTCGCCATCGGAAGGATGCAAACTCGATGCATGCTTGGTGGACCTCAGACAAGTTCAAGGTCACAATAATGAATACTTACCTCAATATTCTGATTCAATGAAGCACTTTCATTCTGGACGGCTGGGATTTGGTGACGAAAACGCTTAGAGTGTTTCTGCACAATATCAGCTATATTCTAGTGCCCTCAGCATTCAGGTCGACGTACAGAAACTTTTTTGGTTACATTCTTCTTAAATTTCCGTAGGGTTTGACAGAATCTGCTGCGGGGCTGGCTCTGGATTAAGGAGGCAGGGACGATGTCATTAGCGCTCGTCGACAGCGGTCTAATGAGGGCACGTACGGAGCTCTCGCCAGCAGTTGCTTCTCTGAATTGAGAAGCCTCCGGAAGAGGTTCCTGCCTGTGGTCTTCGGTCATTGGAAACAGTCAAAAATTGGAATGGACCTGAGGAAAATGTATGCAAGAATTAGAGTACTCGGTAGAACCAGAATTGAAATAACAGGCACCCGAATACCGTTGACCAGAAGCCTCAAGGCAGCCACGTTCAGGTAATGGAACGTGGTTCGCGCTAGCACTAGTGAAACTTCAGCATGCGACATCGTTCATTAAGTAACAGGCTTGATTCATGGGTGCGGGCCCGTAATAAGTAAATATATACATATGTATGGGCACAACGAAGTTCATGACAAATGGGAGTGATCTAGTGTGTCACTGTGACAGGCACGAGCTCCTCGAGCCTCCCCGATCGATCGATCGTGACCCTTTGCCCTACTATGTCATGCGCCAAAATTTCAAACCTGACTCATCGGTATAGGCAGTATCTCTTCTCTAATGGTTTTCATCCCAACAGAATCAGACTACATAATACTCTCTCACCTGGGTCATATGCCCTGTCGCGTGAAACCCAGGAAGTTCCAGTCGGTACCTGATCAAACACCGTGTCTCAGAACTAATAGCAAGAGCTCGCACTTTCCTATCAACTCCCCATATCTGCTCGCAAGACCATACCTCCAAACATGTGTTCCTCATCGAGAAGGGGCTTACGCAAGACGACATCTATTCACTACTCGTAACTCCACGAAATCGTAAGTGATCAAGCTGGCGTGTATTCAAGTTACTCAACCTCCACCAGTACCACCACGGACATATCCCCAGCCTCCCCCATCCAATCTTCCAAATATGCTTGTTGGAATTGCGCGTATATTTACATGGCTCGCCGGTAGCTCTGCATTTGTCCTGTTCATTTACTACGTGAGTGTTCTCGCTCCATCGCTCCATATTAAAGCACGGCTGACCTTCGTTCGAAGCAGTTCTTGCTACCGATAATCTCCCAAACTTACCACGCTTGCCGTGCACTCCGTGCACACCAGTCCGGACTCATGCTCCGTCTCAACGAATCCCTCGCTACATTCAAGGAGAAGCAAGCGCAATGTTTTGTCAACCTACGATGTATAAAGAGGAGCCAGAGTGCGCAGACTGTCATTCGTTAGATGATATCCTCGCATGTCGCCGCAAGGCAGGCATTGACGACGATGCTAGTGACACCTCAAAAGTCTCAATTTTACGCTTTGCTATTGAGGAGCTGACTCTTTCGAAGGAAAGTACCGAGGGAATAAGTACAGGACCTATTTAATCATCTAGAAGCCAAGCTTCCATGGTTGAAGGGAGAGCGAGGTGCTGAATCTCAGGTCCGTACTTTATCTGCCTTTGACGTCATAAACTTATATTGCCATATGGAATGACCTCCGGCAGACACTCAACAAATCCCCTCTATTCACTTCCACCTCGCCACAATCTTCTTCTTCCTCGTCCATCCACGAGCATCCCTCTCGCCTCCTCTGGTTATATGTTCCTCCACCAATATCACCCCCTCCGCCCATGATCGTCGCCCTTGACACACTTTACAAGCAGTGCTTCCCCATGACGCACCAGCCCCTCCGCTCTCCAAAACTGAAACAGTACCTCTTCGTCATGCGCAACGAACCCTTTAAACACTCGCAGATTTCACCGGGTACATCGCCACCCAAACATATGCGTTCGGGACCCACATGCGCAGCATCGGCAACTCGCTCACGACAAATAACACCGATGTGGACGAAATTTGCTGTGAGATACGCGTACTCAAAGGTCTCGTTCTCAACAGACGCTCGTTTTTACCCGGCATAGGGATACCGCGCACTTGGAGCGAGCCATCAAAGTTTGCAGGTGTATGAATTGTCTTATTTCTTGTACGGATAATATGCTATTTCTATTGACATATATAGGTTTGCTACCCAAACGAATGTCGATGCAGTAGGTGGATTCAGTGGAATCGCATTGAGTATGATTGTAGGACGAATATGAGCAAAAATAGTCATGGGGCCAAGTAGGCCACATGCATGGAGGACGGTGAGCGAAAAGCGACATGCAAACAAGCTATGAGTGATTATGCGAGGATGGGAAAGGGGAATGTGTTAAAGTCAGATGCAGTTGCACCGATACAGTAAAGGGATAAAGAGAAGGAACGTCGCAGACGTGATGATAGGTCGACAATGACAGGCAAAAACTAGCACTGGTCTAAGAATGAGTTCTTGGAGAAAAGGTTGATTACAGTCGTTCTTCCAAGTGGTAAGGTTTGGGTTGGTATATGCCTCAGCGTACCTGATAGACATGAGAATCCCCCCGTCAAGTCAGATAAGCAGGAAACATACGTGTTAATATAATCTGCTGTTGGGAAGTCTTTCGGGTCACACCCAATATTCCGTGCGTTTGATGGTTGGTATACACAGATGTAGTCCACACGCATGTGCACAGGGAAGGGCAGGTTAGCCAAATCGACAGTACCGAAATTAGTAGACCAAATTCATGATGATGTACTAGAAAAAAGTGAGCTCGTGAGTCGTGACTATTTTGAAATGCAAAAGGGCATACCATTGGCTCCTGCGGTATGGGTCGAGCGGAGACGTTGACAGTAGGATCCGGTCCCATGCCAGCAACGTTCAGGGTCCATGCAACTTCGTTATTGGCTATCCATGTTATGTACTACTGTGGAGCAATTAACTTATGGTATTTTGATATTTTGGGAAATACCAACCGCGTTTTCAAAGCCAGGAACATACTGAAGTACGATCAGTCAGCGAATGATCGATAGAACCTCGAAATCATACACCAAAAAGCACCCTGTCTCACCCTCATAGCGATCTTGATTTGTGGTTGTCACGCCGGAGGTAGCCTGCTGCTCCACTCCACCAACGTTGAACGTAGGTATTTAGAACTGTGGCCGACGGGTTTGGTATTATTTCGTTACTGCTTGTGTTTAGCCAGATGCAACCAGCGTTGAAAGGCTGAGGGATACGTGAGCTCTGCCTTAGGTCATAAGATATCGCACACACACAGCCCATTGTGCTGACTGGGAAACCTGACCTGTAAGAGGGACACCCGTGATCTTTTGTCAGATCCTTGGTTCGATTAATGAATAAACCGAACCATACCTGTGCCTCGAACATGTCGACATCAGGAGCGGCACGTCCGACGAATGTCCCATCTGAATGCAGAGGACCTGGGTGAGACTTGCCTTTGCAAGTGCACCGCGAGAGCCGCTGGCCAGGGAGGAAAGACAAGACCCTGCCTTGAGTAGCCGCGAGCGGAAGGCCGTTAAAGGTTTGATTTGGTGCAGTACCGACGACACAGGCGTTGTAGGTATATGGCCACTGTGAACCATGGTCAAACCGATCAGTGAGAACAGAGAGAAGGATAAATGACAGACCATCGCTTCCAAGCTTGCGCCATAGCCGGCTCGACCAAGATCTCCTAGTGTCCAGATAGCGGACCATAATCCTGTGGTACACGTTGTTTATGCAAGATCATGATCATGGCACGCTCTCTTACTAACTACGTTGTTCACACCAGGCAATGAGACGGACGCTTCGATGTATCCACCGGTGAAACAGAATTTGTTCCTGTATATAAATGAGACGATTCACCAGATGCCGGCCAGATGAGCACTTGCCATGTGAGAACAGGTATAAGCAACTTGAGAATTGGACAAGGAACGATGATTTTTAAAAAAGCCCAGAAGCATTGTAGATTATTAAGTACTCACCGCCCTGATAGTTTAGGTTATGTGCATCTCGTGTGGTGATCGCTTCGGGGTCATACCACTCCAGGTTGTTCGTTTGCTGGGATGAGCATTAGCACCTTAGCATGAGCAATGTTGAAGTAAGTTACCCATTAACCGCCTCCCAGTATGGATCATCGCCTGGCCAGAATGTTGTTCCTGGAGTGTTGAACTCGTCAGAAAAGACGAGCTGCAAGTCCGGCCCACCATTCCAAGAGGGCTTGGTAAACACGTTACTGGGGGTGTCGGTGTCGATTAGGCCCAAATTTTCAGGAATGTGTGGTATCTAACGAGCGAGATGCCATTGAATTACTGAAATTCAAACAATAAGAAGACTTACTTGTCCACTCCTCCTAGGTTGAGCGCAGTCCCCGTGAAATAAGTTATTATTGGATATCCAGCGCTGCAAGTATCCAGGTTCAGTCGAATGCAAAACACTTGAACAACCGAGAACGCTCACAAAAGCGTAATTGACCCGACGCCCAGAACCAGCAGGCAACCGATATTTGCTAGACCGCGATCAGGGCTCCAAGTGTTGTGATCCCTGACATTGGTATTGTGAAGGTCGTCGTCGGGTTCCTTGCAATGATTATATAAATTGAAGCCCCATTCACGAGGATCCAGTGATAAATGAAACTGCAAATCATGCAGTCAACCAACTTGGGCGCGTGGCTTCACTGAGGCAGCCACGTTCAAGTGATAGTAATGGAACGTGGTTGGTACAAGCACTAGTGAAACTCAGTTCATCACACTCAGTGTGACAGGCACGAGCTGAGTGACGCACAAGATTGAAATATTAGGGACGCTCAAAGTTGGGGGCGCTCAGGTCGCCCACGCCTACCGCTCACGTCTATGACCCCTTTGGTCCTACGGTCTCCTACCTAAAACGTAGTTTACACATTACTTAATATTGGGTGACTTCCCGTGGGCTAAATAATCTGGATTATCATAAACCGGAGCTCGAAAACAAATTTGAAAATGAGTCTGTAGGATAATCTGTAAAAAATACTAAACTGCAGACCAATAGATAATCCGGAATATTGACTGCATCCACCACTATGGATTCAGATGACTTGATAATTCAATCTCTAAAGAACGGAGCAGAGTTGCAACAGCAAGAAGATGACGACAAAGAAGCTGCGCTGGCTATTGCTGCCACCATTCTAGTTGGTGTTGAGCTCGCGCGCCAAGATCATATCGAAAATCGGCAGCCACGACGTCTATATCTCTGCCGTCCGCAGCTCCTTCCAAACCCACGGAAAGATACCCCATGGCAGGTCCTGTTTGCCACCCAGAACAATTGTGCATTTATCACAACAATGGGGCTTGGTGTCGAGACATTTAGCTCCATCCTCACTTCAGGCTAGGGCGTGACATGGGTGAGGGTTACCCGGGTACCCACCCGGGTGCCACCCATGGATGGAACGTGGGTCGGGTGATATGGGTGGTGGGTGGTACGGGTGGCTCACCCGCACGGGTATGGGTCGGAGGGCTTGCTAAAGTTGGGTATCCACGGGTACCCACGGGTGGTCTAGTACCCCAATGAGAGGTATGAACCGGTGCCAAGTGACAAATTAGTTTCAGATGAATATTGTACCCTCCCTACTTGCACTTATCCGATGTCAAAATCAAGCTCGCTGAGGTACTATAACCGTGGTATGAAGGTTCTGAACAGGTACTAAGCAGTGCTGTATGACCATAAACTATTTTCAGACGGATTTTAATTTTTAGTCCTTATCCGAGTCAGAGCCTGTCAACATGATGCCAACCGACATCTATTCGAGATGTTTAAATTCGATGTGTGCTGCCCTGGTGGCCTGGTCCCTCTCTCTGAGTCTCTCGTCATCAGTTAATTAAACCTCAATCCTCCATGTCGAGGAGCAGTTTCAACTCAGCTTCGAGCGCATCTTTGGCACCTAACTCGCCAGCAACAAATACACGCCGTTGCGCGGTCAATAAATGCCCATTCAACTCAGTAGCGGATCCTCTCTATATTGAAAGGGTAAAGCTCTTTCAAGGCACAGGTTGCCATTGGATCTTGGTTCAATACACCCCTTATGCCCGATCTCAGCATCGCTACAAAAATCATGCGAAAGAAAATGGGAAAGGAGAAGGGAGAAGGGAAGGGAAAAGAGGATCCCTCACGCCGCAACACAATTGATGTTGACTCTGATTGATTTTTTACATATATTTCATACATATGTTCTCATATGTACTACAGTACAGTTCTACATAACATATACTAGTTCACCCGCGGGTGACCCATACCACCTGCAGGTCCACCCATGCATCCACCCGCACCCGTGATACTCTTACCCGTACGGGTGCGGGTAGGCCTCTGAAGTTCCATCTACCCGCGGATTGGGTACGGGTGCCACCCAGGTCCACCCATGTTACGCCCTACTTCAGGCTTTGCAAAAAGGTGGTACAACACACCTATTCCAGAATTCAGAGATTTAGCTCTTCACAAAGCATCCAAATCAGTACATGTGAAAACAAGAAAAGTATATGAGGGATGTTTGGAGTGCAGGAACGGTAGTAGTATCGAACGGTGCCAGACAACAGAGTCTGCGCACATATGGCGCGGTATGATTATGTCAGTGGATATCGCTGGTGTAAGTGGTCCTAAAAAGGTAAGTATGGTTTATTCCACGTCAGAATAATCTGTAGGGGGGGGGTACCCCCCCCCTACAGATTTAAGGTTTATTGGGGGGGGGCAGACCCTCGTTGAATTTCAAACGGTGATGAAATGACACCCGGCATCGCGGCACACCTTCCTAATGCGTGAAATGATATTCTATTCAGGATTATTTAGGTCCACGGGAAGTCACCCATTAAATATGTAAAAATAAACACTTAATAGCTCACTCCGAGTCTTTGTGGTCATTGTTATTGTCGTGCTTGGTGATGCGGACGAATGTTGGAGTCACAATTCCCGAGACTGAATGGACAGCCAATGTGATCAGATTGGCCCGAATAGAGCTGCTGGAACTAACAAAGTTCTACTATTGGGGATACTCATTATATATACATTATTTTCGTTTAAGAGTAGCAGTTTCTCAAATTTTAGTTACATTTGCTGTAGTTCTTCCACAAGTTGTTTACCTCTCCGTCAATCCTGCCATTGACCCAAGGGAGGTCAATGCCCTTCTTTGTCTTCAATGTGAGATGTATTATATAATACCGATATGTACAAAACGGGATGGTCATGTGAGCCAAGGGGGGTCATAGGCGTGGGCGGTAGGCGTGGGCGACCTGAGCGCCCCCAACTTTGAGCGTCCCTATTGACAGGCGGGTCACCATCAGACTTCAGCAACTTTATGGGACCAGTGATCAGTGCGTTCCATTTCTATGCATCGGGCTGCGCATTGATCACTAAATAATATTGCAGAGGTCGTCCGGCTTACGACAAAATAATTGGTTTCATCCAGAAAGCCAATGATGCGGGAAGGGATGTTCTTATCGGAGGAACTGGTAAGGCGGATACTTCGACTCACCTGCGACTTTTCTCATGATCCTGCAGGTGATGACTCCAAGGGCTACTTCATACAACCCGTCTATCACAACGAGAAATACACTGGCGCGGTCGTGGGTCAGCAACCCTTTGGGAGCCCCTTCAGTGAATTCACCCGTCTGAGATGGACAGCCGAGGGTGACAATGTACCAATAGAGATGGGCCAGCCCATGTGGGCCCATGGCAATAATTGTACCATGCAAGACGAGTGGGCCAGTGGTGGTGTGTACCTGATGCAACCGGATGGGCCGGTGGTATATAGTATAGATGGTAGTATAGGAATGTACTATATAATAGATTATGAATAGTAGTGAATCTAGTGTGCTATGGAGACGAGTGGGCCAGTAGCTGAGGTGCAATAGAGATGGGTGGGCTGGTAACTGAGGTGCAATAGAGTCGAGTGGGCCGGTAACTGAGGTTCAATAGAGACGGGTGGGCCGGTAGCCAAGGTTCAATGGAGACGGGTGGGCCGTTACCTGAGGTTCAATAGAGACGGGTGGGCCGGTAACTGAGGTTCAATAGAGACGGGTGGGCCGGTAGCTGAGGTGCAATGGAGACGGGTGGGCCGAGGGTTAGGGTACAATGGAGATGAGTGGGCTGAGGGTTAGGGTGCAATGGAAACGAGTGGGCCGAGGGTTAGGGTACAATGGAGGCGAGTGGGCCGCATACCATCCGGTAAATGGACATGTCATCCGGCACATGGACATGTCATCCGGTACAGCAATGTTCCTCTTGTTAACTGAAATGCAGGTTATTCAACTAAACTGTGTGATTATCTGATAAATTGTCTTGCACATTGCAAGAACACGATGTTGACAACATAATGTAGACCACTAGTACGGACAAAAACACTAATGATATATGCTAGTATTATGTCGGCACATCACCGGAAGGCTTGTGAGGATACTTACCGCTCACCGTCCAACGTTGGTGTGATAAAGGTCCATATTGCGTGCGTGGCAAAGGAGCCGAGATGGACTGCCCATCGTCCGGCACATCTGATGGCCCGGTGATGAATGTATGAGCGGTACCAGTGGAAGGTATGGACACCGCTGGCACAATAGGAGGCTGTACCAGTGGTGCACCAACTGGAGGAACAGATGGGCTGGATGCCCTCATTGTGAGTGAAGGTACGATGGTGGAAGTGGATGGCAACCGGTTTTGCCTTGCGACCGGTGAGCCATCTGCAGCTCCTAACATATCACCACCGGTCTGGCCGCCCATCCAATATGCATCCGGAGTGAACACATTGTTAGTCACAGTGCAGGCAAACACACTGATGGATGAGCCAGGGACTGCGATGGCAGGTGGATTGTATGCTGGTGGAGTCGCCGTTGTCGCTTGACCGGACCTCTGCTCCCTCAGATACCTCACAATGCCTCTCACTTCGGCCGTACACTCACTGAGGAGTCCCCGCTGCACACGCGCATCTCGCTCTATCTCATCAACCTGCATGGACATGGCATTGTCAGATGCCTCGGCGAGTTCAATGTGATGCTCCAGGCGATCATGCCGGAGGTCGATTTCCATCCTATCGCATGTGTGAAGTTCCTGCATATCAGTGCGAATTTGGGCCAACATGGCCTCCATCTCCTCATTAGCAAGAGGGTGCTGGGTGGCAGAAGGCGCGACAGGGGAGGGCAGGTTGTAATTCGGAGGCATTGGTGAGAACCGGATATCGTCCTCTGAGGCCATGACCAGTGATGGAGGTGACATGTCATCCTCACCGGGTTCGACCCAGTGATCGTCCGGGAAATCGGCTGCGGATGCCAAAGGCGGCGGTGTCAGTGCAGTACCGCCGGTACCGGTCACTTCCGGAGCGTCATCAACGTTGCTGTGGATATCCTCTTCCTCTTGGATGGGACTAGGATGCCGAATATTTGCATCTACAAGGATGAATGAGAACAGAACAAACACCGGATACAACAGACCTGCCTGTGACTTGAGACTGCCCACTGATCTTCTTCTGTACGGTCGCCCTAGTCTGGGTAGTCTTGGAGTGAGTGGTCACTGGTGCAGCAGCAGTTTTGGTGGTGGTGGTAGTGGGAGTGGTGACAGCGGTGTTGCCTGATCTCGAAAGGTCGGTTCGGATGCACGCCATCTTCCAAATATGGAACAAAGTGCAAGATAAGGTGATCTCGCCTTTCTTTGTCAACCGAACGCTACAATCAACATTCTTCGTCCGGCATCTGTCACAAGGAGGCAGAGGTCCATCAAGGCGGGACTATGAAGAATCAGTATGGTAAAACATGACATTGACCGGAAGACGCACCGGTTGTTGGCCCTTGCCCTTGTCCATGAACTGTATTAGATGAGGTTAGCAGTATATATGACCGGTGAAATGACAAGCAAAACCCACCATTTTTTGTTGCTTGCCCGGCTTAAGAATGGCCTACATCATGATTAATGATGTCCCAGCAAAAATAAAATACACAAGATGAACTTACCTTTTGCTTGCCATGTGTATCATCATCATCATCATCATCATCATCATCATCATCATCATCATCATCATCATCGTCGTTGTCGTTGTCGTTGTCGTCGTCATCGTTGTCGTCGTTGTCGTTGTCGTTGTCTTCTTCTGCTTCTTCCTCCTCCTCCTCCTCCTCCTCCAATTCATCCTCTTCATCATCCTCAATCTCAACCAGCTCACTTGCCTTTGGTGCAGCACCCTTGTGTTTAGGAGGGATGACAGGTTTTCGCGTTAATTTCCGGGGCTGTGAGCCGTGTAAGTGATATTCAGTGAAATTAGACAAAAAACTTGCTGCAACGTCCGGAAGATCATCCACGTCAATGGCCATCTGGACATCCTCATCCCCATCATCTGCCGGTGCCTTCCCCTTTTCCTTGGGCTTCTGAGAGTCAGAGTCGGTATCCGACAACATTACCTTCGACTTCAGGACACGCTTCCGGGGCCTGTTGACCCAACACAGAGGGGGGCTACCACTGAGTTGTCATTTGCACGACTTTGATGGTCCTGCCGGTGCAGTCGCACCGGATGTTGCATTGCAGGGGATGCGAATGCTGAGTGGTGCCAGTGCAGGTGCTGGTGCAGGTTGAGGTGCAGATGCAGGTTGCGGTGCAGGTGCCGGTGGAGGTGCCGGTACCAGTACTGGTGCAGGTGCAGGTGCAGGTTCTGGCGATGGTGTAAACAGGTGTCAGTACAGGTGGGATGATAGCATAAACATATGTACTGGCAGCTGCAGTTGTAACAGGAGGTGCTTGACCCAATGTCTTAGGGTACAAAGGATGCTTCATGCACATGTTTGCATTCATCCCAACCCGATTCCAATCCGGCACTTCCACCAATTGAGTGGTGCGCCTCTGAGCCAGAAAAATCTCAGCTGCCAGTGACAGCAGGGTAGGGGGAACGTAGGTGGCCACCCTCCCATGGGAATGAATGGCCTCATTCTGTGACGCTAGTATCAATTCAGGAAACAAACAGGACGTCAAACATACCACTTCGCGAGCAATCGTCCGGCTCAATTCCATTTTCTCCTCCTGCGATCGAGACCGGAGAACCTGTTGAACCATGTCGTTGAGCCTGGCGACAAGAGCGATGAGAGCCTGGTTGGCAGCATCAGTGGCAGAAGCAGAAATGGATTTGGAAGACATGTTGGTTAGACAATGGGAGTTGCAGCTGAGCTATGAGAGAGTGGAAGGAAAGACACCCAGAAGCGACCTGTACAAAAGACTTGTAAAACTTATCAACCACCGGAGGTTCGGGCTGACACGGACATGTCCGAGGTCATTGTTCACATCATCATTATCTATTTTTAGCTTCGAATTCTATTGTTGACATGTCACCAGCATTCAATTGTTGCTGGCCAAACCCTGAGCAGCCAGTCACAGGCTGCAATCGAACACATCTATTCTTCTGGTGATCGGATGAAGAACGACAAACCATTCAAGAAAAGAAAGCAAAGAAAGCCATCCTCGGCGATTGTTCGGCATAATTTATGTTTTCCCAGTGAGGATGAAGGTGAGAAACCATCGCCTCAAAGAATATACTGGTTGACATTATCCGGCATACTAGTATTTCATATATTAGAGCCGGGACATGAGGAGCGCACTTACAACAACCCTTTCATGGATTGTTCAAGCATGGCCGAATGTGAGTTTTCTCTCATTCTGAGCTATCGCGCGGACCGTTAACATTTGTGTAGCAGACCTAGATGTCCTGTCAGTTCATGACCGGTGGAAGGATTGTCAAAGATTGAAGACAATGGACCAGCAGACGGCAGACAACTTCCAGCCCTTAGACTTGGGATTTTCATTGGCTGATAATGACTCGATGTCCGACATGCATGCTCAACAAGGGTCTGACATCTTGGATATGCAATTTCCCACCTTGGATGATCATGACCAGTCAGATGGTGAGACATTGGACCTAGGATTTCCTCCTCTAGACGTCAGTGATCCCTCCAGCAACACAGGTATGTCGCTGCACTATATATCTTATCAATTGACTTGTTGATGTGTGTACATGATATTGAACTAGAATACGGCACTTTGGAGATGGGTTTCGACACATATCCGGTAGATGATGTTCCAGACATAGGGAACAATATTCAACCGGCAGAAAACCCTTTAGAGATGGGTTTTGAAATGGATCCGGTGCATAATATTCTAAGTTTTCATTGATTTCAGATATAACGCTGTTCATGATTTGAATTCAGTCGGTGTCAGTCAACCGGATCCCATCGGATTTGTCATTCAGAGGGCTGTTGGTGATTTGCAGATGGCGATGCACCGGTTGGAGATTGACAGGGCTGGCATTGCAATGTTGCCGGACGAAACCTTTGCGAGACAGCGAGTTCTTGAGTGCATTGAAGAGTTATTGCTGGCATGTCGACTGATATCGATAGCTCAACTTTCAACGTGATGTATATATCTGGTCAAACATTATCTACACCTGTCTATAGAATACTTGTGTGCATCAAGCCAAATAATTACATTTGCATGTAGTGAGCTTTATAAGACGCCTTCGCAGTCCTACCAGAGTGCTTTGGCTCTGGATTGGTAATCTGGGTATCATGTTCTTTGGTTTTCCTGCCGGTGGCCTTTGCTGGGAAAGGTGGGGTCAGTTTGGGCACCAGTGCCCTCTTGTTTTGCGTCTTGGCCTGGACACCTGATGTAGGACCATATGTACGACTTTTAGACAAATGGTGCGAAGGCACAGGATTACCAAGATGATTTCTGGTTGATCGAGCAGAACCAGTACCGGTGTTGTCTTCTGACCTTCCATTGCCCCCACCAGTGAGCTTGGATTTCTTGACCGGTGGTCGAGAATCTTCCTCTGAATTAGATTGAACCGGACCAACCCTACCATGCTTCTTGGTTGATTTGGACTTTGAAGGTGGCGATGGGACCGGCATGGAATTCTTGACCGGTGGTCGAGGATGCGACTCAAATTGAACCAGACTGGCCCTGCCCTGCTTTTTGGCCGGTTTGGACTTTGAAGGAGGCGATTGGACAACGTCTTCCTCGTCTCCTTCCTTGTCTTCCTTGTCTTCCTTGTCATCCTTGTCTTCCTGGTCCTCATCACTTGTATCCTGTTCCACTCTCCTCCTGAGCTTTCCGGTTGACTTTTTAACTGGAACCCTGGGTCCGGTGTCTGAATCCTTGCTGGAGGTTGTATCCACCGGTTCTTTCATTGTCTTATCGTCACCTTCCCAGGCTTTGAATTCAAAGGTTGGGCGAATTTTATCCTTCTGTCTCTGACGCCAAAACACTAACAGCCGGTCAGCTTCAGCCAACCGGATCTTTGACGGATCATCCATCTTCATGCCGGTAGGTAAATACTTGGCCAAAATGAAATCACCTGGAGCCTTCCTCACTGAGGCCCAAGGAACAGATGCCTTTGATTGTTGGCTACACAACCCTGAAAAATAGCTTGTTGGTCTATCAACTCTCCAGATGCATTATTTGTGAAACTGACTGTAGTGTTTGGTGAGGAATGTTCAGATAAGACACTTTTTACTCTCTAGGCTGAGGTCTTCAACGTCCGGTATGACCGGAAGCCCATAGGTATCAACCTCCAAAGGATAATCGTCCTTCTTTCCCCCTTTCTTTCTGCTCTTCTTCACCTCCCCCTCATTGTTGTCGTCATCATTATTCAGGTCAACTTCTGGTATCGCCCCCAAGTGTGATAAGTACTTGACTGAATGACACAAGATTTTAAAAAAGAAGCTCACCGAACTCTTCTCCAGCATAGGCATTCCACTCTGATAACATGGGCTTCCAGTCCTTTGTATCGGTAAAACTGTTGCCCTCTAAATTTTCATTGAAGTCCATTCTTCCAACCGGATCAGTATATCTTTACCGGTTGAGTGTGAAGTGGAACTCACCCATTGATCCGGTGTCATGCATGGTATGTGATTCATACCATGTCAGTTATATATAGAGAGTGCTAAGGAAGGTATGAGAGACTGTCTAGCCCTCTATCACTGAGTTACCTCTCTGTTTTTCCTTTGATTCATTGTCTTATATTTTATTTCTCACTTTTCAGACTTGTTTTACCTTGTATTTTTATGAACATGTGACCTTCTGTTTATTTCTCATTGTTTATTTTTATTTGGCCTCTTTCAGCCACAGATTTGTTTGTTAAAGTTTTGTGTCTCTCTATTTATTTCTGACTGTTTATTTTTATTTGGCTTCTTTCAGCCACCAGATTTGTTTGTCAGCACATCATGTGACTGGGAAATAATCTGATTTGTAACAACATTCACATGACTCATCATGTTTTGTCATGATTTGTCATGCTTTGTAAATTCTTTGTAAGATTACACTGTATTTGTAATGTACTTAGTAATAAGCTGATTCATCACCTGGTTTGCAAGCCACATTTTTACCAATCCATCTGATAAATCATGCTTAGTAAGGGGGTTTCCAAAAGGTATAAAAGGACCCCATTTTCTCCATGAAATAACAATCCTCCCACTTGACTCTTGTCTCAAACCGTGTGAGATCACTAAGACATAAAGTGCAGGCCAACATAAGTGCCTTGAGGTAACATCTAAGATATCATTATCTACTCTAAGTTATATACTACCTTACAGGGGTTTGACTATATAACTTTCGTTATCATTATTTTACTCTAGGTTATATATATACCTTACAGGGGTTGACTATATAACTACTGAACAGCTCTCATTCTAAGCTTTATGTGTATATATATACCTTACAGGGGTTGACTATATAACTACTGAACAGCTCTCATTCTAAGCTTTACGTGTATATATAAGACTCTCTCTTTCAACGGAAAGTGAGACACAAATCTAAGGACGACAAAGTTGGAACAGACTTTCATAGGTTGAAACATGACCTACTAGGCTGAAACAAACCTAACAAATTATCCAGAACACAGAACATATTTGTTTGAGATTTCAGGAAGAGGACAGCAAACTAAATCCTCCCAAGAACTCACCACGTTACCTCCCACAAAGTAGAAAAGTCGGAGACCGTGGACTTAAGGACTGGCAAGAAGTCTTCACCGTGTATAATTGTGTTGTCATTATACACAACTTTCATATAAGACCCTTAAGTAACAAGACACCGGACTTCGTCTTCTTCTGTTTTCCATGCTGATAATATGAAAATTCTCATACCGGCCTGCTTCCACAACTTGGTTGCCAGATCCTTCATCATACCGGGTGCTTTCTTCTTTGCAAAGTCCGCCTGGACCGCTGCAGGAGGAGCCTTGTCAGACCATTCGATCACAGTATTCTGAGCTTCCTCTAGCTCCTCTTTAGATAGACTGGCCATGATTGCAGTGAGGGTTGACTGGTATCTTTCAATAAACGTCTTTGATCCTGGCCTTGCTCCAGTCTTTTCGATGATATCCTCCTTGCGCAGTTGTTCTATCACTGACTGGGAAGTCCATTTCTGACCCAACTTGCTCGCTTGTTTTTTTGCGAGTCTTTTCGGGCCTCCGGTTATATAACCAGTCCCGGTACGTCTTGATACATCATGATCAAAGTCATTAATCATGTATAGAATTAGAAGATCGACTGCTCACATATTTCCTTTTCTTCAATAACCGGTCATCCATAGTAGGGGCATGAACCTTGGCCTCTTTTACTACCACCTTCATAATCTTTTTTCTATCCTCAGCAGCTGCTTCCTTCCATTCTTCTAGGTGAGATTTTAAGACCAGCACCTCTTCCTCAGTCAATTTCTTCTGCTTGGTCTTTTTTGGGCTGTCTACTGATGAGTTGGATCGGGGCATCGCAAAGCAGTGGAGGTTTTGGTAGAAGAAAGGATGTACGTGTATCTCACAGTATTAGGTTACATAATGGATGTACGTGACAGCAAACCAAACAAGAGATTGTCTGCCAGCGAGTCAACACTTGTCAATTGGCATGATACCCTCAACATCCCATGTGTTTCTGGTGTATAGAATGTAGAGGGATATGAACAGCTGGTGTCCGGAAACTCAAATGAGAGCCAGTTCATGTCAGTAGAATGGGTTATTTGGTTGGAACCGTTCTCTCGGAGCATGTTTCACAATGCCAGTGCCCTCACTAAAGTTAATCCAATGCATATTACTGCTGAACCCTCTTCATTAACTGAATTACTTGTCTGAGACCAAAGCCCTGTAACGCCTGCTAGAAAGAAGCATTTGAACTTTGAAATGTAACCTCCGGTCAACATAGTGTTTCAACTCAATTGTCATCTAACTTGAACATGAAATCCATGATACTTGGGATAATGACAGGATTACTGTGTTGAATACACGATGCAAATATGGCAACCTCATTGACTCCACCCTTAATATATCCTAAACTGAGATGACATTCAATGACTAACAAGGGAAAATGTGGTAATCCCGCCGGTTGAAATCTCCCGGAGTCTGGGATTGATGGAAGGCACTGCAGTGAAGTCATGTGCCTACCAGTCGTCAAGTTTAAAGCACACTCCCTGATCTAACAATCCTTTCCGGTGGTAGCATTAATATGGCAAAGACCAAACAAAAGGGAATCACATACACCCCTCCTACGAAGAAACGATTGCCTCAGCTGTATAAGCTCAAGGAGAAAACTACGACAAGAGGATCCAGGTCATCTTGGGTGAAAGATTCATGGTCTCCGAAAACAAAGTCAGCAACATCATCCCCGACAAAATCTCCCTCAAAGCATCAATCTGGGTCCTCTCACATGCTCTATGAAGGTGCCGACTTTGACTTTGACCAAGGTTATATTCCCCAGCCTAAATTACCGAAATCTCTGGCAAGCAGCAGTCATCTTCATTTCCACAGTCCGGATCTGACCAGATCATGCAGAGCCAAAATGCATATCTCCGGCAATGGAAGTGCAAGTTCAAGGACTATATGAACTCACTTATGGTCAGAGAAGCCCCTCCAATAGACCGATTTTGCTCAATCTGCAAAAAGGATGGGGTGTATAAATGCCATGGCTGTTTCAATGAGCCACTCTTTTGCACAGACTGCTGCAGAATTCAGCATCAAAGACATCCATTCCATCGCATCAGTCAATGGACTGGAACATTTTTTGAAGAAACTTCACTCATTAAAGTCGGCCTACACATTCACCTTGCACATGGCGGCACTCTATGTCCCAGCAGCACAGATTACTCATCAGACTTCTTTGAATGGTCAGATACCAATGACAATATAGATGACGATTATCCGGAGGGACCTTTCATTCAACCGGTCAGAGACCCGGATAATCCGGCCATAACTGTAATAGACAAGTCTGGTGTTCACTCCCTTTCCATATGGTATTGCCACTGCACTGGTGCTCTCAGCCGAGACATGCAGCTCTTTCAAGCAGGCTTGTTCCCAGCATCTTTCACCAGACCAAAACTGCATTCACATTCTCTGTCTTGGACAACTTTCTGTTAGACAATCTTGAGTGCAGTACATCCGCCATGAATTACTACAGCAAAATTCGCAGACTGACCTCCAGCATCTTTCCACTGATGGTTCCGGTGAGCTGAGTTTCATTTTGTAGTCGACCATCCGGTAATTAAAGAATGATACCCATAGGATCGCTACAGAGAGCTAATGAGAACTGCCAGGCAGTGGAGACAATGCAAGCTTTACAAGTGGCATGGGTTTGCCCACAAAGATGACCAGCCAAAGGCTGGTGATCTCGCCCTATTTTGCCCCGCATGTCCGCAACCAGGTATCAACTTGGACCGGTCCACCGGAACAGTCGCCCAGCCAGACAATACACCTTCCTGGCTTATGACTAGGTATTTGGTCATGGATGGTAATTTCAAAGCTGAGCACATGCATCCAGTGAATCCATCCGATGAAGTGTCATTGATGGATGGTCTAGCATTCATGGTCTCCAATGAAAGATACAAGAGTCATTTGTCCATTGCCAAAGACCATGTCCAAAGGTCAGATTGCAATAATCACCGGGCGGTCAATCAAGCAAACGCCTCCAGGCAAAGGCTGGAAGCCACCAGTATAGGAGCATGTGCATGTGCACGGCATGGATGTTTTGTCCCACATTCCATGGTCGACTTTCAGAAAGGCGAAAGGTTAGTACATATTGCATCCGGTCACATCAATGGCTGGTCTTACAGCTCTTACCCGGCATAACCAGGCAGATGAACATGGACTATGCCTTAAGTCAAGCGCTCAACTATAGGACTGATGGAATCTCTCGCGCCATAACTTTCTATGACATAAATTGTCAGTATAACAAGTATTTGAAGGACTGGATCACTTCCAGTATATATCTTTCCATCCCCATTGGTATGGATATCATTCCTGGAATTGGTTTGTGGCATGTACATGGACATCAAGATAGCTGCTATGTTCGGTATGCATCAAATTTTATCTATGGGACTGGCAGGATAGATGGAGAGATCATGGAGACCCTCTGGGCACCTTTGAACATAATCTCCCCTTCAGCCAGGGACATGGGAACTCCGCATCGGAAGGAGGTATTGGATTATCAAATGAATGACTGTAACTTCATGAAAATGATTCGCATAAGTAAGTCACCTACCTCCAGATGTTCAAATATTGTCTGGTCTCATACAATGCATTTCTGGCTGGATGACCCTGTAGCAAAGTTTCTTTGCAGAAAGTTGAAAGAGGCCATCAAGGGTGCTGCGGAGAGCAAACTTGCATTCCAAAATCTCAGTGAGACAGCCCACCCTGACATTGTCATTCTTTGGGAGGTAGAAGAGGCAATAGCTCATGCGAGCAGAGCGGAGGATCCTACAGCTATGGACATTTATGAGGTCCGGTTGGAAAAGGGTAAGTGTTAACTTCTACCGGTCGTCCGGCAGGTCTGATCACCGGTACATGGGCAGCTCCCACAAGAAAACAGCAGGAGTTGCGCCTGCTGCAGGCTCAAAATCACCCTGAACATCCAGTTAATAACTCGCCCGGTCGACAAGGAGCTGCGACTTGGCTCGCCACCGGTCTCACCATAGAGGAATCCCAAATCTCTCTTTGTAGGGATGTGAAAAGGTTAGAGAAGTATCCCACAGATATTTAATTATTGAAAGTGGCTCGATGCCGGGACAAGCTTTATGCTCACATCACAAGCTTTCTTGAAATGGCACCTACTTATCTTGGAGTTGAAGTCGATGTCAATGACCCGGATTTTCTGGTCAATATTGTTGGCAATTCACTCCATGATGATTGTGAAGATTACTCCGATCTCGATGACAATGACAATGCTGATCCAGATATAAACGATGCTTCCATATTTCAACCGGAGCTCACTGTCATACCCCTGCCATCCAACATTGGTCAGGTCAAGTGCAAGGAGTTAGGCCTTACCGATCTCATGAATGAAGAAATAACCCTCCATGAAGGCCAGGCCAATGACACACTCCATGCCATTCGAGTTCATTTGGGAGATAAAGCTGTTATATTCTGCAATACTGTCCGGTCAGCCAAGTCACAGGCTTCATCTACCAGGGCATGGACTCAAGTTCGCTTGGTGGAAACAGCGGTGAATCTCAATGCCAGTATATATTCAAGATGCCGGTCGCAACTGGCCAAACTCCCTGATCATGACCTGTTGAAGAAATACCTGCCTTTGAAGAAAGAAGACTTGAAAGCAAGCTCTGCAGTGGCCGATCCAAATGCATGTGGTCAGAGGGACACTACTCTTCCATGGTTCAGGTCCTTGGATGTTCAGGGCGACACATCAGGAAACGACTGGATGACGGAATGTGAGTCTGTTGCATCTGGTAATATTTGGTCATCCGGTCGTCCGGTCTCATATGTTCTAATAATAGTTTACCGGGTCAATTGGCTCCGGACAAAAGCACTGTGCAATCGCTGGAACGAGGAGGTTATTCTCGTAAAACATGAAATGAAGTGGTCTATCAATTTCTTTAACCACAAAGCCAAGGAATGGCTTGGTCACATGGCCAACGCTACTTCTGCAGGGCTCACCAGACATACATGTTATGCAGCATGACAGTCTCACATATATCACCAACTAGCAGCACATGCGGAAGATTCTTTTGGGAAACTGATGGCTCAGCCAGAAGTACCGGTTGTATAATGGTACCGGTTGAATAATGGTACCGGTTGGGATGGTACATGGTACCAGTTGTATAGTGGTACCAGATGGGATGGTTCATGGTACCGGTTGTATAATGGTACCGGTTGAGATAGTTCACGGTACCAGTTGGGATTATGTATATTTCGTAATATCAGTTAGGTAATATGAAATTATGTTGGGAACATGTAAATAATCCTAGTGTGTTGGTCGCATTACAGCCTTACATTCCTCTCCATGAACAATACTACAACTCTCATCCCCTCTGACCAAGTCATCATCGCCACCAAGGGCAATCATATCACCGCTGGAGATATCTCTCGCGCCCTATTCTATGCCAATTCTTGGCTGTTGGCCATGCGCCTGCATGTTGATAAAAGCCACTGCCATCCCTGGCTATGCAGATGCATTCTACTCCTTGATGAAATGGGAGATGGAGGTATGTTGCCAGTCATGCTGATATTCCCTTGCCCTCATCTTTTCCCCTGTCATGTAGACATTTGTAACACCTTTCATCAATATATCTTTTGTCACCCGGTTGTCCGCTGTCATTCCCCAACTGCTCAAGGATGTCCTGGTGATCATGACTGCACACAAATTGGTGGACCGGCGGCCGGATGTCAATGTTATTCTGCAGGATATCAAGGCATTGTGCCTATCTGTGGATTCCAACAAATGGGATGACTATGATATTGCTCATATGCCAGACTACTTCAATGACTGGTGGAAGGAATCGCTTGCTTGTTGCCAGGTGTCAGATATGGTGCCCAAGTCATCCATCCAAGATGTGATGGATTTGGTTGAATGGCACTTTTCACAACTTGTGAGTCCATGAGATTTTGTTATTTAGTCTACAACATATGCTGATAACATCCATAATAGCTGGATTGTGTCAGGACCGGCCTGCTCCCATATATGCTCAAGGGGCCGGATGCTCTGCCAGATACATCTTCGGTGCAGTGCCACCAGACACCAATCGGTAGAGAGTTGCTGGGTATCTTACAGGGACGCATGATGAATTTCAGAAGTGCAAGTGATCGGTTGGCCGGGTTAGTTGGGCCAATTGATGAAATCACAAGGGCTGTGACATCCTCACAGGCACTCATTGACTGGTTAAATACAGATGACAGTGTGTCCAGGTTACATTAAAGTACAACTTGATATCTGCCAGTATCCGGTCAATATGTTATACTGTCATACAATCAGGCCGTGTGAATGTGAAGCCATTTTCTCCAATTGCCATGTGGCCGGATATGATTCAACAGCGGTGCTTTCCCATCACTCAATTGTTTTTGCAAGACATGGTTGCAACCCCACTAGACTGGGCCTTGTACCAGACCTACCTTGCCAGTGAATTGGTGCAAGAGATTTTCATGTCTACACTTCTTCAACGACTGGTTAAGGACATGGACCTTGGTCTCTTGGATATTGACACTTGCATTGCCTTAGAGCGGCTCGCTAACGTGATGGCCACTGCTTACTCCAATGCTGGTAGGTTTCCGGCCCATCGTCCTGCTGCTGTCAACTTACCTACAGACAGTTCATCTTGAAATAGATATGGTTAGATACAATGATGCCCTGGACAAAGACGAATCCGGTCGAAGTGGGAAACGAGAGGAGATTCTTTTCAACAGATTCCCCCCTGACAAGGAGCATTTCTTGGCAACACCATCTGTCGTCGTGGATGCCGGAGGTAGAATCATTGTTTGGTATTTGCCTGGAGTACTGACAGCTATGATAATGGTCGGTCTTCTGTCTATTTCCGTTTTTCACTTTACCTCAGCCAGATGTATATCACAGAAAGATATGCATGGTGCAACACATTCCATGAGTGGTTTATTGAAACATAGCATCACAACAGCTAAGACCGCTCAATGGAGGACCCATCGGTCTCACTTCCATCCAAGTCCAGATGGGATAATCACCCCCGGTTGCATTAATATTTCCCCTGCATGGTTTCAGCAAGGACGAGAGGTACGTCCGGTCCACATGCATTGAAATCACCGGTTTGACGTATGGTAGAAACATGGTTTCCCGAATCTTGACCCGGAAGATGGTTTCTCACCAGAGGTATCCGCTGCACTGAAAGGTGATGCCAGTCGCAACATTACAACATCCCTTCAAAGGTCCGGTATCATCATCTCTGCTGCACTTCGAGTCATGCACCCTGATCTGTATTGGGCCGGAATGGCAACTCAAGTCAGGCTTGGTGAATGGGCTGCCAAATATGAATTGGATGAGATGAGCCATCATCTACGACACTGGACATCCGTTTTCAATGTGGTGTCAGTAATATGCAATCGCCGGATGCCCCCTCATAGAGATCCGAAATGTTGACCGGCAGCATTTGATATCATGACGACCGCTGGTATTTATCAGCCGGTCATCATGGATTTTATGAACCTTGGGATCAAATTTTTATATGACTCTGGCTCAATGTTGGCATCATCATGTCGACTGGTGAGACATTACATGAATGTGGAAGAAGGCAACCGGATGGTCACTGCATGGTACATGCGAGACAGCATTCACAACTTTGTTGGAACTCCGAGCACAGAGTATTCAAAGTATAGCAATATACAATGCAGTGACCCGGTTGAGAAGGAATGGTCAACAGACATGTAAATATTTAGCAAATGACTCCATGTATTGATTCAAATATATATTTCCTGTAAATCTTGTTTGACAGGTCTGGTGAATCACAGATATTCCAGTGTTGTTCTGGGACATATCATTCATTAGATGCACTGATTTGTATCCTAGGTTACCATATGGAGGGGGTTTCTGCATGGACTGTGTAGGTATTCTAGACGTACCGGATGTGTATCCTAGGTGTATCAGAAGTGTATCTTGGACGTACCAGATGTGTATCCTAGAGATACCGGACGTATATCCTAGACGTACCGGATTGGTACTGTACCAGTTGGTATACGCTGTATGCACCGGATGGTGTATTGTGACCCAGCTTGTCTGTTGCACCCAATCCCTCGGCCCACTCGTCTCCATTGAACCCAATCCCTCAGCCCATTCGTCTCCATTGCACCCTAACCCTCGGCCCACCCGTTTCTATTGCGCCTCAGTTACTGGCCCACCCGTCTCTATTGCGCCTTAGTTACCGGCCCACCCGTCTCTATTGAACCTCAGTTACTGGCCCACCCATCCCCATTGCACCTCATCTACCAGCCCATCTGTCTCTATTGCACCTTGGTTCCTGGCCCACCTGTTTCTATTGCGCCTCAGTTACCGGCCCACCCGTCTCTATTGAACCTCAGTTACTGGCCCACCCGTCTCTATTGAACCTCAGTTACTGGCCCACCCGTTGTTACGGTTCATAGGCTTACCCTTCACCTCTTCACCATTTCACATCTTCACTTGTCACCATTTCACCTTTCACTTATTCACAGAACATTCTACCTAATTCCCTTGTGCCCTTCATCCCATTGGACGATCACCATTCAGACTCCCCTTGTATATTGGAGCTCCGCTTCAACACTACGTATATAGTAGCCAGTATTTACCATGTATAGTTTCTCTAACTTGACCTTAGCAATCTACCTTGTAAACCTACGGCTAGTAGTAAAGGAGGTTCATTGTTAATTGTAACACCCATCTCTATTGAACCTCAGGTAATGGCCCACCTGTCTCCATTGCACCTCATCTACCGGCCCACCCATCTCTATTGAGCCTCAGGTACCAGCCCACCCGTCTCTATTGAACCTCATCTACCGGCTCACCTGTCTCCAGTGCACCTCATCTACCAGCCCACTCGTCTCAATTGCACCTCAGTTACCGGCCCACCCGTCTCTATTGTACCTCAGTTACCGGCCCACCCATCTATATTGCACCTAAGCTACCAGCCAACTCGTCTCCATCATGCCCATTTCCTTGGCCCACTCCATCAGGAAAACTGCATATTACTTAATGTTCCCTTAAATGAGGCCAGAGTCGCCGAAAGTGTGAAAAAGTCCAATTCAAGTCCAGAACCAGTAAGAACACTGCACTTAAAAAAATTAGATCCATTTTCTTATGTTTGAGCTTAAATTTGTCTTAACGTGCTTTGCAAAACAAATGTCAAAATTGTCCAACTTGAAACCGCTCGTAAGTGCGTAACAAGACACGAGTAAGTATGAAGTCAGAAACAAGTCAAAAACATGCCAAGCAGAATGAAAAGTGTGGTAGCAGTGAAAACAAGTAGCAGGCTCAACTGAGACGATTAACGAGATGAGAGAAAATAACACAAAAGCATGCAGCACTGGAATGATCAACGAGATGGGAGAAAATAGCACAGAAGCATGCAGCAATGATATCAAATCATCATAAGCTTGCGAGAATGCAACCAAATGGGCGAGAAATGTAAGTGCACCGGTGAACATCCAGGAAACAGTGATCTGGAAATCAGGATGATGAGTGAATGACAACAGTTAATGCATGCAGTGAAGTGAACTTACCTTTAGCGGAAGGCAAGTAAATTGACATATTCCTCATCAATCTCTTCCTCAGGCTCGTCAGCTCCCTTGGACCGTCCTCCACGAGAGGAAGCTTTCATGTATTGCTGTGCTTGCTGAACAATGCCCTGCATGGCTGTAGAGGGAACGTTCTTAATCGCTTGCAAGAGCATGCACGTATCGTAACCCCAAAGCGGCTCAGAAAAGCTCTCATTCTCCCCAATAACAGCTTCCCAGATGTCTCCATTGACAGCCAATGCCTTACCCTTGCATATAGTAGTAGCCTTCTTCTTTCCCTTCCCAGTAGCCGTCGTGATAGTGAAACTCATTGCTCCTACCGAAAGGAGGTACAGAGCGCGTTTTACCTGTCAAAAATTTAAGATGAGTAAGAAAAAGTGGAACATAGTAAATGTAGGATAGTTACCGCCCCTGCCGCCAAAGCAAGTGATGCCCGCATAATGTCGTTTTCACTGTTGAGTGCTGGAACTTCCACCCGGCCTTGGGTATAGTTGAGATGTGCAGCAAACGTCTGCAACACAAATGTAGACTGCCACATCCCCGTCCATGCCTAAATGATAGAACTGTGTTAGCATGAGGTGATGTAAAAAAACAACACAAACCTCTGGATCATCAGAACTAATGTCTGAGAAAAGGAAACGGTTATCTTCAAGCCAGAACTTGGCAAAGTCGATGTGCTCTTGGTCAGTTTCATAAGTAGAATCAGAAGCCATGAGACTTGTAATGATCATGACAGCAGCAGATCCAAACCCTCCACGCCATTCACTGAGGCATTGTTTAGCCTACCATTTGTCAAGTAAGTGTTGGCTTGTAAATTGAAGATACTGTCAATGTACCACATGATAGACGGCACCACCAAGGACGATCTTGTAGTTCTTCAGTGATGGATTGTCTGCATAAACGATGTTCCACATCTTTGTCAGAATCAGGATGAGTGTGTCATCCTCGATCAACCAAGGGTGGACATTCTCGCCACCTGCTGCATGTGCTACTGTAGGGATGAAAACTCCGCGCCATAAATTTCTGTCCAAGCAACCAGGAGGAAGGTCACTGTTCTTGTATTTTGCCTTTGAGGGCTCTCCAACTGCCACCTCACTTTCTGCCTCTCGTTTGATACGCTTGGACGGAGGAGCATTATCCACGATTTCCACGCTGGCCTTGAATATGAATTTGTATCAGTGAAGTCTTATATAAGTTGATGCGACTTACTGATGCTGTGACTCGCTTATTCCCACCCATGTTCCTCATGGCAGCGCTAGCACCATGGTGTTCGACACCAGAATCATCATCATCATTGTCTACAAATACAATAGCATCTTCCTGGCCCTCCAAGTCCACGGCGATGTCCTTTGGTTCAGATCGGGTAATATGGGGACGGGTGTTACCCGATCCATATTGAAGGAGTCTTAATTGCGAAGGAACTGGTGGTGTTAGAGGTTGGGGAATATCTTGGACTTCAATCACGTCCTAAATAAATATCAATATTTAAAGAAATTTGAAACTATACAAAAACTTAGCTACCATCAATTTCTGATTGCGCATCGTTTTACCCATGTTTGCAAGGGTATACGCCACCAAGCGCTCGGGTCCATCAGCTTCATCTGGTGTGCGCTCTTCAGCTTCAACATCATCGTTAAACATGGAGCCCTCAGGTGTTGCAGGAGGAGCTGTAGCAGTAGTGGTTGCATTGGTTGTTGCATGAGTGACTCGAGAGAGTGCAGATCCTGTCGGATGAGAAAGAGAAGAGGCACTTTCTAAGTGCAATGGCACCTTGAATCCAGACTCGAGCTTCGTATTGACTCGTTGAGCCCAACCTGAAACCACAGCTATTTTTTTGATGTCGCTAGTAAATTCATGGAGCAGATTCCAATAGAATAACGTCGTTTCAGTCAGTAAAAGCATGGTGAACAGTTAAAAAAAAAGCACCCACGTCAGCTTGTTTCCATTCCCAGTGGCGTCTGATGCACGTGGATGGGATGGCTGCATGGCAATTCGGACTGCATTAACAGCATCGCGGTGATCAGTCCTCTGGATACGTTTTCTCCGTCCAAGAACTTGAGAGTCATTATCTTTATCATCATCATCATCTGCAACAGCCTGAGCGTGAGAGGAAGATGCTGTTGTCGTAGCACCTTTCCCAACTAGGCACGGTCGTGGCTTCTTTGTTGAGACTGTGTTCTTCTGCTGGATGGCAGCTTTCTTCTGAGCAGCAGCCACTTGAGTAATGGCTTGTCTTGTCTTCTCATCTTGTTCGTCTCGTTCCTTCTCTGCGCGCGCCTTATCCTCTTTGAGCTGAGCTGTAGTGCACCTCTTCTGCTTGGCATCTAGAACCACCTGAGCAGGCCTCTTCGATGCATTGGTTGGACATGTGTGAACCATGACCAGCAAGACTCAAACAAGGTGGATGTGAAGATGTGGCAATGAGGTCAACTCGCTGAAGCTTAGAGTTGTTGAAGGTTATTTTACGTGTACATTTTGTTTTCGCTACACACTATTACAACTCAATCCCTCGCAATAATTTCATCATTAACTCATTTTATCACAATGTCAAACACGCGCCCTCGTCGCCAGTCTCGGAGAAGTCTTCATTCACGCAAAGTATTTCAGGCTAATCTGATTTCCTGTCCTCATGCTGGCTGTGCGCGTTCTTTCAAAAACAGATCTGGACTCACACAACATCAACATGCCATGCACAACTATTCTTTCGACATCCCGAATGAACCAAGAGCCCAAGAACATTCTGTTCGGGCTGGAGAACCAAACCTTGAGGTGGGAGAAGGCCTCGAGGCGCAAGATGAAGGCCTCAAGGCAGAAGAATCAGGCCTCGAGGCGGGAGAATTCAACCTTGAGGCTGGTGAAGCAGACATCGAGGCTGGAGATTGGGACATCGAGGCTGGAGATTGGGACATTGAGGCTGAAAACTCAAATATTCCACCAACTCCGGTCCTAAATCCTAAAGAGACCTACCGAGATTATCACTTGGAGCTCAACGGTGCGCATCTGACTATTCTATCACTGACATGTTTCTTATTTTCTATTGATACAGGAAAAATCTGTGATGAACATGGTCAGTTCCTTGACCCAGATACTCCGCCACCTCCATTCACGACAAGAGAGCATGGTGACTGGACACCATTCCACGATCGCACAGAGTTCGAAACCGCGGAATTTTTATATACTCAAAATCAAATGTCCGGCGGTGATATCGACAAGCTTATGTACCTATGGGGAAGAACCCTTGCGCATCACGGAGACATCCCACCATTCGCTGATCACAAAGACTTATATTCAACCATCGACGCGATACCCCTTGGAGAAGTGGCATGGGAGAGCTTCACAATGAAGTTCGATGGGAAAGGCTCGGATCCTAATGATTCTGAGACTCACGCACCATGGATGGATACTCCTTACACTGCATGGTTTCGAGATCCCCATGCCGTGGTCCGCAACATGCTTGTGAATCCAGACTTCAAGGATGAGATGGAGTACACGCCTTATCATGAGTGGAAGGGAGAGGGAGATGACGCAAAATGGCAGTGGCGCAATGTGATGTCAGGAGACTGGGCATGGAATCAAGCTGTAAGTTCTTTACTACATCTCAATACTTGACATGAAGCTAATCTAAATTAATCTCAGGATGAAATAGCCAAAGATCCAGCAACGCATGGCTCGACCTTCGTGCCCGTTCTTCTTGGAAGCGACAAGACAACGGTCTCAGTTGCAACCAGGCAAAACGACTATTATTCCCTCTATGCCTCAATTGGCAATGTACACAATAGTGTTCGGCATGCTCATCGTAATGCTGTCGCTGTCGTTGGCTTTTTAGCCATACCAAAAAGTATGTAATAATTTCATTTTTATGGCACCTGCTGTACAAAGATTCTACAGCTGTAAAAAAATATTCCGAAGATGCGCATTTTAGAAAATTTAAGAAACAATTGTTTCATTCATCTCTCTCACGAATACTGCGCTCTTTCAAGACCTTCATGACTGTTCCTGAGGTCGTGCGCTTTGGGGATGGTCACTTTCGACGTGTCATCTATGGCTTAGGACCATACATCGCGGATTATCCAGAACAGGTCGTACTTTCTTGTATCGTGTCAAATTGGTGTGCTAAGTAAGTAATCTTTTTGTGTGAACTTGTCTAAATCTAATGTATTCTCAAGATGTCTTGCTTTTCCAACAGATCTAGATGGCAAAGATGCCCAACTTCGTGCTCGAGTAGTCACGGACGTCCTTTGTGATAATGTTGACTTCAATACTCTGTGGTGTCAGTGGGGCGTTGATGCTGACGTCATGGTAAGCCTCATTTCATTTTAATTGCTTCAAGCTTTCTAACAACAGTAGCCATTTACGAATGATTATCCATGCGCCGACATCCATGAACTTCTGTCCCCCGATATCCTGCATCAACTTATCAAAGGTACCTTCAAAGACCACCTTGTCACCTGGGTTGAGAAGTACTTGGAACGCATACATGGAAAGACTCGCGCCAAGGTGGTGATGGATGACATAGACAGAAGGTATGCTCGTGATATCTCTCTGGTGACCCTTACTAATCCACAGATTTGTTCCTCCAGAATCGCTGCAGCGCCATCATTCGCAGGCCTTCGCAGGTTTCCTCAAGGCCGTGGTTTTACTCAATGGACTGGTAACGATTTGAAGGCCTTGATGAAGGTCTATTTACCTGCGATTGAGGGACACGTGCCCGATGATGTTGTCCGGTGTTTTCGTGCCTTCCTTGAATTATGCTACCTCATACGACAGGATATTATTACAGAGGACACGCTCAAGGAAATCGAGGAGGCCCTTGACTGGTTTCATCATTATCACAAAAATTTTCAAGAGACTGGCGTTCGTTTTGACGGATTCTCATTACCACGTCAGCATTCCCTGGTGCACTATGTTACACTTATCCACATGTTCGGTGCGCCAAATGGTGTGTGTTCATCCATTACAGAGTCAAAACACATCAAGGCTGTGAAAGAACCATGGCGACGATCAAGCAAATTCAACGCACTTGGACAGATGTTGCTCACAAACCAGCGCCTCAATAAACTCGCTGCTGCACGTACCGACTTCATAGCATGTGGAATGTTAGGTCCACATCCTGGTATGTATGTTTCTGTTGTATACTAATGCATACTGAATAAAAACTTGTGTACTAGATATCGGCCCACAACACCCATCGCAGGACAATGGAAATATGAAGGACGGTGGTGAGGCAGGTGATGGTGGCGAGGTGGACGATGGTGGCGAGGTGGATGATGGTGGCGAGGCGGACGGTGGTGGCGAGGTGGATGATGGTGGCGAGGTGGACGATGGTGGTGAGGCGGATGATGGTGGCGAGGCGGACGATGGTGGTGAGGTGGATGATGGTGACAAGGAAGACGATGGTGCAGTAGAGGGAGCCCGAGCGCAATGTGATGTGAAACTGGCATGCATGCCTCGTGCATTGTCTTTTCTGTTACATATACCATTATCTGACCCAACAAAAGAACACAGACGACCGTACACCATTCGTGCACTGGCTAAAGAACTCGACGTATCAAACTTGCCTCAACTGGTCCGCCTTTTTCTCTATGACCAACTCCTCGCAGACGACGATCATACGTCCGATACTGTCCCACTCAGTGCTTGCCCCAGATTTGAAGGCCGCATCAAGGTTTTTGGCTCGGCAGCAGCTACTTTTTTTGCACCAAGTGATCCAAGTGGTATTGGGGGAATGCGACGCGAACATATTCGTTCCGTCCCTTCGTGGCGTGGAGGGCCAGGATGCTATGACACCATATTTGTGAACACCCGAAGCGAGGGTGGAATACACGGTATGGAGGTTGCCCGTGTGTTATGTTTCTTTTCCTTTCGTCACGGTTATGGCGGTGATTTGAAGACTTTTCCGTGCGCTCTGGTACACTGGTTTAAGCTAATCTCTGATGAGCCCGATCAGCTGGACACTCGGGAGCTCTCAATCATTCATATCGACACAATCGTTCGTGCAGCTCACTTGCTGCCCATCTTTGGCAATGAATTTGTCCCAGAGAAAGCTACATTCCACGAGACTCTAGATATTTACTGTGCGTTCTATGTTAACAAATTCGCAGATCATCATTCCTTCAAAATAGCATCTTGAGCGCATTATTTGAACTTGGTTACTTAAATTACTTGATTATCTTGCAATTTTTTCTCAGTCAGATGCCTAAGTAGTGTCAAGTAAAAACGAAGTAACTTGATGTCATCTTAGCTGACTTAACACAATTTTTACATTTTCAAGCTCGGTTAAGTGAAGTGTAGATTTGCTGATGTCGTCTCCATAGCACACTAGATTCACTACTATTCATAATCTATTATATAGTACATTCCTATACTACCTTCTATACTATATACCACCGGCCCATCCGGTTGCATCAGGTACACAACATCACCGGCCCACTCGTCTTGCATGGTACAATTATTGTCATGGGCCCACATGGGCTGGCCCGTCTCTATTGGTACATTGTCACCCTCGGCTGTCCGTCTCAGACGGGTATAAGTTACTGTACTATGTGCCTTTGGAGGAGGACGAGCGAGTGGGACCAACGACAAAGCTGGGAATATCAGCATCTTCTACCGGTTCGTTTCGGCCAGAAGCATAAAGGAGGACTTCCAATACCCGTCAAATTTGATTTGAAATAATTAGTAGAATCACGAAAACAACGCTAGTCATCCAAGTTGTATTCATCAAATAATCATGTTGTTACATGTGTTCGATGTCGAGGGCGAATTGTAAAGTATCCTGAGCAACAGGTAAGAGCACTAGAGCAGGAAATCATCGCCACCTCGCCTCCTTGTGCTTTCGTTACTCTCCGGTACTTAAAACGTGCACTGGATTTGGGAGCCTTGTGTTGTGCTCTTGCCGAAGCGTTCACTCAGCAATCACGATGATAGCGGACAACTTCAAATTCAAGCTCGATAGCAGATACAGGATCGACATGGAATAAAACTGGAAACTTGGTAGTACTAGTACTACGACTGAATCATTTGCGAGTAGCGCTAGAAGTATTGATTTAGCAACTACAAGGGACAGTCAAGGCTAAAAACTCACACATCTCGGCAATTCGACCAGTCTTCTCCATGAGCCACGCGACTCAAATCAATCTCCAGCCCACCGGACACGAATACAGTCCTAGGATTATAAAATGGCTGTTTTCGGGAAGCGGGGGGTACCCAGAAAAGCAATCAACCATAGGCTCCTACCATCCATCCATCGTCTGCCGGCATGGCAGGGGTTGGATGAAGAGGTGAGGTGTCCTCGAGTAGCTCAGCAGAGTTTTGGAGTGTATGTTCCAAGCTTGATGCGAAGCAAATGGTGGGATTGTTCAGAGTATCAGTTGACATCATAGTCTCCCGTTTGCAAGGTGTGGTGGGACGTCTATCCAAAGGGAATGTAGAGGAGTGGATTTCAGTGTGCTCCTGAAATTGCTGTTCCGTTGCTGCATTCCACAGGCGGACAGTGGAATCTTCTGAACCAGACACGAAGCGAGTGCCATTGGGTGAGGATGAGACTGACTCGACCGGTTCAGTGTGCCCTGGGAAGGGCTCACCCAATGGCAGCCTTGTTGCTGCATCCCACACCTGGACAGTGTGATCCCAAGAACCAGACACGATGCGAGTGCCATCAGGCGAGAACGAGACTGACCAAACTGAGTCAGTGTGCCCTTGGAAGGGCTCACCCAATGGCAGCCCCGTTGCTGCATCCCACACCCGGACAGTGGAACCCGAGGAACCAGACACGATGCGAGTGCCATTGGGCGAGAACGAGACTGAGTAAACCGATTCAGTGTGCCCTCGGAAGGGCTCACCCAATGGCAGCCCCGTGGCTGCATCCCACACCCGGACAGTGGAATCCCAAGAACCAGACACAATGCGAGTGCCATCAGGCAAGAACGAGACTGACTTAACCGATTCAGTGTGCCCTCGGAAGGGCTCACCCAATGGCAGCCCCGTGGCTGCATCCCACACCCGGACAGTGTCATCCCTTGAACCAGACACGATGCGAGTGCCATCGGGCGAGAACGAGACTGACCAAACTGAATCAGTGTGCCCTCGGAAGGGCTCACCCAATGGCAGCCCCGTTGCTGCATCCCACACCCAGACAGTGCAATCCCAAGAACCAGACACGATGCGAGTGCAATCGGGCAAGAACGAGACTGACGAAACCGGAAAGGTATGCCCACTGATCACGGTCTGAATAGCGGTCCAGTTCACAAGTCGACCACGCATCAGACGAAGAGTCTTCGGAAACCTTCCAGTAAACTTTGTAGCTATCATGGACTTGCTGGGGCAAAATGGCAGCGCTGATACATACAGATGTGGTGTGCTGTGCAAAATCATCCCACCAAACACCTGCACGAATCTCTGCACGTCCGTTGCAGTGGACAATAGGCTTGCATGTCCGGATTGGCCCTGTGTTCGCGTGTAAGCACTTCCCCTGACACCACCAGGTCACTTCAGCCACTGGGCAATGAGTGGAAGCACAGCAACTGCGCTGCCGAGTCCATTGAGAAGCCCGAGTGCTTCGATCCAGAAGAGCATTCGCTCGTTATCAAAGAATGATTCTATTTCCTTGGTGAGCTCCGCGTCAAAGTCCGTTGCTCGCACGTGTGTAGCCCAAAATCAACAGGAATACGATAGATGCGACGGAATGCGTGTTGCGACTCTATCCGGCAGCCCAGTATCGTCGCTATTGGGGAGGTATGAAGACTTTAAATCACACATATTGAAGCGAAGGTCGTGCTCCATCACTCGGAGTGACGCAAAAGCAAGATCGCGTTGCGAGTTCGACATCTCCACAAAAAACTCTCCGCTGGATGATTTGTTTGTCAGGAATTCGCGGAAGGATGCGTGAAGGGGTCATATGGCGCTAGATGAGTTGGTGGTCCCGCTGAGCAGGGATCCCATGTCTCCTACCACGAGTTCCACTTTGTAATGCTCGCTTTCATCTGGAAAATGGCGCCGCATGGCATTCAGGGCATCTAAAGAGAGCGGTTCGGCTGAGCCAAGTACTTGTCCCATCACGGAATGAAACTTGGCTAGAGCTCGCTGGTAACCAGCTTCTGTGATGTGTTTCTCCCTCCGCATGTTTTGTCCTAGAATGAAGTTATACATCCCATATAACAAGTTTTCCTGCTCTCCATCATTGTGGGACACGACATCGTTGAGGCGATCAATTGCGGGTGAGCCGGTAGCGATGTCTCGGATGTAGTTGCATGCAAGATGCACCCACTCGAATAGTCCCCCAGCTCTGTTAGCGAGGACTGCGAACTCTTTGTCTCCGAGACCAGACATATTTTTCAGCTCGTGAGACACAAATGTACGTATGTCTCTCTTCGAGTCTTTTTCTGAGATGTCGTCCATAGACAACCCTTGGATATGTGGAGCATTCTGGAATTCAGAATTGATATCAGGAAGCGCGCGAGAGGTGACGAGAATCCGAAAGTTGGATGGGAGTTCGGTGATTTTGGGAAGACCTTCGCCCTCCAGGGTACCCGCAAGTATGCGGAGAGGGTTGCGCCGTGTCTCGACTTCCCCGCTCTCGTCCAGCGCTTCAATCATGATCAAGGCAGGCCCCACGCTCGACCCAGAAGACTTCTTCAGTGGTTCTATCAACAGCTTGCGCCACTGCTGGACGATATCTGTCGTGTTCTTCAGCGCCTTCGCATGCTCGATTGCATTCGCCAATGTTCGTCTCATCTCCGGATCACGATCAGCGAGGTCGCCAGCGATGGTGGAGAAGACTTTTTCATGACGTTTGTCCGTTTGGTTCCGGTCGAAGCAGAAACACGAACCGAGCCCTCCCAAGTCGTTGAACCAGTTGGCTATCGTGTGAGCGATGACTGATTTTCCCGTGCCCGCAGGGCCAGATAGCCACAGCACCCGCTGAGCAGTATCTCCACTGCCAAAGATCCATTCAGTGATCTGGGATAGAATGTCTGTGCGCGTCCCTGGTAGACATAGTTTCGTGGTATTTAGTCCCGCGCCTGCTGCATAAGGCATCCCGCTGAGATCCAGTTTGTCGCCCAGTTCGTCACCTGAAGAGGTATTGTGAGTATACCGGAAGTCAGAAGCACGTCCGAATCCTTACTAGTGCAACGGACAAGATCGGCTATGTCACGAATGGCTTGGTCCCGAAATTGTTGCATAAGCTCATCTAAAGCCTTGTTGTACCGGGCGATCAGATAATCCGCCTCTGAGACAGCATTTTCCCTGAGCCTCTTCCCTGTCATAATGATTTGAGATTCACAATATGCGGAATGCAACAACTCGATGACTTACAAAAGCTCTTCTTCTTCGAGTAGTCTGTGATGAAACGCGCGCAATCTAGAGTCTGTTGGGCGATTCGTCCAGCGATACTGCGCTGGGAAGAAATCTGGCCAAGAGTGTCCTCGCGTGACATAAAACGGTAAACTTGTTCCAATTTCTCGAGAAGAGATTGCATCGATTGGTCGCGTTCTGTTTGAGCGAGAATAATCTGCATGGAGTCAACAACTGCTGAACAGGAAGGTAAAACCACACGTACTTTGGATGCAGCGGACAGCATGCCCAGCACCATCTTTGCATAAGGATGTACCTATACAATTTGATTAGCTCGCTTCCAACCAAGAAGAGCGGCCCATACGTTCGCAAGATTCTCGATGACAGTGTCAAAAATTTTGAGTGGTTAAAGATATGTGGTCGGGATATCGTCTGCGGCAGCAAGATATTTTGGGCCATCCTCGGCTTTGGATACAAAAGAAGTGACACGTCCCCCGAGTAGTGCCATACTTTCTGTGGCCTCACGGGCAGCCTGAAGTTCAGCATCAACTGATTGGGGATCGGGAATTTCTTCCACGCCAGGAGGGGCGTCGAGGACCTGCACGACCAACAGAATTTAGACATTAAAACTAGATCCTTTGGCATAAATACCTTCGAAGCAGGTTCTCTGGATGCTCCTTGATTCCCACAACTAGTGAGATTCTTAGATGTGGCGGGCTTGTCGCCATCGGAAGGATGCAGACGCGATGTAAGCTGGTGGACCTCAGACAAGTTCAAGATCAAAACAATGACTACTTACCTCAGTATTCTGATTCGACAAAACACTTTCATGATCCGTGTTCTGTACAACGGGGACTTGGTGGCGGGAACGTTTGAAGCGTTTCTGTAAAATATCAGCTATATTCTAGTTCCTTCAGCATTCAGGCCGACGTACAGAAACTTTTTTAGTCACATTCTTCTTAACTTTCCGCAGGACCTGACGGAGACCGCAGCCGCTACGGTGCTGGCTCTGGATTAAGGATACGTAGGAGGCAGCAACAACGTCATTAGCGCTCGTCGACAGCGGTCTAATGAGGGCACGTACGGAGCTCTCGCCAACAGTTGCTTCTCTGGATTGAGAAGCCTCCGGAAGAGGTTCCTGCCTGTGGTCTTCGGTCATTGGCAACAGTCAAAATTTGGAATCAGCCTAAGGAAAACGGATGCAAGAATTAGAGGTAGGGAAGAGTACTCGGTACAACCAGTGTTTAAATAACAAGCACCCAGATACTTTTGACCACAAGCCTTAAGGCAGCCACGTTCGAGTTATATTAATGGAACGCGGTTCGTGCAAGCACTGGTGAAACTTCAGCATGCATCATTCATGATGTAACAGGCTTGATATTCATGGGTGCGGGTAAGTAAACACATACGTATGTATGGGCGCAACGAAATTCATGAGGCTGAAGCGCTGAAGGAGTGTGTCACTGTTGTGACAGGCACGAGAATCTTGCCAAGTTCTGAGCGTCCTCGATCAACGTCAACCCTTTGCCCCATGTCATCCGTCAAAATTTCAAATTCAAACCTCATCGGTAGGTATATTTTTCTCGCAAAATTGATTTTCTATTGGTTTTCATCCCAACAAAATTAGACTAAGAACCCTTATCGCGCTTTTGGAAAACCATATCAATACTTGAGCGCTGAGCGTGTTGAGATACCGTTATGACCATCCTTTAGGAATCAATCAGATACACATTCAAATCATTCAGATCGAGTGTTGGGGACCTCATACCCAGCTATGACCGCCATTCAACTCTGAACTCAAATCTGACAAGTAGAACAGATAATGTACTAGGTTATCTTCCAGCCAACGTGCAGACCACTCAGCCTTCGCATGACACATGTCAACGCGCACTCCGCCTCGAATGCTGCCTCCCTTGACTCACAAGCAGGAGCTATTTAATCTCCGCACAGGAATAACGGCGTGCTGAAGATGGCTTAGGATAAACTCTCCTGCCGACAGCTTCGTGGCTGACGTCGACATCAAATATCTCACCGCACTAGAAGCAAGGACGTTCGAGGATGCCGAAGAAGCAGGACCTGCAGGCAACCAGCAGTGAGTTTACATGCTGGTCAATATCACAGGCAATGCAATGTGTATCTCGGATTTCCTGATGAATGTGTTCTTGAAAGAGATCGTAGCGAGAGCAACCTCGATGTGAGGAAAATGAATTAAAGTGCTGGGCAACTCTTCCATATCTACCTATGTCAATGATTTTGTCTCCAAAATGTCTACACCGCCGCCACAGCTCGCCACATTCAAGTCCCTGCAATCGAAAACGAATTTAGGGTGAGTCTATGTGAACTTTACGAGTCACTCCTTCTCATCCCGAATTATGTCGGCAGCGAACCTATGGTGCGGGGTCAGCAGAGCGCAAGGGTCTCGCAGCTGCACTTGCTCGGATGCAACACGAACTTCCATTCGAGGTTCCCTATATCGTCAATGGCCCACCGGTCCGTACAACGTGCCACTGGCCAATTCGTTGATGACTTAGATTTCAGATCAGAACTGGTAAACTTGCCAAGCAGCCCATACCTCCAATCACGCTCATCATCTCTGCGTATACCACGAGGCAGATTAATCGACTGTAGCCAGCGCGATCGATGGTGCTCTTTCCGCCAAAGCTGAGTGGGAGGCCATGCCTTGGAACGATCGCTCCACCATCTTCCTGCGTGCCGCAGAGCTTCTTAGCAACAAGTACCGTTACAAATTGGTAGCAGCTACTATGTTTGGGCAAGGGAAGAACGAGATCGATGCTGCCGCAGAGGTGAGTAAACTTGATGGCAGTCGATTGATGGAATTTTCGCAGCTTTCTGATTTCTTCCGTTTCGTCAAATATGTCGAGGAGCTCTACACACAACAGCCTCCTCAGAACGCAGCAGGATCATGGAAGTAAGTGCGATGCCCCTTCTATCAAGCTACTTCTGATGATTGGATAGCCGCGTCGAGTATCGTGCGCTGGAAGGATTTGTTCTTGCAGTTTCGCCATTCAACTTCACAGCGATCAGTGGAAACCTTCCAGGTGGTACGAGTCACTATTTTTATCCTGATCATTATGTTCTGAACCAGACAACTTAGTTGCCGCAATCGTCGGTAACACAGTCGCATGGAAACCTTCACCAGCGGCCACGTATTCCAACTACTCGATCTATCAGATCCTCGCGGAGGCTGGTGTTCCACCCGGCGTCATCCAGTTCGTTCCGGGCCACCTCCAGAAGTCATTGCAAAGGCGATATCGTACCCTAACTTTGCAGCGCTCCACTTCACAGGCAGCACGTTTATATTCAAGAAGCTATGTAAAGACATCGCCGCGAACCTGGACAAGTACAAAGGGTATCCGAGAATCGTCGGTGAGACAGGAGGAAAGAACTTCCGTGTCATCCACAAGTCGGCAGAGATCCGAAATGCAGTTTTGCAGACCATTCGAGTGAGCGAGCGATACTGTAACTACATACCAACTATTTCTCAACACCAAATTCAACTTGGATGTATCTGGCGTCGCACGATTCTTGGGTGGAGACGAAGCCGTACAAGCCATATTGACTATCCGCTGATACGTAGCTTCGCCGTCGTCAAGTGCCTGAGCACCATCGGGTCTGGAACGCGCTTTTCTCCGGGCTTAACGGAAAGCCATAAAAAGTTCTCGGGCTAAACAAGCACTTGGGTCCTAAAGACATCACTTCTCTGTGTGGCACCATCATTGGAAAGAACTAGAAGGACTCACGTCGCGTACCTTGTAATCCAGATGAACAAGGAGCCCCCCAAAGGCCGGTCCCTAGATATGTCCCACTGTCTAACGGTGTCTAACTGCCAGTGATTGATTTAGAGCGGGATGGATATCCGAGAGCTTGGTTAGTTGATGTATGATTGTACCTGACAGGCACCTCACTAGTAGTTGCTGGACATTGGCGCGCTGCGTGGGTATGATATTATAATTTGTTGTAGTTGTAGATTTGCTATGCATTCTACTTACACGATGAGGCCGTGAGGAGTCGTCCGAAGTAGTAAGTCTCGACCCTGAAATGAAAATTCCCACCAGGTCCCTGCGTTCGGCTACCTTGAGGATATGAGCCCTATTGTTGAGTTACTTTACAACTAATGGTTAGGTTTAGATGCCCACCCTCAATGTGTCCATCAGCCAGTCGAGCTTCAATCTCGACACGTCGGGAGTCGCTGGATTCTTCGGTGGGGATGAAGCGATCTCAGCGATGGCAACTGTCCATCTCTACCGCGGGAGGCGCTGGCTAGGCTGGTATAATTCACCAGGAAGTTACATTGTTGCCAAAAAGTTCGGGCAACTTGCTAATTCGCGATTTTGGGATGGGCTTTTCCCCGGTCCAAATTTAACACCAGCTGAAGTATTTGGGCTGGATGGAAAGACCGGCCCCCGTTATTGGGGCGTTTTGTCAGGCACGGATATGGCCTGTGGCCACCTGGCATACCTCGTGATGCAGAAGACGAAAGAAGTCGAGGAAGTGGCAGATTTGGGAGGACGGGAGACTATACCTCAAACAGTCACCATCCTCGATGTCGGAGATGTGATACTCAAGCACACGGACCAGGCGCCAATGATGAGCGTCCACCATGCTCTCTTGGCCGCTATCCCCATTACCATCAATCTCGCAACGTGCGTGCTTTGCGCGGCTTCGGGAGATTGGCTAGCTTTCGCCCTCATCCTGCTGGGAGTCATTTCAGGCGGGACATCTTGCTTTGTCATCGGCTCTGCTCAACTCGACTTTCTTGCTGGCGTGAAAGAACCTTCTCCAGGCACGCCGCCTGCAGACGGGATACTCTTGATGCGAAACAATGTGGTCATTGTCCGAGGCGCGGAGAAAGACATCAACCCAATAACGAAAGGCAAATTTGTCCTGAGGATGCATGGCGGCCCAGAGTACCGACGGATTGGACTCTGCTCGCTTCTCCTCCTTGCGCAGTTTCTTCTCCAGCTCCTTTTTATGCCTCAGGCATCGACATTCGGGCAGATCATGTTTATCTCATCGGTTGCAGCCTCATGGGCATATAATTCATTTCTGTCGTCATTGGAGCAGGAGAAGATACAAGTCGACCTCCTATGGAAAGCACTTGGCAATCCACGACTATTGAAATTTGGCCTCAAAAGTAGAGCTGCTCAGGCAGTTTTTGCATGCTTAGTCCTCAGTAACGGCATCCAAAGGCCATCTGTCGACTTCAAACCAAAGAAAGTCTTGCATCGGTTCATATCAAACGACACAAGGGTATGGGATGTATGGAGAGACAAAGTGGCGGAGCAGTTGGAAAATAACAAGGAAGAAAAGTCGTTCAAGCTTAGCTCAGAAGATTTACGAGGGTTCGGAGAACATGAAAGGGCCCTCCTGACGTCATTGCTTCGAGACGCACAGGACGCGTATGGAGGTTACCAGGAGCAAGTACATAAGATCGAAGACAATGGCCACATCTCTGAGAAACAAGTACCTCAACCGGACTCCTTTGTTTAGAGTCATGTTGTAACGTACGTACCACCTGTTCAGAAGCTATGCAACCCTAGATGCCATTAAGACAATACACGGTGAACTGGATGCGCCTAGATCGTGAAGAACTGACGAGTACAGATGAGATCGAGTACATACCGGCAAAGGTGTCGCTAACATCAACATACCCATGTGGGTAGGTAATACGACCAGTCATGGAATCATGGCGCACTATTCATCAAAATTGCTAAAAATAAATAAATAAAGGATGTCAACTAAACGGTTCTCGAGATGAATATGCATACGCACTGGAACTTCAACCCACCATCCCGGTGAGCGCTCAAGCTTCACCTCCAGGGAATGCACTTGACTTGGCGTTGGACATGCCTCTGGTTCTGTATCCCTCCACAATACTAACGACAGCACCTTTCCCGATGACGACATACACACCGGTAAGATATTCTTCGAGTCTCCAACCACCGTTCCGCGTGCCATAGTACAAACGCGAAGACCGAGATATACCTCGAGAAATGTAAGGGAATTCATGGCAATGAAGAGATGATCGTCTGGTAAAGTCAAAATTGCTTGAAAGCAATGGTCCCTATGTCCCAAAGTTCTCTCTTGACAAGAGGAAAACCAAACAGCTGACGGTTGCCGCACGGAGTTCTGGGAGGCCTCACGAGAACGTACTGAGATACGTCTGAGCTGTATTTAGAGGGCACCCATTGCACCGCGGTAGACGTTTCTTGTGAGTTAGACTCTGAGATCTTTGGACAAAATGAGTGGCAGTACGCGCCAAATGAATTAAAGATGAAGAAGTCACTCACCTGAAGTTTTCTTAGACTTCGTTTCAGTTGGCTTGCAGTTACCAGTAGAGGCGATTTTCGTCGAAGAGGCGTTCAACAAATGAACAAACTTGGCCACTGTAATATGTAGTACTTTGGCATACACCACGCCATTGATGCTGGACACTGGCAATCCATGTGTGCTCAGTATTGTTTTGAAAGTCGCTGTAAGTGTGACAGTAATATGGGCAACACCGAAGCGACTACATCCATTACATAATGTTATTGGCTATTCCAATCATCCTAACGCAACCCTACGCAATCCTAACACTACATCCTCGCAAGTTATTTGAACCGGAAGTGAAAAAAAAACATCCTCTCTGGACTCTGCGAAGCACGGTGACTTTTCATCGGCGCAAGTTATCTTAATCGGAAGTGAAAAAACATCAGCTTCAGATAACTGATCTGAAGATCTGGCATCGAGGCTGCCCGAAGTCTGCTGGAAGAAGGTCCGTTGCTCGTGGCAAAGTGAGTCATAGTAAGGGGAGTCATGCGAACGCAACTGACTCACTCATTGGAGAAATCACCGTGGGCAAGGTGGGTGACATCGAAGCTGATGCATAATGGAGTGATGTAGATTTGACTGACTGTGTTACCGCACTTTACAGTTGGCTCCGCGTGCAGAACGAAATGACCAAAGTCCTGGTTATGCTCGACGGTGCAGAAATCACTGTAGGGCGACGCTAAGACCCGTCAGTGATGTAATTATAGTTGCAGTCATGGTAAAGTCTACTGTCACAAGTAGAATTGCACGTCCAACAAAACAATTATGCTCGATGGAGTAAGAAGCATGGTGAGTGGGCGCTGTTGGGCCGTGTGAAAAGTTTGATGCCAGTGATGAAAAAAATGAGTCACTGATAATGGTTACTGCAAACCGTGACTCGGACTACGGCTTATACTTATATCCATCGATGTTTGAATTTTCCAAGCACCTTTAAAATGTCTGAATAATCATATCATCGTCATCAAACTCATGAGTGCAACCCATATATACCATTCTAGCGACTCTTCATTTGGACTCCCAAATCCCTGAGAGTAGTCAGGAATTTGCGTGCTCAAATGCTTCGACTACACGACGCCAACCAGCCCCGAGTGCCTAGACTTCCACTTCTACATCATCGCCGGTAAGTGAATGTAAAAGTCTCAAGTCCTCACTACTGCTCATTACTATAATATCAGCTATTTGTGGTAGGACGAGTGGGCACTCAAGCGACTCCACCGAGTTCCTACCCAATGGTCATTCGGGATAAGCGTGATTTCTCTCTCGCGTTATCTCTTCCAGGGGAATTCTCTTTATCACCTTGAGCAGCCGAGAACGCATGTACATGCTGTTCGTGATCGCGAACAGCGTGCACCTGCGTTTCCTTGTCGCATCCCATGATTCCAGCCACTTGCCGCAGAGTAGTAACTCTGGTTGGTCTGACATAGCCATGAGCAGCCCTTCGCCGGATCGGTGTTCGATGACTCTGGGGAGCCTCCTTCCAGGACCACCCCTTGTGCCCCACAACCCTACCCTAGATTTCAGTTCTCAATCACAGGCAATTTTCGGAAGACTACAGTGGAGATATAACGATGTTGTGTACACCGTCAGATAGAATGTTGCAAATATAAATCCTGTGATCATCTTTTGAGAAAATGAATGCGTAAGCTAGCTGACGCGATTCGGGTGAGAGGCTGATACAATCACCAAGAAGTTGGGCAGGAAAAAGAGTGATTTTGATGCTAGTTACAATCGTTGTAGCCCGCACACTGCTTAATTCCGGCTCACAGTGAGCTGGCTAAAGTTTGTCTGCAGCCCAGAGGTATGAAATTGTCAGTTGCAGTAATTCAGCGAACATAGATGAGTGTCCTTTGTAAGGATTCTTTTGATGTGTGAAGAGGTAGCAGCCAGTTCGACGGATATAAGTCAAGGGTCTCGCGCAGCGCCACGGGGTCAATAAATAGTCTTACAGTCCCTGTGTTCGTCTACAATATCGATATATTGTTCAGTCTCATGAGTGTATGTATCACAGATAACGTGCAAGAGTTATCAGTCCTACTGCAAAAAAATGAATGGGGTCGTTACAGGTGAGGTAGGCAAGACAGTTAGCCATGGAACGATAACGCACTATTCATTGAAATGCCTAAACGAATAAGGAGTGTCAGTTGAACGGCTCTTGAAATGAGCATGCACACGCACTGGGTGTTCTACCCACCATCCCGGTGATCACTTAAGCTTCACCTCCAGGAAATGCACTCGACTTGGCGTTGGACAGATCGTCTAGGATTTTGGATCCCTCTACAATCCTAACAACAGCACCCTCCCAACGACATGCACTCCGATGGGGTATGGTATTCTTCGAGCCTCCGACCACCTTTCCATATGCCAAAGTACAAAGGTGAAGACCGAGATATACCTTGACAAACGTAAGGGAATTCATGGGGATGGATGAATGGTTGCGACTCTGGTAAATTTTCGTCTGGCTGAACTTGTTTAAAAAGCAATGGTCCCTGTGTCCCAAAGTTCCCTCTTGACAATAAGAAAACCAAACAGCCAACGATTGCCGCATCGAGCCCGGGGAGGCCTTACGAGAACGTACTGAGATACGTCTGAGCTGTATTTAAGGGACACCCAGCGCACCGCGGTAGACATGTTTTGTGAGTCAGACTTTGGACAAAATGAGTGGCGGTACGCGCCAAATTAATTAAAAATCACTCACCTAAAGTCACCTTAGACTTTGTTCCAGTTGGCTTGTAATAGAGGACATTTTCGAGCTCTGCGCTGTTCAGCGAACAAAATGAACTCGACTGAACTATGCAATACGCCATGCACTGATGCGGAATTTGGACGCGGCTCGTAACATGTTCAACTTGGGATAAGAAATCAAACAGGGTCAACAAACTAAACCACATGCCTCTACCAAGCGAACTTTTCGAGGGCTGGGTTCCGTCCTCACTTTAAGTACATCGGACAAGCAGCGACATGGTCTAAGTTAGACAATATAGTCGTGCTGGGTCCTGGGAGAAAGTTTCAGGCGGAACATCTTCAAGTTGCTTTGTCATCACGCCAGCTCTGCTTTCTTTCTGGCGTGAAAGAACAGGAAAGAACCCTATCCAAACACGCCGCCTGCAGATGGGATACTCCTGATGCGAAACAACGTGGTCATCGTCCGAGGCGCAAAGAAAGGCGTCAATTCGATAACGAAAGATAAATTTGTCCTGAGGATGCATAGCGGCCGAGAAGTACTACAGACGAATCAGATTCTGCTCGCTTCTCATTGCGCAGTTTCTTCTCAAGCTCCTTTTCATCCCTTGATCAGGCACCGACATTCGGGCAGGTCATGTTCATCTCATCGGTTGCAGCCTCATGGGCATATAATTCATTTTTGTCGTCGTTGAAGCGGGAGAAAATACAAGACAATATCCTATGGAAAACACTTGACGATCCACGACTACTGAAATTTGGCCTAGCTGTTCAGGCAGTTTTTGCATGCTTGTTCTTCAGTAACGGCATCCAAACGCCATCTGTCGACTTCAAACCGAAGAAAGTCTTGCAACATTTCATCTCGAACGACACAAGGGTATGGAACGCATGGAGAGACAAAGTGGCGGAGCAATTGGAAAATAACAAGGAAGAAAAGTCGTTCAAGCTTAGCTCAGAAGATCTGCGAGGGGTTCGGAGATCATCAAAGGGCCCTCCTGGTGTTATTACTTCAAGACACAGGACGCGTATGAAGGTTACCCGGAGCAAGTACATAAGACCAAAGACAACAGCGAGTTATCCGACCTACATAAGTCGCATGCTGCAACCCTACATCACATTAACACAACACGTGGTGAACTCGATACGCCCAGACCATGAAGGACTGATGACTACGGATGAGATCGAGTACTGCATACTGGCAAAGGTGTCGCTAAAAACATACCCACGTGGACTGCTTTTGAAATCGGGATCGATAAACCAGTGCATCACTGTGAGATTAGCAGCATAATCTTCACAGGTGGAGGATATCACACGGGGAGAACACGTGCTGGATAGCTAGAGCTCATTTGCTTCCGAGTGTGCTGACTCCATGCGCCCCATCATGTGCGCCACTTAAAAGAGCAGTTGTGGACCGTATTCTGTGAAACGAAACAAATGTACCATGACCTACAAACATCCCGTTGACATCCAAACAGGTCATTTTGACCTCGACGTATCCGGGGTCGCAGGGTTCTTTGGGGGTGAAGAAGCCATCTCTGCAATGCAAACCATTCATCTTTACAAGTACCGAAAATATATGGGATGGTACAACTCACCTGGCAGCTGGAACGTTGGCAAAAAGTTCGGAATGCTCGCAAATTCGCGTTTGTGGGACGGACTTTTCCCCGGACCTAATGAAGACCCCGCAAAATTCTTCGAGCTTGATGGCAAGCAGGGCCCAAAGTATGTTGCCTCTAGATCCGGATCCATCCTGGAGCACACCGGCCACCTTGCGTATCTGATGATGCAGATATGTAAGGAAGAGTTAGGAGTGCATGTAGGGGGAAGGGTCACGAAGCGGAATAACGTGACTCTTGTCCAGACACAACTCGTTTTTGAGGAATCAACGGCAAAAGAGAAACCGCCAGTACGCACGATCCAACCTCATGACGGGCGTCAAAAATACGTTGCAATTCTACCGATAGCCGTCAGCTTCACCACATGCGCACTTTGCGGATGGACATACGACTGGTTCTGTTGTTCGATGATCCTTCTTGGCATCATCTCAAACGGCATGGCCTCCTTGGTCATAGGGTCCGCAAGTTTAGAACTGCAAGGTGTGAAGTCAGCACCTACGGCTCCGCCCGGAGACGGAATGCTGATGGACGGCGATAATGTCGTCCTCCTGCTCGGGAAAGAGGAAGACGTCGCTACCATTACGAGAGGCAGGTTCACTCTAAGCTATGAGCCTTGGGTTAAGATGAGGAGCAAGAAGGAAGAGAGGAAACGTTTCGTTCTTAGAGACGGAACGGGGTCGACCAAATCAAACCGCAGAGGCGATGCAGAGGACGGTTTTCGAAACATTTCTTTAGACCAAGGTCCAAACCATGAGGCCGTACCCGTTAAGGACGAGTATGCTGCTATTGGATCGTGTTCGCTCCTGCTCGTCGCACAACTCCTTGCGCAACTGCTCTTGATCCCCCAGGGCACATTCTTTGGTCAAATCATGTTCCTGTCCTCTTTCGCAGCTTCGTGGGCGTACAACCTGTACTTGTCCTCAATCGACAACGAGCATATCCAGGAAGAGTTACTCCTAGAAGCACTCAATCTGAATGAGCAACATATGCGGACTTACAGCCTTGGCACGAGAACAACTGCCGCCGTATTCGCATGCCTGATGCTCCAGCCTCCTGGTGTTTATGAAGAATCGGAGTGGAAGAGACTAGGTTTCGAACCAGAAGGTATCATCCGCAAATTCATTCCAAATGATACGCCAGTATGGACGACATGGAGAGAAAAGGTCTTGGGTGTAATGAGAGACCAGAAAGTTTGCAGCCGAGACACTTGCTACGATTTGCTACAGATGAGCGACCAGGAGAAAGATATGTTCAAGCCCAATGACCAAAAGCTTCTCGAAAACCTGTTAGAGGACGCTCGCACCGCATACGAACTGGCTGTGAACGAAAAGCTTTGGCTTAAGTGTGGCTGAGGAAGATGTAACTTGCACCTGTGTACATTGATTTCTATCATGCGACTGTAATCAACCATGCATTTTATCTGCCGTCAGAATTGAAAAATCTAAGACATGCCATCAACGACTCACCGGTGCACCACTCATCTTTACATCCAAGGGGTCGAAGGAGTCACAGCCTTGATCAGAACACAGCGGATGCCGGTGCATTCAGACAAGTGTAAGTACTCACTGAAGTGGACTAGCTATCTACTACTCCTCGGAGTTTGCGGTTGAGAAAATTTTCAAATACAAATAGAGTTTATACCCCTGTCCTCGGTGCCGGTGATCCCCCCCCGAGTGCACGTTAAACCTAACGGTCGTTTGGCGGTTCTGCCTCCCTCTCCATCAGTTCAGATATGGGTGCGAGAACACGAGACACTAGGTCTAGTCATGTAATCGCAATCACGCACTCCCATTTTTTCACTCTCGACGTACACTACCCGCTATGCCGCTCGCGAGTGTCGGAATTAAAGCACAGCTGATTCCTTCAGAAATGCGATTAATGCCTCGAGCTTCTCGCATGGTCGAGAATACCTTGCTATCTCAAATATGGGACCCTGCATCGAATGGTAAGGGTTCGTCTTCAATAACGCAACTACTTCTGACACGATGGTACCATTGATGTGCAACAGACACGAGCCCCGTTGCATCGTATCTCTCCATTGGCACCGTCGCCTACAGCGCATAGCATCCCAAAAAATGCGCTCTTGCCACTCAGGGTGAGCCTTCTGTGACTGTTATCAGCCTATTTCGGGGTGGAATTTGAATGGTGAGCTTTGAAATCATTGTCATTCACATCGGTGAGCTGCCACAGCTATACACGCGTTACCAAATGTATGATGGGCTGTGACGACCAGGTCTCGTGAGAATAATCATGTTCCAGAAGGTCGGGCGTCAGCACAGGAAGTCGGTGTCCAATGATATCCTATTGGCGCGCCGGTTCATTGCTTCCGATTATATTTCTCACAAACAACGTGCTGTAATCGGCTCCAAGACTTACCGTACATTGATTTTGTAGGGCTGCCTCGAGGCCAGCATTTCACTATGCTCCTTCTGCTGACACAGTTCATGTCGCAGCTCCTCTCGGTTTCTCCGCAATTTCCGGTCAGGTGATGTTCTCTTTCCCCCGCTTGCAACGTCTCGGATCTACAACTCGTTCTTTTCTTCCCTTAAGAGTGACAAGGGAAGGTACACGGAGATGGGTTATGCAAGGCGCTGCGGGTTGATGAAACTTCGGTCAAATTGCCTCCAAAGTAGCGTGCGTGCCAGCAGGAGGTACGAGTAAGTTATGAGAATCATGTTATGTCTTGACAGTCCGAGTGGCGATGAAACAAAGTTGGACAACGTACTAGTAAATCATATCTTCTGGTCTGCGATGAAGACGATATCTTCCTCTGCCCCTGCGCTAGGTCAGGGGCTTCTGTGCATGGTCTATTTCGGAAGCGGCTTTCTGCTAAAAAAAAATTGAAGCACTTGCTTCCTAGCAACTAGTACAGAGGAGACGTACTTGTGAATCTTCCCAAATAATTCGTTCGGCTTTGACCCCTCTGGCAAATCCAGGCCTTCGCTACAGTAACAGAAAATAAGTGTCTCAATAAGGGTAGCGATCCCATCAACGTTTGAGAAGGATTGAAATGCCTGACGTCTGTCATCAGAACACGGGCTCTCAAGTTTGAAACTGAGTAATGTCACAAATCAGTCGTTATTGGAAGGTAGTGTGCGAATCTACTTTACAATAGAGCTTGATGTCATCTAGCAGCCTGAGAAGGATCAATGCTGAACGTTGAAAGGCCGACCAAGGGCCCATTGTATCAGAATGTCAGAGATTCAGCCGGTCTAGGACAATGTCTGGGCCAAAGTCTGGGACACGACGGCAGCCAACAGCACTTCCAGCTGTGTTTAAACCTCGTTCAGACTGTAAGACCCGGCCAAGGCTATTGGATAGACCTGCCGCTTAATGATTTCTACAATGACTCCCCACACTCGGCGTGAACGGTCATTCTCGCTCCACGGAATTTTGGGCAGTGAGACCTTGGCGACTTGGATTTGGCTATATAGAACGAGGCATTTGTGAGCCGTCAGTAAGACGACGATACCTATTGAAGCAGGAACCAAACAGTCGAGTCTCAATATCGCGAACTTGTATTATACATTGACAATAGATAAATAGTCAAGTTTAGATGGAAAACATCGTGATGAAGCCACCGTGCAGTGAAACATACCTCAGCGACGTAAACAAGCGCTTTCAATTCCCGTCAAGTTGGTGCCTTGTCGAGTAGTGTTCGACAACTGGTTGCATTGAAGCAAAGGCAATGATCAAGGTCTTTTGTTGCAGTGACTCATACCATGCCCACCTTCGATCTATCAATAAACCAGTCACATTTCAATCGGGTGTTACAGGATTCTTGAGTAGGGATGAAGCGATTTCGCCGCCCGCTGGCACCGAGAGATCATGCTGTTGGCAAGAAATTTGGGCAACCTGCTAACTCGATATTTTCCCTTGGATGGTTGGTTGGTTCAAACCTCGAATTGGCTGTGGGTTTTGGATTGTGACGCCCATGAGCATTAGCTATAGATTAAGCTTAAGTTCCGTTCTGAACCACTGATTGTTACAATTTGTTTCCGAGTGCCGACGGCATTTCCCGAGTTCGTGTCACACTCGATCATCGAATCGAGATGACTATCCATCGCATTGCACAGAGCATCCAAGCATCAATGCATCATGCACGGCTATATGTTGTTCCCTAACCGAGGATGATGTACACGCTGCCGACTGCCAATGAACTGTCGCCTTCTCTTCTGACAAAGTAAAAACGCTACGTATTATGCTTGAACCGGGATCATGGATTAATCTCGTTTACTGGGTTTTACAGGATCACATTCTGGTGCTAGCGCGGATACCATGTGGGGAGCTTCCGTGATGTATAGACTCGGAAGGGTTCAGGGTTTAGAGCGCTCAAGTGTAGTCATCATGACGAACTATTCGCGACATGATCGTATGACATGTTCGAACGGTCACGAGATCGTTCTTCTTTGCGAACTTGAAGTTCTACGGGATGGATTTTTGACGCTGGTACGGCCACCTCGAGGGGGCCCGCACCACTCGCATGCGATCAGGGTTCAGAGCGCTTACCACAAGCTCTCAGAAAGGGCTATTTTCGCCCTCCCAGTTCCAGAACATGCGATAGAGCCGGCCGCAGGTCTAGCCTTGGGTATATAGTGACGCGCAACCCGAAAACTCGAAATTTCTGAATCGTCTTAGATGCCTCCATTGCTTTCGCCAATTGCCGATTCTAACAAATTCAGTCTCAATGCTTCCGGTGTTGCTGGTTTTTTCGGCGGCGACGAAGCTGTCACCGCCATGGCTACTGTGCACCTGTATAGGGGGCGTAGATGGCTCGGCTGGTACAACTCCCCCGGAAGCTACACTATAGCCAAGGAGTTTGGCAGGATATCCAAGTCAAGAATTTGGAGCGGTCTTTTTCCTGGCTCCAATCACGATCCAGCTATTGCATTCAAGCTAGACGTGAAGACTGGCCCGAAATACGTGGCGTCACGCTCAGGAACTATCATGCAACAGACAGGACACTTTGCACATCTCCTAACGCAGGGGACAGATGATGTAGCACCATTTTCTCTTCCTGCCACACGAACCACTACAAATTCACGCATCTCTATCGTCACTGTCCCTGAAATCGCATATCACAACCTTCCTGTGCAGACAATGAGCTATCACCACGCCATCTTCGCCAGCTTCCCTATCCTGGTCAGCATCACTACATGCGTCTTTTCCGCCTTATACGCAGACTGGTACTGCTTTGCGATGATCCTCCTCGGAATTATTTCTAGTGGTGTCACGTGTTTTGTCATCGGCTCCGGAGTCCTTGATATCGAAACGGTCAAGAACCCAGCGGAGGGTTCCCCTCCAGGAGACGGGATCCTCTTGATGCAGAATGGCGTCATCATCCTGAAGGGAAAGGAAAAGGACGTGAATGCCATCACGAAGGGGAAATTTTCGCTAAAGCTGAAAGGAGCACCAGAGTATACAGCTATCGGTCTGTGCTCGCTGCTCCTTGAGGTTCAGTTTCTGCTGCAGCTCCTCCTCATTCCCCAGGGATCGCTGATCGGTCAGATCATGTTCCTGACATCGGTGGTCGCATCCTGGGCGTACAACTCCTTCCTCGCATCCCTAGACAATGAAAAACTACAACGGAAACTCTTTTGCGACACTATCAAACTTCACGAGACAGCCATACTCGGTTTCAAAGCTGGCACTCGGACTAGCATGGCTGCATTCACATGCTTCGTTCTTTGCGAAAACTTACCACGGCCTCTCAAGGATATCGAGCCGATGAAAATTCTGTTGGAGTTTTTGCCCAACGAGACGCCAGTATGGCAGAAGTGGAGGGAGCAAGTGGTGGCTCAGGTCGAGAAAGAAGAGGACGACACGAGTATCTTTCAACCTGGAGATGTTGATCTGTCAGGGCTCAACAGCAGCGAACAGACACTTTTGGCGACTCTTCTGCAGGATGCGAATGATGCGTACGATGGGTATATACAGACCCGCCGCCGACAATCGTTGACAAATACGCAATAGTCCTAATACCACTACAATACGCCATTTCTTTGTCGCCTATCCGATATGACGAACTATGTAATTTTAATTTTGCGAAACGGTTCTACATATATGTCCTAGTTCATGAAGTTGCATCTTCACAGTAGTAGCTAGTAGAGGTAGAGCGTAGTGTTGACTTGTTGTTCTTCAAGATGCCAATGGTATAACATACAGCCGATAGCCAGCCTGGGCAATGGCAATGGCAGCGAGCGTTTGGGAGTCGAGCTTCTAGCATGGATGAAAGGTTGAAGATCGATTTGAGCGGAGAGATCACTGCAGCTCGTGCAAGTGCATCGAATGAATACATTACCTACCTTTGGGATGGCTTATAATCTACCGCTGCAGGATCTGCAGCAGGAGCTTACGTTCCAGACGGCAGTGGATCCTTTGACAAGACCGCTCTGCATTTGGATCTACAGGCTTGCAAGTCCGCGAACGACGGCCGGAGCAGGAACCGCGAGAAGCCTTGAAGATTGCGTACCGATTACAGAGGGACAATGCGTGATCGGACAGTGCAGGGGCTTCGCGGAAGTGGGAAATGGTAGTATTAACGTCTTGATCATCATGATCTTCTTGAATATAGCCTTCAAGGCGGGCACCCGGCACACGCAAGGTTGTATTGGTATGAAAATGCTGCACAACCAAATTGCTTGTCGTGTATTCGGCAGATTGTGCGTGGCTCGCATCTGTGTCTCGAGCAATCTCGCAGTCTATGAGGGACTACGATTAACGAAGTTCCGTCAGCAAAAACTAGCCGGACAGAATCTGACATGACTCACATGAAACAACGCACCGTCCTGATCGTCATAAGCATGTACGACGACGGCCTTTGGCATAAGGGAAGGATGGATACCCGGCCACACACGAATGAAAAGGACAGCTCTATGAGATGTCGGTGGTAGATCTACATGAATGAGAAGCAAATCTTTCACCGAATGGTTCATCTCTGTGATCAATTAGCTTATGCACCTATTTCAATCGTCGATTGATGTACTTACTGATGACACTGGCAGGTGCTAGCGATCCATATCACAATGTTATGCCACCACACAAGCCTGATTGTGACCGACACGAAAAGGATCAACATATAAGATTGGAAGGGTAAGGCATAAAGCTGTACTGTATATGGCGTCGACGATACATGCAATAATTTGGACATTAGTTAACTTCGTGACAATTAAATTTCTATGTGAAACGTGATAGCGAAACCAAACGCAGTGCGGAAAATGTAAAAGCAACATGAAAGCACGAAAACGAAAAAAAAATTAAGAGCAGACGCTCAAGGAAGCAAAAAACGAGCCCAAAGCAAATAGCATGATTTGAGGGGAAAGCGTAAAAACTATAAGTCAGTGTTCACCGAACCTCGTAAATCGACTCCATCCGGTCAGACGGTGGGCGAACCAACACGATAGGGAGCGTTTCGTCCTTGCGAAGCATTCCGCGAACCTTGCTCGACTCTGTCCGACTAAGCTTGAGCGGCTTCAGATGCTTGTTCACAGAACTAGCACTGGGAGCAACATTCTCATCGTGTTCTTTCACTGTCTTTGACTTCTTCTTTCCAAGAACGAGCGGTCGTGTACCTGCGAACCCGTTACGGGCGTCGCCAGTACTGTCATGGTTCGAATCACGATCTTTAAGAAGGGAAAGAGTGCGAAGAGAATTCGAGCTCGACTTCGTTGTGGGCCCTGTGGCGTCCTTGCGCTGCTTGGATGCGAGTATAAGTGGTTTCACCACCTGGGTGGACCACTGTGCGACTGTAAGAGATGACATGTCATCGGTATTATTTCGTTCGGTGGGCGGTTGAGCCTCTGGCTCTGATGGTGCTTGAGTGTGTTTTTCGGATGATCTAATATAGACAATGCTTGAGCGTTTTGAAGTCGGTTGAGAGCGAGGCATAGCGGCAGCTTGATGTTTTCGTGCAAAATGATATTCTTTTTCGTGCAGTGGCGTGCTTTGCGCAGCAGGATCAAATTCGGTCATAGGATCAAAGAGGGTGACCGTGGATGCAGCGGATGACGGAGGAAGTATTGTTGCAGTGTCGAGGGTAGCGACGGAGGTACGTGCACTTTCCATGCCGTGAGGGACTTCGGCACGAAGACCACGAGTGCGAGTAGACGCCGTGCGACCGAGAGAAGCATCATTCGGAACAGGTTGCTTATCAACATTCACGGGGGGATCTGCGAGAAGGTTGGAGGCCGATTCGTCCGCCCAGGCCGTGTTGCCCCTTCCATCGTTTACAGTAGTGTAACCCCCAATCCTTGTAGCAAGCGTGCGACCAATCTCGGATTTCAAATTATCGACTGTGTCCTTGCGAAGACCAAGACTTCACAACCAACATCAGAACAAACGTGGGAGTCAGGGGCTAGCTTACCTAGGAAGACTGAACTGATATCTCTTGTGCGCAGACGCCTTGTTGAGCCCGACCTTGCCATTGGCGGTTGTCGAGTGCAACGCGGTACTTTCCCCCTCTCCGTTGGCGAGCACACCGAAGTCACCATTATCCTTCTGAGTGCAGGAAGCTGGCAGGCGCTTCTTCTTTGTCACAGTGCTGCTGACAGGGGGGTCGAACTCGAACTCGAAATCCTTGAGCTTCATATCATTTCCAACCTTTAAACCAGGTACAAGAAGCGGCAGAACACCAGCGGTGAGCACATCGATCTCGTTAACATCGTCATTGACAGTTGCGCCGAAGCTATAACCAGACGAATACGACTTCCGGTGGATGAGAGTGCGCGTTGATTGTTGCTTGGCAAGACGAACATTAGGAGGTGTGGGAGGAAGAGGTTGAGACGGAGGTCGGCTGGGGCTAGGGCTATAGTCTGTGCTGATCGCCTGACCGATGACCGAGGAAACAGAGCGAGAGCGGAGGTGCGAAGAACTAGAAAGGACCGGCTTCCTCTCTACGCCAACACCAGTAGTTACAGTGAGTAAATCGCCACATTTCTTCTCCGGCGATGCAGTGACAATCACCGTAGTTGCGAGCGCAGAATAATGCCTCTGGGCAACCATTATTCTCGAAGCAAATTCATCGCCTGAAATCCTCGACTGAACTGATTGCTTCCTAATTCTCCCGAACTCCGCAGACCCGGGGGTATTAGGGAACACAGAAGTATTGAATGATTCAGACTCAGTCTGCATTGGCAGAGGGGGCGTCATCTCTCCATCTTCCTTTTCATCTTCAGGGGGCAGTACAGCTAGGCGCGGAACAGGGGTCATGAGGCCAAGTGCCCTGCTAAGTTTACCTTTTCCCTCCACGGCATCCCCTTGTGAGAGCCAGACATCTCCAGAGCGTCTCCCTTCGACAACTGTAACTGACCCAGACCGCTTGCACTCGCGGTTACAGTCGGTGAGTGTGACAGCTGGAGATGGCGCCCGCATGCAGATAGAAGGAGGTTCTCCATGGACGTCGAAAAGACCAGTCGGGATGGGGATGGGCGAGCGCATAATAATATTCATGGCAAGGAGAGGCGAAGACAGCGTGACCGAGAGGGCAAGAAGAAGAGGCGTGGCAGAAGATACGAAGCCTTTTCCAACAAAAGATAATATATATGGTAGGGAAAGCACCTAATGACCAGCCATTAAAGCCAATTGTAGCGTCAAACAAGGAGGACTTACTAAAGGTACCCAAATTGTAATCATCCAGCAGGCGTACCGATAAATTGAGATGTCAACATCATTGCCGTTATACGCCAGAGAAGCAATACCCCTTTCTGAATCACCCTGGTATCCGTATCCTCCAAGGACTCGAGCAGTTGACAGAGCAGGGGTCGGGGGGCGATTGCATTGGGGAAGAAGCTCAGCATTAAGATCCACGGCACTGACGCCGCCTTGATGGCTAGTGGGATAGGACCATGCAGATAGTGAGATTTGAGACCCAGACGGCGAGGTCAGCCATGAGCTCTGCGAGTCGAGACGTGGCCGACCCGGAGCATCACGACGGAAAGGATCAGGATCGGAGCTTAGTGCATCAGCGGGCGATGAAGGGCATGATGAAGGCAATGATGGGACTGGTGGAATTAATGCGTCACCAGTCATAGGCGTGGGCGGATCGAACCAGTAAGACGATTTAGGCGCAAGGGAGGTTTTAGATGTCACAGCACAGTCGGCGCCCAAGGAACCAGGACGGGGGTGCGCTTGATGAGTTGAGAAAGACCAGTTGGACACTGAATCTTGATGCGTACTGCCGGCATCAGAGGTGAGCCAGGAGCTACCTTCCCTGAGGACGTCAACATCCTCAGTCGCAAACGAGGGGCGGGGTTTATCTTCGACTTCTTTGGTGGGTGGCCAGCTGTCTGCGGGATCGTTGAGTGCAGCGAGATTGCGTCGGATCACCACGAGAGTGTACACAAGACTGCCAAATGATGCACTGCTCAGGACGGCAACAGTAGTGGAATATGCCAAAAGTCCAACGAAGAGACTTGGAATACCTCCCGCCGCAAAAAAGCCAGAGAGTATAGTTGACGCGAGCCCCAGGAGCAGGGTGGGTGCCCACAACATCCAGTGTCTGGATCCGAAAGACACCGACCGCCCCATACGAATGTTGATCAACGTGAGTGCGGACACCACAAAAAGACAGGTTTGCCTGATTGTCAAGGCAAACCACAACCTTGCTGAAGATGCAGCGTCATGGGCCTCGCCATATGACGCAGGGCCACCATAGTATTCACTAAATGCCTGCCAAATGAAGACGCACAGAGCCAGGATATCAAGAGAAGCCAACCACAGGTGGCTCTTGTCGGCTGAAGAAAGAGAACGAAAATTATAGTCAGGCAGTCCAAACTCGGACTAAAAAAAGATTAGCTATTTGAGGCTCATGGGAAAACTGAATACACACGGGAGCGACACGTCTGCTTAAAGGGTGAGGCGGAAGAATTGGAATTACTATACGAAAAATCACGAAAGCTGATGATATAAACGAGACGAAAGCCAGAATAAGAGTTGGAATAAAAGGAATCATGGTGAACGTTGAGATGATCGTTGAGCGTTGATAAATGCTTGTTAATGGATCTTGGACTTGACTTTATGAGAGAGCGTTGGATGCGTGAATGCGTAAACGGCTTAAAGCCTTCGTGACAGGAAGCCGGTACTGAAAAAAGGCGCCTGTCTTGAAGCAAGAAATGTTTAAATGTCTGAACAACTCACAAATCGAACGTGAACCAAATAATGCTGGACCCATAACTACAAACAATACATATTTGTCAACAACGCGTTACCACGTGACTTTTGATTTTTAGACCACAGGCCGGAGTCAACTTTAAACAAGTACCACGTTACAATTGCCAAACAATTTATTGATATTGCACCGATGGTCAGAACATCATATGCAGGTCAATTAAAATTGCAGATAATACCCTCGAATGAAGGCAATATATTATCCAACCAAATTTCGAATGGTTTGCCAAAGGCTTTAGAAATCAACAGAAACAAACAACACACGTGCATTTAACAATGACAATTCCACCTCTTGAGCCGGATACAGGATTATGCCCACCATCACTGACCTCCCAGATGAGCTTTTGGATGAAATAACCCATCTCTTACCAAAGGGGACTCTATTCTCCCTATGCACCGTCTCAAATCGCTTCCAACCCCGTGCGACACGATGGCTCTATCGGTCTCTGGCCCTGGCGGCCAACGGTGAAACGATAAAAATTTGCAAGGCCCTCATTTCAAACAAAATTGCTGCTATCTCCGTCCGTAAAGTTCTCCTGTGGCCAGGTTTAGCATTTTCTCGCCTAAGTCTCGCAGGAGGGTAAGCGTTTGCCTCTTGTAACCCGCATACGTGTAAACACGCTCGTTCAATTCCAACAGACCCTTTTATCTCTATCTGTCCGCCTTTTACAAACTGCTGTCCCGTGCCTTGGCTTGTGCGATAAACGTGGAAAATATCCGGTTAATGTTTCCTTACTGCGGAGCATCTCTGTCATTTGATGCCTGCACGTTCTCAAACCTTCATTCCTTTGCCACTACAATGGAACCCCATACTCTTGCTTCGTTCGTCAGGAGGCACCCACAGCTTCAGGAGCTCCATATATCTCCGAGCGATATTAGATCTATTACATTGTCCGAATTCAGCGGAATATCCCTTTCCTCGCTGAATTCCGTCTGCCTTCCCCAATCTCTGCTGTTTATGATTTCTCCGGATGCTCCCCTGCGATCTGTTTTGTCTCCAGAAATCGAGGACGACAACGAAGAGATCCCACATTTCATCAGGCACCTTTCTCGATATTCCACAACGCTCACCGAGCTTCATTTGTGCCGTCCTCACTGGAATGCTGAAGTTTTAATGCACGTCGCGACTTTGCTACCAAAGATCAAAAGCTTCACATTCACTAGAATGACACCTGGTCTGCACGACCCTGCCAATGTAGCTGTAAGTTATTACTGCGCTCCAAAAGCTCACGACGTTTATGGATGCAGTTTCTCGAAGCATGCGAAACAGCACTTCCTTTTTTCAGCTCCCTCAGTCAATTCCGCATCGAAGTCGCACGCAATCGAGAACTATCGGGCTTTACATTTGTGTCCGATTACAGATGCGACTTCATGATGGTTCAAATGTGGGGCAACAAATGCCCGACCCTCAGCATTTGTGCCTTTCCATGTGCGTACATCTAATGCTCAAGTATGTTGATGATAGGAATCAACTAAATGAGCATAGCTGGGACCGCATGGCATCGTATCGAGGACAATGTATGGATGCCAGACTTGCACCACAAAGCTGCAATTCGGTGGTTCTTTGAGGCCGCCTCCACGGACCAGTTTCCGATCGATGTCATGGGATCTTTACAGCTGTTCTGCGATTCCATGGGGAAAGTTGACACCCTTGGACTACTCAATTTTAGGTCACCGTCGGCCATGGAATCAATTGGCCTTTACCGCCAGACAGAGGATGACGAATCAGAGGTTTATTCAAGTGATTCGGATGAGAACGACGTTGAGATCGAGATCGAGGAATAAGATCGAGCGATATAGGTGACGGGCAACCGAGTCCGGTACTGTGTAGTTGAAGGAGTCGTGTCGTTGAGGGTCCTATCTTGCTGCGTACTACGAACATTTATGCATTTGATGTCAACATAACAACAGCGCGATCGTGATATTCTATATTTCTGCAACTGAAATGTACAAAGACTGAGAGCATGTATATTACGGATTCATACGACAAAAAGTAGAAAACATATGCAGATCCAAACCAAGTCTAAATCGTATCATAACACCTAAACGTGTCGCTGAGCCGTGCCCGCCAAATCTGTGAGCAGTTTGACCTCATCCATCATCTTCTTCGGTGTCTTGCCGGTAACAGTTGCTTGTAGAGCAATGTTCGACACGAGATATACCGGTTGATCAGGTATGTTCGCCTCTTGGAGGTTAGTCCTGATGCTACGGATACTTTCTGCCACGTATTGGTCACGCGCCCGCGTGAAGTAACTAGCCTTGTTTCCGCCTTCATCGTCACTGTTATAGCCTATATCTTTCATGAGGTTCCTGATGTGCTGATCCGCTTTAGAGCGGACGATGAAAGCGGGAATGCCAAAGCGCCTAGCGTTGGAAAGGATAGCGACGTCAGTAGCAGTGAAACGGTTGTTGACCACGACAATGATACAGTCGAAGACGAAGAGCCCCTGATCATTGAAGTATTTCCAATCGGGGACTTTTAAGGTACCCGCTCCGGGAACATCGTACCAGACGAAGCGGCTGGATGGGTTTGGGTCTGGGTATCTGGCCACCACGAGAGTGGTCTCGTTCACGCCGACTGCGGCAGCATCAAGATCCATATTATGCTTGCCTCGGAACGCGTTTACCAGTGACGACTTGCCGCTACCAGCAATCCCGCTGACAGCAACATGGAAGAAACCCTCGGTATGCTGCATCTTGGCCCTGAAAGCAAAATATTCTTCAGGGGTAGGCGTGACCACAGGTCGGGTGCCATCTTGCAATTGTTTCTCGGCTTCATCCCTCGCAGCTTGAGCTTGCCTGGCTTCTTCAGCAGCTCGTTGTGCGGCGCGCTCAGCTGCTTCCCTCTCGGCCTGGAGTCTCCTGTTTTCCTCTTCCCTGGCTCTTTGTTGCCGTTCATGTTCTTGCTGGGCAGCAATGGCAGCTTGCCTAGCAGCTTCTTGGGCAGCTCGTTGTCTGCACCTCTCTTCTTCAGCCTCTCGCGCCAGTCGTTCGGCACGCTCTCTTTCTTCGCGAGCCCATGCTTCTGCGGCCTCGCGAGCAGCACGTGCTGCTTGCTCGGCTTGCTCTCTCTCGCGGCGCTGTCGTTGGACCTCTTCATAAGCAGCTTGCGCTCTTCTAGCTGCCTCTGCTTGTTGTGCCTCAAAGCGCCTTCGTGCTTCTTCCGCCTCGCGCATGAGCCGTTCGGCCTCTGCACGGGCTGCCTGAGCGGCACGTTCTGCTTCTTGACGAGCAGCCTCAGCTGCGGCGCGAGCGCGAGCTTCAGCTTCTTGTTGTGCACGGATTGCTCCCCAGTCTGGCTCGTGGCGTGAGTGTCCCCCGCCCATGATTAGAACTTAGAAAGTTGTAGATGAAGATTTCGTAGGTTGGTCTGTGGCACTAACAGGACGTTAACAAACATGGATTGTGACAAAGTTAAATTGAGTCGGAGCCGATTACTGACCTGAATTGATTGACAATGTAGGTCTCTATGAGAATGCCGTTTGAGAATCTGGGGTGTCTGGGGATGTCTCGGCTGGCTTAAATATCATGGCATACGTACAGCAGCCTCGAGGGCCCGACAAGGGTAACAGTGGCGGTGAAGTGATTGAACAGAATACGAACCCTAGTGCACAGGCCTTGTTCATATTACTTGAAAACGTCCGACGACGATCATGAGAGTAACTTCTTTCGAAGCACACAGCGTCTCCTATCAACTACCGCGAACACGGTAGTCCAGCGTGTAAGGCGCGCCTGTGCATAGAAGAATGTAGCTGAAAACATGGATTCAAAGTTCAAATCAAATGAATTCTAATTGAACTAGACAAATTTGGAAATTGTGTTACTCCCCTCCGAATCAACAGACTGCAACATATTCTTCACCCGGGCCAGTCCTTGACCATTCCAAGTCGCTCAACAGCTCAATCTCGTGGATGATGTTCTCCGGCGGCTGCTTTCCCTTCACGACATCGAGCATCGTTTTATTCGAGACGACGTAAACCCTTTGATCAGGCATATTGGCACTTTCCAGGTTGTCTTTCACGCTCTGGCGCGTCTGTTGAATGAACTGCTCCTGTGCAGCCCGGTAAAGCGTCTTCTTCCGGTCCTCACTCTCATCATCGCCGCTGTAGTAGCCCATATCGTTCATGATGTTACAGATATGCTGATCTGCCTTGGAGCGCACGATATACGTGGGGATCTTGAAATGCTTGCAGTTCGCGAGGATGGCGATGTCGGTCATGGTGAAGTGATTGTCGAACAACACGATGATACCATCAAAGACATAAAGTTCTTTGGCATGGAAATACTGCCAGTCTGGGATTTTGAGTGTGCCTGCGCCCGGGATGTCGTACCAGGCATATATTTGTTCCATGTTGGAGCTGGCGTATCTGGCCGTGACCAGCATTGTCTCTGTGACACCAGTAGCAGCAGATCCGGTGTCCTTATTACGCAAACCACGGAAGGCATTGATGAGAGATGATTTCCCTCCTCCTGCCACCCCGGTTACTGCGATGTGGAAAAGGTCCTCGTCATATTGCACTCTCTGCCTAGCGGCGCTGACTTCTTCAGGTGTGGGAGTCACCACAGGTTGAATGCCTTCTTTCAACTTCCGTTCAGCCTCCTCCTTGGCAGCATTAGCCATCTTTACTCGCTCTTCTGCCACTTTCTTTAATGCGTCGGTCGCCTCCTGGTCAGCAGTTGCATCCCTCTCTTGTAATTTCTCGACATGCTCCTGAGCAGACTGAATGTCCATGCTCGCTCGTTTTTGAATAGCAGCACATTCCGCCTGGACCAGCGCTATCATTTCCTTGTGAAATTGTACCTGCACGGCTTCCTTAGCAGCCCGCTCAGCCTGCAACGTCGTTACCATCTCCTTGTATACCTGCGCCTGTGCGGCGAGCTGAGCCTCGGCAGCCTTTTGCTGTGATTTTTGAGATTGCCTGGATTATCTTTATTAACGCAGCCTGCGCAAGTTCTACATCCTTGCGAGCCTGCTCAGCCACGGCTTCTGCGTGTAGACGTGCTTCTCTTTCGATGAGGGATGGAGTCGCTCCCATTCTTGATTGATAGAGAATCCTGTTGATCGTTATGTCGTACGATGGCTTCTATCTTTCGAGCTGAGAAAGCTTACTGTTTAAATGTATGCTATGCTTCAAAAATTGAATCTAATGGTGTTGATTCAGAATGAGTGCTGTGAATTCACGCCAGGTCACAACGAAGAGGGGCATTTCCAACCAACCCCTATCCCAGAATGGATGCTCGACGCCGCCGTCACTGATACCCTTGATCTGCACGAGGTCATACGTTCACAGATTTATCTCACGATGTCGGAGGCACTGGATCGCGTTGCATCAGAATGTAGATCTAGGTTTCTACCAGAAATCTCAATTGCAAATCCTTTGTAATTGTAAGTATTTAGTGAGATGGAAGTCAGTCAATTGCAAGCGGTGAGAACATGTACATGTGGAAAAGTAACAACATCAGCACAGAGGAAAAAACATAGGAAGAACTGAATCTGCAAGTCTGGAATCTGATAAGATCGGTCACGAACGGTATGATCATGTCGAATGCTTGTATCAATAAGAGTCAAAAAGAAGAAATGTAAGAAGAACTGTATCATCACCGACTACTCATGGTCGCCGCCTCAGTCACGTCGTCCTCGCCTGTTCTGGACTTCTCGGATCATGTCAGTCAACAACTGCATCTCGTCGATGCTATTCGGCTGCTTCAGAACATCGAATACCCCTGCCTTAGACACATTAAGCATCGTTTTATTCGAAACGATGTAAACCCTTTGTTCAGGCAAATTGGAAATTTCCAGATTGTCTTTCACGCTCTGGCGCGTCTGATCAATGAACTGCTGCTGTGCAGCCTGGTGAACCCTCTTGAACGTGTTGCTATCACCATCGCTGTCGTACCCCATATCGTTCATGATATTACGGATGTGCTGATCTGCCTTAGAACGCACGATATATGTGGGGATCTTGAAACGCCTGCAGTTGCTGAGGATGGCGATGTCGACATCGGTGAAGCGATTGTCGAACAGCACGATGATGCTATCAAAGATATAAAGTCCTTGCTCGTTGAAGTACTGCCAGCCTGTGACGTTGGGCGTGCCAGCGCCCGGGAAATCGTAAAAGACAAGATGGTATTCCGCATTGGGGTGTGGGTATCTAGCCATGACTAGCGTTGTCTCGGTGACGCCAGTGGCAGCAGCTCCGATGTCCTTATTAAGCAAACTGCGGAAGGTATTAATGAGGGATGATTTCCCTCCTCCTGCCACCCCGGCTATTGCGATGTGGAAAAGGTCCTCACAATATTGCACTAGCTGCTTGGCATCACTGACTTGTTTAGGTGTGGGAGTCACTACAGGTTGAATGCCTTCTTTCAACTTGCGTTCAGCCTCCTCCTTGGCAGCATTGGCTACCTTCACTTGCTCTTCTGCCACTTTCTTCAACGCGTTGGCCGCCTCCTGGGCGGCAGTCGCCCTCTTCTTCTCCTCATCGGCAGCCTCCTGTAGTTTCTTGGCATGCTCCTGGGCAGCCTGGGCGTCTCGTCTGGCTTGCTCTTGTACAGCGAGAGCTCGCTTATGCCCCTCCTCTGCTTGCGCTGCTTGCTTTCTTGCTTCCTCGCTAGCAGTACGAGCGGCAGCTTCCGCCTGTAAGCGAGCTTCATCGGCAGCACATTTGGCCTCGGCCATAGCCTCCCTTTCCTTATGGGCCTGAACCTGTGCGTCTGCCGCAGCTTTCTCAGCGGCCTGCCGAGCCGCCCTAGCTTCTTCCTGTTTTTCTTCATTCGACCTGTTGAGCTCAGCGAGCTGTTCTTTGGCAGCCTTAGCATCCTTTCGGGCTTGCTCAGCAGCTGCCTCTGCATCCCGGCGCTTTTTTATCTCCTCGTCTGCTGGATTGGGCCCTTTTGGTCGACTGAAATATCCCATCTCTGAGTTTGTTCAATTATGATGATCTCATCTCTTGAGCTAAGAAAACTTAATGGTATGCGTATGCTTTGGAATGAAAAATTGGCTAACCTGTTAGCGCTGCTCAGAGTACTGTAGAAGTGGGGATGGGCAAGATCCTAAACTCCGACCATGATTTCCAACTCCTGTTATATAGTGGGCGGTGGCTAGGCGCCAGGCATTGGCGCGGGTACAGGTACGGGTACAACTGCTAGATACCCGGTACCCGTCCAATCAAAACGGGTCACGAGCCTATGCCATATTCAACAAAACTATAACTGTACAGTAGCCAATCATAATTATATCAAACCAATCACAACAATAGAACTTACAAATTTCTCCAGGCGGCCTGGCTGGACCTCTAACCCAGCCATGATCTGTCCGCGATGGATGTCGACGTTGATTTAGAGTGCCTTGGTATACTCGAACAGCGAATGTTCGAACTCTCGTTGGCCGCAGGTGCTGCAGGGAATGAACAATGGGGAAAAGATGCTGTCACGCACCAAGACCGATGGAACCCATATGAGGGTCTCCCCGAGCACTGGAATCATGGTGACCGAGATCCGTATGCACCAGAATTTGAAGGGGAACTGGATGTGCGTCGTTTTCATATTCACGGTGGCGGGAATTGAGCCCGAAGTCGTTAAGAAAGAAAAAGCCCAAACCACGGCCACAGCCAAGGAAGGTACATGGAAGTACTTGACGTGCGCGAGGATGAGCGTGCTGTTGTGCTCGCCTGTGACTGGGTGCGTAATATCTATCAATTTATATATGAGGCGACGATGTCAGCGAACGAGCGGGCTCGGCCTGAAATGAAATTATCTCGCACTTTCCTTGACGCGCGAGGCTCTTATTTTGCACCTGAACGCAAGTCCATATATCTTATGACGAAGGTGCACACGTACGCAGTTCTCCTTTGTCAGACCGCTGAGAGCCTACTCGTCGAACTAGGGAGGAGTGTCTATGGCAGTCGCATTTACATTCTCGACGAATGCCTCGCTGATGATGTTCACGGCGAATCCTTGGTCGCTCTTCAAGTTGGTAGCTGTGTCTTTCAGGCGGCCCGCAGCATTGTGGTTGACTGGCGGGTAGTAGGGTTGATTCCATCTAGAGGTGAAGAAAAATTGCCAGGCAAGACCGCAGAGGTGCATGAATTGCTGAGAACAATGCACACTATGGACAGTGCTGCAGGTATAGTACTTGGTAAGAAGGTGCGAGGACGTTCCTGAAATGGCCGGTCTTGGTATAAGTCTATGTAGACTTCAAGTCTACGTCTGGGTAAGTACAAGTCTTGGTACAGGTGGCGATGCTCTGACGGAGTTTGAAGACGCTACGAGCACGGCTGACATCACATACCCGTCTCTCCCACCAGTCACATCACACTTCGCCGCCGCCGCCGCCGCCGCCGCCAGGGGCTGCATACCAACGCATGGGCCATGGACATCAAGGGGGGAAGGAGTGCGATGTGAATAAGGCAAGCCAGGAGAGGGAAGGAAGACGAGGAGTGGGCGTATCGAGTGTCACTGAGGTATTTGAGTGCTCAGACATGGTTTACCATCACCTCCAGTGGTGGCGGGCGGGCATAGAGGCAGCATTCCTGACAGTTGGCGGGCAGCAGGCAGCAAAGGGGCGGGATGATAATAATAACCATGAATCGCACGTTGATTCTACTCCGCCTGAATTTGCCGAGTGTGCCGAGGGGTGCCCAGACTTCTACCCAGACGTAGGCCTGAAGTCTGCATAGACTTGTGCCAAGACCGGCCAGAATCCTGACATTCACGAAGGTGCGATAGTGCACAGCCACCAAATCTCAGAATTGGCGCACCCTACTACCACTACCGCACCCATGAAGTACTACCTCCCTCAACAGACTGCCGCAACATGTTCTTCACCAGGCCAAGTCATTCAACAGCTCAATCTCGTGGATGATGTTCTTCGGCTGGTTTTTTTTCACAACATCGAGTATCGTCTTATTCGAAACGATGTAAACCCTTTGGTCGGGCATATTAGCACTTTCCAGGTTGTCTTTCACGATCTGGCGCGTCTGCTGAATGAACTGCTCCTGTGCATCCTGGTAAAGCGTCTTCTTCTGGTCCTCACTCTCATCATCATCACTGTCGTATCCCATATCGTTCATGGTGTTGCGGATGTGCTGATCTGCCTTGGAACGCACGATATACGTGGGGATCTTGAAATACCTGCAGTTGGTGAGGATGGTGATGTCGGTCATGGTGAAGTGATTGTCGAACAGGACGATGATGCAATCAAAGACATAAAGTCCTTGGGCATTGAAATACTGCCAGTCTGGGACTTTGAGTGTGCCTGCGCCCGGGACGTCGTACCAAACATATGGGTGTTCCGCGTTGGGGCTGGGATATCTGGCCGTGACCAGCATTGTCTCGGTGACACCAGTAGCAGCAGATTCGGTGTCCTTATTGTGCAAACCACGGAGGGCATTGATGAGAGATGATTTCCCCGCTCCTGCCACCCCGGCTACTGCGATTTGGAAAAGGTCCCAGTGATATTGCACTCTCCGCCTAGTGACGCTGACTTCTTCAAGTGTGGGAGTCACCACAGGTTGAATACCTTCTTTCAACTTGCGTTCAGCCTTCTCCTTGGCAGCATTAGCCACCTTTACTCGCTCTTCTGCCACTTTGTTTAATGCATTGATCGTCTCCGCAGTCACATCCATCTCTTGCAATTTCTCGACCTGCTCCTGAATAGACTGAATGTCCATGTTTGCTCGTTTTTGAATAGCAGCACATTCCACCTGGAACACCGCTATCATTTCCTTGTGAGATTGTACCTGTATGACTTCTCTAGTAGCCCATTCAGCCTGCGACGTCGCCAGCATTTGCGTATATGTCTGTGCCTGTGCGGTGAGCTGATCCTCCGCAGCCTTTTGCTGTGATTCTTGATTTGCCTGTGTGATCTTTATTAACGCAGCCTGGGCAACTTCTACATCCCTGCGAGCCTGCTCAGCCACGCCTTCTGCACGCTGACGTGCTTCGAGGAGGGATACATTGACTCCCATTCTTGATCAGTGGTTAAGTGGACCTGTTATTCGTCATGTCGTATGATAGCTTCTATCTATTGAGCTGAGGAAGCTTACTGAAATGTATACGCTGTGCTTCGAAAATTGGTGTTGATTCAGAATGAGTGCTGTAGATTCACAAGAGGGGCATTTACAACCAACCCCTATCCCAGAATTGACGCACCCTTGATCTGCACGAGATCATACATTCATCTCACGATGCATCGGAGGCACAGGATTGCGTTGCATCAGAGTGCGATACCTTTCGTCCGGTAGATCTTAGGTTCATACTAGAAATCTCAGTTGCAAATCATTTGTAATTCCAAGTATTCAGTCGGATAGAATTCAGTCACTCGCAAGCAGTAACACATGTGGAGAAGTAACAACATCAGCACAGAGGAAGAAGCATATGAAGAAGTTGAGAAGAACCGAATCTGCAAGTCTGGAGGTCATGGAGGGTATGATAACGGAGCAAGAGTCCAAAAGAAGAAATGTAAGAACTGTATCATCATAGTCGCCCCTCAGGCCTCAGTACTCAGTCACGTTGTCCTCGCCTGATCTGGGCTTCTCGGATCATGTCACTCAACAACTCAATCTCATCGATGGTCTTCGGCTGCTTTCTTGCCAGAAAATCGAATATCATTGTATTCGACGCGACATCGAGCATCGTTTTATTCGAAACGATGTAAACCCGTTGGTCAGGTATATTGGCATCTTGCAGGTTGTCTTTCACGCTCTGGCGCGTCTGCTGAATGAACTGCTGCCGTGCAGTCTGGTAAAGCTTCTTGACCTTGCTGCTATCATCATCGTCGCTGTCATACCCCATATCTTCCATAATGTTGCGGATGTGTTGATCTGCTTTAGAGCGCACGATATACGTGGGGATTTTGAGACGTCTGCAGTTGGTGAGGATGGCGATGTCGGTCATGGTGAAGCGATTGTCGAACAGGACGATGATGCTGTCAAAGACATAAAGTCCTTGGTCGTTGAAGTACTGCCAGTCCGGGATTTTGAGCGTGCCTGCGCCCGGGATATCGTACAAGACAAGAGGGTATTCTGCATTTGGGTGAGGGTATCTAGCCATAACTAGCGTTGTCTCGGTGACGCCAGTGGCAGCGGCTCCGATGCCCTTATTACGCAAACCGCGGAAGGCATTGATGAGAGATGATTTCCCTCCTCCTGCCACCCCGGCTATTGCGATGTGGAACAGGTCCTCGCGATATTGTACTCTCCGCTTGGCGGCGCTAACTTCTTCAGGTGAGGGAGTCACCACAGGTTGAATGCCTTCTTTCAACTTGCGTTCAGCCTCCTCCTTGACAGCATTGGCTACCTTTACTTGCTCTTCTGCCGCTTTCTTCGACACGTTGGCTGCCTCCTGGGCGACAGATGCCTTTCTCTTCTCCTCATTGGCAGCCTCCTTTAGTTTCTTGGCCTGCTCCTGGGCAGCCTGGGCGTCTCGTCTGGCTTGCTCTTGTACAGCAGCAGTTCGCTTACGCTCCTCCTCTGCTTGCGCTGCTTGCTTCTTTGCTTCCTCGCTGGCGGTACGAGCAGCAGCTTCTGCCTGTAAGCGGGCTTCGTTGGCAGCGTGTTCGGCTTCAGCCATCGCCTCCCTTTCCTTACGGGCCTGAGCCTCTGAGGCTGCCGCGGCTTCCTTAGCGGCTTGCTCAGCCGCCCTAGCCTCTTCCTGTATTTTTTGATTCAACCTGTTGAGCTCAGTGATCTGTTCTTCGGCAGCCTTAACATCCTGTCGGGCTTGCTCTGCCTCAGCCTCAGCCTTCTGGCGCTTTTCTATCTCCTCGAAGGATGGATTGGGCTCGTCTGGGTCCGTAAAACACATCTCAGTTTGCTCAACAATGGTAATGCTTGGCCCTGTTAATGGTCACGTCGCATGATGCTCTCATCTCTCGAGCTGAGAAAACTTACTGGTGTGCGTATGCTTTGGAAAGAAAAATCGGCTGACAGCGCTGTTCAGAGTAAGTCCTGTAGGAACGAAGAGCCGATCCTAGACTATAGAATATAATGTCTGCCTTGAGGCGTTTCATATTGTGCCGCATACAGACCAAGAGAACGACTAAATGCGGCCAAGCGCTGATCATAAGTTACCCAGGGCTATGGGTTGTTCCCCATCCGGAGGATTGCATGAAGCGTGACCTGGAGGCAATGAAGTGTGGAAAAAGTTCTGTGCATGAAAGTTGGGAATGAGTTACCAGATCTGATCAGATTGAACGACGAATGTATGCGTACCTCACAATTGAGAGACAGCATGATATGTGGCAATTTTTAACGTAAGTCATTTTAATGAGTGACCAGGTGAGGCATCACCTAACGGGTGCACCGTGAACTTGGAGAGCCAGTGTTCGAGTAGATATCGATGAGGTTTGCGACTGTCACAGAGGTATAGCGTATTCTGGGAGTAGGGCCACGCTCCTACCCAGCGGACGGTGGGGGTCCCGTCCTAGTACAGCTAGATAGTTTAGTACATATCAATAGAGCAATTTTCTCTCACCTGCCATAATTCAAACACCGAACAGTGCTTGGAAGAAGTTCGGTGTTTGAGGTGAGAGAAAATTGCTCTATTGATATGTACTAAACTATCTAGCTGTACTAGGACGGGACCCACCCTCGAAACGTCCGCTGGGTAGGAGCGTGGAGTAGGGCCATGACGACGAATTGTCGATATGATCCCATGAGGCACAAGCAAAGTATATTCGGTGATACCATAATTTATCCGCTGCCTCATGTCCATCAAGTCTACTTGTTTAGGCACCAGTTACTATTCGCCCCACTCACTTCTTAGGCTGGGGCTCAATATAAATCTTCATCGCGTGGAAAGTAGAATTGAGCACCCCAAACTGTCTATTCGACGAAGGAGTCACTGAGCTTGTGATGTGCCAAATGCCACATTATGTGGCAGGGGACTTGGGCTACGGCAGCTCATACGTGCACAATGCTGTGGATCCATCTTATGACACGAGCACCAAGGGCCATTTGAGCAATACAGCTACCGTCAAGATACAAATAAAAACTATTTGAATATCTGTGTTTTCAACTATGCGAGTAACCGCTCGTTACGAGCGCATCATCTCCATGAGAAGTATAGAGTGCGTTCGATCTTACTGGAGAGCTGAGTCAAGTGCAGTTGATGATTATCATAGACAGTGAGATGTTATCGAATACTTACCAGTGAACCAAGCACACAACTCGACCTTCATATCTTCATCAATCTTATCCATCATGGACTGATACGATTCGATGGCTGCTCCAAAACTACCTGCTCGAAAGAGTGCATAACACTGTTGCTGGTTCGCAGTTTTCCACAAAGACTTGAGGTCCCAGCCAAAAAGCTGTGGAAAACACGCAGTTGAGCACGAATAAAGTTTCGGTTGAATCATATCAACGTACCACGACAAATTCATCGTACGTCAAATGAATTGGTGATTTGTAAAAGAAAGTGCTAGCATTGGCAGCGGCAGTGAAGTGTTCAACAGCTTCATTGTAGCGCGCGCCCTCCAAGGCGATATCTCCCATTTGGACGCGTAGGTAGGCCTGGTGTGCGAAGGGCAATGATCAACAACGACACATGAATCTGGCATGAGCGAGCGAATGGTACTCACTTCCACTATACGACAAACAACAGGATCGACATCGGGAGACGCAGCCAGCTCTCGGATGCGAAGCATTGCCTCTTGATGTTCATTTGCATTGAACAACGCAATGGTCTAAAAACCGCAATGAAGCACGCATTATGCGAGAAAAATATTACCCGCCTTGATCAAAAACAGGAAGTGATCGGTCTTTAAATCGTTGGTAAACATGGATGCGAGGTCAAATGATATCCTCGCAGCCAGAACCTGCTTTCTTCCACAGAGGGCAATGCCCTTGGATATATGGCCTGCTAACGATGGCTGAATGCTGACGGACTATGCCATCATTGAAGTCAACTTTTGTAAGTAGGTCATGATGGGTCAGTCAATCTCACCCGAATTGCGTCTTGAAGTGCTTGGTTCCAGTCGCGCTTTCGCGCCATAACAAATGCGCGATTGGCATATGCGGTGTAATTGGCATGAGACTCGATATCTAGATTTAGCACCTTTGTAGCGGTAGGCCAGTCCCCAGCTATGCATGCGTTGCGGACTGTCGAGTTCATAGCGATGACCTGCGTAAATCATGTTCACATTGCGTTATAAGAGTCAAAGGTGGGAACCTGCCTTAAACTCAGAGTAGGCTTCAGCCTTGACATAAAAAAAGACGCTTAGATGATGAATTTGGCGAGAAAATGAAAACGAACGTACCCGGTGCGTCCCCTGCTCCTTCATGAGGCCATCCTGTGAACCCTCCTCTGACAATGCATCCTCGCATGTTGGCCACTCTGAGACCTTTTTATCCACACCTCCACTGAGGATGCGCTTGTCATCCGCAGAGAACGTGACGCATTCCACCTCTCCAGAGTGCTTGAATATGGCAATGTTTCGTCGATCTGAGAGTCGCCATAGGCAGACACGATTGTCATGAGATGCGGAGGCAAGGAGAGTGCCACTGGAGTTCAGCGAAATGGCGTAAATGTTCTTGAAATGGCCCTTCCAGGGATCACCGACCTGCTGCCAGGTCGATGCATCCCACTCTCGTATGGTGGGGTCTGCCCCGTCACCTCCCAAGAAAAGTCGCGAGCCATCGGGCGCCCAAGCGAGTGAGTAACATAGTCCTCCACCAATCGTTTTGATCAACCGAGTGGGGAATAGAGGTGGCGGCGGGGGATCACCACTATATCTTGTAGTGCGATTCTGATAAATTTGGACACCACGGTTGGTGACAATCGCAAGAAGTGCTTGCGAATTGCCCATCGGCCTTGGCGAATACTGAACGCAGCGGACAGTCCCACTGCAACTGAGTGTATATTGCACCTGCCACGTCGATGTATCCCATAGCTTCGTGGTAGTGTCAGATGATCCACTGGCCAGCATCCTGGAATCCCAAGAAAAGCCAAGTGAAAATATCCAGCTGTCGTGAGCTTTATCGAGTGCTTGACTGAGTGGTTCCCCAGTTTTTCCATGCCAGACGATGAGTTCTCCGCTCTCATCACCGCTTGCTATCCATTGCCCATCTGGCGAAATAGCCAATGTGCGCACCCGACTGCGATGTCCCTCCATCTTCTTCAACACTACACCGGTTTTCAAGTCCCACAGACGAAGCATCCCGTCGTACGAGGCCGTGACCATGCGTTCGTCACGGTCGCGGAAAACTGCGAGTGCGATCACCCAATCCTCATGATCTTCGAATGTTCGAGTGGGTGTGATGTTTGGAATGAGCGCTGCCATTTTAGTGAAGCTGCAGCACAGTTAAGGTGGACTTTGTGTGTTGGACGATAGGTCTTGTTCGAAGTTGCACAGGTGCGTGTGATGGGGTGTTTTAAACCTGTTTTATAGCATTACCCTCTTGCCGGACGACTAAAACATAGGGGGTTATCATAATAAGTACCCTGCTTGCCAAATAGACTCGTGCGTATAAGTCGTCTCGCCGCAATGTTCCACATCTGTCAACGGGCCTGGTCGCGATTGTTTCAGGGGTACATGCAGCAGATAGGAAGAAGACATACACAGTTCACCCAATTCGCCTGATTGGCCGTGCCCTCTAATTTCAATTAAATCGTCACCCAAAGACGTAGTATTCCACCCTGTGACATGTTGAGCTTCTGTTCCCTCGAACATTCGTAGCGGAGATCCGACACTTCCTTTGATCTGCTTTGGTTGCTAGCATCACGGGTATTCGCGATTTGCTATTAGCGTTTGCTTCGCGTCAGTGATGTTGCTGCTAATTAGGTGGAAATGGTGGACAGCCATCAAAATACATGTAACATGTGCGTCGCTCGCGCTAGCGAGTTGAAATACATCCCAAGTCTCGGCCCCACACATTTACTCACAGGACCTCAAACTCATTTGACCTTGGAGGTAATACGCCATACGCCGCACATACCCAATGCAAATGAGATGTTCAGGGACGCGAGAGCTACGAGTAGGAATGAGAGGATTAGCGCTAGTGACTGTCGAAATTCAGTCGAATGCAACTTGCCCACTTCACCAGCGTCAAAACGAGAGCCTGAGGTATATATGTAAGCATGGATTTGAGAAAGGAAGCGACAAGTACTTGCGAGGAATGGATCAAGAGGGCGGACAAAGTAGCGTCAATACGAAAAAAACTGCTCGGGGTCATAACAGCGGTACTTGAGCGTGTAGTGTGATATGGGCTAAGAGTCAAATCGATCACGCTTAAGGACCGCCGCATGAGAACACCTTCAATTACCCGTTCAGCAAAAGTTTGCATTGGTGTATTTGGCGATCTCTGCGGTAGTAACGATGTCTGAAACGGCCGTCGTTCAGCCGAGGTAAAGAACATCGAGCGAAGTTTAAACTCAGCTCGGAGGTGTCAGGTCCGTCAGATTCACTCACGGGCCTCCAGCCGAGTTTTGACTCTTACTACTAAGTAATTCGTAAGCGGTAAGAATAAGCGGAGAAGTAATAACATTACAAAGGAAGAAACATAGGCAGAACTGTATGTGCAAGTCTGCGGTCAGGATCGGTCACAAGCGGTATGGTCATGGCGAGAACGGATCAACATCAACATTGGTAAGAGCCCGAAGGAAGCAATATAATAACTTAAAGATCTCTATCATCGGCCACCACCTCTCATTCATAATGATGTCCACTTCGGCATCACGGCGTGCTCGCCTGGTCTGGGTTTCTTGGATCAAGTCGTTCAACAACTCGATCTCGTCGATGACCTTCACTGCCTGCTTGCTCTTCACGACACCGATCATCGTTTTATTTGAAACGATGTAAACCTTTTGGTCCGGAATGTTCGCACCCTCAAGGTTGTCTTTCACGCTCTTACGTGTCTGCTGAATGAACTGCTCCCGTGCAGCCTGGTAAAGCTTCTTCTTCTTATACTCGCTCTCGTCATCGTCATCGTCCTCGCTGTCGTTCGCCATATCGTCCATGATATTAGAAATGTGTTGATCTGCCTTGGAGCGCACGATATACGTGGGGATCCGGAAACGCCTGCAGTTGGTGAGGATGGCGATGTCGGTCATGGTGAAGCGATTGTCGAAGAGGATGATGATGCAGTCAAAGATGTAGAGTCCTTGGGCATTGAAGTACTGCCAGTCTGAGATTTTGAGCGTGCCTGCGCCCGGGATATCGTACCAGACGAGAGGGTATTCCGCATCGGGGTGAGGGATTCTAGCCATGGCTAGCGTTGTCTCGGTGACACCAGTGGCAGCAGCTCTGAGGTTCTTATTGCGCAAACCGCAAAAGGCATTGATGAGAGATGATTTCCCTGCTCCTGCCACCCCGGCTACTGCAAAGTGGAAAAGGTCCTCGCGGTATTGAACTTTCCGCTTGGCGGCCCTAACTTCTTCAGGAGAGGGAGTCGCCACAGGTTGAATGCCTTCTTTCAACTTGCGTTCAGCCTCCTGCTTGGCAGCATTGGCCGTCTTTACTTGCTCTTCTGCTACTTTCTTCGACACATTGGCCGCCTTCTGGGCGGCAGTCGCCTTCCTCTTCTCCTCATCAGCAGCTTCCTGTAGTCTCTCAGCCTGCTCCTGGGTAGCCTGGGCGTCTCGTTTGGCTTGCTCTTGTACAACGGCAGTTCGCTTACGCTCCTCCTCTGCTTCCGCTGCTTTCTGCTCCGCTTCTTCATTAGCGGTATGGGCAGCAGCTTCTGCCAGTAAGCGGGCATCATTGGCAGCCTTTGCAGCCTGGGCCATCGCCTCCATTTCCCTACGGGCCTGATCTTGTGAAGCTGCCGCGGCTTGCTCAGCGGCCTGCTGAGCCGCCATAGCCTTTTCCTGCGATTCTTGATTCGACCTGATGAGCTCGGCGATCTCTGCTTTGGCAGCATCAGTCTCATTTCTGGCTTGTTCAAGAGCCGCCTCTGCCTCCAGGAGCCCGTCTATTCTGACGAGGAGTCGATTGCAATCTTTGAGTAGACTCCAACATCTATCTTTGGACAGACTCCCGGGCCAGAATCTATCTTTGGACAGACCCCGAAATCCATCTTTGGACAGACTCCAAAATATATTCTTGAATAGAGTACTCAATCGAGCTCCCATCTCCGAATTTGCACAACAATGGTAATGCGTAACCCTGTTAATGATGACGCGGACGTCGCATGATGCTCCCATCTCTTGAGCTGAGAAAACCTACTGATATGCGTATAGTTTGGAAAGAATAATCAGCTGAAAGCGCTACTCAGAGCAAGTCCTGTGGATTTCAAGATGAGAACGAAAAACCAATTTTGAACCTTACAATATAATTTGAGACGTCTTATATTGTCCCACGTGCAGACCAAGAGAACGACTGAATGCGGCCAACCCAGGGCTATGAGTTGTTCCACATGGATAAAAGTGCGTGAAGTGTGACAAGAAGGCAACGAAGTCATAGAACGGAACCTGATGAAGGGAGGACGTCCTGTGCATGGAAGTAGGGAATGAGTTACGAGATCACATTGAATGATTGTATATGCCCAAAAATGTAGAAGTTAACATGATATGTGGTGTGTGCGACATGCATCATGCCATTTCATCTAACACAATCACATCAGCTTCAAGCTCCATCATTCAAAAAAAGTCAATTCTGCGAGCGCTCAGCGTAGATCATCATCAGCAGAAACTCGCAGTCGACCGAAACGACAATAGCCCCCAGGTGCCTTCATCAAGAGGAAGGTGTTAAAGTACAACCATTATACTGGATCGTCTGGACCACACACCTTAAGCCCGCAATCCTCCTCGTTGTTAGGGCGTGTGGAACGCATAGAAGTGAATGGGCCAGCCCGGGTCTCAACGGCATACAATCATATTACCGGATCTCCTAAAAATTTGCCTTCGGTTACTGGCAAATTAAAAAAATTCGGTCACGATACTAGCTTGCGTTATGCCAACCAATTGAACTCTAGTATACGAAACTACGACCAACAAGGATTACCCTCAACTTTCCGTTTCAGACTCTCCTAGCGGAAAGCTTAAGGTCTAGCGGTGGATTGTTACCATCTGCATTCGAAGCTGGGGTGATTAGCCTGTTGACCACAGGTTTTGACATGCTACGCGAACCCCTACCGGAGTCAACAACTACACACAATGGTTGATCTGCATCTGTTGTAGAGAGGTGCAGGCAACTGCTAGCGCCTGTTCTTCTTATGTTGCCAAATCTCAGGACTCTTCGACGACTCTCGACATCACAGCGTGTGCAGCCATGCTCACTGATGATCGTTGCCGCGAGTTTCTACAGCAAGCTAGAGATATGAAACTTCAAATCGATACTCACCCACCGGAAAACCCCCGAGTTGGCGCAGTTGATCCACACACCAACAAGGAGGACTTAGAACGCGGCATGGAGAAACATGGAGAATCCACTCGGACTACGCGTGTTTGGCTAGATTCAGACACATTATCTGTCGCGTCACGGAAGGATAGCGAAGCTACATTGGTAGATTTGCCAATTGGCCACAAGGCTTTCTCACCCGTCCAGGATTCTATACATCGCTCTGGCAAGGACGTCACACTCTCAGTCAAACAGATCATGGAACACGACGAGGCTCTATTCTCGCACGACCCAAACTCAGCAAATGTTCAAGCATCGGTACCTGGCTCTGTTCCACATCAGATGGCTCCATAATCGTCAATTCCTGTAGAAGACGTCGCGATGGCGATATCTTTAGCACGTTACTCAGGACCGTCTCCTGCAGATCCTCAGAATATATCAACATGCTCGTCTGCCGACTCCTATCCTTCGTCGTTACTGAAAATTCCAACCCTATCTATGCCCGGAACCTGGTTCGGGCACCAGGGTCTTACTCGACCAGGTATACTTATGATTGATTTTGCGGTGGGAGATCGCATTATCCCCGCAGCTTCGTCGAGCAGGTACGCAAGACTCCGCGGTTTTGACTTAGCCTTTCCTTACGAGAAATCCTAGTTCGCCCAATGTTGCATTTACCGTACAACTTTCTTGTTTCCGCAAGGATCCCCATCATGAGCTTCAGGAAGGTGACAGCCTGGATACCACCCTTGACAAGATCAGGAGTGTGGGAGGGGATTGGCCTGCCACAGGTACCCTCGTAGTACAACCCCAGAATGGACGCTCAACGCCATCACTAATACCCTTACGAGGTCATACGTTCACAGATTCATCTCATGATGTCGGAGGCACTGGATCGCGTTGCATTAGAATGCGATACCTTTCGTCCTGTAGATCTAGGTTTCTACTAGAAATCTCAATTGTAAATCCTTTGTAATTCTAAGTATTCAGTCGGATGGAATTCAGTCGCTCGCAAGCAGTAAGAACATGTGGAGAAGTAACAACATCAGCACGGAGGAAGAAACATAGGAATAACCGAATCTGCAAGTCTGGAATCAAGATCGGTCACGAACGGTATGATCATGTCGGGAACGGAGAAGTATCAGCAAGAGTCCGAAGGAAGATGTGTACGAAGAACTGTATCATCACTGACTACCCATTCGTAATAGTCGCCGCCTCAGTCACGGTGTCCTCGCCTGATCTGGGCTTCTCGGATCAAGTCGTTCAACAACTCAATCTCGTCGATGGTCTTTGGCTGCTTTCTCGCCAGAACATCGAATATCGTTGTATTCAACGCGACATCGAGCATCGTTTTGTACGAAACGATGTAAACCCTTTGGTCAGGTATATTAGCATCCCGCAGGTTGTCTTTCACGCTCTGGCGCGTCTGCTGAATGAACTGCTGCCGTGCAGCCTGGTGAAGCTTCTTGACCTTGCTGCTATCATCATCGCTGTCATACCCCATATCTTCCATAATGTTGCGGATGTGTTGATCTGCTTTAGAACGCACGATATATGTAGGGATCTTGAAACGCCTGCAGTTGGTGAGGATGGCGATGTCGGTCATGGTGAAGCGATTGTCGAACAGGACGATGATACTGTCAAAGACATAAAGTCCTTGGTCGTTGAAGTACAACCAGTCTGGAATTTTGAGCGTGCCAGCGCCCGGGAAATCGTACAAGACAAGAGGGTATTCTGCATTGGGGTGAGGGTATCTAGCCATGACTAGCGTCGTCTCGGTGACGCCAGTGGCAGCAGCTCCAATGTCCTTATTACGCAGACCGCGGAAGGCATTGATAAGAGATGATTTCCCTCCTCCTGCCACCCCGGCTATTGCGATATGGAAAAGGTCCTCGCGATATTGTACTCTCTGCTTGGCCGCGCGAACTTCTTCAGGTGTGGGAGTCACCACAGGTTGAATGCCTTCTTTCAACTTGCGTTCAGCCTCCTCCTTAGCAGCATTGGCCGCGTCTGCCGCTTTCTTCGACGCGTTGGCCGCCTCCTGGGCGGCAGTCGCCTTTCTCTTCTCCTCATCGGCAGCCTCCTGTAGTTTCTTGACCTGCTCCTGGGCAGCCTGGGCGTCTCGTCTGGCTTGCTCTTGTATAGCGACAGTTCGCCTAAGCTCCTCCGCTGCCTGTGCTGCTAACTTTCTTGATTCCTCGCTGGCGGTATGAGCGGCAGCTTCCGCCCGCGAGCAAGCTTCGTCTGAAGCACGTTTGGCGTCGGCCATCGCCTCCCTTTCCTTACGGTCCCAAGCCTGTGAGGCCGCCTTAGCTTCCTCAGTGGCCTGCTCAGCCGCCTTAGTCTTTTCCTGTTGTTTTTCATTCAGGTTGCTGAGCTCAGCGATCCGTTCTTCGGCAGCCTTAATATCCTTTCGGGCTTGCTCAGCAGCTGCCTCTGCATCCCGGCGCTTTTTTATCTCCTCGTCTACTGGATTGGGCCCTTTTGGCCGCTTGGAACATCCCATCCCTGAGTTTGCTCAAATATAGAGATGCGTGGCCCTGTTAATTGTCACGTCGCATGATGCTCTCATCTCTTGAGCTAAGAAAACCTACTAGTATGCGTATTCTTTGGAATGAAAAATTGGCTGACAGCGCTGTTCAGAGTAAGTCCTGTAGGAACGAAGAGCCGATCTTAAACTATAGAATATAATGTTTGCCTTGAGGCGTTTTATATTGTGCCGTATGCAGACCAAGAGAACGACTGAATGTGGCCAAGCGCTGATCATAAGTTACCCAGGGCTATGGGTTGTCCCACATCCAGAGGATTGCGTGAAGTGTGACTTGGAGGCAATGAAGTCGTGGAAGAGGTTCTGTGCATCAAAGTTGAGAATGAGTCACATACCAGATCTGATCCGATTGAACGACGAATGTATGTGTACCCTTACAATTAAGACACAACATGTTATGTGGCAATTTTTAATGTAAAACATTTTAGGGCGAAATACTGCCGAGAGCACCACCTAACGGGTGCACCGTGAAGGGTAGCCATCTATGTCCTTTCGGCTTTCGCGGCTTCATCACCTGAATATCAGCATTTCTGGGTCCGAAGCTATCTTGGAAATATGGTTCATGAAGATGGCATGTCGTTCTTCATCTCGCTCGGGAGCGCGAGTAAAGATACCCTTGTGGCTGTAATGTAGCCTGCCAGTATGCAGGGTGCGGAGAAGTGCATGTACGGATAAGCACCAGTGTGCTCGTAATTCCCGCTGTAGCCCGTCCAGTACGTGGTAGGATTTCAGCGAAGGATGGCAGTAAGAAAGGCAATGTCATCGATAATGTGGTTGCGATACTTGCCACAATGACCATGTGTTGCAGTTTGAGATGCAATAATGGCAGCCCGAGTCAGCCAGATAGTTTTGTATACATACAAGTGTCGGATTCCCAGACTTTCTGCAAGTGTCTTGACACCGAGTAAATAGTAGATATTTGCGACGGAATGTGCGCATCGGTGCAAGACAAGTATGCAAGCGTTTAAATCTAGGGGTGTGCATGGCTGCCGTGGTGGTGTGCTGAAGTGTTCCATGTATACAAACGATGAGTCTAAGCCCAATGCCCACAGGGTCCTACCTCGGACGTTCCCGAGACGCGTTCAACTTTTGTGACTCCGCATAATTTCGAAGTAGCTAAAAAGCATGACAACTTGAACGTGATGACTGGTAACAGAATTATACTGATCGGCAGCTGGTGATTATGAATATATCTTTCTCAGGGCTCCCTCAGTTTACTGGTGGTGGCACGACTCTGGTAGTTCCTGGACTTCCGCTGTTCTCTATCTGGCTTCGCTGACGGTACGAGCAGCCGCTTCCGCCTGTAAGCGAGTCTCGTTGGCGGCATGTTCTGCCTTGACTCGGACCATCGCCTCCATTTCCCTGCGGGCCTGATCTTAAGTGTAAGGCTGCTTGCTCAGCGGCCCGCCGCCATAGCCCTTTCCCGCGATTCTTGATTTGACTTGATGAGCTCGGCGATCTGTGCTCTGGCAGCCTCAGCATCCTTTCGGGCTTGCTCAGCAGCTGCCTCTGCATCACGGCGCCTTTTTATCTCCTCGAGTGGTGGACTGAGCGCTGGCCATGCCTGACGCTTATGCCCAAATAGATCTGTTAAATTCATAATGGTTGCTGCTTCAGCGTCACGGCGTGCTCGCCTGGTCTGAGCTTCTCCGATTAAGTCGTTCAGCAACTCAATCTCGTCGATGACCTTCTTCGGCCGGTTTCCCTTCACGACATCGAGCATCGTTTTATTCGAAACAATGTAAACCCTTTGGTCAGGTATGTTGGCATTCTCCAGGTTGCCTTTCAAGCTCTGGTGCGTCTGCTGAATGAACTGCTGCCGTGCAGCCTGGTAAAGCTTCTTCCTCTGGTCCTCGCTCTCATCGTCATCGCTATCGTACCCCATGTCCTTCATGATGTTACAGATGTGCTGATCTGCCTTAGAGCGCACGATATACGCGGGGATCTTGAAACGCCTGCAGTTGGTGAGGATGTCGATGTCGACCATGGTGAAGCGATTGTCGAACAGGATGATGATGCTGTCGAAGACGTAAAGTCCATGAGTGTTGAAGTACTGCCAGTCTGGGATTTTGAGCGTGCCGGCGCCCGGGAAATCGTACAAGACAAGAGGGTATTCCGCATTGGGGTGAGGGTATCTAGCCATGACTAACGTTCTCTCGATAATGCCAGTGACAGCAGATCCAATGTCCTTATCACGCAAACCGCGGAAGGCATTGATGAGAGATGATTTCCCTCCTCCTTCCATCCCAGCTACTGCGATGTGGAAAAGGTCATCGCGATATTGAACTTTCTGCTTGGCAGCGCTAACTTCTTCAGGCGTGGGAGTCACCACAGGTCGAATACCTTCTTTCAACTTGCGTTCAGCCCCCTCCTTTGCGGCATTAGCCGCCTTCACTTGCTCTTCTGCCACTTTCTTCCATGCGTTGGCCACCTCCTGAGCGGCAGTCGCCTTCCTCTTCCCCTCATCGGCAGCCTCCTGTAGTTTCTTGGCCTGCTCCTGGGCGGCCTGGGCGTCTCGTTTGGCTTGTTCTTGTACGGTCTGGACCATCATCGTCACCTTATAGATTTGTGCTCTGGCAGCATCCTGTCGGGCTCGCTCAGCAGCTACCTCTGCGTCCTGTTGGACTCGCTCAGCAGCTACCTCTGCATCCTGCCGGACTCGTGCAGCAGCTACCTCTGCATCCTGTCGGGCTCGCACAGCAGCTATCTCTATGTCTTGGCGCGCTTTTATCTCCTCGAGGGATGGACTTGGATCTCCTGGCAGACTCGCTAAAGATCCCATATCTGACTTTGCTTGACAATGGTAATGCACGGCCCTGTTAATGGTCACGTCGCATGATACTTCCATCTCTTAGGCCGAGAAAACTTACTGATATGCGTATGCTTTGGAAGGAAAAACAAATAACAGCAGTGCTCAGAGTAAGTCCTGTGGATTTCAAGATGAGAACGAAGAACTGATCTTAATCCATAGAATATAATGTCTGCCTTTATATTGTCCCGCGTGCAGACCAAGAGAACGACTAAATGCAGCCAAGCGCTGATCATATGTTAGTACCCAGGGCTATGGGTTGTTTCACATCGATAAGATTGCGTGAAGTGTGACCTGAAGGTAACGAAGTCATAGAATGGAATCTCATGAATAGAGGACGTTCTGTGCATGAAAGTTAGGAATGAGTTACCAGATCACACCGAATGGCCGTGTTTATCACCAAAATCGCCGAATTATGTATATAAGAGTTAAACACGACATAGTATATGTTATGTGTGATACGCGTCAGCCATTGTGAGATACACCAGCGATGTTGGTGTGTCGGCACGACGTCCATCCGCCAGATTCACTACCAGATAGATAATAAGATGTATTGTAGTAGCATACCTATATGCAGTACCGAGCGGAGCCGCGGGGGACATGATAAGAGTATCAGGTGAGGAACAACAAGACAATAAAAAGGACTTCGTGCGTCTGCCAGGCACCAAAGCGAGCACTGTCACCTGATGGGTGTTCCGTGAAGGATAGCCAGATATTCGATGAAGGGCACACTATATCTCCTCTGCGACAGTCGCAAACTAGATGGCCACGATGAATCGTCAATGATCCTGTTAGGAGGCGCTGCAGAAGGGTGTACTATAGTTAGAACACCGCTGAGGCTAGATTTCATAATATCAGCTCCAAGTTCTGTCATTCAAAAAAAAAAACAATTCTGCGAGCGCTCAGCGTACGATATCATCATCAGCAGAAATCGCAGTCGACCGAAATGACAATAGTCCCCAGGTGCCTTCATCTGAATATATCAAGAGGAAGGTGTTAGAGGACGACCATTATGCTCGATCGTCCGGACCACACACCTTAAGCCCGCAATCCTCGTTGCTAGTGCGTATGGAGTTACCATCTAAAGAAGAGTGTTTGATTAAAACGAGGGCTCGTCGGATCCTGGAAACACGGGTCTCGACTCTCACGGCATACAATCACATTACCGGATCTCTCGGTTACTAGCAAATTGAAAAATTCGGTCACGAACTTACGTTATGCCAACCAATTGAACTTAGTATACGAAACTACGACCAACAAGGATTACCCTCAACTTTCCGTCCCAGACTCTCCTAGCGGAAAGGTCCAGCGGTGGATTGTTACCATCTGCATTCGAAGCTGGGGTGATTAGCCTATTGACCACAGGTTTTGACATGCTACGCGAACCCCTACCGGAGTCAACAACTACACACAATGGTGGATCTGCATCTGTTGTAGAGAGGTGCAGGCAACTGCTAGCGCCTGTTCTTCTTATGTCTGCCAAATCTCAAGACTCTTCGACGACTCTCGACATCACAGCGTGTGCAGCCATGCTCACCGATGATCGTTGCCACGAGTTTATACAGCAAGCTGGAGATATGAAGCTTCAAATTGATGCCCTTGCCTTGCACCCACCGAAGAACCCCCAAGTTGGCGCTGTTGATCCACACATCAACAAGGAGGACTTAAAACGCTGCATGGAGAAACACGGTGAATCCACTCGGACTCCGCGTGTTTGGCTAGATTCAGACACGTTATCTATCGGGTCACGGAAGGATAGCGAAACTACATTGGTAGATTTGCCAATTGATCGCAAGGCTTTCTCACCTATCCAGGATCATATACATCGCTCTGTCAAGGACGTCACACTCCTAGTCAAACAAATCATGGAACATGACGAGGCTCTATCATCGCACGACCCAAACTCGGCAAATGTTCAAGCATCGGTACCTGGCTCTGTTCCACATCAGATGGCTCCATCATCGTCAATTCCTGTAGAAGACGTCGCGATGGCGATATCTTTAGCACATCACTCAGGACCGTCCCCCGCAGATCCTCAGAATATAGCAACATGCTCTTCTGCCGACTCCTATCCTTCGTCGTCACTGAAAATTCCAACCCTATCTATGCCCGGGACCTGGTTCGGGCGCCAGGGTCTTACTCGCCCAGGTATACTTACCATTGATTTTGCGGTGGGAGATCGCATTATTCCCGCAGCTTCGTCGAGCAGGTACGCAAGGCTTCGTGGTTCTAACTTAGCCTTTCCTTACGAGAAATTCTAGTTCCTCCAATGTTCCATTTACCGTGCAACTTTCTTGTTTCCGCAAGGATCCCCATCATGAGCTTCAGGAAGGTGACAGCCTGGATACCACGCTTGACAAGATCAGGAGTGTGGGCGAGGATTGGCCAGCCAAAGGTACCCTCGTGGTACAATTGAACGTTGATAGCGCCAATGGGCGGTCCTGGCTTCCCTACGAATTGGTATGGAGTTGTTCGTGGATGCTACCTCCCGAAAATAAATAACTTAACGTCTGCTACAGGAAAAGGGAGCACTGAATGTGACCCCGTCTATCACGCAAGGTAATAACACGATGCGTCTAATACACCTTAACGATCTATCCGACTTTACCTTCGTTCTGTACACCCTCCCGCCAGAGCTTCCAAAGAGGGCCGAGCCCTGGAGGGGACGATGCTGGGCATCCAAAATTACCCAGCCAGACTCAGAGATTCCGTTTGACATAACAAATATCATTCAGCACTATGCGAACGTACCAGTTATTGTATCATAATAGTCTACCTTTCGGTACCTTTAGACTGCGTTGTTCAGCTGTTGCATTATAAACCCGCACACGACATATGTGGTATATTGGTATCATTTTCCTTGATAGACATGACTAAAACTCTTGCTTGGTATTAAAAAGTGAGCACATCTACGTCACCGCGAAGCGTAGTATAACGGACGCCTCGAGGCGCGTTACGTTGACCTCGGCAACCGGAAGTGCCTGCCTTTCCCCACATGTTTCTTTCCTTCATCATCCTTGTACCTTTGGAAAACGTCCGCATTCCCCTTATCCACCTCTTTACGACCTCACGACCTCACTACGGCACATTTATTCGCGCTAAGCCATCTCTACCATATCATGTCCGGTGGAGACGCAACCCATCATGATGCCACGCCAGAACCTCCCGATGTTAATAGCACAGAAACTGAGCAACCGAAAGGCAGACAGCTCAAGAAGGACGAACGGGGATATGCACAGGTGTACCTCGCCCGAGCACGGATTGAAGGAATTGAGAACTGGAGAATGGCTGTGGATGCAGCGCTGCAGGCAGCCGAAGAAGAACGCGCACGGTTTGAGGAAACGAATAGGAAACGACGGAGAATCGAAGAAGATGCGTGGGGAACTCTTGAAGAGACGCAACATATTAATAAGGAGATCGAGGTTTTGGCGCAGGACGTCCCAGTTGAGGTACGAGACTAGTTATTGTCATCACCTCATTCCTCCTGATAACCTCGTCTATAGCATACTGACGCGGTGGGAGGTACAAAGCAGAAGCGCCGCAGTAGGCGACATGAGCTCTGGAAAGGCCTTCGAAATATGTTCTTTAATATTATCTTCTAGCCAAGTCCGTCGTCTGATTTCATATCGTTGGTGTTTGTAATAGCATAATTTGGAGTTCTGAGGGGCATAGTGAGTGGTGGATGGGGACCGGTTGAATGAAGGCGGCAGCCAGCAATTAGGAGACAGAAATTGCCATTGCAACCGTCCTTGTCCGAGCTGGACTGATGCTCATTCCACCAAAAGACGCGCCCAACCCATCGTCGTCTGACTCTCCCCGTTTCGAAGCAGTGATTGGTATGCACGAGCCGCCTCGTCCATGTTCCCATTCATCAAACGTTGGGTCCTCCTCTATCAGATCATCTTCATCCTCTTCTTCTTCATCGTCAATAGCCACCGCTGCCCACTCTCGATACACGCCTTGTATGTACTCGCCTGAGCGGGGCAGTTTGAAGGGATCGAAAGGGAAAAAAGTATGCAAGTCCTCCGGGCCAGCGCTACCGGGTGCTACACCGGCAAATACAGGGTACGGTGCTCGTTTGTTTGCTTCCAGAATGGAGAAGCAGTATGTGAAATCAGTTGCTTGTGCGATGCGAGCAAATTGATGTACGACATTCTGAGAGCAGACCTATTTTGCAGCAGTTAGCCAAAGAATCTTTCCAAAGACGACGGCTAGCAAACCTTGAGAGGGTTGAGATCAGATGTGATAACTCTCTGCACGACTCCTAGCTCGCTTATCCATATCTTCCGTCCCACCTCTTGTTCGTCCGGTTCCTCCTGTAAGTCACGCCAACGGAAGCAAAATACCAGAAATACAGACTGGACAACCGCATAAAAGACACTGTGATTATTGCTAGCAGCATTGCCAGCCTCTACAGCATCTAAGTGCGCTCCAAGAAACGCGCATAGGACTTTAACAGCCCTCCGTGCGCCCTCACGATCAATAAACTGTGCACGCGAGACAAAGCTCCCGATATAACTGCTTGCTGCCGCACGTTCCACGCTACTCGCACTTGCGCTTCCGAAAAGGGCCTTGTCAACAAGTAGTCCCAGGAAAAGGTCTGAGAACTCGGGGTGAAGGGAAGCATACCAGAAAAGGAGAAATTGGGTATATCGGGACTTGAAAGTGCGGAGGATAGATCTATCGAAAATGGCTAGGAGTGTGTGAAATTGAATTGCGAGGAGGGTATGTGGCTCGTGCGATTGTGGGTCGCGATCGTGCGTAGTTGTTGGATGAATGGAGGGAGACGAAGGTACGACGGTAAGTATGGATGAATGCAATTTGTTGAAGTGGTCAAAAACAAGCTTGAGGATAGCGTCAAGTTTCGAAACCATATCATGAACGTGTCTGGTGTCCATGGGGGTATCTTCAGCATCACTGTCTGACGATGCATCAGACGATAAATCGCTCAGACTATCGTCAACATCCTCATCATCAGAAGAGTCACCCTCTTGCCCTACTATGGTATCAAACGGATCAAATTCAAAAAGTTCGCCGTCTGTAGGTTCGGTGTCTTCAAGCTCTTCGAGCTCTACTTGAATCTCTACCTGCGTGCAATTAAATCAATTAAGATCCAACCGCACAGAAAAAAGAGCGCACTCACATCGACCATCAAAGCACGATCCACTATAAGGCCCAGGACCCTCTCTGAAAGTTCACCACAATACTCGGTTATACGCAGCAGATTCCGTATATAAGCTACATGTGCAGCTTGTGGCTGACGTTTGTGAGGGAAGTTTCGTACGAGGAGAGGAGCTAGAGATGATGGGAGGGTTGGTACAAGGTTTATGAGATGTTCGAGAAGAGTATGTTGTCGATCATAGATCACACGTCGTGTCAAGGGGGTGGAGCCCTCCAAGTTTGATGCGACAGCGAGAAGACCAGATTCTGCGAGTGACGCATTAAAACTACTTGAATATCTTTCAAGATGGTAATAACTCACGATATGTGAAACCCATCGCGATTCTGTTGAGAACAAGTGATAGATATTCTGGGCGCGCACTTATGAGCATGCCGATGAATACGATATACGATTTAACGAAGACAGCATCCATAGTCGACCATGGTAGGCGGACAATTGCCTCTACCAGTGGCGCGTGACGCCTCTCGAGGCGAGAAAGGACATGTGAGAGTGCAGAAAGCCAGATACGAAGCTGCAGAGATGGTACGGTAGGCGCAAGCGTGGATTTGTTCGGACTAAACTGGTCAACAAGGTCATCAAAGTCTTTGCTATGCCCCTGCGCACGACGATCAGCACGCGATCAAGTGATATACCACATACTCACATTAAGCTTCTCGCGTATGGCCTTATTCACATATGCGAGAAACATGTCTTTTTTAAATTGTTCATCCTGCTTCACCCGCGAATTCGTCGCGATAGGGCGAGATGTAAACAGTGGCGAGTCCGATGGCATGGATGATGAGTAGGCTTTAGTGTACTTGTCTAAGGTGACTTTTTGGGTTGGCTCGAATCGTACGGAGGGTGAAAATGGTCCAGTCTTTGGTGTTCTTTGATTGAACTGGGAGAGTCTTGAATGCGGGTCCATCGTGACCGTTTTATGACTGCTTCACATCCGGTGTACAGCTTAAAAACATTCCTGTAAAAACTTGATTTGAAAATTGATACTCTTATTATAAATGAATTATTTTAGGTTATCCTAAGAATTTGATGTTTATTCAAGTTAAGTCTCACCTCCCTCATCACCAAGTTGCCAACTACAATGTCTACCTCATTCTCGTCGGCTCACAGGCTTTATGTCAAGTCACTCTACCGTCGTATGTTGAAGAATGAACTGGACTGGGTTGTTCGCAGAGATATCTGGCGTGGTCGTGCAATGATGATTAGAGCTGAGTTTGAGAGAAACCGGTCAGTAGTAGACGTGAATACAGTTGTCACTTTGGTCTAACTAGCACACGGTGCTTGCATGTATCAGTGATGTTACTGAGCCGAGAGCCCTTGCTCAGATTCTTGAGAAAGCAGAGGCGAGTCTCGCAAGCAAGTTGCATCCCGACCCTTACATCCGTGAGTTTCCGCGTCTCCATCATATCACCTCCTCTAAAAAAAGCATATTTTTCATAGCTCCTACCATGCCAGGAGGAACAAAGTGGTATGTGGTGAACTTTCATTCTCGTATTCGTCTTTTGTTAAGGCCAAAACTCATGCAGGGAACGCAATATACCTGTATGTCGCATCTTTCGACTTTGTGTCATTGTCCTGACATTCCCTTCTACAGCCTACTATTGCTCCTTTATACGATCACACAGCTGCTGTACATCATTAAGTACTGTATACCTGCTCCAGCACCCAATACACTCCGTTGTGTTGAACATTAGCCATCTTACAGTTGACTGTGTCGGCCGTCATGTCGTTATCCGATCCATTTCTGAAAGTTCGGCCTTTTCAGTAATATCCAACGTACCATCAGCGTGAGTGCACCAGTGATGCACACCAGATGTGATGTTGGCGTTGAACTAGTCGCCGTCGCTGAACGACTTGACTACACGTCCACTACTTGTAGCTCCGAATACATTAATAATTGGACTATAAATGTAAGTTCCACCAGTAACGACAACCCATTGATCGTCCTTTGATACTGCCACATATACATCCGCATCCAATTTTTTGATTTGCATTCGCATCCCATCCCAGAGTAATCTTGTCCTCAGATCCGTTGATCATTCGCTCGCCGTTCGGAAAGTGGGGTATCGATCGAAAATGCACCCTTATCTTCAAGGGTCATCACAACATATTGGTTACTGCAGCGACGGATTTCACCGATACGGAATTCATGGCTCGTGTTTCTACCAGCAAAACTCTCAAGCAGTCAACTGAGGGCGAGACCTCTTGTACTGTCAGCAGGCCGACGTCGATGGTGGTTTGTTAACTTTGTAGTATCCAGCGTGGACGGACTGACGATTGGCCCCAGCAGATAAAGTCCTCTCGAGCGAGTTACCTATCTTTAAGGTTGGACGTGCCCGACCGCCTTTGTATGGAAAGCCTAACGTTCGTGCTCTCAAATCAGCGTCACGCATCCAAATAAGGGCATAGGATCCTGTACACCGCTGGCGTTATACTTTTGTGTATCATGTGGATCCACACTCGACAACGGGCTTCGCTTCCATCCGATGGGCCAAGGAGAATGAAAGGAATGAATCGCGTAGATTCATGAAAATTGGGAAGGTCTGGAAGGGTCTTGTAAATGGTGGTCGTTTGAAACGTAGCCTTCCCCTAGCTCTCGTAGTAAGTTCCGCCTCATCTCAAAACTATCTGTTACCATCTTACTTCTACTTTCTTGTGTGTCCAAGATTAAAGTCATCCATGCTGGTTGGCTCAGAGACCCTGATACTTGGCCTTCTGGCGCAGTAGCTCCAGATTCAGATCAGGATCTTGCAGCAGACCAGCCTGGACCTTCACCTCCGATTGCAACATACAAGGTCACATCATATAGCAGTACCACAAGCAACACAGGTCCTCATTTTCATGTATATAGCCATCATACCATCCTTTATTTGGAGGAGGCAGGGCGCCATGGTTGGCCCATACAGATCAAGCCTCTAAATGCTCTTCTTGAGCAAGGATGGACGGTCACGACGATATGTGAAAGGCTCAGGGATCCGTCTTGCACAATGGATTCACTTGGAGACATCCCTAATCATGATGACGTACTGCTTGGAACCAGGCAGTCACATTCTCTGAAGGATGAGATACCCAATTTCACTGTTGACGAGATGCATCGACAGCTTGTGAGGTTTGTTGTGGCAGACGATCAGGTGGGTTACTGTTCACTTTCTATGCACTATTCTTAATAACACCTTCAGGCAATCAACCTCATCGAATGTCCTGAATTTTGATGTTTGATTCGTCTTCTGTGACCTGAGTTAAATGATAGTGACATCTGCCATCGCACAAAATTTCGGGAGTTAATCCTTGAGGCTTTTAACGAGTACTTTGAGGTCCTGAAAAGGGACCTTGCAGTAAGTGTTCAGTTCTCAAGGGTCGCGCAAAATATCTTAAATCTTCCAGATGGCCCAGGGAAAGGTCTCATTTACGTCTGATCTATGGTTGGACTCTGTCCTCTGCCCATTCATGGCCATCACCGCCCACTGGATTGCCAAAGATGAGCAAAGTTCCGTGCTTATTTTGAAGGCAGCATTGATAGCTCTCAATCACACACCGGGGAGTCACATGGGAGACTGCTTAGGGCAATCAATATTGGGCCTCCTCGATCGTGCTGAAGTAACTGAGAAAGTGAGTGTTTTAGTTGTACCACATGGCATGCTCTGAATTCGCTTAGTCCAGTCATTTTACTTTGGATAATGCTGGCAATAATCACACGTCCATGCAAGAGTACTCACACCTACTGCGGGAATGTGGGATAGAGTTTGATCCTGTTGAGCACCGAATTCTGTGCTTCCCCCATATAATCAACATATGCATCAAACATATCATTGACGAGTACCATATCGCTGACTTTTCGGATGTGGACAAGTCATGGGTAGTCGGCGGTCAGACCATCAACAAGACAGCGTATGTCCAAGTCCTGCATGCTAAAACCCTCGATCGAGCCAGAGTGCTCGTGGGCACAATCCGCATATCGAACCAGCATTGGGACAGTTTTGAAGTCACCATTCTCACAGGTAACGAGAACAAATGGTTCCTAGACCACGCAGGTCAACCTACCAAGTTGCCTGTTGTGCAACTGCTTCTTGACAAGCCAACACATTGGGACTTGGTCTACGTCATGCTGAATCCTTTGCGAATCCTTTGCCAGGTAAGCAAACCTTCACTACACCAATCATCTGTCGTGGACTAATAGTGACAAGGCCGTGGACTTGTTCTTTGCAAACCCGAATCAACGCCTGATCGCTGACAAGAAATTAACTCCCATGGAGTGGCACTTTCTACAGGATCTCGAGGTGATTTTAGAGGTCAGTGCTAATGCGTTTGAAATATATGATCCATCTTACTGTGTGATTTAGGTACCACATGCTGCTCAACAGGCCATGTCGAGCGAAAGTACTCCTACGCTCAGTGGTGCGGTTCCAACCTTCGAACTATTAATTCAGCGGTGGGATCACATGGTGAAGAAATTTCCACACTTCGCACCTCTGATTGACATAGGTTTGCTGTGGGTGGATAAATATGATGATCGGATGGGTGCCACCAATGCTTACACAGTCTCCATGTGTTAGTCCTGTGTATTCTGACAAGAGTTTGGTTCTCATCGCTGAGTCGTCGGTTCCCTCTATAGTCATCGATCCACAGATACTCGTTGCGATCACATCACGGTTGGATCGATGGCTACGTGGTTTCGTACGGAACACCTCAAAAATCGAGTTGGAGATAAGTTGCCGATATCACAAACGACTCGGACTGGAACTTTTCTGGTGTTGAAGTAGTCCCGTGCGTAATACTGATTTGGAAATCATACTTGATTACCGGCTTTGTATTTGATTTCGCACCGTTTCACCTGATCAAGGGTCTTGAGGCGTGATCAGATTTCCATCTCCATCATGCTGATTTTGGTGATACAAGGGCTGAACGGTGGTATGTCTAGCACAAACGCTATCGTTATACACCACTGACATTCCCCACTCGCTCACACCCAATTTTCGAACACGACCTACGTCTCAAATGATCCCAGTTGGTGGCCGTATATCAGTTCGGATATCAATTCGGATATGTCTTTAAGTTATTGAATAGGTTTTTCGCACCAAGATGTCTGGATCAAACATTGACTTGCGGTTTTGCAGTTGCTGCTGGCATTGTGGTGGTATATGATTGGGGTGAGCAGGACAGTGTTCGAAAATCGCCGATATTCTCATGATATTTCCAGTCTCAACACTCGGACAAGAGGTACGTCGATGTTATTGCCGGAGCAGCTATCTCACTGAGAATGGTGTCATAGATTGAACTCATCTGGGTGAATGACAAGAGTCCCATATCATTTTTCCTGACCTGCGGGACACAGAATATGTGCCATCGGTATCGCTGACAGATGCAGTAAGTATTTTGCAACCATCTCATTCTCATCCAATCAATACGCTCATATGTAGGGGTGAATGAGATTCCGACCATTGAACTTGGCTCAACATAATAATTCAATAGGTGTAAGTTGGAGTCTTTGATACTAGTGCGAGGGCACTCACTGATTGTGAGTTTTAGGCGCTATCATGTGCTATGCAATAAATGGGACAATTGTTACCTTGAGTGCCATGTTGGGCGGTAAGTTCCCCAGGTGCAATACCTCTGTGATATTGACCTGACTGACACACGATGCAAGTCATCATGATTGCTCGGTTGCATGCCATGTATCAGTGATTTAGAAAGATGCTCATGCTCCTTGTTATTATCTTCCTGGCTGTAAACATCGCTTGCGGAGTAATGGCGGCAATAGGCCTCAAAGATACTGTACCGGGTAAGCTTTACTTGTTGACTTGACGAAGACAGCTCATTGGTCAAACACCAGAGGAGTTCATACTCTCTGGCACGTATATGCGCGGTTATGCATATGGAGGGGACGAGCAGCTTCTGAACTCCATGGTTTGGATGCTCAACACTGTTTGGGAGGTCCTCGCGCTGTGCCTTTCAGTCTGGGTTGCTGTGAAACACTTCTGTGAGCTGCGACGACTCGGCCCATCGACAGAATCGACCATTGTGGACTGTTTTAGAGTGCTGGTACAATCTCACGTTCTTTACTTTGCAAGGTGAGCTTGTGATGTGAACACGGTTATATTTTTTCTGCTCAAGTTCCGTACATGTTAGCTTTGTTGGTCTCTCTTGCCTCCAGCTTGCTCATCTCTCTCCCGAAATCGTGGTGCGCTGACCTGTTGCTGACATCTGCGTGCAACCACTGCTCATCATTTCTGTAGAATTCAATTCCTATTACCGCTCAGATACTCGGTGGTGCTCTTGAATCGAGTACGATTTGAGTTTTCTAACTCGTGCCTGATATAGCCACTGCTGGACTTGCCAGGCTGAGGTCAGCCTTTGGTGACAAGCCGTCTGAGGTCAGGACGCCCGAAGGTCTGAGTCGTTTAAACAAGGCGAGACAGAGGAACGTTCATCAGTCACAGAGGCCAAGCAGCTGCAATAGAATATAAAACAGGCTATACAAAACGATCGGACGTTGACTTAATGGTGCCAGCATAGCAGCTAAAGTACCGTCGCAAAATTCCAAGGCCATGCAGGCAAGCAAGGTCAGATTCGGCAACGCCGAACCCTAGCATAGTTGGATAGGAATTACCTACTTGTCAAGGGTATACGGTGTCCCAATTATGTGACTGCCTTGTTTGGAGCATGTAACACCAAGTAACAGAGCACGGACGTTAACGTCGGTCGGACAAGAGGATAGAGGCGGGGATTCGGAGCTTGACAGGTGCACGCCACCGGCGGCACCACTAACGGCTCGTGTGAGACTATCGTCAGATCAACGTGCTAGACTGTCAGTGAAAAGCTTGGTGTGTCCTTCGAATTCGATGGAGCTCTTTGGGCTACTTCGATATGCTCTCAACAGTGCGTCGAACATCAACAACGTAGGGGTCAAGTGGTCCCGCATATGTGATGAACAATCAGAAGTCCGTTTACTCGGTGGCGCATCTTAATTCAGTAGATCAGTCACGCTGAACAGACAGACCAGGAACACAAGGAAGCCTTGCTTGCTTCTAGAAAGGGAAGGGGACTCGGTAAAGACGGACAAATTTTTATCAATAACCCGAATGGAGTTTTGGCTCGATGGAGGTTGAGTATTTGAATAGGCTGCCCTACAATTACCCTGAAAGATTTTTTATCATCAGATGGAACGATGTTGTTATAGCGGGTACGACTCGACAATCAACACACATACCGAAGAGATGATCCGTGCATCATGATTGACGAAGTAGCGGAATTTCGGACTCATCTAAAATAATATGTGTACACAACAGAATGAACCGAAAATACAATGCACACCTTTGCATCTCCTATTGCCAAGTAAGTTGAACGACGAGAACGTTTCACTTAATCTCTCTCGCTCACATTCATATTCACATCAAACGACAGTCTTCTTTCTTCTATCTGTCTATCTGATACTACTAACTACGTCTAATTCATAGATAAGTCATTGATAGGAAGCCATTGATAATCCGCAGCTGATTGATTAACACCTCGCTACTGTGACGGGCGCCCAAGCACCCACGGGGAGAATTATTCTTCCGGGTTTTTTTTTAAAAGTTGACATCGTCAGGAGCACTATATACTATCAGCTCAATAACTCGACGGCCCAACCGAAGCAAACAGCCAGTGAGTACCAATGATTCTGTGCACTGTCTCCTCTTCTCAACTAGCAGTAATGAATTTTTCATAGTGTGTACGATGTTTTACACGCCACATACCTGTGGATGCCAGAAGGACTCAAAGTTTGTGCAATGCGAGGCACGTCAAGGCACGAACGTTCGTTGTTCCCTGTACGCTAGGGAACAACTGAGCCTGGTAGGAAACTACTGCGAGAATCATCTTGTGAAAGACACTGCACCTCTACAAATGCGTCAGTGAATGAAGGTGCCTCGATCCTTTGACATCCTCTTCACGGAGATGCTAACACGAAAAGCTGTAGAACTGGAAAAGCTAGCTAGTAATAGTATCAAAGTAGTGCTAGTACTAGCCTCAAGTTACATGTTACTCCAACGATACGTGCACTCTATTGTAAAGTTGAAATTAAGCAAAGCTGTTCCGTGAAGGTTCCTGTATTGTACCTAGATCTCCCTATACCCCCCGACAATCTCCCTGACTCAGTCAACATGCCCTCGAGCGCTGTTATGGGTGCATGATGGGGGTGATAACGAGCTGAGTGTACTGAATAAATGGCATGCATACAACAAAATGAATGTAGAATTTTCCTGCAACCTTACAGTTGGCCAGCGTAATTTGTGAATATATGATAGTATTTAGAACATTTACGCTGATACTAGCCTAGAATATCGAGCCACGCGTACTATTCACTACGTACTGATCTTGATCCCTTTCATGCCTCACTCAGGCGTTACGATGTTATGTAGCATTACTCGCAAGGACTTTAGGCAAAGCTTACCCTCACAATTGTAATTTTAGGCTATCTACAGTAGCAGCGCTACACAGCATTCACCGATATCGGTTGAGTTGATAAATGCTTTCCACTATGCGATCGAACGGTACATTCAGTAAACTAATTCTCTCGGAACCATGCCTCCTCGACCCGTCGTCTCACTTAGTTGCGCAGGCAAAGTAGCGAGCTCCTCGTTCTTCTTCTCAACACTCCTGCACAACATCGCATTCTCGAAGTCGATTAACGTGACGGTTCCGTCCGACGCCACAACGAAGTTGTGTTTGTTAGGATCCCCATGAATGATGTCTAGTGCATGCAGGCGCTGTAGCACATCACGACATCCCTGTAAGTCTTCCGGACCAGCTGGTCGTCCGTGCAATTGTTCTACTAAGAACCCTATTACTCTGTCGCCCTCGACGATGTGCCCAAGGAATGCTGGGCCTACGTTACACCCGTCGATCGCTCGATACACTGCAGTTTCTCTTTCCATCCGCGGGATCTCAAAATCAAACCTGGCAATCTTGGAGACCACCGGCCTCGAAGCGCACTGGACCACCCGAACGCGTGGGGTCATGAATTTCACAAATGGTAGTGAAAGGGCATCCACTCTGTTGGGATGCCACTGCTCCCGCACTTCTGGAAGTATGGTATTCGTGGGCTGCACAGTGGGATTTCCATTGGAGCCACGCGCCACACGCGCCTCAACCCAATTGCCTGGCGGCAGATGTGGTAGGAGGGGGAGTAGGTCCATAGGGAAGGGCAACACATCACTAGGGAATGTTCCCGGTTCGATGGTGATATATTTCACTTGACTGCCTACGCGCAGGCGATATAGACTTTCCTCAACGTCTGGATGTAAAGTGTCCACATCCATCGAAAGAACTTCCTGTGCCATTGTGTTTGTAAGTCCAGTTGCGTGCATGAAATTAATTAAAGATTTCGTTATTACCATGTCAAGGGTGGAAGTCACCAGGTCCGCGTGTGACATCTACATTGACCATGTCACTGCCTATGATATTGTTGAAGGACTAGATGGTGTACTCACAGTAGTGTGTACGACGATTAGGAGGAGGAAGGCCTGTCTTCCTCTGTCGTCTATGATCTAGGACTCAAGAATATGATTGTGAGCACTTGTAGTCGCTTATTCTCAGCCGTTGGGGCTTGGAATTTAAGAGAAGAAAAGTTAACGAACGTAAAAGTCCAATAAAAGTTAGTTTATAATTGGTTTAAAACAATAAAACATGTATATTCAATTCGTCAGTTTATCCGGTGGCGCAGAGTCTCAGTTTGGTTATGTAAATTTGTTCCCGTGTTACGTGTAGGCAGGGCCAGGTGCTTTAAATGAAACAATCTTCTTCCTTCTTCCATATGTCTGACTCTGTTTGACTAAGTCGGACTAGATAAGCGGTCATCAATGATCAGGAGGTTAATCTATTAAGCTCCCTCCGCCACTTGTGGCGGGCGCCCACTGGGACGAGCGCTCATAGGGATATCAATATTAAAGCAGTCATCCAATTTGAGAAGAGGTTTTAGTGGGTATAAATTGTGAGTAGCTACATTACTTTCAGTCCAGAAATCTTGACTCTACAACTCGTCCGCAACACACTAGCAGTGAGTATCAGTGCACGCTCCTTTTCGTCAGAATGGTCATCAACAGTATTTGTTGTTCCAGTGTGCACGATGTATTACATATCTCATGCCTGTGGATGCCAGAGAGACTCAGCGTTTGTCCAATGTCAGGCTCGCCAAGGTACAAACGTCCGTTGTTCCCCACATGCGAGGCAACTGCTGGCCATTTCTGCACACTATTGCAAGAATCATCTTGTAGCACAGACCGCACCTTTACAGATGCATCAGTGAAGGTACCTTAATCCTCTGATATCCCCTTCATCGGCCTACTAATGCGAAGGCTGCAGAAATGGCAAAGCCACTGGATTGTAGTATAAGTTAGAAGTCACTCCTACGATACATATATCGCGAACTTGAAGCCAAGCAGATTTATTTCGTGAACCCTTCAGTCAAATCGTTCAGTTAGATCAGTTTACCTGGTGGCGGGCCAATGTGGCGCAGAGTTTCAGACAATCACAGCTGTACCATGAAGGACAACCCAGAGGCCCAACTTGCATTTTGTCAAAGGAACCCTTAATAGTTCGTCCACAATATCAATGCATCGTTCTTTGTCTCTGGTGGCAGGCCAAGGTGGCGCAGGGTCTCAGTTTGGTAGACAATCACAGCGCTAGCTGTACCGTGAAGGACAACCCAGAGGTCCAACGAATGTATCGTTCTGTGTCATGTTGAGTGTACATAAAGTATAAGAGTGATCGGTTCTATCGCAGAAAACAAATGAATTGGTACAAATGGGTAGGGTATCACAGCCAGTCATGGATCGATAGCGGAATATTCATAAGTTAACAAAACTGCAAGGATGTCAGTTCAAAGGCTCTCGAGATGAATATGCACACGCACTGGTATTTCTACCCACCATCCCGGTGGGCGCTTAAGCTTCATCTCCAGGGAATGTACTTGACTTTGCGTTGGGCAGGTAGCCTCATGTTGCGGATCCATCCACAATACTAACAACAGCACCTCTCCCGATGTCACACACTCCGATGGGATATCCTTCGAATCTCCAACCACCTTTCCACCTGCCAAAGTGCAAAGGCGAAGACCAAGATATACCTCAAGAAATGTGAGGGAATTCATGGCGATGTAGGCATTGTTATCTGGTAAAGTTTTTCCTGGCCAAACATGATGGAAAGCAATGGTCCCCAGGTTCCAAAGTTCCTTCCTGACAATAGGAAAACCAAACAGCCAACGATTGCCGCATGGAGCCCGGGGAGGCTTTACGAGAACATACTGAGATACGTCTGAGCTGTATTTAGAGGGCACCCATTGCACCGCGGTAGACGTTTTTTGTGATTCAGACTCTGAGACCTTTGAACAAAATAGTGGCAGTACGCGTACAACAGATGAATTTTGAGGAGGTACTCACCTGAAGTCTTCTAAGGCTTCGCTCGAGTTGGCTTGCAGTAGAGGGCATTTTCGAGAAGTGTTTCGTCAACCAAAGTTCAACTTGGCCAATATAATATTTTGGCACACGTCCACGCCACTGATGTGACTGGACAATCAATTAATCATGTCGCACCCATTGTTTACTCGATGGAGTAAGATTCACGGACTTGAATGATTTGCATGCGGCTGTGACGACGCCAGTAGTCCTGGAGTCTGGATGCTGGGCCAATGCTACACAGAAGAAGTCCACTGGTAGTATTGCATTATTATGTTTTGCATTCATGTTCGTATGATCATCATGCACATCATTTCAAGCAGCGCAGCCGCTCTCGGCAGCCTCAGACCTAGCAGGATCGGGTGCCAGCCACCCGGGCCCAGTAGTAGGAATGTGACTATGTAGAGTGGTACTAGATGAAAAGGAAAACCCGAAATGCGGCAGGCTGCAGACAGCGGCCCCAGAGCTTGCTGGAGTGTAGCCTGGCAGCTGTGTGGTAGGCGGGGAAGCCACGTCACAGTGCTGCACGGCCGCTGGATACACTTGTACCTCGCTTCGAGGTAGAATTCCAACTGAATGGCCGCCAGTAGTAGTAAGCTCAGCATGTTCTTTGAGCCATAGCTGTTCGAATGCCGCCTACCTATCATATATATGATATTGACTCAAGGTCTGGAACAAGTCCGGCTGAAACTACATAATTTTGAGTGACAATTTGAAAAAAGGAAGGGAGCACTCACACCGACAACCAAAGCCTGATCCGCGACAACTTGAAGGCCAAGTGCCGCTGGCAGTACCCTCTGAGTCTCTGAAAAGGAAAGTCGCCTCATAACGAGTCATGAGAAGGTACCTACTAGTTAGCTACTAACACGAAGGATGCAGAACCGGCAGTAGTATTAAAGTAGTACCGGTACTAGTACATGCTATGAGTTGCTCCTAGTACGATGCGTGTATTTTGAAGTTAGAGTTGAAGTAAAATAATTGTCGTTGTCTTGTCAAGGCTCCTGTATTTTCTCTCTTTGATGACTCGAGGAGGTCGCGAATGCTACGAGCGACAAAGAGACGAATTTACTGAATAAATTGCATAAGATGAAGATTTTGTCCTGGGAATCCAGTAGCTTACAATTATCCACTGATAAGATGATCGAGCGGCTCGTGCTATTTGGCGCTGTGCCGCGTTGTGGCGCCATGGATGGGCAAATAATCTTATATTCTCTCCGTCTTCGTCCAGAGTGTATCGTATGCATACAAGAGTGTTTGATTCTATCGCAGAAAATGTATTGGTACAAATAAGTTGGGTATCACAGACAGTCATGAAACGATGGTGGAATATTTTTCATCAAAATTGCTAAAATGCAAAGATGTCAATGAATGGCTCTCGAAGTGAACAAGTATACGCACCGGAACTTCCACCCACCACCCCGGTGGGCGCTTAAGCTTCATCTCCAAGGAATGCACTTGACTTTGTGTTGGACAGGCAGCCTGAGATTCCGTATCCCTCCACAATACTAACAACAGCACGTCTCCCGATATCACACACTCCGATGGAATATTCTTCGAATCTCCAACCACCTTTCCATATGCCATAGTACAAACGTCAAGTTCAAGATATACCTCGAGAAATGTAAGGGAATTCATGGCGATGTAAGCATTGTTGTCTGGTAAAGTTTTGTCCGGCCAAATTTGCTTGAAAGCAATGGTCCCCATGTTCCAAAGTTCCTTCTTGACGATAGGAAACCCAAACAGCCAACGATTGCCGCATGGAGCCCGGGGAGGCTTTACAAGAACGTACTGAGATACGTCTGAGCTGTATTTAGAGGGCACCCATTGCACCGCGGTAGACGTTTCTTGTGAGTCAGACTCTGATATCTTTGGAAAAAATGAGTAACAGTACGGGTACAACAGATGAAAGTTGACAAGACACCCACCTGAAGTCTTCTAAGGCTTCGCTCAAGTTGGCTTGCAGTAGAGGGCATTTTCGAGAAGTGTTTCGTCAACCGAAGTTCAACTTGGCCAATATAATATTTTGGCACGCGTCCACGCCACTGATGTGACTGGACAATCAATTACATAATCATATCGCACCCATTGTTTGCTCGATGGAGTAAGCTTGAATGCGGCTGTGACGCCAGTGACTGGGCCATTGAATGCTTCACAGAAGTCCATTAACGGGTTGTAATGGTGAACGTTTGAACTTTCATCCTTTCCGTGCCATCAGTGAGTTCACGATCATCCCTCGGCTATTTGAATTTCATTCATCCTAGCGACATATTGATAATCACAGACAATGCCTATTTTATCTTCTTCTCTCTCTCAGGCTGGCCCGGGACTCTGCGAAGCACGGTGATTTTTTTTTTGAAATCATTGTTCATTGTCCGTTTACAGCACGATAGCTTCAAGTTAGGGGCGCAAGTTACTAGTATTCCTCCGGAGGTCAAGGAACTGTAACTTCGGATAGCTTATCTGACTTCTTACAAAACGTGGCCGATTGATATCAGAGGTTTTCGATTTTGCAGAATGTCCGTTGCTCGTGGTGAGGGGAGCCATATTAAGAAAGGTCATACGAACCTACTAAACTGACTTACTCATTGGGGAAATCACGGTGGGCGAGGTGGTCTATGGCTAATGTACGGTGTTAGTGATATAGATTTGATTGTCAGTTGCCACAATTAACCGTTGGTTTCAGGCCTAGAGCAAAACGGACAAGGTCGCGATTATGCTTGATGGTGCAGAACCACTGTAGGAAGCGAGGGTGGGCGATGTCGAGACCTATCAGTGATGCATGATGGTAGTCACAGGCCATCATGAATCGAACATCACTCTAGCGTCACAACTGGAAATGCACATCGAACGAAAAGAACAAGGTTTGCGCCGATCGTGCTGAATGGAGTAAGAACTATAGTGAGTGGGCATTGTTGGGCGGTGTCGAAAAGTTGATGCAACAATCGATAATGATTTACTGCAACCTGTGATTTCTTATGTCCACCGGTGTTCAAGCATCGTATGTGCCCTGAAATGTCTGAATAATCTTAGTGTCGTAGGTATAAAGTCACAAGTGCAGCCCATAAACCGCAATTCTAGTGGCTTTCAAAGATCCCGTCATGTCATTTCGTCGACCTCGAGATCGAGCTTTGGAACCATCTTCACTTCACCAACCTACCTACTCTCAGGGATTTTTGGGCGCTCCGACTACACTGCGTCAACCAACCCAGAGTGCCTGGACACCCGCTTCTACGTCGTTGCCGGTAAGTGAATATACAGTCGTCCTTCCTTCTGCTCACCACTACAATATCAGCAATTGGTGGCGGGAGCAGGGGCTACACAAGGGACTCCACCGAGCTCCCCTTCAATGATCGTCCGGAATGAGCGTGATTTTTCCCTCGCCTTATCTATCCAGGCTGCTCTAGCGGATACGAGAGAATGCCCCTGGTATGGAGTGTGGGCTAAAGTCCTCCAAAATTATATATTTTTCGGGGCGAACAAGTCACAAACAGTATGCACATGCGTTCCACAATACTCCCTCATTGCATCCTATGATTCTGGCCGCTTGCCGCGAAGTGGTGACTCGGGTTGGTCGGAGTCTGACATATCCATGGGCAGCCCTTCTCCAGATCGGCATTTGACGACTCCAGGGAGCCCCCTTCCGAGACCCCCTGCGGCCCACAACACTACCCCAGATTTCAGTCCTCGATCACAGGCAATTTTCGGAGGACCACTACCTCCCTTGACACCGACACCTAGCCCTTTCCACCGAGGTTTTCATCGTCATGTACCGTCCCCTGACAGTCCCACTGTGGAGCACGTCACTCGTATGCAGACTCGTCGTGGTGGGAATGGTCCCAACATTCCTGTCAGCGCCCATCCGCTGCCTCAATCTTCGTCGTCGTCATATCCATATCCATCAGATGGTATTCTCCCAATAACTCCAACCAGACCGGCTACCACTTTGTCAAAGTCACATGCATCTTTCAGAATTCCGGACTTTGTGCAAATACTCGAACATGCACAACAGCCCTTCCCAGTCGTTACTGGTCATGTAATCCGCCGGGTTATTATGATAGTTGAAATCAAACCGGAGCCACATGCCGGTAGGAAATTCGAATGGGAATCTATCTGGAAGGATCAAGTACGGGAGCAGGTTCTTCATGCATTTGAGGCTGATGGTACTCTGAAATACTTGGGAGTCATCATAGCTGCTGGTCGTCATTGGGTCTACGGCATCGTGAACCGGGGACATCTACTTCCTCGGACAATGTCAGAGATGCGCGATCCAACTTTCCGCGGCACTAGATCGCCAGCATCATCGTCTAATGACTCCACGGTAGAGGAGAGGGAAGTCCAGCGTTCTGTTCCCTCGTTGGACATCCCCAACTTTTTCCCCAAAACAGAGAATGGCGCCTTCTATAAATTTGATCTCCTGGACATCCTGGACGCCAGGGGAGTGTCCCTCAGAGCCTTTGAAGAAATTTTAAATGACCTCCGCCGTAAAAATAGTGATATTTGGTTCTAGGGCATCTTAATGGTGTGGGCAGGAGGGACGGTTTGGTATTATCGCGAGGCGGAATAGAGATGTAATAATGTGGTATACAACAACGTTGGGTAGAATGTTACACGTACAAATCTTATGGTTATGTAGTCGCCACATGCAGTATACAAGATTCAATGAAGAAGCCATGAATGGTTGTTATATCTCAACCGTTTTGAAAGTACGCCATTCGAAATGTATATACCTGAATCGCACAGAGGTATGAAATCATATCAGTTGCAGAAAAAAATAACTATTGGTGCCCAATGAGCAAACTACGACCATGAACAACACCATGACTGTCACTTTGACTTGGAGTTAACTAGTGTTATTTTTGATTGAGTAGCCTCAATTTTGCGTCAGAGGGAAGGTTTCTCTGATGGCGCAACAGAGATTTGTCAAGATCCATTGAAATGTGTTGCAGGGTGAGTTTTGTAGATCATGGAGCTAACTGCGACCATGAGCTCCTCCACCACTGCCACTCGTCGTGCCAGCCTGCTGGAGTGGGTAAACCCGCTCCAAGCGCCATCGTGGAGGCATCCTCAGCCTTCCATGAGACCAGCACGAGTAGTAGCAGAAGAACGCCTTGCACCAGTGCACGTCTGGAAGAGAATCCAGGTCAGACGACTCGGACGCTGGGTCATTTGCTGCCGTGGACGACGACGCGCCAGGCTGCTGTCCAGATGGACGTCGAGTATCATTGGCTTTCCTGTATTCTGGTAGCTTAGCAGCTGCAAGCCGCTGAAAAGCTTCAATCAGCATCAAGGTAAGAAGCAGGAAGATCTACGTTACAGTGAACTTGCGTCCGGGTGCGACTTCAATTTCAGGTGGTTCGTGGCTGGGCCTTCGCCGAAAGGAAAGGTGCTGCCGCAGGAACTGCTTAAGGCCGCTCGCGTGGCGGGGAGAACTCGTTTCTAACTGGATACGCTCTCAGCCCTGGACTGCTAATCAACTAAAAGTGAACACTAACATTTGTTGCCTGGGCTAAGAAAGAGTGGTCGGGAGGTAAGGCAGATGTAGCAGGGAACTGGAAAGTAATCTTCGAGTCAACTGCGGCGAAAAAAAGATCAAAAGACATACATCTAGGGGGTCACGAGGCTGATTGTTCGAAACTGCATTCGCACGAGGAGGCAATCGAAGGAGTTTGCGGAAGCGGCGGACGAAAATGGATGATTGTGGGTCTACTGTAGGTGTAGGTCTTGGCCTAGGGGGGTACGAAATAGTCACTGGGTTACGAGGACGGCGGGTTGCATCAGACTGCGACAGTTGCAATGGGTAGCATGAGTAGAAGAATGGGATGTATATATTGCACATACCTTTAGTAGATCAGCGAGACTTGAGTTTTTGTGTGCACTGGTCTGTAAAGATGCATGTATTAGTTCTCACACAATCTGTATAAGTCTACGTACACTGGCCTGTGCATCCGACGCAGACCCAATGCTGGCCAGGATCTCTGCCGGAGTGTTGTAAATATAAATGGTACTACCACTTGTATAAGCTAGTTGACGCGAGTCGGGCGAAAGGGTTAAGGAGTCGAGAGGCAGAACGTTGAACGAGGCGAGAAGATGGCGGGACTCGAAGGCCCAGAGCTTGATAGTTTCGTAGCATCCGGTAACGAGGAGAGTATCATCAGATGAAAGCGCCAGGCCGGCAAGAACCATGGTGTGCCCTTCGAAAGAAGTTCCGACAGTTTTTAGGGTGGATGCATCGAACTCATGAATCGTCCTGGCAGGGTCATCCGTAAAACTGAATGCAGCAACGATAGTCAAGTTCTTCTTTGTCCAGAACACGGATGCATATGACATGGGATCGTAACCAAACGTTCCTGCTCTGACGTCCAACTTCTGTGTGTGCACGCCCCACACCTCAAGGCACTTCCCCACATCTGACTTTACTGCAAGTTTCTTCGAGTCATGCGAGAATCGAACTGCGCCCAGACCCTGAAGACTTGTGAATGGTCCAGCTACCAATTTTCCAGTCTCCAAGCTCCATATACGAGCCGAGCGATCGTTTGCCCCGCTCACAAGCAACGTGCTATCTGTAGATATATCAATGCAATAAGTTTCTTTTGAGTGGCCTTCAAACGTCTTGACGATGCCCGTCTGAACGTCACACGCTTTGAGCTCCCCACGACCAGAATGTGAACCACCAGTGACAACCCATCGACCATCCCTGGAAACTGCTACCGCACGGATTTGCCGCTTACAAACATCCCGCAACTTGGGAATCTCTTTACCCACTTGTATATCCCATTGCCGAGCGGTAAGATCATCAGATCCGCTGATCATCTGCTTGCCGTTCGGAAAGTAGGATATAGAACGAATTTGGTCTTCATGACCCCGTAAGGTCATTGCCGGTGCCAGAAACATCGTGGTGTTTGCGGTGGTGGATTGCGTTAACGTGGACGCCATGTCCTGTGTCTTTTCAACCAAGAAAAAAAGAGCCAGGTACGTGCCAGAGATTCCTTGGACACGTTTAAAGAGCGACAGCAAGGTCTACTGTACTGCAGGCCCGTTGTCGATAATGATTTTGGCCCCCTCGAGCAGAATCATATACCTGCTGGAGACAATAATCAGTGCCGTGACGCTGCATATCCAAATGATATTTGATCATACCAAGAGGTTAGCAAGTAAGCAGAGTGATTGAACTTAGGCGCCGCCATCGCTTACGCCTCTTACTAAGCATGACAGTACCCTGGGCGCCTACTAGTAGTCTAGTACTACTATGTACCCCGCTGCGAGGTTAGTATGACACCTGGAATTAATGTGAAGAACTGCACCACCACCTTCCATACAATGCCTTTAATCTGCTGGTATACTATCTATCTCCCGCTGCTGTTTTGCCTTGGTCGACGCAAGTGAAAGCGACAAGTGGTCAAGTATAGAAAGATATTCTTTGAGGCGGTCATAAACTCGGACTCGTTATCCTCTAATGAAATACCAGAGACTCCAAGCCGACGAAAACAAGTCATCACATATAAATATAGTCTTACAGTCCCTCCGTGTTCGTCCGCAATATCGATATATTGTCCAGTCTCATGTTGAGTGTATGTATCACAGATGATCGATGACGTGCAAGAGTTATAAGTTCTACCGCAAAAAATGAATGAGGTTGGTACAAGTGGCGTAGGTAATATAGTCAGCCATGGAATGATGGCACACTGTTCATCAAAGATGCTAAAAAAATAAAGAGGGTCAGCTGAGCGGCTCTCGAAATGAGTATGCATACGCACTGGAACTTCCACCCACCATCTCGGTGAGCGCTTAAGCTTCGCCTCCACAAAATGCACTTGACTTAGCGTTGGACAGGATGCCTCGGGTTCCGTATCCCTCCACAATATTAACAATAGCACCTCTCCCAATGATACGCACTCAGATGGGATATTCTCTAAGCCTTCATCCACCTTTCCGAACGCCATAGTACAAACGCGAAGACCGAGATATGCCCTAAGGAGGGTGAGGGAATTCATGACGATGAAGAAATGGTCGTCTGGTAAAGTTCTGTCTGGCCAAATTTTCTTGAAAGCAAAGGTCCCCATGTCCCAAAGTTCGCTCTTGATAAGAGGAAAACCAAACAGCTGACGGTTGCCGCACGCAGCCCGGGGAGGCTTTACGAGAACGCACTGAGATGCGTCTGAGCTGTAGTATTTAGAGGGCACCCATTGTACCGCGGTAGATGTTTCTTGCGAGTCAGACTCTGAGATCTTTGGGCAAAATGAGTAACAGTACGCGTCAAATTGATTGTAGATGAAGAAGTTACACACCTGAAGTATTCTTAGACTTCGTTCCAGTTGACTTGCAGTAGAGGTCATTTTCGTCAAAGAGGTGTTCAATAAATGAACAAACTTGGCCACTGTAATATGTAGTACTTTGGCATACCACGCCACTGATGTGGACACTGGCAATTCGTGTGTGCTAAGTATTGTTTCGAAAGTCGCACTGACTCTTCTATGCTAAGTGGAGTCTAAGAATAGCAATATGGGCAACGCCGACGGACGGACTACGTCCATTACATAATGTCGTTGGCTATTCCAATCATCCTAACGGCAACGCTATTAGTACTAATCACCGAAAGTGAAAAAACTTCAACTTCAGATAACTGATCTGAAGATCTGGCATCGAAGTCTGTCAATTTGGCTGGAAGAAGGTCCGTTGCTCGTGGCAAGGTGAGTCATAGTAAGGGAAGTCATGCGAACGCAACTGACTCACTCATTGGAGAAATCACTGTGGGCTTGAAGGTGGATAGCATCGAAGCTGATGCATGATGGAAGTGATGTAGATTTGACTGTGTCACCACACTTTACAGTTGGCTCTGCGTGCAGAATGAAACAATCAAAGTTGTGGTTATGCTTGATGGTGCAGAAATCAGTGATCACTGTAGGTAAGGGTGGGCGACGCTGAGAAGTGCCGAGACCCGTCAGTAAAATAATTATAGTCGCAGTCATGGTAAAGTATACTATCACAGGTAGGATTGCGCATCAAACAAAATAATTATGCTCAATGGAGTAAGAAGCATGGTGAGTGGGCATTGTTGGGCCGTGTCGTAAAGTCTGATGCCAGTGATAAAAAATGAGTCACTGATGATGATGGCCTATACTTATTTCCATTGATGTTTGAACCTTGCAAGCATTGATTGTGGCCTTTAAATTTATGTCTGAACAATCATATCATCATCATCAAACTCGCGAGTGCAGCCCATATATACCATTCTAATGACTCTCCATTTGGACTCCCAAATCCCTGAGAGTAGTCAGGGATTTGTGAGCCCAAATGCTCCGACTACATGTCACCAACCAGCCTCGAGTGCCTAAACTTCCACTTCTACGTCATCGCCCATAAGTGAATATAAAGTCTCAAGTCCTCACTATTGCTCACTACTATAATATCAGCTATCTGTACTGGTAGGAGGAGGGGAGTCCACCAAGCTCCAATCCAATGGTCGTCCAGGATCAGCATAATTTCTCTCGCATTACTATTCAGGCTGCTCAGGGCGATACAAGAGAATGCGGAGTGTGGTACAAAGTCTTGGAAATATTTTTTTTCGTGATGTGGATGGAGAACAGCGTGCACCTGTGTTCCCTTGTTGCATCCCATGATTCCAGCTGCTTGCCGCAGAGTGGTAATTCTGGTTGGTCTGACATAGCCATGGGCAGCTCTTCGTCAGATCAGCAGCACATAGATATAAAATTGACAGGTGCACTAATTTAGCAAACATAGATGAGTCCAAAAGGTATTCTTTTGATGCATGAAGAGGTAGCTGCCAGTTCGACGATTGGTTCTCGCGCAGCGCCATGGATCAATAAATAGTCTTACAGTCCCTCTGTTTGTCCACAATATCGATGTATTGTCCACTCTCATGTTGTATCACAGATAATGTGCAAGAGTTATCAGTCCTACCACAAAAAGTGAATGAGGTCGCTACAAGTGGGGTAGGTAACACAGCCAATCATGGAACGATAGTGTACTATTCATAAAATGGCTATAAAAAATAAGGAGTGTCAGCTGAATGACTCTCGAAATGAGTATGCATACGCACTGGGACTTCTACCCACCATCCCAGTGAGCGCTTAAGCTTCATCTCTAGAGAATGGACTTGACTTGGTGTTGGACAGATCGTCTCAGATTCTGTGTCTCTCCATAACACTAACAACAGCACATCTCCCAATGACATGCACTCTGATGGAACGGACTAGGTAACAAAATTCGAGAAGTGCACGAAAGGTGCGCACGACATCTATGGGTACATGACCCTCGATGGCAGGCAAGTAGACCTGAAGAATTAATAAGTTCTGCGACCATAGCATGACTAAATTAATGAATTACCTTCATCAGGGCCTTCGAATAATCTCCTGTCCACTGCTTGAAGCCATGTCCCTGAGGAAATCGTCGCAAGCCTGAAAATGAGGTGACAGCGGCAATTCTAAGACAATGAGTAATGTTATGTAATCTAAATGCAGTCAAGCTTACCTGCAATCAATATCATCCATAATTTGATCCGCCTTTCATTTTGTATGCATGTGTCTGAGGTATTTCTCGACCCATTCGATGAGGTGGTCCTTGAATGTTCCTTTGATGAGTTGATAGAGAATATCTGGTGAGATCATCTGATGGATGTCAGCTCTGGGGAAGTCATTCATAAATGCCTGTTAAAATAAGATCATTAAGAATGGTGCTGCAAGGAGTGTGCTGATTCACATACTACAAGTTCCCCGACTATTCCAAAGTCATCCCACAGGTCACCTAAGGAACCTTCTTGAATGAGTGCTTCTGTGTATTCGTGACAATGACGTAACACATCTTCGTCGAGATCCTTGCGAGATGCCATACATCTGCAAAAAAAATTGTAACTTATACAAAGATACATACTAGATGACAAAAATGTACTTAGGGCACCAACCATGCACGATACATGCTAACAGTGCTTGCTCCTCATAATCTGCTATGTATGGCCCTAGTCCGTATATAACCCGACGGTAGTGACCGTCTCCAAAACGAGTGACTTCAGGGGTTGTCATGCCTGGTTTCAGTGTGTTGAGAATCTTGGAGAGTGACGAATGGAACAGCTGTTGACAGAATTTTCAGAACACTGCCTCGGTAGCATGTTCCTTTGTAGCTGTAACAATCAGTTAGTCATTATCGTAGAAGCCCGCACCACGACGCACTTTTCGGCATAGCAAGGAAGCCAATGACTGCTACTCCATCACGATGGGCTCATTGAACATTGTTGTGAATGTTCCCAATTGAGGTGTATAGCAGATAATACTCGTTATTACCTGTCCTGACTGAAACCGTCGTTTTGTCACTGCCAAGGATGACAGGGACAAACGTAGAGCCGAGTGTGCTCGGGTCTTTAGCTATTTTATCCTACATACAGAATTAGCAGTCATTATCGGATGAAGACTGCACTTACTGCCTGATCCTGTTACAGGGATCTGTAACACCTACTAGAGCCCCAGCTCTCCCTACACCTGCCCCCGCTCTGCTAGACTCCCCGCGCGGCGGTGCGCCGCCTGCGCCTAGAAAGACAGCGGTCTGGACCGCTATGACCCCGCCTCATGGCGCTATGACCCCGCCTGATGCTATGACCCCGCCCCTGGCCTAGACAGGCCTGTACCTGGCCTAGACGGCCTTGTACCTGATCCATGGAGGCTGTACGCCTCATGGACACCCTAGATCAGCGCATGTATACAGCATGTCGCTTCATGAAGATCCGGAGCGCCCTAGGCGCCTCATGTATGAAGACCCGGAGCGCTTGGCGCTTCCTGTACCTATGCGCAGCTGCCCTTGGCGCCGCATGTATGATCAGAGGTTAAGCCTCATGTACTTTATCTAACCTCATGTCTGGTTATCTTAGATTACCGATATACTATAGATTACAGACTGAGCTTGAACACTTACATCTACTATGTATAAGTACATACATTGTCGTAGATTATACTTCACTTTAATCTACTAGGTTCTACCAAGAACTTGCTCATCTAAGCCTAACAAGCTTCCTTGTGTGAGACCGCACTTCAAAGTCGCCCCCATACGACTTTGCACGTATCCGCTAGCCCTGCATCTCGACGAGCGCCGTCTTACCGAGATTGCCGGAGGAATCCTTGACGTTCCGTCAAGGCCAGACCACGCTCAGCTTCAGTAGACTCACTCGAGTCGTCGCTGAGAAGACCCATCCTAGTTCGCACACGCCGACCTACAGTCGACGTAACAGATCCCATGCCCAGTCACCAGACATAAAATCCTTCCACTGGTGCTTGTCGCCCTCAGTTGAATATTCTTGATAGGGGCAGTAGTCTATTTCACTGGCGTATGTTGGATTTGCAAGCATATTGCACACGACTTCACATGGGTCACAAAACCAGACTTTGTATTTGTCGTCCATCCACGGCTTGGTACCATCTTCAGGTCTCTCACCATCGTAGGTTACTGTAAAATTTTGCCAATTCACGTCCCCAAATGGTGAACTATCGATGACGTCGTACAGATCATGATGATCTGCAAATGGTGGCTTGTCGTTGTGTTTCGCAAGGGTAGACACCCATAAATCCAGCAACCGGTTAATTTGACCTGCCGGCATCTGATTTTGCGTATACAGGAACTCTGCCGTTTCGAATTCTGTATGATTGTGAAAGGGTGTCCAGTCGTCAGTTGCTACGTTCTCCAAAGGTGGGAGCGGAGTGCCAGGGAGGAGGAATATACCATCCATGTTGCATGGTCTGGCTGTAATCACATTCAGCCACAGTGACAGAATCATGCGAATGAACTTACCATTGAGACCCGTATGATAGTTTCGATACAGGTGATCCCCAGGCCCAATGAATTCCATATCGACGTTTGGTTGAGGCAATGGTTGATGTTGGTGCTCCAAGTCGGCATATCCTTCATCCACATCCATGTTGATATCATGGTCGACATGAGGCTGTGGGCTTGGCAGATGGGGCTCTGGTATAATGGGTTCCGGAGAGCATTGGTGGTTGTCCTGAGGTAGTACTGGCGGGATGGGATGTGCTGAAATGCGATGTTTTGTTTGCCCGGCGATAGTTTTGAACCACCTTGGACAACTTCTACATGGTAGTTGGAGCGAACTATGGTCACAACGGCGTAGTTGACTCCATGGAATGTTGTCGGGCATTGCAGCAATACTAGACTAGAATAATGTTCAGTTCTGGTGATTTGTACATTGAAAGGTGGAAAACTCACCAATCAGAAATCTGCGTGTTGAAAGGCGGAAGGATTACCAGTATTAGCTCTGGCAGTTTGCACGCTGGAAGGATTGCCAGTATTAGTTCTGGCAGTTCGCACGTTGAAAGGTGAAGGATTGTCAGTACTTGTTATGCTGACCGTCGGTCAGCGTGTGCGAACTAGGATAGGTCTTCTCAGCGATGGCTCGAGTGAGCCTACTGAAGCTGAGGGTGGTTCTCGGCTTGACGGAACGTCAAGGGTTCCTCCGGCGATCTCGGTAAGATGGCACTCATCGAGATGCAGGGCTAGCGGATACGTGCTAAGTCGTATGGGGGCGACTTAGAAGTGCGGTCTCACACAAGGAAGCTGGTAAGGCTTAGATGAGCAAGTTCTGGGATGAACCTAGTAGATTAAAGTAAAGTCTAAGTACTATAATCTGTCTACTTATATGTGCTACATATAGGTATTCTAGCTCAGTCTGTAATCTATAGTATATCTAGGATCTATGATAACAAGACATGAGGTCAGATAGGGTACATGAGGCTTAACCTCTGATCAAGCACGCAGCGCCAAGAGCGACTGCGCATAGGTACAGGAAGCGCCAAGAGCGCTCCGGATCTTCATGAAGCGACATGCTGTATACATGCGCTTGATCTAGGGTGACCATGAGGCGTACAGCCTCCATGGATCAGGCACAAGGCCATCTAGGCCAGGGGCGGGTCATAGTGCCAGGGGTGGCGTCACAGCGGTCCAGACCACTGTCTTTCTAGGCGCGGGCGGCGCACCACCGCTCGGGGAGTCTAGCAGAGCGGGGGCAGGCGTAGGCAGAGCTGGGGCTCCTGTAGGTGTTACGGATGCCTGTAACAGTACTAGTAGCTCTGGCACATTGAAAAGAGGAAAAATCACCAATAGGAAATTTGTGCGTTCAAAGGTGGAAGGATTGCCTATGTTAGCTTGGAAATCTGCACGTTGAAAGGTGAACAAAACCAATATGAGCTCTAGCAAACAGCAAAGATGAAAAGAAAGACGGCAAACTTACCTCAATTAAGGACAATTCAGTACACATGCGGACCCAGTTGCAAAGGACACTGTAAATGACTAGACTGACGAATTGAACCTTTAAAGTTTCGGGTTGATTTAAGTAAGGAACTTACAAATTCGCAGTCAAACTTCAACTACACATTGTCCTTTACATTTTTTTCACCCATCTCAAGCTTGCCACAGCACTCATTGAATCTGCTACTTGTCAGCAATCATGTCCAATATCACTGAGGGAATCTGCACTCACCGAGACAATAAGTTCAAACACCCGGGCTTGCCAGACCTGCCAGTGCAAGGACGGGTTCCATGACGTAGCAAGGCCCAGAAAGCAGAGGACGACAAAATCCTTGAGGAAGCCTGCCAAGCTCAAGAGCAGGCTACAGTCGAGGGGCTGCAGCGGCTTGCTGCAATGCAGATGGAGATGGAGGAGGCAGAGGAACAAGGTGTGGCGACTAAACCAAAGCCAGTCAAACCCCATGCTCGCCCTGTCAAGAAAAAAGTAGTGCCTGCCAAACCAGTAAAAAGCTCCTGGCAGCAGGAAGCGCTGGTGTTACTAGTGTCACCAATACTGACTCACCCAAGGCTGGTACCATCGAGGACCAAGAAGAAAGCAGCCAGGACACCAACATTGAGGACGGAACAAAGAAGAAGAACCAGAGGGCCGTCAAAACATCTCTGAAGGACGCAATCAACAATGCTCAAGGCTCACTCGCAGGAAAGGTTGAGTTAATTCAGGGGCCACGTGTTGGCGACAAGAAAGGAAAGTCTTCTACCGCGACGTGTGTCTTTTTGTTCGGATCAAAACCACGATGTTGATGCTGACTGAATCAACTCTTTTTTTTCTTAACTTGACCTCAAAATTCAGGACCAACCCCAAGTTTTCATTGATAAGGCGCGTTGATGGTTGAATTTCTGATGTTTCACCAGATGCAACTGAACTATCCAAAACTTCCAGCGCTTCTAAGACTCATACCACTGCCTCAGCTTTGTCATTGGCGCATGGGCCACCAAGCAGCGCTTTACCCAGTTCCTGCGCTACATTAGTTTTGGGCGCAACTACCAAGTCCTCCAAATTTAAGGCCCCCCCTGCTCGAGCTAATGCATCTGACGCCCCCGAGGCTCTTGTTGGCAGCTTTGATGATGAGTCGGATGATTCTCAGAAATGTTTGGATGCCTTCATTCAAAAGATGAAGGGGAAGCAGTCTTCACTTAGGGTGCGTACTAGATGTTTTGTAATAAATTCTAATTCTAATGCACAAAGCCAATTATATAGATTACCTCAGATGCAATGCCTGAGGATGTGCTGTGTTCAACAGAGGACTTACAGGATACTGAGATCGACGCACTGATGGACCTGGAGGATGCATTGGTGGACCTGGAGGACAATTTGTTTGAGGGCAAAGATGCCAAGATGTCCAAGGCGGTAGACAGTGACAGCAGCCTAAGCGATGGAATCTTGTTCTGTCGGAGTAAGAAGCGCAAGCTTGCAGACGCCAAATCCTCCGCCCTCATCTTGGAGAGTACCCCATACGAGGATACATCAGATGTTGAGGTTATTGATGTCCCTTCAGGCCCTGTCACAATGGCCAATACAACGAAGAAGGCTGTGCGTTTGACCTCTTCAGTAAGTTTATTTTATTAATGATTATCACAACTCATATTCTCTGACAGACTGCCGTTGCCATCTCCCAGTCGGCCACCACAAAGATGCAACCACCTGCAAAGAAGGTGAAAACTGAAGAGGACGCTGATGCCAGCACCATGCAACTAACACTCACAGCCCCACCTGGCTATTGGATTGAGAAGCAATACAAGACGCGCTCGAGCTACCGAAACTATCATCTCCCTCCTCATTGCCAAGATCAGCGGTGGCTGAAGCAGTTCCTCCCAACCCTTTACCTGTGGGCTGGGAGTCAAAATGACCTCTGGCAATTCTTAGATGCTCCTCTGGTTGAGGCACTCCAATCCATTTATGATATCGTGTATTCAGAAGAATCAGATCTTGATTACAAGGTGACTGCTCAAGGGTCTGTCTTTGGCATTGTAAGTTGCATTTTTTTTCTGTCACTATTACTAACGGTTATAATCTCAATCAGGCCACCCAACGTCTCGCAGAGTGGCGCAGCAATTTTGGATCAACGGGACTGGCTATTATGATGGATTTTTTCACTAGGAATGCTGACACTGATCCAGAAACACTTGCTGACGCACTTCTGGAGGACTTCACTTTCATTTATGAGGACATGGAAAACCTAGACCCGATGCAAGCCTTCTGGTCTCCATTCATGTTGCAGCTCTTCGCAACTGCTCATCTTCACACCATTCTCGGGCATGTTGAAGTCCCCACACTTAAAACATATGTGCTGTCCGTCGTCGGGATGACTGGTGTTATTGGCATTTGTGCAGCTTCAGTAAGTACTCTGTACATTCGCATAACATTACTGATAATTCTACAGCTCGAGCGCACCATTAAACGTCTCCGTGTCAATGCCATTGACATTGATGTGGACACCCTAGATCTGGGTCCTGCACAAATGAAGCGCAAGCTGCGGACACCGAAGACCTTCAACAAGTCCACCGGCAAGGATAGCACTACCGAGAATGCCTTGTCCATCAACAACTGGGGATCAGTAACTGCGTCATACATGGTTGCTATCAAGGCAAAAGGAGAGGACTACATGAGGACCACGCACCAGTCCCTGTAGCTATGATGCATCAAATCTGCTAACTACGAGTCACAGGTGATGCATCTTGTATGCTGCTTAGCTTATTTTTTGATGCATCAAGACATGCTAACTAGCAGACCTATAGTCTATAGCTCGGTCAATTGCCTGCCTGATAGTTCAGCCAATTACTTTGTAGTTCGGTCATTTGTATTTCGGTCAATTTACCAGCCAAGTCTTCGGCAACTTAACTTGAACATCAAAACAAATTTTATAATCAAGAGGTACACTATTAGGAACAGCGATCAGGCACAGCGCAGAAGCAGGTTAGGGAATGTCAGGAATCATGAGGTTTGGTAACGAGTGCTTGGACAACTGAGGTGGTGCATCGATGAGACCTTCCGGTGAAAGAAAAGGCGTCCATAGGACACGAAAATGGTCTGCGAGCCTGCGACGGATGTTAGCTTGTCAGAAAGCATATGCTCGCAGACCTTCAATGTCAGCAGCACACTCCCCGATACACCACTTTCCCTGTCCTTCCCACCATGCTCCGTGCCAGGCAAAAAATTGCAACACCCTGCACATCTCTTCCCTCAGTAATTCCACCTCTTCCAACCATTGCAGTGCCCTTGCACGGCTTTTGCACCACTCAATTTGCACACCTTGTAGTGTGTTAGCCTGCAAAATATAGATCACAACGAGTGCTTACCATCGTTGTCACCTTCATCGCCACAATCCACACCATCCATCATCCAAATCCACGACACATGGTGTCTCCCTTCGCCAGTAGCAAATGGATCCACAAGGGGCTTGATGTGCCCGTCTGCCAGTTCCTGCAACCTGCCCTCCCAATCTTTCTTCTTCATAATTGTAGCTAGGGCATTGAGTGCTATCCACACTGACCGATATCGTTTCACGCAGGCAGTGCGCTTTCGGTGGACATGAGCAAGAGTGTTCTGTCCTCGAGTGTTCGCACCCTGACCACGCATCCACTCTCTTTTGAATGTCAGGAGGGAACAGTGAATTCGCAGGCACTGCCGAAGTTCTTCCAGCGCATCATGGGCCTGTGCGTAGCGCAATTCCCATTCGTCGTCTCATAGGTGCGGATCACATGGCTTGGTTTTGAGCTGTGAAGGTAGCCATAGCTGTATACATTCAGCATGCTCGTGGCTTTCATGTGCAGTTGCCTGATCAATAAGCCCCTGAATGGCTGGGAGGTAAAGGACCTGCGCACATCGCCATATATCGATCCTATGACAGAGCGAGTTCCGCATTCGCATGAGGCTGCCTTTCTGCATGTCGGTGGCATGTTGACCCATTGACTCGGCAATGTTGCCCAAACGACACCTTGCAAAGTCTGTCAGCTTATTTACAACCGCCAGAAGGGAATTACTCACTGTTCCTCTTCAAGGTCTATGCCGGAAGCAATGAGGATGCTGGGCAAAACTTCTGGGTGCAAAGAGGAGTCTATACCTCGCTGAAGCTCCTCACCCTCCAGCTCCGCAAGCTTTAGCCGTACTCCGGCTTGCATTATAGCTAAACAAAACCGTTAGTCCAAGATCTCTGTAGAATAACAGAAAATACTCACCCATAGTTTTGGCCTCAAGCGGATTAGGGATCAATGTATCATTCGGATTCTCTTCCCAAGTTTTCATTTCCACCAACCACACAGAACGATGCTGGGGAGTGATAGCAGCATCAAATTCCTCAAACACGAGTTCATGTTCAGCCTTCTCGGTAAGAGCATCCCTCATCTTGTGGAGGAGGGATGCACCCAACCCAACAGTCTTTTTCCAGTTCCAATCCCCGAAGTGGTCGTCCAGCGTGTCAAGGCGACAGCCAGGACCCATCGCTTTGGTACTCGAGGCCACAGGGTTGATGTTCGACCAGCCTCGCTCTGGAGCCTCACCATCAGTTTGGCCGACAAACTGTGTGAAGTTGAACGAGAAGACTGTCTGACATTTTGCAATGTGCGCAGGGAGATGGAATTTGGGTACAAAGAACCGTATAATCTTTGTAACGTAGTTTAAACTGTGGGATTGAGGAAATGACTTCATGCGGGCCCAGAGGTTTTTGTGCCATTGGCACGCAATATTGTATGACACGTTAAGCATTTCGAGCTGCATACCACGCAAAGTCGAGAAAAATAAATAATCCATGTTGATATACCTGTGAAGTGCACGATAAGACAGGGCACATACGAGCACGGTGAGAGTATAACCTACTTCTCGCCCTTCTGCAAATCCCCAACTCCATTTGGCTGTTTGAAATTATGACGGGCACAGTCTACTGTGCCAACGCCTGTAGCAGCAAGCCCTTGTGACTGTTTCGTATCCGCCATATTGACGGCATTGTGGCTTGAACACGTGCTTTTCTGAGAGACAGTTTGAGGGAACATCAAGTCATCAATCAACAGGTCACATACCTCCTGCGCATCAGCAAGATGTTCGGCTAGGAAGGCCTTGTAATCCTTCTCCTCGACGAAGTATGCCCAGCCTTTCGAAAGACTAGGGTCTGTTTGATCACTTGACACGTTCCGTCTCTTCAACCGAAAGTTCGCGTCGATTGCTAAAAACACTGCATACAACCACCTAATGACATCAGCCTCTCACTATGATTAATTTATGTAGCACTACATACCATTTTGCTTTCATGGCAGTTTGCCAACCATCAGGTAGATTCTTCCCCGGCTGCGGACATGCTGGACATAGAACTACACATTTGCCCTGTGATGTACCGTCTACGCTACTGGGATCGTGACCACATCCGAAACGTTTCAGCATTGTGAGATGCCACCATTCACGAACCATTCGCATGAATCCGTCATAGCGATCCTAAGTTAGACAGTAAGAAATTGAAAGGAAATTTATAGATATAAGTGTACCAGCATGCGTTTCATCATCCCGTATTATCCGTGAGTCGAACAAGGGAATGATAGAACTCGTAAGCCAATGCCTTCGATTCAAAAGATAGAATTTGATAAAAGTTCAAAAGTCGAAACATAGCCGCTGTTCTGGGATCAGTTGACGTTGAAGGGAACCATCCATAACGAAGGAGTTGTTTGACATGTGTCTCTGATGTTTCACACCTGCAGAAGTCTAATCCTATTTCATGTATCCCATTCATATCTATCAGCACAAAGTCATTGTTAAATGCTGGCTGCAGGAGGATGCATTGTTGACCGATGGGATGCCCAAGTTGCACTTGGAGGCCTAACATCTTCAAGGAAGCAACCTCGAAAAATACACCATTCCACTGCTGCAAATAGATTAATGTAATTTGCTTTTTCTCATTAGATATCACGTACCTGCATGCGATGGGTGGGAGACCGGGCATGATTTACCAATGAGCATGTACCACAATACAATTGTGTATCATCGCAATCCTGACATCGGAATTCTGCAGGATTCATGCCACAGCTTGCACACATGTCCCTAGCATTTTCGCCACGTCCATCCAACCGGATTATCTCTGAGAGATATGTCTCACGTTCCCTGATCCAAACAAGGAGTGGATTGTCCTGACAAGGACAGTGAGCATGGAATAATACAACAGTAATAGTAAGGACCACTTACACCAGCTGTCCGTTTGCGTTTGTAACTTTGATTCAATGTATCGTCTTCACCCATGTCCATGGATGCTGAAGGTTCATCAAACATTGAAAAATCAAACCCGGTTGTTTCTTCCTCAGGTCCAATTTGGGAAGACTGAGGTGTTGTCGAAGATGACGGGCAACTAGTCAGATGGCCACTAGACACCTTCATATTCCCATCTCGACACCCTGCAAATCTGAAGGCGGTATGGACAGTCTCTTGCGTCTGTGAGGTAGAGGGTGGTATATACTGATTGAGTTTCGGTCATTTCCGACTGTTGACTTGTTGAAAGGAACGCGAAGGAATGCATTGGATAGTTCGGTGAGTGGTTGTGGTGACACTCTCGGCGATGCCATCGATTCGGGTGGGGCCTGCGTTTGAAGAACTGGGTAACATGTCTCAGATCACTTTCAATCGGTACTTTGGGGGAAGGACTTACTTGCAAGGCCTTTTGCCGTCGCATTTGATGTCCAGGTAAACTTGAGACAGGTAAGGAAATATAATGTACAAGTTGGTACATAGTGCCAAGACCGAAGGAGTGTAGGACCAAGAGCTATCAAAGATTCTAGGGATTTGCCAGTGAGTATTACAACGGAGGGTCTCAAAGGAATTTACCTCAAAGGATCTAATGTCTGGGAAGACATAACATACCCAGACATGAATACTCAAGTCTTGTTGACAATATATTCATTCTTATTGATTAATTGACTTGGATTTGAATGTTTGTCGACACCGATGATTGTTGGAAAAGCACAAGTACTGGAAGCCATGTTAAAGGCGAGGCAGTTCAAAGTGGGGTTAGTGCGTAAGCTTCTCGGTGATAATGATTGAATGGGACCCACCGGCTACCAAACCAGTCCTTGTGATGATCCTCTGGTCCGAATCGTAGAAAATGCACTGGGTATTGGCCTTGCAGTGGTGATCCACTACTATCCTACTATGACTGTTGACCCTACTGCTCTACTAGTCAAGATGCCCCGTCCAGCTATTCATCAAACACCCAAGGCCAAGCTACAAGCGGCGCGCGAAAGGCACCGGCGTCATTATGCCAAGTATGTTGTACAATTTATTATATCCATTGGTTCCTGACCGGTCGGCCAATCGCAACCGAAGACATAGAGATGATATTTTGAAGAGGCGGAGAGTGCTTCGTAGCTCGAAAAGTGAGCAATCACAGGCAGCGAAGAAATTCACAAAAGACCTCCTGAAGGCTGTCGCAAAAGCATTGCCTTGCGGAGATGAAGATGAAGATGGGTCCACGTCTGAGTCTTCTGACTCGGACGATGATGAAAAGAACAAGCCGTATGTCATTTTTATAAATAGAAATGAAATGAAAATTAAACTCGATTTCAATAGATATGATCTTCCCGAATGCTCACGCATCCTCAAAGACACAAAGGATGAAATATTGGCAGTGATCGGCAAGGACCCCTGCAAATTTGTCGAGGGAGTCTTATGCAACTACGTGAAGAGTTTCCCCAAAGACTCCTCCCCTGGTGATATCTCCATCATCGAAACTGAGATCGCTAAGTTTCAAAAACTACTCGACCAAACCATTCCCGCACAAGATCAAATTATGTATTTCTGTGGGGTCTCTCCTGACTCGGAGTGGCATGCCGCTGACTCGGTCACGCGCTTCTTAAGGACGGTGCTTGCGTATCTGGAGGACATCGAGATTCTGTTGTTTTCTGGAGGAGTTTGTGAGCTCACATTTGCTCACTCGATGGGGGAGATGATGTATCAGAAGGGCATCAAAATTTAATTCGCAACTACCACGACTTTGCTGTACTTCACTGTACCCATGTAAGATAGACTTTTTTGTGAGAGGAAAGCAACTTAAGAGTGCACTTTGGACTCGGAAGCTTCGATTCGTCAGACCACACGAGCTGCCATGGAAAGGATGATGGCTCATGATACTGATCACTACGCCATACGGTCTGCATATTAGATACAATTAGTTGTGAGTGCAGTGAATGACATGAATGATAATTAGCACCTTTCTTGACCTTACATTATTCATTGTTGTGAGATGGGCCAATGTCCGTTAATCATTGCTGCAGTCACTAGGTTGGACATGATCAGTCGGACGTTAATAAGTAGCTTCGACCTGGCAATTACTAGTAAGTACTACTGATCATGGGTAGGACCACAATAAGTTTCGAATTGAATCTGAATGGTTTGGAGTGTACTCAACTTACATTAGTCATGCACTAGGTTGGATGTTATCATCGGTCAGACATTAATAGCTTTGTATATACATGGTAGGATTGTATCGATTAAGTGACACTGCATACTAACTTACTAATTTCATTCTTCCAAGTCACATCACCGGGATGTCACGTCCCAGTCTGACTCTCACAGGTCACCCAAGTCGACTCGTTTGAACCTTCAAACTTCAACGTTAACATTCAACACTTGTACTCAGGCAGAATACAGGTGAGTATCATATGAATTAGCTGCTGGTATGGACTGACTACTCGCTCAGGTACTACCTTCCGGTGGCCCGGGGTAGCACTTCTGCTTCGGTGGTGCTTCCCCTCAGGTTTGCCTTGTGGCTCAACATTTGTTGCTATGGGCTGGGCCGATCTTTTTCAGAACAACACTATACACGAAGGTATGGTCAGTACTCTCCACAGCTTGATTCACCCTTCTACTGCTGACTCGTACTAATATCATCCATGTCCACAACACAAACACTCATACGAAAGCAGCATGACATGCTCTAATGGTGAAGGTGAGGAATCTTGACTATAGGTGAAATGCTAAAGCTAACGGGGGTTCTACAGTAAGACCAGGATACGAGAATACGACTCGACCCAAAGGACAGCTACTGAGAGAAGTTCCTCTTTAATGTAATGGAGGGAGTCTTTGCCAACTAGACGGGTGGTAACAGGCGCGCGAAGGCGTGAGAAGATAACGCGCGCATAGGCGCGAGTAAGCAATGCGAAGGCGCGCAAAGGGCGCGCGCGAGCAAAAGATGCGAGGGGCGCGCGCGTATGTGGAAGCGTGCTTTTGAGCAATGGGGGAGAGTGTTCAAGTATAGCAGATGCACGAGCGATGGTAGAATAGTGAAGTATAATCGGATTTCAAGTACTAAGGTGCACTTATACAATTTGCAGTATACTCAGATAAGGGAGAAGGGAAGGAAGTCCGTTCCAAGGAACTTTCCCTCTATTTAAGAAGGGAGATTACGCTATGCGGCGTGCTTCCGAGTGTGGTACCGAACCGAGTAACCATATCAACTCTAAATATATTCTAAAGCCTATGATAGACTTTCTGTATGTAAGCGCGGAGATCGGACCGAAGGTACGTCAATTCAGTGAAAGGGATAAGAATAACGCACCAGTAAATCAGCGAGGACATAGGATGGACGGACGGACAAGGGTACGAAGGCCTAAGGGGAGGCGCACGAGCGCGCGCGAAAGGCGCAAGTGCGTGTAAGGCGCGCGAACGAGGCGCGTACGTAGGGCGCGCGCGTGAGAGCGCGTATGACTGATCCTTCGGATAAGAGCTGGAACGTGTAGGGAATTATGTGGGTAATAGGGCCGTATATTCCGCATTGAGAGGTGCGAGTCTCTACAACGGTTGTTTTCCCTGGGCTGAAACTTTGTCGTTCAGTGAGTTTCCACTGGTCGGTGCTTCTGGTTCACTGGTGCTTCCTACAAGATCCATTTCGCTCAGGTCTGCCTTGTGGCTCAATATTTGTTACTATGGGCTGGGGCGATCTTTTTAAGAATAACACTACGCATCAAGGTATGGACTGCGCTCAGTTTCTCCCAGCTTTGAGTGACATTAGCCTACAGCTGAGTTATCCTCCTACTGCTTACTCGCACTAGTATGTCCATGTCTGACACTCAAATACTCATGCGCGAGCAGCGTGACATGCTCAAACAGTTTCTGCCTGGGTTTAAGCTGGTTCGCTCTGGGTCTGTGGAAGAGCAGGATATGTTTTGGGAGAATGTTTTCACTCAATGGTTCATGGCTTGCCCCGAACGTGCAGTATACTACCCTGGGGTACCGCAGGAGCAGGAGCTGTCCGACTTACAACAGGTGTCACTCAAATTTGTGATTCAACGTCGTCAACGAGTATGTCTTTGATTTCCTAGTCATCATAACATATATTGATTTGAACAACACAGCAGATCAAATCATTTATTTATGCAAACTCTATTTACAGAGAGACGCACCTGACATCATCCAGGTTGAACGACTTTTTTAAAGTCAAGAAGTCGACGAGGTTCATTGCATGTTTTGTGCGTCGCAACAATAGCACTTACAATAGCAGACAACGTTGATGAAGCAATGGCGGCATATATTTGTAGATGTCGAGGTTAGAAAGTATTGTACTAGACAGTGTCGTTTTGTGGTGGCAATGAACACAATTCTTGTAGACGTTGTCTGGTGCATCTGAGAAATGCGGATCTTGTCAAAATTTAGTTAGATTCAACATGTTCAAAAAGGAGCGATCGGTAAAGGTAAAGACGGCGTTTCGGCACATGGACGAGAAATGGACTCTATGATATTTGAATAACGAAGACAAACATCCCTCCCCAACTTACTACCTACTGAGATTATCCCCCCCCCTGCCCCACAAGTCTAACCGCTGTATGTGCCAGGATGTTAAAACTTTGCTCCTACTAATCTCGATGATAGATGCCTCAGAAATGGACAACCGACGAACAAGAGGAATTGCTCACCTCCTTGTATGCAGAATTTCGCGAGCGCGCTGCAGAAAAGAGATATGAGGAGTTCTGGAAAAAAATTAATAAAATGTGGTTCGAGAGATGGCCAGAGCGAAAAGTTCTATTTGGCGACTTACCAGTAGACTATGTCCTTACGCCAGACCAAGTGAAAGAATTGGCAGCTGCTGTGGAAAGTCGCGAACAGGTGAGTACTACCGTCTGCGGTTAGAACATGTAAAACCACACATACCGACTCATTTTGATTAGCAACTTGCCACATGGTTCTGGTGGCGAAAAAATCCTTCACATCTGGGCCGTACGAGTGGCGTCAAAGGAGTATTGAAGTTCGACACCGTGTTAGCTGGTGGTATAGAACTTAAGGGGACTTGTGCACCACACAAAATGGATGTCTACTCACACGAATACTATGAGGAGAAAGTCAAGGACACTGCGGACACCGAAATCAGAGTCCAGAATGTTACTAACCGTGGACCAAAGCTAAATAAACGCCGTGTGTACTCTGAAGAAAGTGAAGAAGTCAAGAATAAGATCGAAAGGAAGTACAAAAAGGCAAAGGCAAAGGCAAAGGCAAAGGCAAAGGCAAAGGCAAAGCATGCAAAAGCACGCTTACGCCAGAAGTCTGGCAAGCTGCCAAAAATTGACGACAAGATGAAGATTAAGTACGTACTTCCTTCGAATGTTTGGATCTTGAAGAATGAACGAAACCTGCAGAGCTATCCGTGAGCTTTGTCCGATGCTTGATCGGATCCTCAAGTACCTTGCATATGCCACGGGTGGGTGGAAGTTCTTGATCCTGATGGGAGGAAACGATCCTAGTACAGGAGAGGTGTCTGTGTACAAGTAAGTAAAGTTTATTAACGAAGTAAGCTTACTAATGTTGTAAAGCTATCATGTTGGTGAGCTCAAGAGTGGGGCGCAGTTTGATCAGACATATGCCAATTTTGATGCAGTGCAGGCTGCATTCCTGACATTTGTCAAAGACGCTCTCAGTATGTTAATAGTATAAGTCTTTAGTTACATACACTCACCTTTTAAATAGTGTTTGAGTCCACAGTGCCCCAAGGCTTAGATGCTGAGGAAGGGGATGATTCATCATTAAGCTCAGATGATGACTCCGATGAGGATTGAGTGATGAGCGCTAGCGGTGATGCGCAAGGCGGGTGTCATGTGGAAGCAGATGTTTCAATCAACACTACTGGCATGTACCGGATGACTCCTCAGTCTGAGTCATCCGTTGGAAATGACTTTGGCGCCGCATCAAGTGATGCATCATTGACACCTGGTGTTCAGCTCACCAGTGATTCGCACTTTACATCATTCAATAACCACGATTTAAGTGGCACCGACACCTCTGCGTTTGACTACAATATGTTTACCACTGTCATCAATGACCCAAGTTTCGACATCTGGATTTTGGACTTCCCACCTCTGAACGCTTGCCATGACACTAGTGCTCATCCCGGAGTCTTTCTCCCTCCAGTTCCTCCTGTGACTTCCCTCACAAATGTTGGAGGTTCTGGGATGCAGAACGAAGCACCGTATCCTGAAGTCTTTCTCCCTCCCATTCCTCCTGCGACTTCCCTCCCAAATGTCGGAGGTTCTGGGACACCTCATCCTGAAGTCTTTCTCCCTCCCGTTCCTCCTGTGACTTCCCTCCCAAATGTAGGAGGTTCTGGGACACAGAACGAAGCACTGTATCCCGAAGTCTTTCTCCCTCCGGTTCCTCCTGTGACTTCCTTCCCAGACATTGGAGGTTCTGGGACGCAGAACAATGCACCGACTTTGCCGGTCGAAGCCAGAACTATGCCTCGTCGTGGAAGGCGTCTACAACAACCAATGGCACCTACTTCGTCGGTTGATCCATTTGATCCACTCCCAGAGGGGCGTCGCCGAGCACGAAAACCTTTTAATGCGCAAGAATGTGACAACGAGATTGGTGGGCCAACAAAGTAGGTTTTTTGTATGCTGCATGTTACATAGTGCTAATATAATTTAATCATAGACGTGCTCAACATAAATAATCAGTAAGCAGCGTAGATAGTATGGCCTTAACGTAGTACTAGCATGTATCTTGTTGCGTGGCGAGTTCGTAATATAATTGAATTTGTCTCGATGTCTTATAAATGAGAACCTTTGTAAGAGTTGTGAAAATTACATGCTATATACTCCTGCATGCCCACGTACAGTCATGTCAATTAACGCTAATTACTAAACAAGAGCTGGACTTAGTGATATAAATCTCAAAAATGACATCATCTTCTCAAGTACAATTAACGCTAATTACTAAACAAGAGCTGGACTTAGTGATATGAATCTCCAAAATGACATCATCTTCTCAAGTAACGAGCGAAAGCCTACCAAAAATGAATTAAATAGCTGGATAGCAAGGTAAACGCCTGGAACGGTCTGGATGTAGCATAGGTAAGCAAGGTACGAACAAGGGAAGCATGGTGCGGAGAGTTCCGCCAGGCACATCCCAATGAATGGAAGCCCAATTTGGCGCAGGAGTCTGGATGTAGCATAGGTAAGCAAGGTACGGAGAGTTCCGCCAGGCACATCCCAGCGAACGGAAGCCCAATTTGGCACAGGAGGATCATGCATCACTGATGCATCATGATGCATCTGATGCACCACTGATGCATCATGATGCATCTGATGCACCACTGCTCTCTAGCATGGTTGATGCATCACCAAAATCTGCTTCTTAGCCTGGTTTTATGCATCATTATGACAGTATAGCCTGGACCACAACATTAACGGCTCTGAAGTTGCTGAAGAAATTGGGCGGTGTCGGCCTCCAGAAGTACTTTCGCATTGATGATGACAACTCAGGAGCCGTCGACATCCGCGCCATCCTGTGGTAACAAAGATTGATTCTTTTTTTCCTTTATTGACGAGCTAACATCATTCTATAGATGTCATTTCTGCACTGCTCACTGCGAGTTTCCAATTGTGTGGCGCCCGTCTTCAAACCATTGCATTTTGCCTATCCCACCATCGCTCCGGTTTGCTCGTTTTGTTTTTCATGATCCGCATTTCATATCCTTTAATCTCCTTTTCTTCGTTTTACATTCATTTTCGCTCTTAACATCACTGCCCTTTCTTCCTATTTTGACCACTTTTTCACACTTCACATGTCACCATTTACTCCATTTTAACCAATGTTTTGTACTTTGCATTGGACAATGTGACGCCGTTTGCGCTATTATTACTGCTTTTTTTGTCGGTCAATGCCTAGTAACTGACTTTTAAGAGCAATAAAGTAGAATTCAGAGGGCGAGTGGCCTTTTTCTCAAATTTTCCGCCGTCTCTTTCATGTCACCCCAATGGCTCCTCAAACCCGGTTGAAGTGAGAAAATTAGGATAAATTAGGATTCATCACCAAAAATAAAAGTGAGGTTTTACTGATGAAGAAGGCATCAAACAAGCCCAAGGATGCGGAGGACCCTATGTCCAGACAGCCACCAGAAATGAGTGAATCACAAAAGAAACTGACTAGGGATCCTAAGGAAGAGAGCGACATTGATGGTCAATATTTCATAGCTGAGTAAGCTCCAACCGTGACAGTTCTGACCTGAGGACACTTGAGGATCAGATCTGTTAAGACATAGGAACACCACAGTGGGGTGATGAAACTTTGCAAGGCATAAGAAGATGACATCAAGAACCTCTGCCGTCTGTTATACTGTTGTGCAGAGACATAAATATAACAACAAGTCGGACTAGAACAGTCGGTGCCTAAGGTAAGGATATAACCTGCATCATAGATAATTAGTTTGGACCAGAATTTAACCGTGTCACTCAACAACTATTATGGTTCGTTTGACTGGGCACAACAAGCAAGATCATCATCTGATGGTCCATTGACTATTCCATTTACCCACTTGCATATCCCATTGCCGAGCGGTGAGATCATCAGATTCGCTGACCATTCGCTTGCCATTCAGAAAGTAGGATATAGAATGAATTTGGTCTTCATGACCCCGTAAGGTCATTGCCGGTGCCAGGAACATTGTGGTGTTTGCGGTGGTGGATTGCGTTAACGTGGACGCCTTTAATCTTCTGGTACAAGGTATTCTTTGAGGCAGCCGTGAGCCATCCCTTTAGTAATGAAATACCAGAGACTGAGAGCGGACGAATGGACGAATGCAAGTCGTCACGTAACACCATGGATCAACAAATGGTCTCACAGTCCCTCCATGTTTGTCTAAAATAGTGATATATTGCTCAGTTTCATGTATCACACATAATGTGCAAGAGTCATCGGTTCCACCCCAGAAATGAATGAGGTTGGTACAAGTGGGGTAGGTAACACGGCCAGTCATGGAATGATGGCGCACTATTCATCAAAATTGCTATATAAAAAGAAGGGTGTCAACTAAATGGCTCTCAAAATGAATATGTATACGCACTGGGACTTCTACCCACCATCCCGGTGATCGCTTAAGCTTCACCTCCAGAAACTGCACTTGACTTGGTGTTGGACAGGTCGCCTCCGGTTCTGTATCCCTCCATAATACTAACAACAGCACCTTTCCCGGCGACGACATACACTCCGCTGGGATATTCTTCAAGTTTCCAACCACCTTTCCACGTGCCATAGAACAGACGCGAAGACTGAGATGTACCTTGACAAATGTAAGGGAATTCATGGCGATGAAGGCATTGTTGTCTGGTAAAGTTTCTTCTGGCTGAATTTGTTTGAAAGCAATGGTCCCCATGTCCCAAAGTTCCTTCTTGACAAGAGGAAACCCAAACAGCCAACGATTGCCGCATGGAGCCCGGGGAGGTCTTACGAGAACGTACTGAGTTACATCTGGAGTGTATTTAGAGGGCACCCATTCCACCGCGGTAGATGCTTCTTGGGAGTCAGACTCTGAGGCCTTTGGACAAAATGAGTGGCAGTACGCGCCAAATTGACTGAAGATGAAGAAGTCACTCACCCGAAGTCTTCTTAAACTTCGTTCCAGTTGGCTTGCAGTCGAGGTCATTTTTGTTGAAGAGGTGTTGAACAAATTGTACTGTAATATATAATACTTTGGCGTACACCCACGCCACTGACATATGTGGACACTACATAGCATAGGTCCAGCTGTACTATAATAATATTAATAAAAGGCTAGGAAGACAGTCATTTCTTCTTTATTCACTGGAGATTAGGCTTTGCCACCTGGCCTTCCCAATAAGTAGCTTTACTAATACAGGACAAATACGTGTGCTGTCAATTACTAGAATAGTCGTTTGCGCTAAAACCTCGACACCAGCCATAAACCTTGCCCCAAATCCTGCGCGTCCTTAGATATATCTACATACAAGCCTCGGGGAAACTAGGTAGGTTCCGTTCCGTGTACATTCCGCCCCGATGCTAATCCGGCTGTTCCCATTTCGTCGCTAAACCATCCGCTCCGCTATACAAACTGTTCCCATGACTTTCCTTCCCCTCCCTCATCGTCGTCTGTGATGTCGAGGCTGTCAGCGATATGTAGGCTTGGTTCTGGACATCGCCCTTGACAAAATCAACGGTTCTGGTGCTCATCTCCCTTTGTTTGTCGCCCCTCGTCAGTGACTCTGGTGTTGGCAAGGTACGTTGCTGCCGTGTCTACCAAGTACCTACTAACTACTGACCTGATGTCGTTCAACAGTCTTGCCTCCTCCTCTGTTTCACAGACGACACGCACACCGAGAGTTATAGCACTGTTTGGTGTTAGGTACATTGCTGCCGCTCCTACCAACAGCAAGTACCTACTGACTGTCATTCAACAGTCTCTCCTCCTCCTCCGTTTCACAGACAACACGCACACCGAGAGTTATATAGCACTGTTTGGTGTTAGGTACGTTGCTTCCGTTCCTACCAATACCAAGTACCTACTAACTACTAACTGTTGTTCAACAGTCTCTCCTCCTCCGTTTCGCAGACGACACGCACACCGAGAGTTATATAGCACTGTTTGGTGTCAGGTACATTGCTTCCGTTCCTACCAATACCAGTACCTACTAACTGTTGTTCAACAGTCTCTCCTCCTCCTCCGTTTTGCAGATGACACGCCAGATGACACGCACACTGAGAGTTATATAGCATTGTTCGGTGTTAGGTACGTTGCTGCCATGTCTACTAATACTAACTACATACTGACTGACGTTCAACAGTCTCGCCTCCTCCTCCGTTTCGCAGACAACACATACACTGAGAGTTATGACACTGTTCGGTGTTAGGTACGTTGACACACCTTCTGCCTTACTTCACTCATAGTCTTATTCGGCAGGACGCGCCTCATTGACACACCTTCTACCTCGCTTTACCAACATCCCCCATTTGTTAATTTTATCCGGCAGGGCTTGCCTCGTCGCTAAACCTTCCACGCTGCTATACGGAACTGTTCCCACAGCCTTCCCTCCTCCTCCCTCATCGCCATCTCACATATTCAGGCCGTCAGCCCTCTTCTATCATACATTTGCTGGATGGCTTACCGTGGAACCTCCTCTCGAAAGGTTGCTGGCCTGTCAAAAGCTGCCATTAAGCATGGCTACCGTGGTCTCACTCGTCAGTCGAAGGTCTTAACAGCCGGTCAGCAAAGTCAATGGATCGAGGAAGTTCGAACCAAAAGAAGGCATGAAATATCAGGTCAGCCTTCATGACTTTTGTACCAGTCACAAATCCTTACTAGTGTTAGAAATGTCATCTGTTGATCGCGAGGCAGTCGAGAAGATGATCAATGACGTTGGCATAGACATTGATGATGAACCCTACACAGCTCCACCAGGTGAAGAAGGCTTTGACATCAGCCATGAGGGCGGCGAATATGAAGCTTTTGAAGGTCTATCAGAGCAAGTCGCTTCCTTGTCGCACGTGTGAGTATTGTCAGTACACAATGATTTTTTCTGTTAACTTTCATTTTCAGTCGCTATGTTGATTCTCGCACACACCATGATCGCATTGAACTCCAAACGGAGCAGTGGCACAGCCAAATTGACCGATTGGTTGATGCCTATCTGGACTACCGTGTACGTGATCGTGGTGATGGAATGCCCTGCATTGCAAATACTGCCCCGGCCGTTGCAGGTAGTGATTGCCCGTCGCTGATCGGTATCAATCTCATTGATCTGTTTGGTACGTCTATTTTGTTCTGTTGTACTTGCCTGACCTTTTGCAGGTTGTGAACAGATGTCATTGCAACCTCAACCATTGCATCGCTATCCCAATGAGACACTCATTTACCACGGTTATATGGGGTGCGCTCCTCTATTTCCGACAGTGGCAATTTCAATCTGTACCCTTGCAAATTATTGTCAATGCCACCGAACTTGTCCTCGATTTAGTATTCAGGCACAGTGCAAGGCGCTGTGCCATCTCCATGATGTAGGCCTTCGTATGTGTCATTGTTTACCTCAGATTCAACATTGTATTATAGATGCCGTATCGACCTTATCTTAATTCCCAATTCTCCGACACCTATGACATATACCTTGAGATTTTAAATCGTGTGGACCGCCGCCTGAATGGAGCGCTTCATCGCAACACGCCCGATTGGCGTCTCCTCAACGCATGTCCATGCTGTTCTTACCAACTCGAAGACGAGCCGCCGTTAGCATTCAAGTGGCTTGCCTCTATTGATGGCAACAACAGCCTCAAAAGATGGGTGTCCTCTACTTATGGCCTTACTGCACGGGAGGATTCTCGCAAGCCTCATTCTGACTACTGGATTGATCAAATGACTGTTGATGCCTTCAAGGATGAAGTTCGAAGATCAGCGGTATGTCAATAATACATGTGTGTCGCAACTGTAAGCTAACTAAGGTAGCCGAGCAAATCAAGTCTAGATCGACAAGATGACTGGGAAGACTTGGTAACTGTGCCAGTGGAATCTGAGACTAGCTTCAATTGTACAGAGTGGTGGTGAAATGCTGGACCCGAGCAGCAGAAGAAAATGTTTTCTGTTTTCGACGAGTCTGGTATTTTCATTGCGGCATGCCAGCACAGATTTATACTTCTCGCCTGCGATATGGTGCGCAGTGGTGAACTGTAGGTTCTAGTTTCATTATCTATGCATTTCGCTAAATTGAACCTTAGGGCAAAATATCCCTTGGCTCTGATGAACCAGTTGCTGTCCGTTTTTGGTGTGAATGGCGGATGCGCTTATGATATTGGTTGTGCGTTCACGAAGACTCTAGCTAACAGCAGTCTTGGTCCCCTCGCCCAAAGCCTTAATTTGTGCATGATGGTTGGCGCGTTCCATGGTCATGCGCATAACCGAAGGTGCCAATTAGATTGGCACCCAATGTATATCAAAGGGACTGGGCTGACCGAGGGTGAGGGATGTGAGCATGTATTCTCATCTTCAAACGATCTTGCATGAAGCACTAGACACGCCTCTCCATTTCATCGCCATCAAATGATCGAGGAGCATTTCGCCTTCTGGGACCAAGATAAATATGCAGCGTTAAGTACATCTCATGTCGTACACAGCCAATACTTGATCAACTAATAGCATTGACAGGCATCTTTTTACGCAACCATTACAAAGAAGCACTAACCCTCATACACACTCTCTCTGCTGAACTGTCGGCCATTAAACAAGCTCTCAACCTGACTGACGCCGACTTTGCTCGGTTCCATACTGAGGAAAGATCGTATCTTGAATCTCTTCAAGAACAGCCCCTCAGCGACCAACTCCAAATTCGCTATATTCAGGTTCTTGATGACCTAAATGAACGGCAGTGAGTTTGAGTTTGACATTGCGTGTTCTTCCTCCCTCACTTAGTTCATAAAAGGTCAGAATGGAACAAGGCTCGAGAGGCTGCCAATCAGGCACTGACAAGCGTCCCTGTTGGTGACATACGTCAAATTAACGCCATTCTTAGTCAAGCCCGAATTCGTGTCGACACTGCTTACACTAAACTCCAGCACGCTGAAGCTTTCACTGCCCATATCGAGAGTCAGCTCACAATCGAAGAGCGATGGACAGTCGGAGGCGATGAATACAACAAGTACAAGGATGAGGTATTGCTCCAGAAGTATCGTGTAGCTCTCGATGAATTAGAGCGTCTCGTGGTCATGCGATTATTCGAACTATCTAAACTCTCACTTTCAGGAATGGGTAAGCAAATGGTGTTGTGTTCGATGGAAGCTGATCACCATTAGCAGGGTACAAATTATGGCAACAGATCAGAAAGGCGTTGCAGAGACGTTCAGATGCAATTCGGAATGCCATCAACAAGTATAATGTGCAAGCTACTGCCCTTAATCCTCCCCGACCACACTTATCATGGAAGGACATAGCCAATTATAGTTTCCTGGGTGAGTTTGATGTTCTCCGATATTCACGCACTGACATGTGTGAACTTGACTGGGCCAAGCCTACACATCGAGAAGGCTCAGTCAAATTCTTCAAGCTTTGCTGTGCGTGTTACAGTAACATGGCACGAGTCCCCCGCCGGCACACAGCCCTCTGCCACCCGCACGGCTATAGACGATAGACGATACCGGAGCCTCACCAGCTCTATAGACGACGATAGACGAGAGACGATAAGCGGCAATTGCCGGCTTAGATAAGCGGTCTGGACCGCACGTGACATGACATGACGACATAGGTCTAGAAGACCTATTTATGTTATCAAGATAGAAGGCAAGCCTCGTGCTGCCTCATGTACTGATAGAAGGATACCACGTGGATCCTATCTCTGATGGAAGCGTACCGCATGGACGCTATCTATGATAGAAGCCCGCCTCATGGACGCTATCTCTGACTCATGTAGATAAGCAGATTAGAACCCAGCTTTAGGCTGAGCTTAGATACGATAGAGTAGCCTTATATAAGGTCGAAGATTAAAGTAGATGTTCCTTACTTTAATCTTACTAGGTACTACCCAGAACTAGTCCAATCAACTAGGTTTTCCCTTGAACTCCTTGTCCCGCTAAAGCTACCTGCTCGACATCGACTCGTACCTTCAGTGACGCCTCTCACTGTCTGTAGAACCGCTATCATCTCGGCGTAACCCCTCGTTAATCACCACGAGCTACGTTCGAGTACGCAACCTTTGCTTGTCTGTAAAGGCCGACGACTCTCAGCACTCGGTACCACTGTTGTGGTTGTCGCTGTTAGAACTATCCTAGTCGCACACGACCGTTTGTCGTAACAAAAGATTAAAGTCTAACTCGCACGTCACCCATCTGTGACGCCAGATCCCTGATCGCACCTATCTTCAACGCTACCGAAGATCTGTAGAAGAAACCCCGAAACGTACCGGCCTGACCAGTCGCAAGAATATAAGAACCGCTGTCACAGTAGAAAACTTCCTGCTCGGAACACTACGAAGATCGAAGATAACCATCTCCAATATGGCAACTTCCCGCAACACCTTGGCCGCCTCCCACCTTACGGGAAAAGAAACTCGTATCTTCCTAAACGAGAAAAGATGCTTTGTATGCCACGTCATTGGCCACAAAGCCGCAGACTGCCCCCAATGGCCCAGAACCCCGCGGAGAAAGATGATCGAAGAAGACCTCCGGGTGAACTCTATCAAAGAGACCGGAGTTAAGAAGAACGAACTACGGGTGAACGCCACCCTCTTAACCAGAACGAGAAACACCCCCATTTCGACATCCATGATCGTCGACTCAGGGGCGTGCCAGTCCTTTGTCAACAAGGACTTCTGCACGCAGCACAGAATCTCGTCGCACCAGCTAGAGAAGCCTTTCATACTCTCTAACGCTGACGGATCCAGCTTTGGAAAGAAGCCAATTGAGAGGTATTGCACCCTCTCCTTCCTAATAGATGAACGGGTATGCACCGAACGGTTCTACCTCGCCGAGCTTACTCCGAAAGAGAAGCTCATGCTTGGACAACCTTGGCTTATCAGCCACAACCCCGCCATCAACTGGACGAACGGCACGGTGACTCTTAAAAGCACCGTAGATTCCCGAAAGAAGGAAAAAGAGATAGACTCCGACCGGAAGAAGAACGGCAAGACGCCCCTCTTCCAGAAAGAAGAAAAGAAGTGCGCACAGAAAAGGAAAAGGTCCGTTTCACCGACCACTCCCCGCGCTTCCTCCAGTGGCCTCGCCTCTATGAGCTTGGCATCAACAACGAAGATTGTACCGGTTCTCGAGGAACCGCACGGAAACCCGCCATCCGTGAAACTCCCTTTCCCCACTGCACGATCAACAACGATCGGAAGAAAAAACTCGCTGCCTCGTATTGACCTTGCGGCAAAACGATTTGAGCAGAAGAAACCGGCCACTGACCCGGAGACAACTCAGAAGAAAAACATAAGACCAGCGGTGATTACGGACTATATCATTCCTGATGCACCAGCAAAAAAGATCGGACCGGCTGTTCAGCCGATGAAAGAAGAAACTCCTGAACCTTATCGGTTCTCAGCAACACCCGCACCAATCCTCGGAAAAGGACGTGCAATTATGACAGAAGAACCGCCTATCTCAAAGGCGCCCAGACTGGCCTCTGAACCAGAAACAACTCAGACCCCTAGATTCGTATTTTCCGGAGAGCCAACATCTGTCCTCGGAAAAGGAAGAGCCGTATCCACGGCAGAACCACCTGCAGCCAAGAAACTCAGGTTTTACGAAAGCCCGGCTGATGATACCGACACAGCCGATGAAAACCCCATCCCGAATTCCCTGAACCTCTCCATACCTTCCGCGGAGATCCCCGCTGATAACATCGATGCAATGATGCAACACCGGGAACCCGCACCTGAACCATCTTCCGACTCAGACTTCGACATGTTTATAGAACGTGTTCGTATCATAAACGAGGCCCATCGCCTGAAGGATCTGAGCGAAAATGACCCTGACGAGTTTGCTCGTCTTGTAAAGAAGGAAGAAGAAGAAGTCGGACCGCAATTTGTCCGCTTTACAGATATGGAATCTGACGATGGCCGAAGCGAAGAACCAACACAGCTCGCTTCCGAACCTCGGGCGCTCTACGCGCCACACCCTGCTTCCAATCCCATTGAAAATATATGGTTGGATTTAGAAGAACCATCGACGCACAACTGGCGCATGGTTGATGAAGAAGGAAATGACATTGAATACGAAGGCCCTGATGACGGCCTTGATTTTTAGACTGAAGATTAGTCATGGTAGACTAACGGCTTATTGAGGGGGTAAAATCCCTGATTTATTCTCGTTTCACGCACGACACCCCCACCACGAATACCATTTCCCGACTACTTCTCTATGATCCCTGATGACGACTTCAACGACAGCCCGGCACGGCTTTAAACTGCACGATACTCCGCAAAGAGGATAAACTATGATCGTCCGAAAAGACGTAAAACTAGGAGAAAGGACAAACTCCTCGAACGGCTCCTATCGCCCTGGAAACCCTTATCCACGATCCTTCGACAATCAATGAAGATTCATTCAACAAAGATTAAGAAGACCCCTCCTCGCGAGACGACCCCAAGAAACTCCTGCAAGCCTTGGCACCTGCGCCTGGACCCCGTACCTTCTCGACCCTATGAAGATAGTATCAACAAAAGGTTAAAAGAAGATGACCTTCCATATCCAGATAGATCTTGAAAGATAGATCGAAACGAAAGATAACGAAGAAGAACCGGAGAAAGAACGAACCCTCGGAAACTCCTGCAAGCCCGCGGATCTCTTATCCACAGAACCCCCTTCGACATCCAGATAGATCACGATTGATCCTCAACAAAAGATGAAGAAGACGATCCTCCGGAACGAGGCTAAACTATCACGAGGCGAACTCCCACCCACGGAATCCTCTAGAACGACTTCGACTCTGATCAACAAAAGATAAGAAGACGATCCTCCGGAATGAGGTAAAACTATCATGAGACGAACTCCTCGGAAACTCCTGCAAGCCCTCGGAACCCTCTAGATCCGCCGACCGAATCAAGCAAACGATAACGGAACGCGCCCTTCCATTATGGCAATGATTACCACCCTCTGATGAAGACGAACCTTGATCCTGATTATAAACAAAGGATTAACGAAGATCGTACCTATCACGGCACCTCCCCTCTGATAGTGAAGAACCACCCCTCGTGTCCCGATAACGAGAAGATCTCAGCCTCATGGCTAGATAGATAACGATAGAAGATATCAACAAAAGATAAGTCTAGAAATCAAGCGGAGCTTGGAAACGATCTGGAAGCCATATAAGGCCTCTCCCAAGAACATCCTTCCCCAGAAACCTCCCACTATCATGACGACCTCTATTGAAGAAGAAACTATCCGTATTGCACTTAAGGACTCCGACTACGGACGCATCCTAAAGACGATTGAGAACAACGCGTTCAGCGAGACCGCTATTCTCACCCCCATGTACTCCCAAGTGATCGACGACATCCTTGGTGAGCAAGACGCCAGACTCGGTGCAGGGACATCCCTTGCTGTCTGCATTATCCGTACCACGAAGCTACTGGAAGACGTAGTAAATCGTGATGACCTCGATGAAGGCACGAAGAAACTTGCCGTGCTTCATTTACAGAAAAGGATTCGCGTACTCGCGCTTCACCTCCTTCCGCTCGACTTCCCAGACATCGCGAACCAAGCTGTCAGAACAGTCGAGGCAAGGCCTCATGCTGAAGAAAGATCCAGACCAGTGCGCCCGCTGAGACGAAAGGCGGCCACTATAGATCGTACCCGTACCACGCCCTGTAGGCGTTGCGGAGGATACAGACACACATTTAGAAAGTGTCCAGATTATGTTTGTTGCGTCTGCGACGAACTAGGACCAGACCATCTGTCGGTCCACTGCCCTCAACTCAATGGACGCATCGTACTCCAAGAGTTTAGAGATGAAGAGAAGTTCTTTGAAGCTCTCTTAGATTGGGAGCATAACCGTAAAGCGCTCGCGGACCTCACGCTTAGACACCCAGCACCGCCCTCGCCCGAACCAGACACTCCCCCCGCACCAGCCGTCTCCACACCTACGACACCTCCGGTGATGGAAGCTGACGATGAACACAGGATACTCAAAGTCGGTGACTTTGACGCTAGTAGAGGGGTAATGTTACAGTAACATGGCACGAGTCCCCCGCCGGCACACAGCCCTCTGCCACCCGCACGGCTATAGACGATAGACGATACCGGAGCCTCACCAGCTCTATAGACGACGATAGACGAGAGACGATAAGCGGCAATTGCCGGCTTAGATAAGCGGTCTGGACCGCACGTGACATGACATGACGACATAGGTCTAGAAGACCTATTTATGTTATCAAGATAGAAGGCAAGCCTCGTGCTGCCTCATGTACTGATAGAAGGATACCACGTGGATCCTATCTCTGATGGAAGCGTACCGCATGGACGCTATCTATGATAGAAGCCCGCCTCATGGACGCTATCTCTGACTCATGTAGATAAGCAGATTAGAACCCAGCTTTAGGCTGAGCTTAGATACGATAGAGTAGCCTTATATAAGGTCGAAGATTAAAGTAGATGTTCCTTACTTTAATCTTACTAGGTACTACCCAGAACTAGTCCAATCAACTAGGTTTTCCCTTGAACTCCTTGTCCCGCTAAAGCTACCTGCTCGACATCGACTCGTACCTTCAGTGACGCCTCTCACTGTCTGTAGAACCGCTATCATCTCGGCGTAACCCCTCGTTAATCACCACGAGCTACGTTCGAGTACGCAACCTTTGCTTGTCTGTAAAGGCCGACGACTCTCAGCACTCGGTACCACTGTTGTGGTTGTCGCTGTTAGAACTATCCTAGTCGCACACGACCGTTTGTCGTAACAGTGCGTATGAAGAAGTTGAGCGTCTCAACATTGAAGTTCGTCATCTGCGGACTGCCATTCATGATGAGGGCGCACAGATGTCTACAACCATCAATAAACTCCTTGACTCAAATCCTCCGCTGGGTCAGGAGCTGCAGAAGTGCTGGAAACTGCGTTCCGCAGTCAATTCTGTACATTTATTCCGACTAGATGAGATTGAGGCGCAACCTGGATTCTCAGGTATTCGAGGTCATGGACGACGGATTGGCTCCTTGGTAGAGAACGAGTCTGGTGCAGTAGAGTGTTTGAACCGTTATCAATCTGCCACTGGTACGTTTGTCTTTCAGTTGAATATATTTATGACGTCAAATCGATCACTCACCAGATCACGATATTGTCGATGACATCGCTTTGGGGCATGCTATGGACCTTATGGAGCACGAGGAACAGATACAGACTACCCAGGCCATTGTAGATTATATATCAACCATTGTAGATTAGTAGACTCAATGTTTCGAATACAATTACACTTTCACCTCTATCAGCATCAGTCTATGAACCAGAACGACAGCGAAATCACCTTCACCTCTATCAGCATCAGTCTATGAACCAGACCGACAGCGAAATCCTCAGTTTTACCTTCACCTCTATCAGCATCAGTCTATGAACCAGACTGACAGCAAAATCCTCAGGTTCACCTTCACCTCTATCAGCATCAGTCTATGAACAGACCGGCAGCGAAATTCTCAGTTTCACCTTCCCTCTATCAGCATCAGTCTATGAACCACCTTCACCTCTATCAGCATCAGTCTATGAACCAGACCAGCAGCGAAATCCTCAATTTCACCTTACCTCTATCAGCACCAGTCTATGAACCACCTTCACCTCTATCAGCATCAGTCTATGAACTGGAACGACGGACACAGCATATATATATTCTAGGATTGTGTATCCAGATTCAGGTATGTCGTATGTAGACGACTTTCATTAAGATAGCCGCTTTTGACTTTACTAAATATCAAGATAGGCGCCGCTACAAGTAATGCTTTACTCGGTCTTCGCATCCCACCTCAACCACTAACAATGTGTACGACTACTCATTCAAAGCCGCGCTCTACAGATAATTCAAGCTCGAATGAGTTGAGCTATTGTCCCCCACGTTTCACGCCTGCTGGACTAGCGGCTCTCTACTCCAACTCGAACTTTGCGCTAGGGTTCAGCAATGGAGAGCGTCAAGCAGCTGCTCGTGCACTACTTAGAAACGAGTCACATCTTGACGGCACACACTACCACACAAAAACACTCGGTGGTCTTCATCCTGCTTATATAGCCTTCAACAAGATCCCATCGTCCACGGAGAGGCAGAGCTTGAGTCAGGAAGAATTTGTCGAGATGGCTCTTGAAGACGTGTTTGATGCAGTATGTACCATGAGTATCTTATGCTAAACCTGACTTAGCACCATCCCAGCTTGCTACTCAAGACCGTCTTGATGGCGGGTTGTCTCTTCTCATTCGCTGCCCAGGATCTCATTTCACAGAAACCACCACTCCCGATCGTATTGCAGTGGACCTTTACATCACTCCACGAGAACTGCGTGAGGCGCCCGATCAAATTGGTGGAGACGTCTCTGTTCTCATCCAGGCGTTCTGCGAGGAGTTTGCAATGCCCCATCTTAGGTGTTTTATGGAGCGTTGCAGTATAGAAAATATCACACCTCCCAACCGATGTATGTTCGGATTCGTTTTTTATCTGCTTCTGACATATTCAACTACTACAGATCCTGCAACTCCAGTGAACCCAACTGGATCCCCATCATTACCTGCACCATTGTGCCCTACTGGGGCTCGAATTCAGTGTTCAGCTCGCTCTCCCAAACAGTTTCAGCGCGACTTTATTATTGCTGCTTCGTCCAAGTCATGCATGCCACCAAACCCGAAGTCAGCGGCCGTGAAGCACGCCACGGCCTTGGCTTCTTCAGGCTCTGTCGGAAGCCCCAAGATAAAACAGCGTCGAAACGCTGACGCTTTCTTGTTGTCTGGGACAAACGCTGTACCGGACCCTAAGGTTTTCGCTCCCCTGCTTAGCATCGGTCCGAATACTGATGCTATGCTTGATCGCTTCAAAATTGGTGATGAAGCGATCTTGAAACTTTGTGACCTCATTGTTACCGTGCGCAGTAGCCGGTGGGAAGTAGTCTTAAGGTCCCCCAAATGGGATCTCACTTATGAACAGGCAGCTAATTTGACGAAGGCCCTCCATGCAGACCTGAGTGGCGCTCCATTAGGCAGCATCAAAAAGGTATGAAGACCAAAGTATTTATTTAATGAAACTGAATTGTATGCATGCCCCCAGACTTCGATGCTACTATCTGTGATTCTCAAGGTGCTTGGCACACTTGTCTTAATTTGCGTGCTCTGTTTTTTTAGTCTGGTTTTACTTTTCTAGATCATGGCGCCCCTTGTCCTTTCGTAAGTGCACACACTCGGATCATGGCACTCATCTTTTTGTAAGTGCGCACACCCAAAGTTCTAGGGTGCTTTGATCTTCAACCGTTAATATAGATCTGCGTTAGTTTGTTGATTGACTTTCATGTCGTTATTTCTTGTCGTTGTTTCGTTTCTCAGGCTCTCTGAAGTATATAAAGTGGCTTACAATGAATTGTTTTGTTTTCAGTGTGAAGTCATGCCTAATAACACAACAACGAGTCGCCGTTCGCAAGGTTTATCTCGGTGTCGTCCGAAGGTCATCCTCAGCAAGGAAGCTAGAGCTCTTCTCACCTCCCAGCGTCGCCAAAAATCTAAGGGTTTCAAGACAGCACTCAATGATGCTTGGCTCCATATCGACGAAACGGTGAAGACAATCGCCTCGTCTCACCACAAGAGTATCCGACGTGTCGCAAACAACTTGTATATGGGCCGTGGAGGGCTGCGCTTCAAGCATTCAAAGTCAAACGCCTGGAATGCATTTTGCTGGAAGAAAAATCAGGAGGCGAAGGATGAAAATGGTATGATGCATTTCTTGCTTTGTTCAAGTACTGACAGCGTAATTAGCTCAAACTAGCTCCGGAAAAGGTGTACTGCAAGATCTTCTACATAACTACTCCGATGAATATCGCGAGCTCTCTCAGGATGAAAAAGACCGTCTTGTCGAAGAATACGAGGAGAATAAGCTTCTCAAGTCCACAGGTATTAAAATCTCAACGAAGTCCAAGATTAACAATGTCACCCAAACACTGAAGGCTATCGAGAACGAGGTGCTTTTTTGTGCTATTGAGTCTATGCAGCGGCTGATGTAAACTTAGTTGAATAGTCTTAAGTGTCACACCGGCGCTGAAACAATTCTTTACATGGTGCGGGGCTCTACTGACATCCCACTACGTGGTATAATATTTGCCACCGAAGGTGTCAATGATTTCATGGCGTCGGTAATGAATATTGATGACCAGCACCTCGTCAGCAAGATGGAAGGTTTTGCTATCCAAGGCATGCGAGGTGAGTTCATCGGTATTGCTATTTCATTGTACCATACTTGAATTATTTGGGCAGGTGCCGCCCACAATTACAAGGACTGCTGTTCGGAGAAGCGGGCATTAATAAGACAACAAATCAATCGCGCACTTCGTACGTTTAAAAAAAATTCAAATCCGTCAGATCATACTAATATTTGCTTTAGAGGAAATCACTAAGGTACCAAAGGCAATGATGCAGTGGGCGAACTACTGGCACAACGTTGTCCAATGTTATCGCATCATCTGTGAAGGTTGGCCTGCCCACATCCCATTCAAAAATCTTAGCGAAGCGTCTACTTCCCTTCCTGAGCTGCAGATGCTCCATGACATGTGGAAGAACAAGCTGATTTCATGGAGACTCCTCGACGAGGACGAATACCAGCGGCTCCTTCGAGAGCACAACGAGAAGGTCAATACTGGAGAGATTGTTGAGTCCTCCCGTCGGCCTCGCTCAGACAAGGGGAAAAAACGCGTCCGACCAACGGAGGAACCTTCCATTCCTCGTCGCAAGAAGATATACAAAAGCCTAGACACTATTGAGAGTAGTGATGAAGAGGTCAATGCACCACACACAGGCACTTCGGCGCCTTCACCCTCAGTGCCTTCGCCCTCTTCTGTCCAACCCTCTGTGTCTACTTCGGCACCTTCGCCTTCACCTCCTTCTGTCCAGCCCTCTATGTCTACTTCGGCGCCTTCGCCTTCGCCTCCTTCTGCCCAGCCCTCTATGTCTACTTCGGCACCTTCGCCTTCGCCTCCTTCTGCCCAGCTCTCTATGTCTACTTCAGCACCTTCGTCTTCGTCTCCCTCTGCATCTACTTCGGCTCCTTCAACATCAACTGCTTCTGCCAGTACCTGATATCATGACACATACAGATAATCTTGATCCCTCGCTTACAAACTTTGATTTCGATAGAGCTTTAGCAGCTATCTATGGCCAAATGCCCATGCCTGATTTTTTCTAACTTGTCTGAGACCGTCTTTTGAAGACTCCGAGTATGCCTTCCATTTGCTACAAACTCCTTTTCACTTCACTGCAGTTGATCATCAATCCAAGTAGTTCACCAGTATGATATTGCAAACACTTTGAATACATATATTGCTACAAACTCCTTCTCACTTCGCTGCTGTTCCCATTCAATCCAAGTTGTTCGCCAGTATGATATTGCAAGACCATCTTGCCTTAGAGTACAATTTTGCGAGAAGGCCGACGGCCTGAACATGTGAGACGGCGATGAGGGAGGAGGGAAGGCTGTGGAAACAGTTCCGTATAGCAGGGCGGAAGGTTTAGCGACGAGGCAAGCCCTGCCGGATAAAATTATGAAATTAACAAAAGGGGGATGTTCCTAAAGTGAGGTAGAAGGTGTGTCAATGTACCTAACACCGAACAGTGCCATAACTCTCAGTGTACATGTCGTCTGCGAAACGGAGGAGGAGGCGAGACTGTTGAACGACAGTCAGTACATAGTTAGTATTAATAGATGTGGTAGCAACATACCTAACACCGAACAGTGTCATAACTCTCAGTGTACGTGTTGTCTGCGAAACGGAGGAGGAGGCGAGACTGCTGAACGTCAGTCAGTATGTAGTTAGTATTAGTAGACATGGCAGCAACGTACCTAACACCGAACAATGCTATATAACTCTCAGTGTGCGTGTCATCTGGCGTGTCATCTGCAAAACAGAGGAGGAGGAGAGACTGTTGAACAACAGTTAGTAGGTACTGGTATTGGTAGGAACGGAAGCAATGTACCTGACACCAAACAGTGCTATATAACTCTCGGTGTGCGTGTCGTCTGCGAAACGGAGGAGGAGAGACTGTTGAACAACAGTTAGTAGTTAGTAGGTACTTGGTATTGGTAGGAACGGAAGCAACGTACCTAACACCAAACAGTGCTATATAACTCTCGGTGTGCGTGTTGTCTGTGAAACGGAGGAGGAGGAGAGACTGTTGAATGACAGTCAGTAGGTACTTGCTGTTGGTAGGAGCGGCAGCAATGTACCTAACACCAAACAGTGCTATAACTCTCGGTGTGCGTGTCGTCTGTGAAACAGAGGAGGAGGCAAGACTGTTGAACGACATCAGGTCAGTAGTTAGTAGGTACTTGGTAGACACGGCAGCAACGTACCTTGCCAACACCAGAGTCACTGACGAGGGGCGACAAACAAAGGGAGATGAGCACCAGAACCGTTGATTTTGTCAAGGGCGATGTCCAGAACCAAGCCTACATATCGCTGACAGCCTCGACATCACAGACGACGATGAGGGAGGGGAAGGAAAGTCGTGGGAACAGTTTGTATAGCGGAGCGGATGGTTTAGCGACGAAATGGGAACAGCCGGATTAGCATCGGGGCGGAATGTACACGGAACGGAACCTACCTAGTTTCCCCGAGGCTTGTATGTAGATATATCTAAGGACGCGCAGGATTTGGGGCAAGGTTTATGGCTGGTGTCGAGGTTTTAGCGCAAACGACTATTCTAGTAATTGACAGCACACGTATTTGTCCTGTATTAGTAAAGCTACTTATTGGGAAGGCCAGGTGGGCTTTGCGCCGCTGTGACCGGTGTGATCGTGACCGTGACGCGTTCAACTGACTACTCTAGAACCACACAGCGCTCCTACGGCTGCTCAGCGCTCATGGAGCGGATGAGATGTTTCGAGGGTGGTGGTCTTGACCTAAGGCACAAAAAAAGTGGGCGTCATGCCTAATTTGAGCCCATCTGGCTATTTAAACAATCGATTTGTAGGAAGACCTAAATCGTAGAAAGCCAAGCAAAAATAATATTTGGGACGACGACGACCTTGAAAGAGGCTGGCGCACTTAAGCTTCATCTCTTGCCTTATGTGATGTAGCATTCTATAATGATCTATTTCGCAACACCAAACAGCTTAAATAAGTCATCGAACAAAACCTGGAATACATAAAAACAAATTCTCCCACTTCCTGCAGACCACCCGCATATCGCAAAATAATCATATCGAGAATATCATGCGCTACACACTACTGCTAGTTTCCACGTGAACACGTTCCTGGAAAGCAATTGAAGTCATAGCACTTGCTGTATCGGAGTCGGCCACGAGTTTTGCATGATACTCTCGAACGCAAAGGATGAGGCGTGGTCCCAGCACAAACAGCTGTGCCATCTCGAAGATTTGAGCGAAACCATAATAAATCTGAATGTTTAGGGAAAACATGTCCTATAGAATTGATGAATCATGGTTGCACATAGAGGTCAGTGACAGATCGGCATACCGCTGAAAGTGTTGGAGATAATAAACCAGCAATCTGAAAGCAAGAGATGACTAAAAAACTAGCGCGTGCAAAACTTCAGCGAAACAAGAGAATCACATTCACATCATAGCTCACCTTGCAAAGTAACTAAGATGAGTTTGCATTAACACCGTAAAACAGTCCCCAGTAATGCTTCTTGCCGAGTATTGTTGCAGTTCACGGAAGCGCTTTACAGCAATCCGGACCGCGAGACATAGTGCAAGGGCTTCCCATACAATAGCAAGTATCCAAGTCATGGAATTCAAAAGTAAAACATCTCCTATAAAGCCAATCTGGCACATATATGTGCCGGAGAGAACGAATTCCTCTAAAATTTGTTGATGAGTGTGGTACAATATTAATTAGATCTTTCATAAATAATTCAAACTTACCCCCTGAAATATCCATCGTTGTTATTGCGATCATCACTGCGTTGGCAATTCTTATGGCAAGACGAGGAATATTAGCACCTTTCTAGATTGCTGATACATGGCATGCAACCGAGCGATCATGATGACTTGCATGGTGTGTCAGTTAAGTCAATATCACGAAGGTGTAAAGCTCACCTCCCAGTATTACTTCTACAACCTGACTTGTCCAATTGAGTGTGTCGTATATGATAAGGCCTGACAAATTCAGCGACATTAGTTATCAGCTTCGGAGGATCACAGGCTCGTAACAAACCCACAACTGCGGGAGTCATTATATTGAACCAACGAGTTGTTCGAGAATCTTACCTCTGCATACTAGTTCAGTTGTTTGGACGGGAATGGAAGACATAAATACTGTGTCTGACATTGAAGTTGTTGGAACACTGACTAGATGTCACCCGTCACAAGAAGGAAACAGAGTCTGTGTGAGGAGACATACCAAATATCAACACCCTGATCGTGAGAGATGGATAATGAGCGCAACACCAATGGCTTAGATGTAGAAACGTACACAGCATATCCTATTGCAACATATCGCACCTAGGATATGTTCGAGTCAGTCCAGCTTGCTAACCATGCTTAAAAACACAAGCTACATACGATGAGATACAATACGGTCATCAGGGACCAGTGTTGCCTCTGCCGCAAATTAGTTGTGGTATTTTCACATCGTTCTTTTGATGTGGGAGTCCGCTCACCCAGACCAGTTCCACCTATAAATTTGTTCTCAGCAAAATGGCTGCTCCTGTAATGGTGTCGACCTACTTCTTGTCCAAACGTAAGTCCTAGAAATCCCGTGATGTCAGTGGTCTTTTCATACTTAATATTGCTCACCCCAATCGTACATTATTGCAGCACAAGCCGCAACTGAGAAACCGCAGCCAATTTCAATCAAATCATCACGGTCATCGTGGGGCTGGCTCTGGACAAACCTGAAAAATAGCTGCTAATAAGATTCGCATTGATGACTGGCCACCAACTCGGATCGTTCGAGACTAGGGTCATGTTATTAGAGGATGGGAGTGAGCGAGTGGGGGAACTTAAGGGACGTATGATGGTCGCATGATTTGAAATTTAAGGGACTATATCTGAATGATTGATGTGTTTGAGCATGGTAATTTCAGTAGGCTCATCTAGGACCCTTATCGGATCAAAGTAGAAGTTGTCGGTGAAACTGCAACTTTGTGAAAGCAGTGACTCCCTAGGCTCGGGATAACCATGGACAAGTCGGCGAGTGGCGTATGGCGGCCCATCATTAGCCAGGCTGGAGAGATTTGGCAGTGCGAAACACGGAGTTTGAATTTCAGCAGGTGCCGTGCCTGTCGAAGTACTAGTGCTACACAGTTACCGTCGACTATCAATTACAACTGCAGTATACTCTGCGGCGACTGCGGCTTTAGCATGGACAATGGACCCTCACAGCCTCAGCAGGGAGGAAAAAAATCTCCCTTTGCTGAAAACACCCCGTGGTGTGCGGATGACGGTCATGAACCTCCTGACACACCATCTCAGAAAAGCCTGGTATGGCCACTGAAGTAATGCATTTACACAGTTTCTGAATGTGTTGGAAGTCGCAGTTTGAAGGATCATATGCCTTCCTGCCACAAGCACAGATACGAGAGCCTTGAGTTGAAGTCATTTTGGATGTTTGGCGCCTTTCGAGATAAAATCAAGGTGCGCAAAGCTTCGAGTATTTGCCGGAAGTGTATCGATGGAAGCGTGCTTTTCAAGTCCGTTAGAATGTTGTCGAGAGCATTCAAAGCAGATGTGGACATGGACGATACAATACAGAATTGGGTTGGTCATAACTTACATAGAGATGCAGTCAAACGGCTAGTGTCTGGGCGATGTCTGCATGTAAGACGACACTCAGCACACCCGGCACCTGCTAAATTTTCGTTTGAGCCAATTTGGTTGGTACAAGTGAGGTAGGTACCATGGCCAGCCATGGAGTCATCAAAATTGCTAAAAAAAAAGAAATAAAGGGTGTGGCTCTTCGACGAAGTGGGTATGCATACGTACTGGGACTTCCACCCAACATCCCGGTGAACGCTTAAGCTTCACCTCCAGGAAATGCACTTGACTTTGCGTTGGACAGGCCGCCTCGGATTCTGTATCCCTCCACAATACCAACAACAGCACCTTTCCCGGCGACGACATACACTCTAGTGGGATATTCTCCGAGTCTCCAACCACCTTTCCACATGCCATAGAGCAAACGCGAAGACCGAAATATATCTTGACAAATGTAAGGGAATTCATGGCGATGAAAACATTATCATCTGGTAAAGTTCTGTCCGGCCAAATTTGCTTGAAAGAAATGGTCCCTATGTCCCAAAGTTCCTTTTTGATAAGGGGAAAACCAAACAGCTGACGGTTGCCGCATGGAGCCCGGGAAGGCTTTATGAGAACGTACTGAGTTACATTTGGAGTGTATTTAGAAGGCACCCATTGCACCATGGTAGATGTTTCTGGCGAATCAGACTCTGAAATCTTTGGACGAAATGAGTGGCAGTAGTAGTGCTGCCGTGGTCCGGTTCGGTCCGGTTCGGAGGGTCCTAGACGAGAACCAAGAACCGGACCATCGGTTCGGTTCTACAAAATGTCCGAACCCAGAACCGGACCATAGAGAACCGTTCTCTATGGTCCGGTTCGGTTTTTTGGGGGTCCGAACCCGAACCGAACCAAAAAAAAAACTGTAAGAGCACGCAAAAAAACATTGACAAAGTACTAAGTAGTATACATGTTGAGTAACTAATCTAATAACATGGCTGCTCCCCCCCAATTACCATGCGCGAGAGGTATCAGGAGAGTGATTGTGATAACGAGGGGTTGACACAACCAGAAATAGGAAAGCGGCAGCGAAGGATGGCGATCATGAGCATGGGTCGAGGATGGCGGCGAGCAGCAGCAGGAGATGGCAGTGAGCAGCAGCGTGAGATGGTGGCGAGCGCGGGTACCATATACAAATAATAAATTTATTAGACACTGAAACAATAAAACACCATGACGCACCTTTGCAGCTGAGAGAACTCCCCATCTAGAGTCGAGTCTACATGCGCTGCGCGTTTGCGCATGGTGCTGGTGGCATTGGATGTGCTAAGCGGGAGGATGCTGAAGGTAGTGAGAGGGCGCTGAACTTGTCAACTTGATGGCGGGAGGGCTCCAAAGGTAGCGAGAGGGTGCCAAAGGAAGTGAGAGGGTACTGGGAGTTGGGTTGGCACGAGAGGTTCGATCCAAAATATGATGCGACCGGTGGGAACGTTACACATACTTGAGCTCCACAAAGCATGCCAGAGAGAACTCACTGAGTAGCCCAAAACTCGAATGAGACCATTGCGCCACCAAGAGCTACATTCCAGAAAACGGGACCAACTTTCCCGGTGGTGTTGTCAACATGTGGCGTGTCCCGTACATGGGTGGCGTGTCCCGTACATGGAGTGCCAACTTGTTGGCCTAGCAGAGCGCATTCAGTTGTGAGAATATGCAATGAGACATGCATATCGATTCACCTTTGGATCCGAAAGTAGGTCATCGAGGCAGGCTG